AATAGTTGGATATGATGTAGATGTGATACTGGATGTGAAGGAATGATGATAATGTTGATGATAATGGTGATGGTTACAGGAAGGCCATCACCGAAGTAGTACTACTGAGACATGATGGGCTGTATTGAATACTAAACTCACTCGTTCAGCCGCCGGTATTGGGAGTTAATCTCAATTAATGACGGAACTGGTATACAAGGCATCACTGTCCCGACTGAATGCCAGTCCGGACCACATGGTTTTGGGGCCATTGCTGTTGTGGAATTCATCATGCCTTTCGAATTTGGTAAGCCTGTCTATAGGCAGCAGGACGCCGACAAGGCATTTCACCCACAAGGCTGCGAAGTAAGTGCTATGATAACGCCTTGGGGTGTGGTGGGAAAGGGCCCGGGCCAAACCAGGCTGGAGGCTGGCTGTCATATTATGAAGTATCTATCCCATGCATGCATGCAGAGCGGGCACTTGCCTGAGGCACGCTGTCATAGGGCGGGCGGTGCAGTGCAACTTCAGGCCAGGAAATCTCCGGCAGATCAAGGGGAAACAGCCACGGGTGAGTCATCTGTGCGTCGTGCGGCTTATCAAGCAGGAGGGAACAACCGTCCAGGGGTTCCTAACGACCATGGAGGAGAGGAGAGCAGCGAGATATTAGTATAGTATGTACGGACTGTAGTGATGAGACTCAAGATTAGGCCGCCGAGGGACGATCACTAAGAGTGGATACGACCGGCTTCCATGCGGTTCTGTCCCCAGGCGGTGGCGGCAAAACCAAAGGGTTGGTGGCTCGTGAATCTGCAACAGCTTAAGTCATCAAGCCCCGGTAGGGCCTGGCACTATCGTCACCTCTTAACGGGAGCTCTCTCTGCCAACCTCCGATCTCACTTCCAACTCTCTCCACCTCTGCCATCCTATCCCATCCTTCCCAATTTCCCCCCTCCCTCAGGCATCTCTTCCTGTCTGGTGGGTTTTGTCTTTCTGTCCCTTTTCCCTTCCACCTCCATTTCCCCCTTTGTCTCTGTTGCCGAGCTTCGCCAAATCCGGTGCAGCGACAGTCCTTGATACGTTCCCCAAGTGTCTACGTTGCTTTACGCGCCTTATCCAACCCCCACCCTTCAAGATGAGCTCGGAACCGGACCACACCCATGACAAGAAGAGGGTGAACCTCCAGTACGTGATGCACCTCTGTGGCGTTAAATCACCCGCCGCCCACCAGCTAACCTATCGCACAGAGACGCTTCCGGCGCCGAGAAGAAAGAGGTGACTTTTGCCTGCACACAGAAAGGGACCTTGATGGCGATACTGACACGTCTGTGCAATAGGAGCTCGACACTTCGACAGCCATTCTGAAGAAGAAGAAGAAGCCCAACTCCTTGATGTAAGCTAGTTCTGCCTCCGTGCGGGGATGGTTGGGTACTGACTGCATGGGTGCTAGTGTCACCGACGCCGTTAACGATGACAACTCCGTTATCGCCCTCTCCAACAACACAATGGACACCCTCCAGCTCTTCCGGGGTGACACCGTCCTCGTCAAGGGCAAGAAGCGCAAGGACACTGTTCTGATTGTTTTGGCCGACGATGATCTCGATGATGGAAGCGCTCGCATCAACCGTGTTGTGAGACACAACCTCCGTGTCAAGCACGGCGATATCATCACCGTCCACCCTTGCCCCGACATCAAATACGTGAGTTTTATGATTCTGAACGTGGTTTAGGTTGGTAGTGGCTGACCATGCTTGTTCTCTCCCCACAGGCCAAGCGTATTGCCGTCCTCCCCATCGCAGACACCGTCGAGGGCCTGACTGGCTCCCTCTTCGATGTCTTCCTCGCCCCCTACTTCCGCGAAGCCTACAGACCCGTGAGACAGGGAGATCTGTTCACAGTAAGAGGTGGTATGAGGCAAGTGGAGTTCAAGGTTGTTGAGGTGGATCCCCCGGAGTACGGTATTGTGGCCCAAGATACCATCATCCACTGCGAGGGTGAGCCGATCCAGCGCGAGGATGAGGAGGGCAACCTCAACGAGGTTGGTTACGACGACATTGGTGGCTGCAGGAAGCAGATGGCACAGATCCGTGAATTGGTCGAGCTGCCCCTTCGTCACCCCCAGCTTTTCAAGTCCATCGGTATCAAGCCCCCTCGTGGTATCCTCATGTACGGTCCTCCTGGTACCGGTAAGACCTTGATGGCTCGTGCCGTGGCCAACGAGACCGGTGCCTTCTTCTTCCTGATCAACGGTCCTGAGATCATGTCTAAGATGGCTGGTGAATCCGAGTCGAACCTGCGCAAGGCCTTCGAGGAAGCCGAGAAGAACTCTCCTGCCATCATCTTCATCGACGAAATCGATTCCATTGCCCCCAAGCGTGAGAAGACCAACGGAGAAGTCGAGCGTCGTGTCGTCTCCCAGCTTCTTACCCTGATGGACGGCATGAAGGCCCGCTCCAACGTTGTCGTCATGGCTGCTACCAACCGCCCCAACTCCATCGACCCCGCTCTTCGTCGTTTCGGCCGTTTCGATCGTGAGGTCGACATCGGCATTCCCGACCCCACCGGCCGTCTGGAGATCCTGCAGATCCACACCAAGAACATGAAGCTGGGTGAAGATGTTGATCTGGAGACCATTGCCGCCGAGACCCACGGTTACGTCGGTTCTGATCTTGCCTCTCTCTGCTCCGAGGCCGCCATGCAGCAGATTCGTGAGAAGATGGATCTGATTGACCTTGACGAGGATACCATTGACGCCGAGGTCCTCGACTCTCTTGGTGTCACTATGGAGAACTTCCGCTACGCCCTTGGTGTTTCCAACCCCTCCGCCCTGCGCGAGGTTGCCGTCGTCGAGGTGCCCAACGTTCGCTGGGAGGACATTGGTGGTCTGGAGGAGGTCAAGCGCGAGCTTATCGAGAGCGTCCAGTACCCTGTCGACCACCCCGAGAAGTTCCAGAAGTTCGGTCTTTCGCCTTCTCGTGGTGTTCTGTTCTATGGTCCCCCCGGTACTGGTAAGACCATGCTTGCCAAGGCCGTGGCCAACGAGTGTGCTGCCAACTTCATCTCGGTCAAGGGTCCTGAGTTGCTGAGCATGTGGTTCGGTGAGTCGGAGAGCAACATTCGTGATATCTTCGACAAGGCCCGTGCTGCCGCTCCTTGCGTTGTCTTCCTGGACGAGTTGGACTCCATTGCCAAGTCTCGTGGTGGCTCTGTCGGTGACGCTGGTGGCGCCTCTGACCGTGTCGTCAACCAGCTTCTTACTGGTAAGTGCTAAATCTCATGTACCCTATAAGGATAGTGGCTGATTGTATAACAGAAATGGACGGTATGACCTCCAAGAAGAACGTCTTCGTCATTGGTGCCACGAACAGACCCGAGCAGCTCGATGCTGCCCTGGTCCGTCCTGGTCGTCTCGACACCCTCGTCTACGTTCCTCTGCCCGACCAGCTCTCCCGTGAGAGCATCCTGAAGGCGCAGCTCCGCAAGACCCCCGTTGCTGGCGACGTCGACATCTCCTTCATTGCCAGCAAGACCCACGGGTTCTCTGGTGCTGATCTTGGCTTCGTCACCCAGCGTGCCGTCAAGCTGGCGATCAAGCAGTCCATCAGCGCCGACATTGAGCGCACGAAGCAGCGTGAGGCTCTGGGTGAGGACGTCAAGATGGAGGACGAGGAGGTTGACGAGGAGGATCCCGTGCCGGAGCTGACCCGGGCACACTTTGAGGAGGCTATGAAGTCGGCCAGACGCTCCGTCAGTGACGTGGAGATCCGCCGGTACGAGGCGTTCGCTCAGAGCCTGAAGAACTCGGGCGGCAGCAGCTTCTTCCGGTTCCCGTCGGCGGGCGAGGTGACGGACAACAACACGTTTGGTGAAGCCGGCAATGACGACAGCCTCTATGACTAAAGTGGTGTTCTTCCTTTTATTACATGTTTCCCCAAGTTTGTTAATCCATCTGCACTAGCTAGAAACAGCGGGTTTTGTGGCAGGGAGAAATGTTGACGAGACCCTTGCCCGGTCCACATTCGTATTGGTTTATTTTCTTCTTGAGATTGCGAGTCATCTGTCGAGCATACTGAGTGCCATAATATTAAGCTTACACAAGATACTCCATCCTGAGTGATGTAGTTGTAGATCGACCGAAGAAAGAGATGTGCATTACCACCGCTGCTGTTGTACACAGGTTAATGCTGGTATCAAGATAACGACTGACTCCGTATGCAAAGGCCGGATGAAAATTCCAGCCGCCCATCAAAGCAAGGCCAAAGGAAAGGAAAAGAAAAAACAGGACAACACCAGGGCATTCCACGCCCGTGACCGATGCTATCAACGCCGTATGAAGTAAACAAAGCAAAGCAAAAGGGGATATAAGATATACCTAGTCGGCGAGACAGACAGCCTGACAAGACACCCAGTAACCAACCAACCAACCACCTAAACACCCGTATCCACGCCAGCCAACGAGAAGAAAGAAGCAAACGAACAGCAACCCACATTCACTTGACTTGTTTCCCCGTTTTCGGCTTCTTCTCGACCTTCTTCACAGGACTAGCCGTATCCCCATTCTTAGTCCCCTTGACTTTCTCTGTCGCACCACCACCACTACCGCCTCCCTCCTCCTTGATATGTCCATTCTCTACATCTCCCAAGATATCACCTCCGTCGTCTGTGACCACCACATCCCTAAGGACTTCTTTGATGGCCCGGACCCCTTGGTCGACCACCGCCTGGGGAATGCGCACGTCGTATGTCTCGAAGTTCTCGATCCCGTCATCGTCATTGATCCCGTTGGTAGTTTGGCTGTTAGAGGTATTGGTGTTGGTGTTGGTGTTGGCATTGGCGCTCTGTTTCGCCTTGTTTGCCTCTATCAAGATCGGATGTCTCCGTCCCTCTGCGGAGGCGATCACCGCCTCGAAGACCTCGTCGAAGCGCTCACATCGTCCACCGCGGAGGAGTTCCTGGGCTAGTTTGCGGATTCGTTCCGTCCAGCCGAGACGTTGGAGGGAGCTGAGGAGTGTGCTGTGGAGGTCTTCGAGGACGGGCGTGCTGGTTAGGTGGTGGAGGAGGTCGGATTCGAGGGCCTCGGGGTGAGGGGTGGTGGTGGTGGGGTGGGACGGTGAGGAGGAGGATGGCATTGTTGCGTGGATCTTGGGTCGTGTGAAGTTAAGTCGAGCAAAGCAGAGCAGATGAGTGGAGTTGGGTTTTGGTCGAGGCGCGATCGAGTTAGATGGGCGCGCCGCGAGAAGCGGAGAGGTTGGTGTGGGTTGGGGTTTGTGGTTTGGTCTGAGTAGATTGAGGGAATACGAGGCGAGGTCTTTGCTCGGACCTTGGTGGTTGTTGGGGTTGTATTGCGGATTGCGTGTGGCGGATAGGTGCGTAGGAGGGAGATATCTTGCGATCGCGATCGGTTAGCGGGAGTGGAAGAGATTGCGCGGGTTTGGTACCTTTGTAATCCTTGGCGGAAGAGGAGTAGCTGATGCGATAGGGAGAGTCGGAATAGCTGAAAAGCACTGAGAGGGGAAAAGGATGAGGCGGAGGCGTTGGGGGCGAGAAAGATGCTAGTCTGGGGAAGAGAGCGAGGGAGGCCCTGGCGGTTGTCGGAGCCCAGCGCAGGAACCGCCGATAAGATGCCGCGACGGCGGAGAAGAAGTACTCTCGCTGTGTCAATAAGGGGGGGAAGGGGAACAATGTCAATGGGACCCAGTGTTATTGGTCGACGCGGGGATTATAGGTAGTAGATGTTGAATGGGCTCCATTACTTGATTCAGGAGAGACAATGGGAGGGAGTCATACTCTGATTGATTGACCCGCCGGTTCTTTCTTTTCCCAAAGCGTCATGGATGAGGCTGTCCCACAACACAAAGAAAGAAAGACATCAAAGGCTTATTGACCTTGACAGGAACAACACTCACTCACTCAATAGATCTAAGACCTTGAATAGGAAGGTATCATCATTGTGTTCTTTCTAGTATAGTAGAAGTATGTATCTGGCGGATGCAGTTCCTGCGGAGAGGGAATATAGCCGCCTGGCATCGCATCGCATCGCATCGGACAGCGCCGCTTTGTCCCCGTTGGCTACGGGCTATAGGGAGGCCCGCAACGCGGGGCATATTCTGAACATGGCTTTCAGGGTATGTCCGATATAAATAGTACCGGCGGTTGGCGCATCGAATGGACCAGGGTGCAATCATGGCGCCGGGGTGGATATACATACGTAGACATGCTGGCTCCACTGTCTGGGGGATGTAGATAATCCTATTTCAGCTGCACTGGATAGAAAAGAGAGAAGGGGAAATGTACTCCGCATGGAGGAGGATAAATGCGTGGTGGAATAATAAAGAGTGTCCTGGGTTCGGTTTATATCATTTGGCGCCGGGATGGCTGGCACCGCCACATGTTCGTGTAAGGTTTGCTGCGCTGCCAGCCAGGGATTGAAGTGTGACAACCGGGCTGAAAGAACCCATTGTGGATGGCTGGATCTTGAGGCTTGCAAGGGATAGTCTTAGGTTTCTTGATAAGATGTGAGGCAGTCGTCATCCTAATGCGGCGTCTACATATCGCCCTGTGAGTGCTTTGCTTCCTTGATTCATGCAGCAACGGACGGTAAGGGATTCGTCGCATGCAAACCATTGCGCATCGGATTTCTCAGTTTTGGTCATCAACACCACAGTGCCGGTGATCGACATAATTTCCAAGGGAGATCTTCGAGAAATGTACTCCGTACTCCGTATTGTAGGTTGCTCCGACTGCGGAGCCACGAATAGCATCGGAGGAGCATCCGTTTGTGTGGCTTCACCGACCAGCTCAACGATCCATCCTGCCCTGGGGAAGCCTCGGTTTTGAGCAGTCAGACTTCCGGCCGTTATCCGCCATTCAGGGCACCAAGGACCCTCATATAGCCTATACGTAATAATGCTATAGTAGTAGCCTAGTAGCTCTCGGCGGGGAGGAATGGCGTCGCTGATATCAAGACTGGAAATAAACTTCTACGGACACCACGGCGATAACGCCCTTCGGTGATAGTATCCGAAGGGGATAAATATAGAACGGAGACCCAAGTTCTAGCTAATCGGGAGAAAAGGCTAGAAAAGGGGCAAGCGATGGGGACGAGTGGGAAAGAGTTTTACGGATGGAGTCCTTGCATGAGGAACTCAGCGACAATTCAGACCAAATGGCACGATGACAGCGGAGGATTCGGACCCAGGGCCAGGCCGAAAATGTCAAGGCTCCGGCACTATTGGATTCTGACAGCGCCTGCGCTGAGGAATAGTGGGAGCAGCCAACCCCTCTTTGCTGGCTCTGTCCACTGGCCGTTGAGCTGCGCGGGCCTTGATTCTGGTTTGCATGAATACTGATCCAAACTAGTCGCTTTTGTGTGATAATAGTTCTCTCGTTAGTGTCCTCATAATCGAATGGGACTCGGTCATCCAGGGGATGCATGCCCCATCCACGGCCTTTGCATTTTTTTGGTTTTTGCCTTTTTTTTTTATTATTATTATTCTATTTTTTTTTCTCTTGGTGAAATAATATTGGCGCTTGGAGTCGGCGTTGGCTCTCCTTTTTTTAGAGATCTCTCTTGCCATTCGTCTGCGGGATGCGTCACTGAGTGATTTTGGCCAGGGCCTGGCTGGGGACGATGCAAGGATGAGCGATCCATTACCCGTCGCGAGGGTGTCGGGGAGAGCCGAAGAACGGCCGACAGTAGAGGATCGCATGGACCAAGATCCAGCGCGAGAGTGTATAAGAGAGTAGACCCAGTCATGAGTGAGTGATGAGTGGTGGTGGTGGTGTTGTTGCTAAGAGTCCAGACCGGCATCACGTGCGGCGATCCAACTTTAGAAGCGCCTCTCTTTTCCCGTTCGGCGGTTCGTTCGCTCGACTCCGCGCCCAACCAGCTGCTGCTCTTTCTCCTCTCCTCTCGCCTTGTCGTCGTTTGTCGCTGGCTCACGCAGCCCTCTCCTCTGCCCGACCGTGAATCTCCTCCCCTCTCGCCGTTGGTCCCACCGTGTCTTCCCCCCGTGGATTTGGGTCCCTGGCAGTGCAACGAGGCCCCTTCGCACACCCGGTTGGTCCCCAGAGTTGGCCGAGCTTCCCCGCTCTCTCTCTCTGCATGCCTACTAGCCTTGTTGGCCTCAGGTTCCTGCTGCTGCTCGCACATCACGGCCTCTTTCTTATGCTGCTTCGCCTTCCCTTCGCCTGGTCTCTCCCATATCCAACCTCATAGCCTCCCCTCCTCGGCCTCCGTCTTCACCCTTCGACCCCTTCGACTTCCATAGTGGTTATAAAGATTTCCACCGTCCGAGTCCTGGCAACTGGCCCGCTTTCCGTCCTCCCGTTCATGTGGCACGCCTGCTCAAACTGAACCCGCTCCCCAACACTTTACATCTGGGTCGGATTTGTCCGTGCTTGGTTGTGATCCCTTGGAGGTTCTCTGTGCGGTCTCATTGTTGGTGCTCGATTTCCAGCGACTTGTCCTTGATCTGAGGGCGGGCGCTTCGCTGAGTCTGCTAGCCGGTCCGACGTCCACCCCAGCCCCCTCTTCACACCCTCGGGCGTCGTCACCGGTCATTGAGCCCTCACTCTCATTATGTCTCTTCATACCTCTTACCATGCCGACTCGGATGCGGACGACGAGTACGAGCGTAGCGTCATCACATCACCTCATCTGGCCACCGACTCCGAGGCCTCTCCTTCCGAATCTGAATTTCCATCAGCAGAACACACCCCGACTACCTTAGCAAACATAGAAGACAACCCGCGGTCTCCCCGAACGATCATTACCGAATGGACTGCTGAGGAGTGTGCCAACTTTGTTGCCGCCCTCGGTCTTCGTCAATACTGCGGGGCATTTATAGGTAAGTCCAAGGTTTCAAGGTTCCAACACTGAGGCGCTTGGACACTAGGGTCGCTGACTGCATGGGGTTTGCGTAACATAGAGAACGAAATCGTTGGCGAAGCGCTCATTGCCCTGAAACACGATGAGTTGAAGGAAATGGGCATTGCGAGTGTGGGACATCGGTTGACCATACTGAAAAGCGTATACGAAACCAAAGTCAAACAAGATATTCCCATTGACGCAGACCACTATATCCCACTCTGTATGTTTCCTGAATGTCTGCTTCTGCAGGTTGCGGCCCGTGTTGTTGTGACTAGCTAACCCTGTTCACCTTGGCAGCTGCCGACCAGAGCATGAACGAAGGCGCCACCCAAGAAGATATTGCTCGCTTAATCCAGTCGATCCGGATACGAGATGAGCGCATCGTGACAATGGAGTCAGAGATGCGACGTATCGCAGAGGAATACCGTCGACTGCGCGAAGAGCTGCTCCCCGTTTTCAAAATGGCCAAGGACAAGTCACAGCCACTACCCCCACCGACCTCCGTGCCAGTATCCAGCTCCGAAGGATATCACGATGGTCAAACGCTCACATCTCCTTCCGGAATAACCCTTTTGGATCGTTCGGGATCTATCTTGTCCCGGACGTTCTCCAAAAGGGGCCACACTGGGGGCACGACACCGAAGACCAACTCTCCTACACATATTCCTCCTTCGATCCACGAGGGCCGAATGTATAGTGATGGCGGCGGGCTCGACCCATCGACGGCAAATTCCTCCCACATGACTATACTAAACGGCAAGTCGCAACTCTCTCCCGGCATCCCAAGCCCGACATCACCCGGAAACCATTACGCCCCGCAGACTTTAGCCTCGCGAGCCTATACGCAATCAAGTTCTAACAGCATAAACCACATGTCCCATAATCACCACGAAGACACTCTTCCGCCCCAGTCCCGGTCAGACCGGTTGAATCCCACGCCAACCCAAGCGACACGTCCCGACATCCCCACCCGGTCAGAATCCAGGGCAACGCAAGAGCCACCCAGTGTTGAAATCTTCAAATCCTTCCGCGTGTCGATGGATGATCCGTGCCACAAGGTCCTTCCGGCCGCGCTTAAGAAGTATAATATCAACGCTGATTGGAAGCAATACGCCCTGTACATCGTGTATGGTGATCAAGAACGGTGCCTCGGCTTAGAGGAGAGACCACTCATCCTCTTCAAGCAGCTCGAAAAGGAAGGCCGCAAACCGATGTTTATGTTGCGGAAGCAGGTTCATCCGATTGAGAGCGGCATGTACTCTGGAGGAGGGTCCGCACCGAACAGCGCTGGCTTTGAGGGGCGGCAAGCCCAGATCAACCTGCCAGGCGGAGTCCTGTGAGCTATGCTGCAGCACATCATTACGTTTAATTGTTGCTTGAGATACCCCCAGACCCTTCTACGGGGTCGTTTCATTCTTCCACTTCTACCATCAATACAGACTTCTGTCATTGACCCTCTTCTTCATATCATCCTACCATCATATCAGCGGTGTTTTGGTGTTGGGGATTCGGAACTGGAAAAGCTCATAAATCAGCGTGGCATTGCTGGGGTTTGTTTTTGTTATTATCTTCTCTGCCTTGTCGATCCGGCTATTCCTACATCTAGGCTCTCATGTTCCTGTCAAACACATACTACCTTAATTTCTCTGAATAAACTTGTCTACATACATACTACATACAAACATACATGCACATACACACTCTTCCTCCAACATTGATCCTGCACCTGTCCGCAATATGATCCATCTCATCCATCTATCACCCCATCCCCATCCCCATCTCTAGATAGAGATCTCCTACCAAAAACAGACCTATCTCCGCACCCCGGAGCAAATCAATCCACTACCTACACTACCCACATATAGCACACTAGTCTACACACAGTAACAAAAACAAACTTTCCACTCCCTCCCTCCCTTCCTTCCTTCCCTATCTACAGAGTACCTATCACTAATCAATAATCAGGGGTCCAGACCCCAAATCCCACACTACCGAATCCTACTTACTTGCTTATATGCAATGCATAACCCTTCCTTCATAAGTCCCCGCTCCCCCCTATTTCTTCTCGTGAGTCTAGACCCCGAAAAGGGGTGGGGTATGTCAATCCTGATCGACAATCGAGTACGGAGTATACCTAGACATGTTTGATATGAACTCGTAGTCTGATACATCATACGTGATGTGTTATGTTATGTTATGTTATGCAGGGTCTTTCTGATTCGTGCGTCTGTGTTAGTGTTAGTGTTTGTGTAGTGCTGGGCTCTGTGTCTTATCTGGGGGACTGATATGCCTGGATAGTAGATACAGCCTAGATGAAATACGATATCGGGATTAAGGAAGGGGTGGAGAGGGGTGGAGAGTGGGGTGGTCTCAGCTAGTAGTAGACTACTCTTTACTCTGTAGTCTGTACGTGGGTTCAGCTGGGGCTAGTTAATACTTCGTATTGATAATAGTATCAAAGCGGAGGTGAGGAGGAGAGGTTTCATAAGTCACAACTGAGAGATGACTAGTGAAGGGACTAATTCAAAGTTGGAACTCAAGGAACACTATTGATTGAAAGGTGAAGAACAGATTAATTCATATTGTAGTAAGCTGCATCAATCAGAAGAGAAATAGTATATGTACTTCGTACTCATTACAAAGAATCATCCAGCCATCTATGGCATCAGGTATAAATCCCTCCATCGTCTATCAGGTATAACCGGTACTCAGTACGCAGTAAGGGTCCTCTCGACACTGCAGACCGCGCTGAGCTGTCGGGGTTGCACAGCGCGGGGAAGATGCAAGTAAGTAGTTACACAAAAGGAAAGCTCGCTCTATACATTATGGCCTCAAGACATGCATGCAATGAACGCCTGATTCTCAAGAACAACCAACCCGACCTCTAAATTCTCCTTTTCTCTTGGCTTGACTCGACTGTCTGAGGCAGTAGAAGTAATGCTTTCTACACCGCAAAGTTCGTTCACCGCCCCCCCTTTTTTTCTTGGGCTCTGTATTTTATCTTCTTCCCAGTCCACTCACTGGCAGAGTGATTTCTTCCTCGCTCGGTTTGGGTTGCTCTCGCCGCTCATTCAGTTCTCTCGGCCCTTCTCACCTCCCCAGGAGATGCTTCGGCGACTATGACTGCGACTCTGCCGAGCATACGGGGAGCTGTTTTCTTGACCCTCGCTGGAGGTGTCGCCCGACTGTTGTCGGCTTCCGGCGGGCTTCGTGCCGTCCGCAAATGAAACCTTCGCCCCGGCATCAATATCATTGCTCTCTTCATCGGACTCCAGAGCAGCATCCGGATCATCGGAATCGTCCGAGTCATTGATTTCACCCAGGGCGGCCAGACGACGGCGTCGTTCCGCCGGTGTCTCACCGGTGTCATCCAAGTCCGCTTGCTGGGGTGGACGTGACAGCCCGGCGGCTTCGCGCAGCTGAGCCGGCGGAATACGTTCGGTGCCGTCATCTTCAGAGTCCCGGCGCGACCGAGGACGCGATTTCGGAGAGGGAGCTGGAGGACTGCTGAGGTGGGTACTGCGCCGCTCCTCAGCTGCCGTGCCACGCGTGAAGCGGGCCAACGAAGCGGCAATGTCCCCAGCCACTTCATCTTCGTCCGATTCGTCCTCGCTGAATTCGCTGCCGGAGCCGGTTTCGTCATCCGCGACCGGCACAGGAGTTTGCGTGGCCACGCCAGGGTCCGATTTGCGGCGCTCTTGCGAATCCGCCTTCCGGGCCTCTTGGCGAGCCACATTCTTCACCCGCTCCGGCGCATCGGTCTCCTCCACCAGATCCCGCCGCGCTTTGGGCCCCAGGTTACGGATCTGCTGAGCGAACTCATGTTTGGTCATCCGGCGACCCTTGTGCTCGACGCCTCTCTTGCCCACTTCATTGTCGTCCGCCAATGTGAAGCGAAGACCGTCATCCGCCAACCAATCGTCCTGAGCGGCCTTGCGGGCTGCCTGCGACGACTCGCCCTCCTCTTCCATGCCGAACCAAGTTCCCATTCGCGTCAACCCGCGTCGAACCGGAGCATCAGCCTCGGGGGCATCCGTGGAAGGAATGGAGTATTTCTTGATGACTTCTCCGTCTTCGTCCTCGACAATGATGGTGTTGCCGAATTGGTAAGCATGAGCTGAGCGACCTTTGCGTTTGGGCTTTCTCGATGCTTCCTCAGTTTTCTTCTTGTCGGCAATCTTCTGGGCTTCTCGGTCATCTTGGTCTTCCGCACGACTCTTTCCGAATCCGAACCACTGGCCAAACCGCATGCGAGCCCTATCCAAGGGATGACCGGTTTTCTCACCGACAGCCTCCTCGATTTCCTCTCCTTCGGTCCTGCGATGAGGTTTGGTACGGGACTGGGCGTATTGATCCGACTGTTCCTGTAGCTTCTGGCGCTGCTGCTCCATATGGCGCTGCTGCTCCTCAGTAGACATGTGACTAACATCTTCCACCTTGAGCACGTTGCCTTCTTCATCTTCCATGATCATATTGTGACCTTCTAAGTAGACTTCAAGAGCAGGCTCCCGTCCAAACTTCTCGCCTTCCTTAGAAGGCGGGGAAGCCTCGCGCTCAATCTTGTCGCGCTCCTCGGATTCATCGCTCTTTTCCCTTTGTTCATCTGACTCCGTGTCCAGCGTCCTTTGGGGTGCGATGGCAGATTGACTAATTGGACCGCCGGCGCCATCGTCGCGTCTGCGACGTCTGCGGCGCCGACGAGCGGACCTACCACCGGTCGACTCCGTATCCTCATCACGAACCCGACGCAAGAAGTTACCAGGAACACCGATGGGCGGAAGAGTCCCCGGGGGATACTCCGGCTCGTTGGACGATTCCTCCACATCATCCGGTTTCCGGAAAGACATTGAACCCTTCGCCAAAGATTGCACGCGAGGCAGGCGGTTCATCCAAGATGGACCCTCATCGTTGGCTGTGGTGTAGGAGAGCGTGATGGTCAAGGTGTTAATGCGCTTTCCTAAGGTGAAGACGGCGATGGAGGAGCCATGGACCAAGATGGACGAGATGACCATGAACGTGGTGACGGGCCAGATTAGCTGCACGATATAGTAATTGGAGCTTCCCGGGCCCGGCAACTCGGACTCCGACCAGGGTTCAGTGCTGTCGGATTCAAGTTCAGCCCGGGCCAGGATGGAAGCGAACACCGCACCAACCCCAATGGGGCCAAAGTGGCCGGCGAAAAGGGCCTCGCGCCACGTTTTCACGTCCGGTATAATGGGCTTCAGCATTAACATGATGGGAATGCGACGGAAGAAGATAACCAGCAGGGCAATGACTACGAGCCTCCAGGGCACGAGGCCAATGGACGGGTTGTTGTAGTCCTCCCAGGGGATAATGGACCCGAAGTACACGAAGTAGGCCAAGTTGAGCAGGAGATCGATGACGTTGGACACGTGCGATTCTTCGGTTTTCTCCGTGAACCAGCCATCGTTACTAAAGCCGACACCCGCCGAGAAACCTATCAGGAGATCGTCCATGCCCAACAGACTGCCCGAGCCGGCGCAGAAGACCGCCAGCACGAAGTAGAACACCAGGAAACTTTCCCGGTCAATCAGCCCTTTGCGCTCGGCCAATTTGATCGAATGCCGGGCCAGATATCCGATGATAAATCCGTAGACGGCGCCGAAAACACACTCGTATAGAATCGTCACGCAGAACCAGTTCAGCGACACCTTCCCGGCATCGGGACGGTAGCGCCAGATGTAGAACGCTAGATAGATGAAAGGAAACGCCATTCCGTCGTTGCAGCCAGACTCGGCGGACAACAAGTCTCGCAAATGCTTTGGAACTCTTCGCGCAAATTTACCTTTACCAACGACGGACGACGCAAGCACGGGGTCCGTGGCGGTCACGCACGCGGCGCACACAAGGCTCTCCAGCCATGAGAGAGGCGGAACCATCCACCAGATAAAGAGACTCGTTACTAGCCAGCCCCAGGTCATGACGGGCACCAGCAGCAGGAAGACGGACTTCCAATGACGCTCCATGTAGGCTTTGGGCAATTCGACACCGACGGCGAAACATTGGACGACCAGAACGATACGGGAGCATTCCAGGGTGATTTTGTCGACGTTGCCCCACGAGAGGGGATTGAACAGATTGGCCGCATGAGGCCCGAAAATGATACCGCAGAGCGTAGCAACCGTGGCTTCGCCGATGTACAGCTTCTCCTTGACAAACAAGGAGCACAGCATGAACAGACTCGTAAAGCCTCCCAAGATCATGTACGCCACATGGGGCTTATCGATATCCAAATGATCCCACGCCATGATTGCGACGGAGAGAAGGGCAAGCTGCGTGCTCAACCTGCGGGAGCGCTTGGTTCAATTCCTCCCCGCGCAGCCGTGATCTTCACCCCAATAGCTCTGCACCAGGCGCAGTAAATCCCGCGATACCTCCACCGATCGGAGCAACACGCAATCAAGCAAGGGAGATCCGCCTCAAAAGTCGACGAACAGCGGGTTCCCGCATACCTCGGGGGCAAGTTCAGCGGACCGGATGGGGGAGCTGGCGCGGCGGAGAATAGGGCGAGGACGAGGGGCGCAGTGGTTCCAAGGGCCTCACGGGCGCGTCCTGCAAGGGGGAGGTGTCTGGGTGAGCACTGAACGTGAGATAACCTCCGGAGGAAAGGAAGAAAAGGGGATGGTAGGTAGCAGAGGGGAAAAAAAAGGAAAAAGAGTTGGTCCGTGTGGCAGACGAGCGAAGGTATGAGAGGTCCGGGCTTACCAGATCAGGCAATGAATAGATTATCCGGAAGATCTCCGACAATATGATGAGCGCGTCCTGACTGACTCCGCTGGGGGGGAGGGGAGACTGGTAGTCTGGAGATGGGGGAAGAGAGAGATAGGGATGGGGAATAGATATCGGTCAGAAAGAGAGGAGGGGAGAGAGAGTAAGAAGAGGAGGGGATAAGCGTCCAAGAAAAGGAAATGCGAGAGGAACCAGGAAAGGGCCCCAGAAAAGAGCAGGCAGGAGCGTGGAGGTGGAGGGACAAGAGACTAGAGAGAGTGTTCTGGGCAAGCTGGCGAATGGCCGGGACCAGAGGGCCGGAAAATTCACGAACGGGATACCAAGACCACAACCAAGCCCGAGACCCAGTGGCAGCGCGGCATAGTGACGCTCCAGGGAAGGATGGGATGCAGCCAGCGACGAAATAATGAAGGCGATTACGCAGGAATCAGAGGCGCGGATCAAGCCGGGCGGGGATGGCGCAAGTCAAGGCCCATGGTCGTTCGCGGAACGAACAATTTCGAGGCTTGGCGGGCGGGACTCCGGCTGGCTTTTTATCGTCGCCCCTCGACTAAGGCTGGCTTCATTTCAGCCCAGCGTCCTTCATTTCCCGACTTTCTTACTTGGCGGTTGACACTCAGACACTTAGACACTCAAAGACCCTTTATTCGCCATTGCCCAGTTGTGCTATCCATCCATCCATCCGTCGATAGTCGCGTAGGTAGATAGTGGTTCTTCTCCCCGGTCGATGGTTTGGTAGGCAAGTAAGTACCGGACTCCATAGTTTAGTTTAGTTTAGTTTAGTTAGTAGTCTCGTACCTGTCCATTCCGCACCGGACCAGTCAGTCTATCGATCTGACCTACCCATGTTACACTTACTTTCTTACGGCCCTACTTCTGTGGCATGTATCAGACCGATGATGCAGGCATGCTTGATCTCGTGTCAAACCCCAACCCCAACCCCCAGTGACAGCTGAGACCGTGTCACCTCCAGCTGGTGCCAATCACCCCCATGACGACATGCGGCCGTCCCCAGCAAACCGGGCTGAGATCCAACGTCGAGTGCATCGCCGACCTTACCCGGCCGGGCAAAGAGGCTGCTTATCGCCCATTTCCACTTCCATCGCCCTGCGAGGCTGCCGAACGTTCCTGCCGTGCTTCATTGGCGGTGAGCCTCCAGCCGGGCCCCGCTGTGGGCCGACCGCCCGCCAGTCACGCCGCGCCTCCCACTCGCTCCGGCATCACGAGGAACTCATCCCGGTCGACCGCTCTCGCCTACCGTCCAACGACCGTCCAGAAGCCGGCTATTTGCCAGGTACTTGCCAGGTACATCTCCCCCATGTACAACCGTTTATGAGACATCACCGTTGATCCTGTTTACCCCAGCCTCGCGCCGCTTCAACATCCCCGGACTGTTCGACATGCCGTCCAACTTATACAGGCCGGACTCGCTGCCATGCGAGTCTGATCGAGTCGGGCCATATCGGACGCACACAGCACTCTAGCCAGCTGCGTATCTGACCAGAAATGACTCCGATCCCGACTCTCCTGCAGGTTCCTGTCTGTTTGAGTTCGCGGATGAAAGCCAACGGACAGGTAACGAATCTCATTCTCTTCCAGAGATGTATCCTGACGTGGTCGGTCTAGACAGTAGCAGCCATATCTTGCACGTCTTCGCTTCGGTCGCCGTCGGATACTCCTCTTTGTCCTGGAACCGTGTGACTGACATTGTCCACTGGTAGCGCGGCAAAGCCTGCATGAGTGGCGGCGTGAGCGAGAATGAAGCAATTGACGCTCTTAACTAGGTAACTGGTTCGATCTCGCTGGACTGCGGTAACCTGGGTTCGTTCGGTATGCTTGCTATTGCAGAAGGGCAAGGTGCAGTGCACTCGAGGTGTATCCTGCACCGTACTTTGAATCGAGACAGGCTGGTAGGTGTACGTGGAATAAGGTTTTCACGATCGATGGAGCGTCCTGGCATCAAAGCCCAATCACTGTCCAAATTGGCAGAGTTTGGCTCAGCAGGCATGGCAGCCCAAGTCATCGAGCGACGGCAACGGACGAGGCTTGTTCGTATCGTGATCGCGTGGAGGGCTCATAGTGGGGTAAGTACACAGTAAATAGAGATGGACAAGAATACTCTTAGTTAACTGGTCTCCACGCTCTTGACCACCACACCAAATTAAGCTTTGGAAAGTCAATTGGGAGTGAATGGTTGGCCATCTATCCAGCCTTGTTTTCTCGGGTCAGATGTGTTACTGCATCTTGCTCATCACTCACTCAATATCCCATGCTGGATAATAGCGAAGCTTCATACTGACATACCTCGAGGCATTGCTGGGATTTACGATGGGGTTGATCATCTCCACGGACCAGGTCTCTTCCAGTATCGGAAAATCTCCAATACAGATGGTTCAAGGAGATTACTGCACTGTCGATACATAAATCTACTCTGACATGTGCATATGGCAAGTCAGATATACATTGCTCCCATATGAGTGTTAACAAGCAACTATTTACGATCTAGATGGTGAGCCCATCACCATATAGCATCGAGATGCATCCGACAAGCGCACAACCAGACAAAGCCATAGTACCGAACCTATTCGAGTAGACACCATCAACGTACTATGAATAGTATCCCACTAGTAATGCGCACCACATCACATCAATAACACCTGACACATCGAAATATCAAATTATCTATCGAACCAATTTATTTCCATCTTTCAATCCACTAGTCCTTTTGTAGTTACACAGTCACCCCCCTAGTAGTTGAAGAAAAAAAAGTAAAAGAGATTATTTATTGCCTCCAGCAATCCTTCCAAATCTCGTCTTCCATTCCTAATTATCACCCATCCTCACCTCTTCTACTCAACAATAGTATCAATCCAGCGAGCAAAAGACAGCAGCTGATAGATCCTAAACGTGGGGGAGCTAGCCTCGTGCCCGTGGGGCAAAAAAAAAAAATTACATATAACCTGCAGAATCGAATCTTCACACTACTCCTACCACTACTACCCCGATTAAGCACTAATCGAAATTGTACTGTGGGTGGGCGATGCACGCTCTAGCCTCCTGCACGTGAGCAAGACCAAACCTGTATGGGTGCGTGGTACATACGTACGTATGTACAGTTGTTCCTGGCTGCTGCTGCTGCTGGTCGGTTAGTAGCCAGTCAGGCGTGCTGCGGGGGGGTGGGATGAGATGTTCCGCCGGCAATCGCGCGAGATGACTAGATGTTCGATTGCTTGCTTGGTCGCGGGCTGTAGGTAGGGGTCTTGTCCCGGGATGACTTGATGGGGTGGGAAGTACATGTTATGCTCTCTAAGACTATTTTCTATAGGATGGGTAGTTTGTTGTGTTCGTACTGCACTAGTGGAAATTTTTACAATTAAGGAGATGGGAATCCCCCCCATACATTGGGACTGTGCAGTCGGGGGCGATAGTGCAGCGATTGGTACGACTCTGGGGGAGGCAGGGACCCAGGATGAATGCCTGATTTGGCTTTGTTCCTCATGCACGTTCTCCTGCAGGTCAGTCCCAAAAAGCAACCCAACCATGTGTCAAAAGATCATCCCTGCAATCTGCAGCCGAGCACGGAGAGAACAGGAATCACTCGAGCAAACAAGCATGTCGCGGACAAAGGATACAGCAGACAGACAGACAGACAGCGGATTCCAGGCTAAGAAAACAACACAGCAGCATATATAGATGGACAGCGTCGCGGCAAACAAGGCGGACAGGGGAAACAGCGTGACATGATTCGAGGAAAAGCAAAAAAAAAAAAAAAAAAGAAAAAGAAAAAGAAAAAGAAAAAGAAAAAGAAAAGGGGACATAATGACAAGGACCTAGAAAACCACCGATATATATAAATAAGTCACACTGAAGGAGACATACGCGCGCAGAGCGACGGAACTGAAAGCCAGCCTTTAATCGCCCAGCGGCATTCCCTCCACTTGGTCGCTTAGTGACCGCCAATTGTCAGCCTGCAGCTCCGAATACTTCACCCGCTCCTGGCTCCAGTCCTGGTGAAGCCGGCTGATGTGATACTGGCTCTGTTGGAAATACATGAGCTCGTCACGAATGCACTCCTTGATAAACACCCCACGTGCATGCTGTTGCACAATCGATTCCTTGTCCTACAGCGAGCAGCAACATGCAAGGTCAGCCGTTTTCTTTCCCTGACCATCTTCGCGACCTTGACTCCACCGAGGGTGACCATGACCATACCTTGAAAATCGATTCCTCCACTTTCTCAATTTCCCCTGGCTTGCCGCCCCCCTGAGGGCGGGCCCGAAGTTCCTGTAACTTCCTCTCGTTGGTCTCAATCCGACGTTCTAACTGGGGGATGTTATTGCGTGCATAACGGTCTCGCCGGTCAAACATCTCCCGGACGCCGACCAGGCAATCTCTCTGCCGTTTGAGGTCCTCCAGCATCCCTTCCTCCCAGGCCCGCGCTTCATCCTCCAGCAAGCTCTGACTGGCGGAAAGATGCCGCGCGGTGGCCTTGATACCTTCGTTGAGCAACGGCACGTCGTTAGTGTCGAAAGCATAGGTATCCCGGGTCATTTCGGTAAGAGACTGGAGCGCGAGGGAGAAGCGCAAATGATCCGCGGCAAGCCCCTCATTGCGCTTGGCCAATCGCTCCAGCAATGTGCATAAATTGATATACACCTCGGCAGACCTCTTGACCCCACTACGGACAGTGTCGAACATGTCCGTCAGGTCCGATGGCAAGGAGTCCTCCAGATCGGGTGGCAACGCTCGGCCTGTGAATTCGTCCTGGACCGATATCGTGGCTTGCTTGCGCCATACCGAAAGTTCCTACCCAATGTTAGCCACCCGCGACACCCAAGCGAGATCGAAAATGTGACATACCGTGGGAACAGTCAGAAACATTATTACCAGCTGTTCCTGGCTCAGGACCGGATGACGAACGAGGGCATTAGTGAATCGGACGAGTCCTCTGCGACGCTTCTCAAGGAAGGAATTGGAATCCGCTGCAAGGTGAGTGCCATTGACTTTTACCAAGTAAGTAATCTCGGAGGAGAGCTTGTAACAAGCCTTTGTTAGACGTACCTGCTAGTCTTTTCGGTGGAAGTAAAGGCAACTGCCGGAATGGGTATCGTTTATGGAGGCAGTCCAGTAGCCAGACAAAATCGCTATATCGCCGCACCACGGTGCTTTGCCTACGAGCCGATTTTACCTCGTAATTGCGATGTTGGAACATGAACACGCCCTCCTTCTCCGGGAGCAGCGTTATCGTTATCACTTCCTCTAGACGGGGGCTGCTGACCCGGCCTATTCCCAACGAGCGCCGGCGGGGATTGGGCTCGCCCTGTTCACTCCCGGAGGAGCCGAAGCCTCCAAGTCCAGCTCGGACAGGCCCTCCCAGACCACCAGTACCAGCTCCGTCGGATGTATTTCCCAGACTCTCGCCCCATCCAAATCCCGAGGTTGTAGGGGCTGCGCCTGCCCGGCCATTGGCACGGTTGCCATTTGACGCTTCGTGTGGATCGTTTCCTTCACTGACTCTACTAGACCAGGCATTCGTCCCCGATCGCACGCTTCCAAACCCGTTCAGCACGGCGTGTTCGGATTCAGTCTGTGTATGAGCATGGCCGCGATGTAGCTGCGGGCTACCCCACGGATCGGCATCTAAGCTACCCATCGACCCTCGGGCAGATCGTCGCGACTGTGTCGAGCTCGGTTCTCGTAAGACGGTAGAGGAAGGAGGGGGTGTGGCGGGACGTTCTTGCGACTGGACAGGTGTAGCCGATTCTTGTTTAGCGCGCAAAGCGTCGAAGTAAGAGCTTTTCGGCACTGGGAGCTCTGCACGCCGCGCCCGTTAGTGGGTTCATTAGAGTAGCATGTATCAGCGACAACTCACTCTTGCGTCGATCGTCCACCGCATCAAACGTAAGGTCCTCGCCTTCCTGCGCAAGACCCACGAGCGCTAGCAGAACACTGAACTCTCCACGGCCAAGACCATTAGAGCTGTCACTGTCACCTGAGATAACGAGATTGAGTATCTTCGCCTGATCGGTAGCGCTCAGGCCACTGCCCGACAGTATTTCCCGAACGGACGTCAAGCCGACACCGGTCCCAACGCGATCCCCCGCACTAAGAACTAGATCGTATGCATCTATGTAGCTCTCAGGGACATCCGAATCTGGAAGCAGGGTCTTCACAATTTCGCTTTTCGATGTCCTCTTGTTGGTATTACTCATCCAGGGCGAGCTGGAGCTGTCGTCGTCCGCGAAAAGGGAGGAGCTGGCATTGCCAGGATTACCGCCATAGGACGGCTCGTCTGCGAACAGGGAGGACTTAGACCGCTGGACCGAGTTGGCCAGTGGAGAGTCCTCCGGCGAGTTGCCGAACAGCGACATGGAGACCACGGTGGCTGGGGACGATGGGGCGACTGTTGATAGGCAATGACGAAGCGGAGCTCGGTCGGCGAGGAGCAGGGAAGTGATAAGTGAACCACCACGACACCGTAGGATTCAGCAATCGCAAGCCAGGAGGGATGCGCTCGCAGCAGGCAGTCGATTGAAACAGAAAGGGTCCACAATTCGGTACCGACGAGGGAAAAGTGCCTGCTCTTCCTCGGGGTGATGATAAGAGAGCGACAGCACCACGCGTGAGAGGAAGGGAAGTCTTGGGGGGGATGGCGGCGCTCCACCGACGGGAGGCGCTAGTGCGCAGCAACTCTGAAACCATGGTTCCCATTCCAACTTTCTACTCACTACAGTCAACCACAAGCTCATGCGATTGATTCTATTCTACCTCTATACGCCCGCTATGTCAGTGCAAGCAGTACTGGACTCTCCCTTCAGTCGAAGTCTCCGACGCCTGATAAATAGTCTCCCCACCTCATGGCACCGAAAATTGCCTCTACTGCACCAGGATCCCCTGCCATTCTGGCTTGTTAGTAGCCAGAACCAGCAATAGTTCGCGTCCATCGAACCAGATTTCTTTCCACATCTGGGTTTTGCTATTCCCTTTCCGTGCTGCTTGACTCATTCGGGCCTGCCATCATTCGTACCACACTACGTAGTACTCGGAGACTACTCCGCTCAGCAAATAATGTCGATATCGTGATGGACAGACATGGTAGGCCATGATGTCTCCGATATAAAGACCCATAGGCCCATTCATAGGCCCTAGACCGTCCTCGAATGAGGAATTCAAGCATACAATTAATGCACAGAACACATTATCCGTCTGCATAATAGGCGCGAAAGCCGAGAGAAGATCTGCTTCGGCTGTATCCTCAACTTCAAAGTTGGCAGCACTCTCCAGCGCTTGTGCAGCTCGCGTAGTCTCATTGTCTCATCCACCGCCATGTCAAAAGATCCATAGACCTGGAGGTAATGCTAACAGTACCAGTAGACGAATTCCCAACTGGAGTTGTCTCTTGACTTGGAATCGCATATTTTAGAGACCGTGGAGTCGACTACTGATCTCTCTGGCTAGGTACCGCACCATGAGACGTATGCCTGTCTGACTCCCAATTTTTTGCGGTTGGAGTTCAAATTATGATCTAGCGTTGCAACAGACGGGGCGGATGAATCGGGACAGGAGGATAAACCAGAGACATGGCTGGTAAGTGGTAATCTGTGGAGGAGATCCGGGGTTTGGTCAAAGTGATTGGTTACGGTAATTAGCCAATTGGACCTATATATACCGTGAGTTCTGTAGAAAGTAAGCACTCATGGACAACGAAGACAAAGGAGACAATGGCCTCACCGAAAGAAGGATGGAGGGCTTGCTGCTATCCCTGTCTCATTACCATATTAGATCTAGATCACAACGATGCGTCCGGGGGATGAGGACGAGAGAAATTGGATGAAGCCACAAATCTGACAGAGATCTGAATTGGGGGTAAGGCCGGAGAGCGAGAGGATGCCGCCTGGCTATAGGTAGGCTCCCAGCTGCAGCGGCAATAAGCAATTAAGAACGAGAAGCAGCGCGTGGTCCCGCGCTGCGAGAGATGGAGCCGAGGTCGAGCCAATGATGCCCGCCTTTGGGGCCTCCGCTGGCGGACGTCATTTTGACCATCCCGATTACCGCGGGCCTTCGGGCCTAGCCCTCTTGGGAATAGCAGCGGAAGACGGCGCAACGTAAGCCCGGAAATTTTTCGGGAAGCCATACAGAACGATTTTCATCATGAAACAGCAGGTTCCTCAGCTTTTCGGCGGCAACGGTCGCGCAACGATAGCATTCTTTAATTTCGGGCCCTTCTATCATGGATCTGCAACCGCCGTCGGTGCTGGCTCATTTGCCTCGCCCGTTGCATGCCTCTACCGGCAAAACCCACCTCGGCGAAGTCCATAGCTTGGCCGACTCGAAAAAGCGCAAGAGACATGAAGTGGTCGTGGCAGTGGATGGCGAGGCCGTGAACATCTACAACGTATGCGTGAAGAATTGAGACGAAAACGCCCGGACACGCGGCTGACTGCTTGTTTCTAGATCCAAACACCGAAGTTGGTGACCTCCTACGCCGTTCCACCGCAATCCTCGTTCTCTTGCCAGCCATGCTCGGTCCGCAGAAAGATCCCGAATAAGTCTGTCGTCAGAAGACAGACTTACGTCGCCGTGAAGCAGCAGATCAAATCTTTCGTGGAGGAAAATGGTGGGAATGTGGCCAGCGCCCCCTCTATCGCTTCGTCTTCTTACTCCGTGAAGGATTCGGAAAGCCCTGCGGTTTTCGTTGGCATTGTTCCAACCGAATCCCAGGGAGATGAAGAGGAAGAATCGTTCGATGTTCTGGCTGTTCATCAGGACGGTCGTGTGCGCAGACTGTCTTCGGACCTCAAGACCCAACATTGGAGTTTGCGCCACAGCGAGGTCGCAAAAACCAACGCAACCCATGAGATCCGCTCATGTTTCCTCGTCGAATTCGAAGATGCGAAGAAGTCTCTGTTCAAACGCAGACAAGACCTGGCGGCTCTGGCCTTCAGCAACCTCACCGAGTCTGGTGTCGATGAGCCTTCTGTGCTGCTGCTTGTTTCGCACCCCACCGGTTCAGAGCAGACCAAGCTAAGCGACGTGAAGGTCCAGATGTTTTCCGTTCCAGCCAACGCATCCCAGGGTCATGACGAAAGTCAAAAGATGCGCCACCTTCTCACCGTCAACATGCCTGATGTAGAGGGACAGGAGGCAATCGAGAGCCGGGGCTCGCAGTGGTATTTCCACGCTGGATCGGCCGGGTTGAACCTGTCGTTTGGACGGGGTTACATCAACTTCGATCTCTCTCAGTACACTCCCACCGTGACTTCGAAGTTCATCCTCGAGAACGAAGAATTCTCGTCCGTTATGCGCATTTCGCCCCAGTCGGTAATTGGCGCCGGCAAGTCCATGATCGCAGTCTACGACACACAATACAAGTCAGTGCAGCGGAGCATTGCCGTCGGTGACGTCCCAGCCAGTGCCTCCTCAGGCGTGAAGGCGCGCACCACATTCGTCAGTTACTACGCCAAATTGGGAGTCGCCATCGCCACCAAGGACAACACTCTGTTGGCATTCGATCTGAGCCCGTCGCATAATGCTGCGGGAACATCCCTCAAGCGCTCGAGAGATGGCCTGTTGATTGACGCTATCGGCCGTGGTATCGGATCCTCTGCCACTCAATGGGACCCTGCCACGAAGAAGCATCGGACCGAACACACAGCAGCTTTGGGTCTCACATCACCAGAACAAGTCGAACGCTGGAACCAGCTGACTGCTGAGCTGCGCCAGTGTGCCGCGTCCAAGAACACCGATGGTTTTGACCGTGCAGTGCAGGCTTACTTCGGCTCCAAGGGCCTTCCTTCACCCGATACATATGTCAACCCAGAGACGACGGTCTTCTTGTTGTCCCTGATATTCTCACTGAAAGATGATGCCGAAAGCCATGACCAGTTGTCCGCCTCGTCTGCCTTCCGCGTGTCCGTCGACCTGTGGCCTCAGCAAACCTGCCAATGGCTCATCCAAATCGGCCATATGTCCGTGAACAACGTCGAGATTGCGCTGCGCCGATCCTTCAAACCCCGTATCCTCCCATCTCTCCCCACCGGATCGTTCGTCCAAGGCCTGACCGACTCGGATCCGTCTCTGCAACGCCTCATCGACGTCCTCCAGGGCCGCGTCCTCTTTTCCACCGACGAGCTCGCCTACATCCTCAAGTTCCTCATCAACACAGCTCGCGCCCGCTCCATCTCACTAGACGAGGAAGTCCCGAAGGCTCTCACCAACGGCGAAGACCAAGACACCAACACCACCCAGGCCCTCACCATCTCCACCCCCGCCGAAGCCAGCCTCGCAAACATCTTCCTCGCCCTCAACACCACCCTCCAGAAGATTCACCTCCACCCCCTCCCCGCCATCACCTCGTCTATCCGCTCCGCCCTGTCCCGCACCGAAATCATCTCCATGGTCCACCATCTCCGCCTCTCCCTCGCAACAGGCGGCTACACCTCCCGATTCACCGAATCGCCCCCGATCCCCGTCCCCGCCGAGCAAACCAACCCACCCCTCTCCCTCTCCACCATCATCGACCTCCTCAACGCCTCCGTCGACGCTATCGGCCCCTCGGGCTGGATCTCCGCCACCGCCGGCCTCGACGACTCCCCCGCCCGCGACCAGGAACTGATCGCCGACATGAAATCAGAGATCTCCGCCGCCCTCGCCGGCGTCGAAGAGGCCACCTACCTGAAGGGAATCCTCAACGAATACCTCCGCTACGCCACCAGCGCCAGCCGCTCCGCACCCACAGCCGTGACCATCGACTCCGGCAGCGACACTCCCGCGTCCGCAATGGTGCGTTGCGAGAAGTTGAACGGCGCCGACCTGATGGTCTTCGGTGCCACGGAAAACGATGAAGGATTCGAGGGAGATGCCAGCGGCAAGTTGCTTCCGTTGTCGTTGAAGGCGGATTCGAATGATGTTAGCAAGACGAAGGTTAAGTTGTCGACGGGTGAGGTCAAGACGAGGAGTAGTAGAGAGATTGGATACCTGCGTCGGAAAGCTGCGGGCAAGTACTCCTTTGAGAGACTTATTGTATAGTTTACATACGTATGTGTATGGGGTATATGGTATAAAAGTAGAACGATCACTTTTTATTATTTATTCTTCTTTGTCATGGGGTCCGTCTTGGTTCTGCGTTGTTGTAATAGTACATGTAGTTTTCTGGGTTGTTTTTGGAATTTGCTTTTGTGGTACTAGGCAGATAGTATTTTGTTGGTTGGTCCAGCGGGAGGCGTTGGAATTGAATGTTGGATCAGGACAGGGTAAATTGTAATGCCAGTCTCGATTTCAATTTCACATGGTCTTGATAAGTATGTACACAATTTATATATAGTCATATATGCACAATGATATAACAAAGGCTCCAGCATATGGCACCCACATCTCAGGGTCAAAGAAAGTGTCATGATGTTAAAATCATCAGAATGTTTTCGCGTATCGTGAGGATCCATGCATGTCTCACAGTCGTTAGGTTCACTAGTCCCCCCAGTTGTTGTCAAGGTTCCGCCCGTTTCGAATTACAACAGAAACACAAAATACATAGAACATCTCTTGATAATGGCACAGAAATCAGCATAAGGAACGCACAATAATCAAACATAAATGGCAAATGGCACTTGCGTGACGGCGTCAAAGTGGCAATGGCAGGAGGGAAACGCCACCGAGGGGCATAATGACCATATCTCAGGCACTTAGTTGTCGGGCCCTGGACCATCAAGATATTCAAAGGATCGGTTTGCAATGTTGTCATGAGACCACCAAGGCTGCCTTTTGGCTTAGCCAACAGAGGATAGTTTACGTCTGTGCGAATCAAGAGCACTTGAGCCGAGCGGGTATGACGGGATTTACCCTGTCACGGCACCCCAGTCCCATCTTCCTGCTGCACCTGACAGTGAGCAGTCCAGAACTTGAAGGGCAGAACAGAAAGCTCCATCAAGCGATGTATGCAAAGCAGACTGACATCCTTAGCTTTGCTGATGGTCGGTTGTACCACAGGACTGGCAGAAAAATCGAAGCCGAATTCGTTTCGGAAACCGCAATATAGAGGGAGCTAGCTCCTTCCCACAGTGGAGCTTTCAGCACGCTCCTTCAACCGCATAGCTTGTGCTTCAAGAGATCGAGCCATGAGCTTTGTCACCGGCCAAACAGCAGCCCGGTCGAGTAGACTTGCCGTGGCAAGCAGGATTTTGCAGCCATAACCCCCTTCGACCACACTAGGCAGACGTTGTAGGACGCTCAGGGCTGACCTGGTTGCGCCATTTTGGACCTCCCTCTGCATTTTGCCTTCCACACTAGCAAGGATCTCTGTGATTTTATTCAACAGTTTGCAGTCCTCCTCTTCGAGCAGCAGAAGGCTGGTAGCTTGCGTGAGATCAACATTGTCTTGACCTAGAACGCCCAGGCAGGGGCCCACGCGTTCTTGAACAGTGGTGATCCATTCTGCAAGAACTTGAGCGCAATCGAAAGAACACATGGCGCATTGAATGGGTAGTTCTCTGCAAGTGAATTCGGCAAAAGTGTTTCCAAGTTGATCGGACATCGATATTGAATCTGCCGCATAGAACGCCGCCTTGCGAAGATGTCTTTCACGTTTGGTCTGACCAGGCCGATACACCCCCATCAGAGTCTGCAGGGGATGATCCTGGGTGGGAGTGGTGGATATGGCAAGATCTCCCACTCCCAGATCAGCCACTGAATCGCGACGATTGTCGGTCTGGTTTGAGCCTTCGGTGATTGACGGGTCCAGAACATCAGACGTAATGTCATCCATGGGGTGAACAGGCTCGATTCCACGCGCAAGCTCGTCTGACATAGCATTCCAGTCACGCTGCCAGAATGCCTCCTTGCAGCGCCCAAGGTTCACGAATAATCTTACATAGGCGAGATCTAATAATGGGATGCTATCAGCAGACAGAGGTCCGGCACCGAATGGATTGGGACGCTCCAAGCTGTGCACGGGATTGCCAGCCCAAGCAGATTGCCAGGCCCGCAATGCGGGTTCGATGTGAGCTTGCATGGCCTCTGTTTCTCGAGACGTCCACTGTCGGCCCATGTGTCGCTGGCGAGTTTCCCAGATGTAATTGTGCAGCGCATATATCAAAACCAAGCAACCAAAAGTACTAAGCTTTAACTCGCCAATGGGTGGATCATCATCATTTCCAGATACCTGGGATGGCATCGACGGAGACGACTGCTGTTCTCGTTGACTGGCGGTCAAAAGTGTGGTCAAGGCTGCGGAAAATGATAGTCCTTTCTTGTGGGATGACTGTCCACCGAGCCTCTTCCAAGCTTGCGGGGACTCCGCAGCCCAAAGATCCTCTTCACAGGGAAGATCGAGGCGAATCTCAGAATTAGTCAGGGCCGGTGCGTGATTGTAGGCTGACACAAGGAAGCACGACAGAGCAAAGATGGCGTAGAGTGTGCGCTTCCGCTCCTCGACAATCTTCCAATCAAGCCATTCTTTCCTTTCTTTTGGCTGTCCGGGGGCTGACTGGCTTGAACCGTCAGAATCAGCACCGATGCGGTTACTGAGCCCGGTGGCAAGATAATCCTGAGAGAGATCCTTCGCATCGAGATGACGGTTCAATTCAGCCGCTCGGGCAAGGCTGACCAACGCCGCACAGTGGGTACTCGCAATATCAGCCGATGTCTTGTCACCGCAGGTATGTCCATAGATGACGTTGAGGAGCATCGCCTGAACCAACCACAGTGGGGTGTTTTGCACCGAACTGTCATGCGCGTGGCTTTGGCGCCCAATCGCAGTTGACATGTCGGCTTTACGTCGTTCCTCTAGATAGAGTTGAATCATTTTCTTGGCAGCTTCGAAGAGGTCCTTGGAGGCTGCAGTATCGAATTCGTAGAGCGCTCCGATTGCCGCCATGGAGAGGATCAGCGAGCCACCACCTCCAGCAACTCCGGGTGAACTTAAGTTGAGATGACCGCTAGGAGTCCGTAATTTGCTGGTGTATTCGGGTGCTTGGAAATCAAGGGTCGGAATATGAAGGAAGGGCATGTGTGGGTGAAAGTAGGTGATGTAGGCGGAGATAAAACGCTGCATGTCCGAGGTGCTAGGCAATTGACCGGGGCCGGTGAAAGTGGAGGAACGAGAGAAGAGATCGCGGCAGGGAATCATGCCGCTAGCGGGCTGGGAATACTTGCGGTGATTGAGACTGGTCGGGTGCGCCATGCTGGCTAATAAAGCCTGTCGGGTGGAGTCTGTAAAGGTATCCGTGGAGCTTGGGGAATGGTGAGTTCGTAGGGCACTATTCGCGAAAGGCAGGTTGAGAGGATTAGGAGATTCTCCGTTTGTTGCCATAGAGGATGAAAACATACTCTGCGAATGTCCACCCATCATGGGCTGGCCAACGGAAGTCATGGATGGGGGCGTGGCATATGTTTCCACGAACGGATTCTGAGCCATCAATGACTTGGGAGAAACAGTTTCTGGCGGGATTCCTATATCGTTAAAGCTGGAGGAGGAGTACTCGAAGGGAAACTGGCTTGGGGGCGCCGCCGAATGTGGAGGGAACGGGTTGTGCCAGCCAGCTGAAGAGACAGAATAACGATGTGACCCATCCATCATGGCCTCGCTGATCCCGCTCTGACTGCCCGTACTCATCGCGGAAGGGGACGACTCGTCGATCGCTGAATCGTTGCTTTTACCCATTGGCATGGCCGGGTCAAAGGTGTTCATCCAATCAAAGCTGAAGTCATCTTCCATCATCGCATCTGCAGGAGGCATATGATGGGCGCCATGAGTAAATGGTGATGAGGGCGAGTCATTACCATAGGCCTGCGGGGAGCCTCCGAAGTGAAGCTGAGCTGGATTGATGGTACTACCATGACCCATAATCATATCTGAGACGTTGAGATCGAAGCTACCGTAGACGGGGGCAGTCCGAAGGCCACCGGAAAAGTCCATAGACAACCCATGCGTTTCCAACTTCGGCAGGCCAGTCACGGGAGGATGATGGCTCGAGGAAAAGCCACGAAAGTCAAGGTTTGAGCCCACAGATCCGGAACCGATGCTTTGGTGGTAAGTATGTCCAGAGTGGCCACCTGGCGCTGATGGAGGGTTAGAGGGATTTACAAGTCCCAGGGAAGCCCCATCAATATGACTAATGGTATTTGCGCGAGGACGCATGGCACTGGAGTTACTGGCGATCGAATTCTTGCGAACGCGATTCGTTCCAGTAGCAGCGCCCCCCGTGCTCTCGCGCCGGCCATTTCTGGGGCGGGATGACGGGGTTGTCGTCATGTGTAATTTCTGCTGGTGCCTGAGAAGAAGGTCTCGACGAGCGAAACAGCGCGCACACTCGGGGCACTCAAAGGGCTTTTCTTTGGTATGTGAGCGCTCATGGCGCTTGAGGTGTTCCAATCGAGCGAAGGACCGACCGCATGTCGTACAGCCATGAGGGCGGGGCTTGTCGGTCTTCGGGGGAGGTATGGTGGCACTCTGATTAGACAGGCCATTGGCCTCCTTCAAGTCCTCCTTGGGCTTGGGAGCGGCTGGTTCTGTTAGACACCAATGCAGCAAAATGAGGTCCTCAACAACACGGCGGACTCACCAGGCACATCGACGGGCACCTCGCTGATGCTAGCGAGATCCTCCATTTTGGGGCTGGTGGCCGGGTCTTGACCGACGATTGTATCTAATAACATCCTAGGGACAATGTGTCTTGTGGAAACCAGTGCAGGTACTGGTTGCGGGGGCGGGGTCTTGTGCAGCACGAGGCCGGGGTTATAAGAGAGGAGGGGCGGCCAGAGTACTGCCGATATAGGCAGCTGGATACGTGAGGAAGTGAAGCTACTGGCGAAGGTTGAGAAGTAGACGCGACATTGACAGCATTCTGATTCAATGAGATAGAGTTAGCCCGGTCCGGTGTCCGGAGAGAAGATGCGGCGAATAGGGTGCAGCAATTCCACGGAACACTCACCAGATGGTAACAGGTGCCGGGGAGAAAACAAGGAGACGGCCGTTATTCGGGGGAAATCCAACTTCTGGGAGAGGAGGGAATTGAAGACAATAATAACTTGACGCTGTCCAAGTGGATTACCCGGATCACCGTTACAAAGAAATTAGGCAGAGTGGGTTTGGTGGCGAAGTGGTCCCGTTCCTGGGGGGGGAAGAGAAACGATCTCGGGGTTAGCAACTGTAATCAGCAGGGGTTGAGTTCCAAGCTCCAGGGGAAACCCACGGGTGGGCTACTACTACTCACCAATTTGAGTGCAAGGCAAGCCCTCTCAAGATGGACTGAATCACTCACGACTGTTGCCAATCATTGGCTCCAACGGCTGCAGCTCTCAGAGCGAAGTCAGTGTTGCGGGCATGCGCCGCGATGGTGGTGTGAGTCGGTGGATAAGCCGGAGATAGCCGACTGGGGGGGGAATTGATGGGCGCTGAGCTGCTCAATTGCTGATAAGCACCATGAGTCGGCACGTTGCCCGAGGAATGCGAGACGAGGGACCAAAGATGGTAATGTTGGAGAAGAAGGGGAGGGAGGTGGAAAAGAATATGAGCAAATAGAGAGAGCAAAGTTGTAGTAGTTAAGAAGAGGGATGTAGGTGAGAGAGGTTGAATGACGGATGGGATGGATGGAGGAGTAAGGCTGTACGCTCCGAGGTGTGTCCGTACGAGCAGGAACCGCAGCCGTTTAGTGGCTCTTCGTCGCAGCAAGGAAACGACCTAGTCCGCCGTTGCACTGGGAGCACCAACATTTCCTCCAGCAGAAGAATAATATTAGGAAAAATAATAAACAGAACAATAACAAAACCAGAATTCTTTACCAGATCCATACCCAGTGAGCATACGGTACGGAGTAGTGGCAGATAGATACTACCTACTACTAGTTACTAGTTAGAGGTATGGGGTATGTCGTAACTCGTAAGCAAGCGCGGTCATCTCAGACTGTTGCCAGATATGTCACTTTCACTTGTCTCTCAGTTACGAGAGACCAGCCTAGCCTTCCAAACTAGGGGCCGCCGGACTCCCACCAAGCAGTGACTTGACTTTCTGCTACGACGAGAAAGGCCATCTCCCAGTACCCCGGCGAAAGTCGCGGGACAAACCCACGAAACAGCATCCGGCCTTAGTCAGGGTGCCCACCCAATCACGGCCCGTGACGGTAGCCGGAGTGGGCCGGGTGGCTCTCGTCCGGCGTGCTTTGTAGGGGAGCATGGGCCATGACAGGGCCAGAGCCAAGGGCTCGCCCCACACCCTAGTCACGGGGAGGATGCAGTACACAATACCGTCACAGCCCGCCGGCGGGTATGGTACGTCCGCCGTATTCGCCCGTCTCCAACGACTCCGATCGATGTACTCCCTGGGTAGCTAGCGACGGAGGCCGCCAGACACTGGCCATCGTAACTCGCCCAACATCCGGTGGAATGATTGCTACTACTACCATAATAGGATCAAATGTTAACGCGGGCGCGTGGCTGGGAGAGATACGGCCGACATGACGCGGTAGGAAGAGTACTAGTTGCGTCTGGGCGGTGGCCTGAAGACGATTAATTTCTCTCAACTACGTTGGGGGACCGACCCCATATGAGACATGAGATACGAAGTAGCGACAATAGTCGGGGAGTTATTTTTAACCTTGCTAAAATTTTGACAGGAACTCGATAGGTGCTGGCTTCCGACCTTCGCTTACTTCGTTTCCTAACTCGGAGGCTTTGGTAGGTGTTAGATTGCTTGTTTGATGCAGTGTCCATCGAGATCACGTACTCCCAGCTATTCCGTCCACCCTTGCAATAATTCCTGCGGTGCGAGTTCGGATGTATCCTGCCGTTTGCTGGGATGGTTTAAAACGTTGTTCAAGCAGGCCTCTTCACTCTGAGGAGTGGTCTAGTAGTTCAGAAAGACTAGACTTACCTAGTTGATCACCGTGACCGAGGTTACCGCATTGCTAGAGGGTGATGCCTGCCGGAGTATCGAAACCCCCTGGCTACAATCTCCATTATGAAGTCCAAACCCGACAGCCAGGCGTAGTGTTCAAGGAATCATAGTTGCCAGACCTTGCGACTATCCCGACAGACACTGGCGAACCATGAGTATCAGCTTGACCTTGTGCTGGGAACGGACTGAGGCAGGTCATCTTACACTCATTTACTCCGTACTATCATCGGCAATTGTATTGCAGATTAGATTACCGGTGAGTGGTCGGTCGCTGGAGGCGCCCCAGGCTACCAGGCTCCAGGCTAACAGGCGACCTAACCGAATGAGGCAGGCAGGCAGCAGGTTGCAGGTTGATTGTCCCCCGGCCTTGCTGATACTGATACTGATACTGATACTGATAGATACCGCCGGAGGTATCGATGGATACGGCAGGCACGTACGGTGTAATATTGGGGAGTACGACGGGGTAAGATATCGTCACCGGGCCATACCAGGCTCAGGCTGGCTTGTGGCCGCGTCCTGGGCTCGGCAGGAGCCAGAGTTTAGATGTGGAATCCAACCCCAGACCTCGTGACTATCCGGATCGGCGACTAGATACTATTGCACCTGGCTTCAGCAGGAGCTCGATGGGAGTGAGATCCTTAGGTTACCCAGGTAGGGCTTGGTATGGGGTAAGGACAAAGAAACCACGCAGATGGGTCGGCGTTTGCAGAGAAACCTTGGACGATTTTCGCCCGAGTCGATGGGCTGCCTAGGCTGCTGGTGCTTACATCTGTGGTGGCGGTTGGCGCCGCTTCAGATTCCCCCCAATCAGGATAAGGGAGGGAAACAATGGAACTGGTCGTAAATTAATCGCGACTGTCGCAATTAGGAGAGAGACAGAAGAAGGTGGTGCTAGTACTGCTCGATAGCACTAGTTGGACAGTTAGACAGTTAGAGGCCGGCCGGACCGCAGTATGGAAACCGAGCTTGCGCCATTTTGTGGGGAGGGCAAATGAGACCTAATCAGCTAAGGTTCAAGGTTCGTGTGGGGGATTTCCCTGGATCCAGCGGGTATTTTGCCAATCGCATCCATTCGATCTGTTGCGGCGGGTGGACCCCTGAGGTCATTCCACCTAAGAGACTGTCTGTCGCTCTGTCCTCAGCTCTCCCGACTCTCAGTCCAATAGACTAACTAACACTGTACTAGAGAGTAAAGGGATGCGCCCGGTCGCTCCAACTGAGACTGCCTCCGTCCTTCACCCGAACTGGATCGTGGACGCGCCTAGGCACCTAGTTCCCTTGGTGCCGTTGGCCTCGCGTCCATCGGGCGGTATCCAATTTTGGTCCCGTCTGCTAAGATTAGGATGATCGATTTTTGATGTTCGGTTTCATCTGGAAGTTGATCGATGCCGGGTGGAGTGCACTTCCCTGTCAGAGGCGACTACACTGAAGACTTGGCAAAGGCCATGAGCGAAAAAATCCGGAGCCAAAGGTCGCACTACTACTACTATCCACCCCCCGACATTTCTCCCTGGGTTTGATTGGATCTTGTGGCCGGTGCTGGGGGATCATCTTGGTTGGCCTCCCCAAAACTTCCGTCCCCTGAGCACTGGGGCCCGGTTCCTTAGGAACAGAGCCTGCGCTCGATTTCCTGGAAGGGACAACCAACCAACACGAGCGATCCCCCAAAGTATCGTGCCCACGTTGGTCGCATTGGTCAATCCGTCCTCAACGCCTCCCCATTGGCAAGAGCTTGCTGGTGCACGCGGGTTTGACTTTCATGCTAAATTGTCTGAGCATGGGTGCTGTCGCTCCTCCGAGGTAGGCCAGGCCACAACTGTAATTAGAGTGGCCACGCATCATGCACCGGTGACTGCGCGATCTTATTCAGGAGGTGCATGGATGAGAACGGAATGTTGCGGACTTGCTGACTCAAAGTTTAACGGGTGGGCTCAGGTTGTTGCACGGCCGCAGTACCATCTCAACGAGGTGGGTTTAGAACATGACTCGAAGCATCGAGGTCGGTACCTTAAGCGGAACCAGTACTATGTATTCAGATTTCTGCCTACTTACATTGGATGATTAGACTGCAATAATCGTTTATCTCTGTAAATGGCCCGTGCTGACACGATGATCTGCCCAGTGAGGATTGTCCAAGACTGTCCTATATACAGTGCCGCCAACCATTTCCCAAACACAACAGCATTGGCGGAAGGGAAAGGTGATCTATTGTTTTCTCACGGCGTGACTGGCCTACTTGGAAGCCGGGATGGGGCCCAGCACCCTCTATTGGGAAGTGGTGTTGCATGGTAAGCTGCACGAGGACCCCCATTTTACCCAGGATTAGCCGCCGTCTTTTGCTGCCGACGTTAGCGTTGAGAGGACCGATTGGCTGAATGGGAGTCGCAACATCCCACGTTATGACGTTGGAGGATTGCAGACACGATATGGGGAGGTGTTTGCTGAGGATCGCTTCTATGCATTGACCTAGCACGGGGTATCAAGCTCTCTAAAACCGAAAATAGCAACAAAGCCATGGCGCAGCGGATGACCACGACACTCAACAGAGGCAAACTGAAGCGCGCGATGGAGAGTCATCAGTGGCCGGACACGTAGGGAGGGAGTAAAAACTCCCCCCAGGCAGTGTGTGGCACGGCCCCCGTGGATGCTCACAGACCCTCGACACCTCAGGCCACCTGCAGCCCAAGCGCCATTTAGCCTGGCGTCATGTGGTGCGCCGGTGGTATTATTGGTATATTGGTATATTGGTATTGACCGGGTGGGTAGACAAGACCTGGTCTCTACATCGTACATTCTACACGCAGAGCTACGATCGGGACGAGGTAGTACTGTTGAGTGTTGAACCCCAAACAAACTGCTAAGACGCTAGCATTACTTCCTCACAAGGTACCAACGGCGACAATAATACCAATGATCTGGCTGGCGTTGCCGCAGCCTTCGATCCGCCGTCCAGGCTACCGAGGGACGATGCGTTAGTACGGCTGTCAACCCGCTCTATCCGAACCTAACCAGGCTGGGGTCCCGTCGCGGAAGATCTCCTTCCAGTGGCTCCTTAGCGCCCCCAGTGAGTCCGGCTGGCCCGATGGCCCAGTGGGGATGGATTATGGATGGTCTGTCTGGTCTGGGAGCCGGAAACAAGAATCCCCTGGATATCCCCCAGAGGAGACGAATCTAGTCACATTGTGTTTGTTCCATGGACCCAGCCCACCTCTCCGGATATGGTATCCCTCGACATACTTAGTGGCTAATCGACGATCTGAGACGCGTCGATAGGACATGTTGTACAGATGGCAGACGCCTACAGCATCCACCTAGTGATCCGAACCAGCTTGGCGACCGAACCTAAGCAGGGATCCAGCAACGGGTGCCACGGACCACTATGATCCGGTATGGTGTACTGCAGTGTCATCAGCCATCCGGCGCGGACAGCCATCCATACGAAGCATGGGACAATCGCATTGTCGATCCTGCGCGACACGAGTAACGGGCAGCTTCAAAGAAAAATCTCCGAGGGCGTGTGTGCATGGCGATCGTGGAATACAGGCCTCTTCTCGCGCGGATATGCAAGATGGCATCATGGGCAAGATTCCTTCTGCACGGGCCGTCGTCCTCGTAACAAAGGTAATAAATCCTCGGATAGGGCTGTAAGCAACCCGCCGAGACATCCAGTCCGTACCCATCGGGGTTCTTTCTCATCAGCTTCCGCTCTGCGATGAGTCCCGGATGCTGCTCCGGGCCAGGGATGCAAATGATGGTGAGGGATATTCAATGCGCCCTGGTTCAATTCCGGATCCCAGTGGCCCTTCATCTCCTTAGCTAGGAGCCTAGGAGGGTGGTGCTGTTACATGGGAGCACGGGACGCCGCTAGGGCTGATTTGCTATCAGATGGCCGGATATAACTCCCTAATTACGGGCTGCGACATTGTCCTCCAAAGTAGCACGCCATTCTCCATCCAGACCGAGCCATGGAGAAGTAGGGCCCTGATAGGTCCAGTGGGACTGCAGATTGCAGATATCCTGGATATCCACTCCACCCAGAGGTGACCCACTGTGCGTCCGCTAACAAGGCGCCCGCCAGTCAGACGGAGCCGTCAATTTGAAGTGTTACACCTGTCCGCTAGGCGTTCGATCCACCCTGCAATTTGCACGGGAGGCCCCATCCTAGTCTATATCCAATGGAGTCACCCCATGGCGATAACCATCATGGGGCCTAGACTTGGGTAAGTGGGTAATTAATAATCCTTTTCGGGATTCTTTTCGAAATCTTCCTAGGGGTGACTTGAGCACTTATCTAGCCTGCGTTCTAATCACCACATACGGTCTAGTGGCCAGTGAGATAGTATGTTATGTCTCTGCAATCTGGAGATAGGTATGCACTCACCTTGTTTATTGTTGTTGCATGATATGTAACCTCAGCATCCAGGGTTCCCACTGGCGTTGTCCAGGCGGTCCAATCCTCTTCATCGCCCGACCACCACCAGCCATCTTGCAGTCGGGCCAGTGGTCATCCAACCACCCCATCGACCCGCCAGAGGATTCTGATTCAACCGTTCCTGGTGCTACGCGGCACAGAAGACATACATTAGGCCCATGCAACCATGCATCAGTAATCAAACAGCTGGCGCCATCCTCGTTTGGACTAACCCCGTCCAGGATGGTGGTGGTAACGCCAGCCGCAGTTACTCCGAGGGATAAAGTGAATTTATCTACAGACTCCAACCAGCGTGGCCGGTGCGGATGACCAAGTGGAGTGCTGCTGCGGCTGAGCCTTGACGATCCTGCACGCTAAGCACCGGACTGTCAACTCTCGATTCCGTGAGGGAAATTCAGCATAGACGGCTATCGGAACCGCGGCCATTGCTGGTGGGGAGGGGTGGGTAACTATGAATGTGACATTAATCTGGCAAAGCTATGTGTGGATGTGCAGAGGTGCATATCCTGTATGGTGTCGCACGTCCGGCGGGTAATTGTAGTGCAAAGTGGCGGGACCGTGAAATACCCCCAGGTACATAGCAGGGAAAATAGGTGGTGATACCTCCCTATCTACCTACCACCTACTAACTACTAATAACTACCCAAGGATCCATAATTTCCTCCGCCAGCTGCTGATAGGTACGCCAATGTGTACTAGGCATACTAGGCATCGCCATGGCTATCCTCCCGTGCCACGGGCCGCTGTGCAGAACGCGTTGCAGGAATATCCACGACCGCCCGTCATTTCCATGGCCGGCCACGCACACGCCTCCCGGTGGTCCCTGCATCCACACCGATCATTCTCACCGGATGTTGGGAGCATTCCACTGATGATAGGGGACCTCATCACCCAACCGTGGTAGGTTAATGCAGGATCAGTAGGAAAATGACCCCTAACACTCCAAGTGTGTATCGCCGTATGCATGGTACCGGCTGGATGCAATCAGGGTATTCCCGGAGATAGGCCGACTGTGACTGACGACCGAGGGCTATAATATGGCTGCTATTATGGGCTATTATTATCTCATGCGCTTGATAGGGAATTGCATGGGTTTCTTGCTACCTACCTACCTTTCTTGGCCCCTGGCGTCTAAGATGACCGGGGGAGTTATTTTTGTCTTAGTTTGTCGATGAATGCGTGAGTACGCAAGTGAGTTCCTTTTCCATTCCGCTTGTTTTATGAATTAATACTATGTGGCAGGTGAATGCGTCAGCATAGAAACCTGACCACACCACCTGATAGTACCTACTATGTATCCTTGCGGTAGACAGTACTTGGACCCCCCCAATCTACGGAGTAGCAAACATCCTTATCAACGCTTCTTGATGTACTCAACTCCAGCCAATATATCTTGCAGTCTGCAATAATAAGAACAAGCATTACCTACATGCATCAAATATCTACCTACCTACCTACCCCATGACTCTAGATCAGATCCGCCACGCTGTGCAAGTCATGGCAGGCAGGTCATCTGGCAGACGAAGCTTGTTTGTTTGCTTGCTGGCACAGTGGTATGATTGGATGTGATGCTGTCATGCATGTGAATGTTTCGTCTACTACTATCTATCTTTACTTATTTTGATTTGTGGGTTATATAATGTTGTCCGGTGGAGGTACGGTAAATATATGTCAATGCGCAGATCTAAGTAGTACTAATGATTTGGTTCATCCATGGATATTTTGACCGAGTATATTAGTGGATGTAGTTAGTGTATGTATCATATAATGGACTTGACAATGCTTGATTAGAGGGTGGTAGATGGGTACTTAGGTGGGTTTCTTTTAGGGGACGGGATTGAGTTGTATGGCTTTTTGTGGGTGGTGGTGGTGGGGGATTGCAGATGGGTAGAGTAGAATCTTGGGGTTGTTTAGATTGAGGATAGTGAAGAGTAATGGAGGAGGGATCGGTATCTTGAGAGGGGTTGATTGTCTTTAGATGTATGATATACGGTGGTGTTGTGATTAATTATAGCTGCATCTAGGTTGACGTGCTTGTTGATGATGCGTAGGATGTGGGTTGTGTGGTCTTTTGCAGGGAAACGTATGAAGTTGAGTTCTTGGGATTTGGATGTCGGGATTATGGGAGCTGATGATGTGGATGAGATGGTAGGTGATGGAGGGAAGAGGTAATGTCATGACTTTGCATTTGGGGTCTTTGATGGGGTGTGAAGGACAGGACTTGATAAATCGGATTTTTAGGGACCTTTGATATTGTGAATAGAAATGTGAGGGTGTATTTGCCAGTAACTTTGAAATAATTGTTCGCATTTTAGTATCAACCTGCGATGGATATATGTAGCGGACCCCCCGCAATGATGCTCAACTTCCCATTCCATCGAATAAAGTGGTACAACTATATCCTCAAGGCCAGTAGTACTTCAAGGCCAGTAGTACTTCCCCGCCGCCAACGCAGTTAGCAACGCTGGGTTGACCACGACATAGTCATCGTTCTTGAGCTCCGGGAAATCCTGATCAATCAACGACGCCACCAATCCCCCAAATACCTGACTCCCCGCCACGTTCAAGTGTGTATGATCATCCGGGGTCAAGTTATATGTATACGCATCAACAGGCCCAATGGCATTCAAGTAATCCGTACTCGCTTTGTTCAAATCAATATAAGCCGTGTCCGTATTGTTCGCTGCCGCAATCGTCGCTGCTCGCTGGTCCGCCAGATCCTGAATCACGGTAGGTGTGCCAGTGGTGTTATCGTAGTTGCGTCGAGACAGAGGTGTCACCAGAATGGGTGTGCCTCCTGCATTCTTGACATCCGTTGCGAATTGCTCCAGGTTCTTGGTATATTCCGTCAAGGAGATATTGTTCGCGGGCTTCTGGTCGTTGTGTCCGAATTGGATGGTCACATAGGCCCGGTAGTCGGTCTTGTATTCTTTGACTTTGGAGAGAACGGTAGCCCAGTCTCCTCCGGCGCGGAAGCTGACGGTTGTGGCCCCGTCGTGTCCGTAGTTGAGCCCTTTGGCACCGGAGTGCAACGTCGTGTTGATGAAGCCATCGCCCCAGCCTCCGCCGCCGCTGGATTGGGTGGCGGTGGTGCTGTCGCCGGCTAGGAGGAAGAATGGAGGGATGGTATTCTGTTGGGTATGAGGGGAGGGGAGTGCGGAGATGGAAGCAGAGAAGAGGGAAAGCAGGGAGATCTTCATGGTGATTGGGGTGATTGGAGTCTGGTTGGTGGGATTCGGCCTCAGTCCTGCTGTGCAACCACTCGCTTTATATTGTCCACTTGTTCACTGGTCCATTTCCTTGGCATGTTCGAAAGGGATATAGTGATTCCACCAACGGGAGAATTGATGGAGTCATTGTTGGAAGTGCTGTCGACAGGAGATCCCGCGGTATTGCGTTGTTCCTTTGGTAGTTTAGCCGGTGCCATTCACTTGTGCTGGTTTGACTCAGCGTGGGACATGAGAGCCAATACTTGTCTGATCACCGTGACCAAGGGTCCGCAACTAGTGATTCCAGAGACAAGTCGGTGTGTCTTTGCTCCGCTATTCCGAGATCATTGGGAAATGGGGATGAATTCAAATCCCGAAGTGAGGGGAACCGCAAAAGTGTTCCGAGAGGAGAAGGCGGGCGAGATGTTGAAGAAAGCTAAGTTTGTCTGACAATGGAGCAGCATCGGAGATGAATCTTTGCTTTTGACCGACTATGTTTAGGCATCCTGTGGCCTCTTAAACCAGATGCTAACTAGTGGTCCTCTCAATTAGCAGAACTCAAACCGATGCAACACCAAGCTCACCTCCATGCCAATAAACACCCACCCAAGCTTATGTCACGTCCGAGTTGCAGAATGCAAAACACAAGAACTGGTCCATCTTGATTACGGGAATACCCCAGGTTAAAGATCCCCCACTTGGTGCACAGACTTGAGACAACGTCAATTTGCTTCGAGATAGAATCCTTCCAGGTTCAACTCTCTGGAAATGGGAGACAGAACCTTGCGATGAAGCATCTCTGATAGGCGATGCAGACCACGGCACCTGGCTTATCCCTTGGCACGATTGGCATCGCCATCTCCTCCCTTTTTCGGCCTCCACATCGCGATAACGTCGTCGATCTGATAACCCGCCTTCTCTTATCGCAAGACTTCCACCGATAGCATCACTGGATGCTCTTGCTAGACATGGCTCACTGGCACCATCCCTACGTCCATCGGAGCAGCATCTCCACTGCTATCAATGTCTGGCAATCATTCCTCGGATGAAGTTTATATACGATGGCTTCCACCTCCACCTGTCGCATCTTGTCAACGTCAACCATGGGCAAATCACTCTCCATCGCCAGTGTCTCCAGGCTCTCGGACGACAGTTCCCCTCCCACCGAGGACGGGACGGTCCTTGAAATTCCCCAGACCAAACGTGGTCTCTCTTCACGCCATGTCCAGCTGATGGCCATCGGGGGTTCAATCGGAACCGGCTTGTTCGTGGGAATTGGCTCCTACCTGCGCGATGCAGGCCCTCTATCCCTCTTCCTGGGGTATCTCTGCTATGGCATCCTGTTCATCTGGCCCACCAACCTCTGTGTGGGAGAAATGTGCGCCTACCTACCCATCCGAGGGTCAATCTTCGAGCTCGCAGCACGCTATATCGACCCAGCTTTCGGATTCGCCATGTAATCAGCCTCCATTCCCCCACCCCCCAAATATCAAGCACTAACGCATCCAGGGGCTGGGTATACTTCTACGGCGGTCTCATGCTTCTCTGCACCGAATACGCCGCCGTGGCCACCGTCATGCAATACTGGAACACATCCATCAACCCTGCCGTCTGGGTCGCCATGGCCATGATCGTCTGCTTCCTCCTCAACATCATCGCCGTCAAATACTACGGCGAAACCGAATTCATCATGGCCTCCACCAAAATCCTTCTCCTCATCGGCCTCGTCCTCCTCACCTTCATCACCATGCTTGGAGATAATCCCCACCACGACACCTACGGCTTCCGCAACTGGACCCACGGCCTCATGTTCGAATACTACACCACCGGCACCACCGGCCGCTTCCTGGGCTGGTTCTCCGTCGTCATCTACGCCGCCTTCTCCGTCGCCGGCCCTGACCTCCCTGCCCTCGCCGCCGCCGAGATCGAAAACCCCCGCTTCACCATCCCCCGCGTCGTCAAAATGACCTTCTACCGCATCGTCGGCTTCTACGTCATCGGCGTCCTCGCCGTAAGCATCATCTGCTCCCCCACCGACCCCCGTCTTCTCGACGCCCTCGACCCCTCCGCCACCGTCGCCGGTTCCGCCGCCTCCCCATGGGTCATCGGCATCGAAAACCTCGGCATCCACGGCCTCCCAGGCTTCATCAACTTCCTGATCCTCCTCGCCGGCTGGTCCTGCGGTAACGCCTATCTCTACAGCGCCAGTCGAACCCTCTACTCCCTAGCCCGCCACAACCAAGCCCCGTCCTTCCTCCTCAAATGCACTGCCTCCGGCGTCCCCATCTCCTGCGTCATCACCGTCTCCCTCCTCTCCTGCATCACCTTCCTAGTCGCTGACACTTCCGCAATCACCGTCTTCTACTGGTTCGTCGATCTCACCACCACTGCCTTCATCCTAACCTACACCGCCATGGTCTGTGTCTTCCTAGCCTGGTACCGTGCCCTAAAAGCCCAGGGGATCGACCGAAAGAATTTTCTCCCTTGGGCATCACCCTGTCAGCCCTACGCTGCTATCTTAGCCTTGATTATCGGCTCCACTGTCACTCTCTTCAATGGATTCACGGTATTTTCCCCTTTCAGTGTACAGGGTTTCATTACATCATACTTTGGGATCGCGTTCTGGGTCGTCATGTTCCTCTTTTGGAAAGTATGGCATAAGACGAAGTGGGTTGATCCAGCCAAGGCGGATATCTTTTCTGGGAAAGCGGAGGTTGATGCCGAGTGTCGGGTCTGGGAGGGTGGGGGATTCTTGGAGAGAAGGAGGATGGAGTTGGCGGGGATGCATTGGACAAGACGGTTGTGGGAAAGGATGTGGTGATGTCCTTTTCCTTCTTTCTTTCTTTGTCTTTATTTTTCTTATTGGAGGGAGATGTAAATATAGATTGAATAAGAGTGTTGGTGTTGATTTGGTGATTCATACTATGCTCAAAGGTATTGGAGGAACGGCAAAGGATGGTATATAGACGTGCCCTGCTGCTGTCAGAACTATTACTATGAGAATGCTGAGATAGTATCATAATCAATTCAATTAATCAATAATCCTAACCAATCTACGAATCATGCCTCCTGAGTAACCAAGAGCGATCAAGATTAATACGGACAATGTCCACAATACCCACAGTCCGATGCCGAACATGCAGTGAAATCCTTGAAGGCGTCATTATCGCTTTGGTCGTCACTGTGCCAATCCCATTGATTATCCTAGTACTCATCATCATTGTGGTCGCTCGAGAGAGCCTGATTACCAGACCTCTCGTTGGAAGCCCAGGAATCAATTACCACTCAGGCTATCATCCCCATAACCATTGACCCATCGCTCTTGAAGTTTCGCCGGCAACACCCGCTCAACTCCCTCCACTACCTCCCTCAACTGTAACTCCTCGCCGCCCTCCTCATGCACGATCTCGAATCGTCCATCCGGCCGTCCCAATGCAGATCTACTCAACATTCTGAGCAATGAACCCAGTTGGCGAAGGGACTGTTCCTCCTCTACTTCCCACTGCTGCATCTCATCTCGGATATCCATGACTCGGATATCAGTGAACTTGCCGTATTCGTGGAATGCGAGGATGAAGTTGGGGATTTGGGAGACCCAGAGTCGGGCTATTTCCTCGGAGAGGATGTCAGTGTCTTTTTTGTAGAAACTGCGGGTTTTGAGATCGAAGATGTCGGATTGCGGCGTCAGGGTGGTGGGGGCTGGGGTGGTTTGGATGCCTAGGAGGGAGGTGTCGCTGGTTTCGGGTTCGTAGGGAGTGATGGTGCTGCCTGAGAGGAGGGATATGAGGGTTTGGGTTTGGGGTGAAGGTTTGTTGGGTTTCTCTCCATTTGCAGGTGGAGTAATAGAGTGTGATTCGGGAAGATATCCGTCTCCTTCGAATCGAACGACACACGTCATTCCCGAGAAATTGTATCGGAGAGCCCGCTGGTGGGATTCGGAGCCCTGCACGGCCGGTCCCCATATTGTGTACGACTCCGGAAAAGTGTGGCCGTAGCCTCGCACGTCGGGGATGGTCTGTGTGGGGGAGTTCTCTCGTCGGATGAAGAAGACTGTTGTGCCGACGGTTTCGACGATCATACGGAATTTCTTGTCCACTTTGCGGATGAAGCACAGGAGGTTACCCAGGGTGCTGGCGCAGGCGACGATGTCGATGTCGGTGGTGTCGAAGGTGGGGTGGGTTTTGAAAATGGCTTCTACGGCCGGTTGCAGAGGGTGTTTGGGGTATCGGGCTGCGTTTTGGTCTCGATAGTATTGACCGGCGTCGGGTTGGAGCTTGATGGGTTCAGGGAGTGGTGTCCATGCGGGTGGGAGGCCTGTGTTGACATGTGTTAGGTTTATGGCATCGATGGATATGGGAAGCTGGGCGGTTCTTACCTGGGACAGTGATGGTAGGGCCCTTCCGATCCAGCCAGTTGTAGGACGCGAGGAGGGTGCAGTCGGTGATCTTGGGACTCTTGCTGTCGTCCGTGGAGGGGTGACTGTCGACCAAGTCTTCGCGCTTGATGTGAGACAGGATGTCTCCTGAAGGGGGATCAGGTAGCTCAGGGGCCGGAGATGGTCGTCTGGCCAGGCCACCGCGCCGGACATTCGAACGCAGGTAGTGTGCTCTACCACGGCCATTTTGAGACGATGAGCCACGCCAGTGAGTTGACATGTTGACGATGGCTCTCGAAGATGAGAATGGGGAGGGCTGACACGCGTGAGCAGTTAGATTTATACCTTCTTGCGGTCGGTCTGTTGGAGTGACAGCCTTGCCTTCAAAAACCTCGGCCCGGCACACAGTCAGCTTTGTGGCACAGTCAGGACGCATGTTGCCAGGTAGGAGGATCGACGTAACAAAAACGTCGCTCGGGGTACCTGGCTAACCAGTGAATAAGAATGTTTGGTACCTCAGGTTTGGTTTCTGGTTCACTTGTAGACAAGTCCATGGCACGTTCTGGGAGATTGGGGGCCATCCATATTGACCTTCAGCTGAATGGCTACCAGGCTAGGCTGCCTCCCTCTCATTCGATATTGCAAGGCTGCTGGGACACCAATGCAGAGAAGCTACGCCGTATGTACTGGCAGTGCCGCGTCATTGAGATTGGAGACATGAAGAACAATAAAACGAGCCGATATGCAATATGCAGTTATGCACCTTAGTCAGACGGCTTCGGATTGAAGGGATCCGAGCATAAATCTGCTGGGACTCGGCCCTTCACCCACAACGCTGAGGAATGAGACAGCAGATTCCATGCCCACCATCAAGGTGGCGCATTTACCATCGGCTGGGGGGGAGGGGCAAATTTGGATGGCTTATAATACAAAGGGGACAACCTAAAGCTCATTAATCAGACCAAGGGAGACAACGATACAAGTAAACTGCTCCGGGGCAAAAGCGAGGGAGAGATACTACTTGACCATGCTCAGTGACAGCAAGAGGAAAAGAGATGATATCACAACGACGGAGTTACCGGACATAGGAGATAGGCCAGTTACTTAACCAACCTGACTGACAGCCGACCGATTTGCCTTCCACCTCAGCATCCAAGATGGCCTCCCAAGTCTCCCTCATTCAATCCATCTACGATGAGCGCAGCGAAAACTACGACAACTCTCACCATGGTGCCCTGGCCGAAGCATACATCCGCACCGCCGAACCAAAAGACGGCGAAAGCGTACTTGACCTCGCCTGCGGTACAGGCCTAGTATCGTTTCTCGCAGAGAAGAAGGTCGGCACATCCGGGCACGTCGTCGGAATCGATATCAGCCCGGGCATGCTGGACGTCGCGCGTCGAAAGGCCCATCAAGCCGGATCAGAAGTCACGTTCCTTCAGCATGACATTTCCCACTTGACTGGTTTGGATATTCTCCCCCCGGGGTCGGATGGGTTCGATTTGATTACTTGTGCTGCTGCACTGGTATTGCTGCCAGATCCAGCTCAGGCGATCAAGAACTGGGCGGTATGGTTGAAGCCAGGTGGCAGACTCGTCACAGATGTCGCGGCCAAGGATGTCCATGTCCCCAGTCGGATTCTACGCCGCATCAGTGATGATCTGGGCGTGTCACTGCAGTGGGATGAGAGCTGGGTGCAGGATGAACGGTCTCTCGGGGATCTTCTCGCCAGTGCGGGATTGGCTGTTAAGACGCTCTTCCTGACAAAGTCATTCCAGGATCGCGTTTATAAGGTCGCTGATGCGGGAGAGGCCTTCGACAAGGCTGTCTCGAGCCCGATGTTCCGAAACTTTGGGCGTCCCGCTATTCGCGACGAGGCGAAGAGATTGTTTGTGGAGAAATTTACCGAGGAAGCGGGTCTTTCGGGGGTATTAATAGATGAGGCGAAGATGTACATGGCCGTTGCCCATAAAGATTTGCAATAGGATGCGGAATAGGAATCGTAGAGTGCACATTAGGAAATATCCTGCGAGTACTCTGTAGAATACCGTGAGTTGTCGGATCCAATAGTGACTGACGAAGCCCACTGCAGAAAATACCCTCCGTATTCTGTAAAAATATTCGTATGCCATAAAACCTCGAGGCTATCTAGTTTCTGTTGCATCAAGAAAGGGGGTGGGCATGCTGTTTTCGTCTTCTGCCTTCAGTCAGTCCTTACAGAGTTAGCTCAACCTCAACGAACGTCATCAATCTTATGGAGATTCATCACGAAGGTAATCTCTCAACACTTAAAGCTATGCCTCTAGCAACAAGGGACAGGCATAATCACCGTGCCCTATGACCCCTGACCTGCACCGCCCACGAATACCACTTTGTCAGCCATCACCATATAAGCACCGAGTGCCTTCATCATGTCGCGATCTTCTAAATCTGCCATCGCCATAATCCTATATGTATTCAGTGATTCTGCAGCTTTGTTTGCCTCCAGAAGATACTGCTGTATTCTATCTATCCCTTCAAGAAAAGGATTTCTTGCGGCGCGACTCTTCAACCGTTCTACTTGACCCTTCACCCACACGGGCCCCTAACAGGCGTTGCCGGAAACAACATATCCAAATATGTCCGGATTTCCAGAAAGCATCTCAAATCATGAGAGAGAAAGAGTGTCCGATGTCCTTGAGCGCTCGTGCGAAAAGTGAGAAACGAAAAAAATTGGAAGCGGAAGCCTCACGGGCAAAGGCAAAGGCCACTGTGAGTAGAAGTTTCAACCAGATGTTCCCTTGGCTGATCCCTTTTCGGGAGTGGGCGGGATTTGTAGAGAACTCGAGTCGGATTAAAGTGGATGGTTCAAATATCTATTCGTGTCTTAGATTGCGAATCACGTAGTTGAAAGATATGAGAAGTTGTATTGGCAAGGGCTACTACAGATACATATCAGTATCAATAGAATGGTAATGGACTATGCTCCTTTAATATGGCCTACCTTCTACCTATAGGTTGCTTGAACACCCTGATATGCGAAGAACCTTACTGGCCATTAGATGCGATCTCTTCAGAGCCCGTCTAGATTGCATTAATATAGCAATAGGATGAATTTCACCCCCAAGGTATTATTATTCTTATTGCAGGGATTGGCCACTGAATCGCTCGTGTTCTCTTGCGTATCTGCTCGTATTGTATGGGATAGCAAAAGAATCCGTTAATGAAAGCTAAGTAAATAAGGCGTTTGGAATAATGGGAGCTGTTCATGCGCAGAACAATGATCGCATCATTTCCATGTTCACCAACCCTTCTCTCGAGTTTCGCTTCTCTTCCATTGCGTAGGAATAAGTCAGATCAACCTGGCACCTGGAGTCCGATTGCAACGCATTCTTCGACGCTGGCGTTGCTGCTTCGGGGATGATTTTCGAGTCTTTCCATAACGACTTTTGTTTATGGGCCAAGACATGTGCTTGGACCTCCAAACATTGAATTATGTCTTGGGCATACCGAGGAAAGCGTGCTTATTGAGTCAAGCGATCTCCACAGCAAAAGCACAATAGCAGAAGACTTAGATATCCCACCATCCACTGTGGTGTGATCATCAAAATTTCCTCCATATCCCAAGGCTGCTAAGTATGCTCATGAGGTGGTAGGATGGAGAGTGATTTCTCGTAGTCATCGGGTATGATGATCATTAAGGCTCGGGCCCGCGCCGCCTTCTCCTTGCTTGCGTTCAAATCCCGAGTAGGATGACACCTGTCCGCAGGAGCACATGTATGCTGTCATATTGGCCGCTTGTTACACTGGACGACCGAGATAAATCGTGGACATATAGGACTATGGTCGAACGTCACGCCCTCTGTGATTCTGTCAGGGAATGACCTTGCAGGTTCTCTCGAGATAGAAATGCCTAGGACCGGATTGAATACCTCAGTGAGTCGCCTCATTCGTAGCCAGATCCTGGATAATTTAACCGGCCCTTGTAATTGGTACCTGTCGTGGGGATGTGAAAGGATGTTGAAAGTCGAACTCAATTGACGCCTGACAGCTGGACCCATCACCCCCGTCGGGGAATGGGAGGCTTTGTCGAAGAATGAAGCCCAGATATCAAAGGCCCAGGCGACTGTAAGCCTAGAGGGGCCATGCCTACATCATGGGTGCCATGTCCAAGCCATCCATGACCCGAGAGATTGGAGCTGGATTGAAACCCGAGGGAGATGCAAGGATGGCGGGGTAATGTTTCCGGCTCCGCTGATTGGCCCGCAGAGGTCTCGGGGGTGTTTGTTTATTTTGTCTCGGCCGGTCCTGGAATCCGTCCGGATTTCTTTCCTCCTTGTTGGCTTCCTTGATTTGTGCCGCCAGGGCTCGCATTGCGGATTGGGTCATTTTCCGTCTTTTTTTTCTGTGCTAGTACTCTTCATGAATATCATAGTTATTATCTTTTTTTCTATCCTGGCTTATTTTTTTCTAGAATTGTCCTAATATTCGGCATCACTTTAGTCACCTTCCCTTCCATCTGACAAGCTCTTGATCAAGCTAAAGGGAACCGGAGCAAGGTCCATCAAGATAACCAAGTTCTGCCCTCTATATATGGCCAGAGAGGTGTAGACGATATTTCTCAGGCGGTCGTGTGACATGGCCTGCGCAGCAAAAGCCAAATTCCTGTAAACAGTGTGGCTGAAGCGCGCCACAGAGCGTTGCTATTCGTTTCATCTTCACATCGGCGGGTTAATCGACATGCTCTATTGCCAAGATTGTTACACAACCTTGATTTCACAGATACCGAACACAGCCACCAACTGAAGGAGGCATCGCTGCCTTGATTCGAGACCAATCCGGAATAGAAAGCCGGCCACATAGATGATTAGAGCCATGGAAACGGAGAAGGTCAAAGAGTGACATGATGGCTGTGCTGGGGGTGACATCGACTGCATCTTTCAATTGGCGGAAATCACATCCCGGGTGTGGCGAGCACAATGCTTGTGTTACCAGGGATAAAAACTGCAGACGATCCGCGGAGAACTACAATCACATCTTTGGATTGACGAGAGCAAAATACCAGATCAGTGTTCCTGGTATGCGGCCCAGTACGGAGAAATGTCAGCGGGATCATAATCCGTCCACCGGCTTCAATCCTCGACGTGGGGATGAATTTTTCTAGGAGATCACCATCATCCATCCCCATCCTAAGTGCATTCGATCGTGCCTGGCACACGAGTCAGTGGCGGAGTTTGTGTCGCAGTCGTCAACAAACCAAGTGTCTCGGATTCGCGATCTCCCTCCCCCTTGCCGACTATGGGGATTCCGCTACGCCAGGTACGGGCTGCAGGAGGAATCCTCCCGCACCCTCGGTCCATCTTGCGTCCTGAGTAAACCTTGAATTTGGAGAGTTAGGCAAGTGGGGTGGTGAATGGAGATGGGCGCACAGCCTTCGAACACTCCAGTCTGTGTTAATGGCGAGTCAGCCAGCCGATTTAGTCTTCCGATTGTGACTTACTCGAATCAACCCTGAAATCTCACTGCAGATACACCCTTAAGTGGCATCAGGAGCCTAGCTCTTCCCAAGCGCCATGGTTGAATTTTGAACGAAACCAGATGAGTAGATATGAGAAGCAGGAAACATTGACACAGACGCTCCAGATTCAGAGTCCGTGCGCAAGGAGTCTGGCATACTTCAGAGCCAGCTAGCTATGCTTAATGTACGGCCCTGACTCGGGTGGCTGCTGGATGTCGTGAGGATGTTGCTTGTTGCCTACGAAATCGGCCGTGCATGGCCATGCCATATCGTGTAGACGCCATGACTCGTACGAGCCTTCTGATAGAGGACATCCAGACTTCGATTTGTGTAACGACATAAGACGAGACTCGTCTGTCCGGGACCATTCCGACCTGCTGGTCCTTCGCAAGATTTATATTGATCAGGGCGAAATACCCAGTCACAGTGCATGGGAGAGGTGACAACAGGGTAGCTACCCGACATGCACAGATCTCCTGCTGCCGTGGACGCTGGCTCGGGGGAGTCGCCGGCCACTTCCTTGGAATCACGCCAGGGGTCTCCCGTGTCCCCTCCTCATGACACCTTGCCCGCCTGGCCACACACGGGCAGTATGCTCCCTACGGATGAAGGGTCCCACGCCGAGGAGATAGTGATCCCTGAATCCCTTCTGGCAGCTGCGTCTATCAAACAGGTCTGGAATCAGGCGTCCCATGAACGCTGGAACGAACAGCATATTGCCCCCAACCCCGTGGAGGAGATATCGATACTCAAAAAGAGGCAGTCTAACCCCAGCTGGCCGGCCACTGGATTAAACCCAGGAGATGCTCGACGACGACAAGCCAGTTATTCGCCGCGAGCCCTGGAGGAAGGCAGGGGGATTATCTACCCAGTCATCGAGGACCAGGTGATGGAGGAGTCCTGGCATGGACCTCAGAGTATTCATCCGCTTGGCACTGAAGACATTGAACCCGAAACCCCGGGCCCTAGTAGCACCTTGGGAGGTCAACCGCCTCCCACCAATGAAACACAGGGTGTTGGCCATGCCAGCAAATTTGCCCCATCTCCTGTTCGCCAGTCGATTCGCCGGGTGGTGAAACGAGCCCGTGCTAGCAGCCTTGGGACCCTTTATAACCGAGCCACTCTGGTAAACATCAAACACGAACGCCGGTATTGGGTCCAGCTGGTGATCGAATACGGAGCATACACCCTCTACGCGGCATTCGTGTACTTTGTGCTGGTGGGCATGCCCCTGTGGAAAGGCGCCGTCTACTGGCTCTACTGGTTGATGCGTCACAGGTTCGTCTTCCAGGGGGGTTGGGCCATTGTCATTTGCTTGGTGGTCTTGTAGGTCCTCTCGGCTCGAAACCCTGAATGAAGCCCTGAAAGAGACGTGACTCATGCGTGCGCCTTCTCTTCTAGCTACTCTTTTTCACCTCTCCTGACCACGTTTGAACGCGATGCCCCGGATACCGAGTTCTACCAGAGTCGCCGCATCAGCCCGACAGTTCATGACACCGCGCTGCTCATTCCATGTTTCAAAGCCGCCGCGGTGATTGGCGAGACCCTCGAAGCTGCGGTGAAGATCTTCCCACCTTCTCACATCTATGTGATCGCAAATGGCGACTCTCTGACTCCGCTCGACAACACCGAGGAGATCTGCCGCCCTTATGGAGTCAACCACATCTGGAGCCCAGTCGGGTCCAAAATCGTTGCGCTATTTGTTGGGTCCTACGCCACCAAGCATTTTCGCTATGTTCTCCTTATCGATGATGACTGCATTCTGCCACCAAACTTTCCCGTGGTAATTTCCCGGCTGACTGATTCGGTCCGCTGTATTGGCTACACGATCAAGGCTGTCGCTGCGGATGGTTCCAAAGGGACGTACTGTCAGCAAGCCCAGGATCTGGAGTATAAACTTGCCGGGTTGCAGCGCACACTGGCAGGACGAATCGGCAGCGCGACCTTTCCTCACGGGGCAATCTCTCTGTGGGAACGCGCGTTCCTGCGGGACACCCTTCAAGACCATCCTGGCTTCTCCATCAGCGAGGATTGGTTCTTGGGGAACAGTTGTCGACGACTGGGGGGCAGAATTCAAATGTGCAGCTCGGTCTTTGTGGAGACCCACGCACCACCCTCGTTCCTCTTTGCTAGTGGGCGAAGCCGGGGTGGATTTGGGGAGATGACCGTCTTCAAGCAACGATTCATGCGGTGGAACTTTTTCATTGTCAATGGCATGCGGTACAACCTAGCCTACATTCTGCAGTCGTGGAAGCTAGGCAAGTGGGAGATTGGGGCGAAAATTTTCGTCCTGCAGGAAGTATGATTCCACCAAGTTCCTTTTCTGGGCCTAATTGCTAACTGGACCGGCGGAGATCAGCTGTATGAGACCATCCTCACGATTTTTGCCCCCTTCGTTCTTCCCATATCTTTGATTGTGCGCCCGGGGTTCTGCGCTGTCCTCCTCCTGGCCACGTTGGCGCTCTACCTGGCAAACGCCATCATCTTCAATGAGGTTCACCTGCGACGGAAACAGGAGCGGGTGAGCTGGAAGATCGTATTATTTTACTATGTGAGCCGGGCAATCCGAACTGCTTTCTGCGGACCAAGCATTATAACTGACCAAACAGATGCCGTACAAGATTATCATCGCCTTTATCAACGTGGGGAGCAACTACTGGTCCCTGTTCAAGTATGCCAAATACTTTGCCCGGCGACGCCCCAAGCTGACGGAAGACCACAAAGCAGTGGGGCTGGTGTTGAAATTGGAGGAGAGCGCACAGAGCCAGGCGGCTGGATCCACTGGGCTGGGCCGAAGTATGACGGTGCGATCAGTAGGTGTCCGGCGGACGAGCAGCCGGATGAGCAGTGTGCATGGGTCGGGGACGCCTCGGGCAAGGTGGTCCTATCAAAGCCACATTGAGGAGGGAAGTGAATACGATGTCATTGAGCCCTATACATAAGGTTTCATCCGGGATACAGTCCCACTTTCGCTTAGGTTTGGTGGATCATGGATTGATAGATGGTTTGTAGACTAGATTTTAGCGAGTTCTTCTACTAGCTATGTGTTACAAAAGTTTAATTAGTTTCCCAACATATATTCTGGATAGCTGATAGTGGTAGTGGTTGTGGCTGTGACTTGTTTCTACATTATACGATTCTGTAGCTGTGACTGTCCTGGTAGGTACATTCATTCCTGCTGATCCGACCTGCCTTTATCAACACATACACAGATAGTAGCAATAAACCCTCCGGCATGTAATGACGTATTGGGGGGGGCTCATGTTTCCCCTGAAGGTTCCTGACAGGTTGCACCCGGACATTCCGGCCGGCAATGCCACCCCAATCATCGGCGGAAGCCTTCAATTCCAAATCATGCCCGACTCTAAACACCATAAGTCTTGTGACGAACCTGCTATCCGTCCGTGCGGATCGACCGGTAAGGGCCGGACGTGCTTCCAAGGGTTCCAATCCAAACTTTTCTTCGTGACAAACCCGGTGATAGGCATCGATCCAAGGTGGAGTCATTCAGCGAGTGGACATCGCGCACCTGCTATATAATATTGTTAGAGTGACCCACAACACACTCTTTTGTTTATAAGCAACTGTCATGAACCTTCTTAACTGAACTGTCTTCTGCCGCGACTCCATCACCCGGCTCCAAGATGTAAAACCAGCATTGCAGTCCACGTCAGCATGTCTTGTCTTTGTATCTCTCTCTCTCTTTCTCCCGTGGACAAAATTCTTCTCCAGGCATAATCTCGTGCCAGCATGTTGCCTGTTTTGAGCGACCCCCAACCCCGCCCCCACCTCCTCCTCAGGAAGGGAATAGCCAAGGGTAGTCACATCCCATTATTTCCAGATAGGCATCTAACTTTCTCAAGTATTCCAGAATGTCGACATCATGTGTCAGACCGTCAGTCCAGGTATTCTCCTTTCTAGTGGCCCCTCCCCCCGCATCTGGAACCACCAAGAAACTCGACCTAGTGGACTGACACCAACTTCCTCACCTATGGATGTATCATTTAGGAAGAAAAGATGCGACGTGCATGTAAAAGGCCGAAGATGGGTGTGGGCGAATTTTGGCTGAAGGAGTTTACGATGGTGTTGGCAGTGCAAATGCGGGTTAAATATATAGACTGCAGCTTGACACCTATAGCACACTAACAGAGCGATTAGACTTGCAATCTGGAGGTAATCTATTTGTTGCTAGAGTTGATCCGTTGGCATCGGATCTGCTCCGAGGATAGGAATCGGGACTTGATCCGCGGTCTGCCATGGATGCACAACAGCTGTCCTTGCATCTTCTTTGTCTGTTACCCCGCACCATGCAGCCATTGACCATTCACCAGCTGCAGGAATACGAATGCCGTGAGCAGTCCCCGAGACGAGGAGTGAGTGCCAAAGGGGTGGTATTTCTATCTTCCCCGCCCCTTTCCCTCACTCGCCCATCATCGAATCCTCCCCTCCCTCAATCAACACCCACCATGCGCCTCCTCAACAAAGTTGCTCTTGTAACAGGCACCTCCTCGGGCATCGGACGAGCCATCGCCCTGCGCTATGCCCGTGAAGGAGCCAAGGTTGCATGTGCAGACATCACCCCGACAGCCCGCTCCCCTGTTCCCAATGAGCTGGACATCACCACCCACGACGCTATCACCAAACACGGAGGGAAGAGCTTCTTCGTCCAGACTGATGTAGGCGATGCCTCGCAGATGGAGAACGCGGTGCTGCGGACTGCGAAGGAGTTTGGTCGTTTAGACATGTATGCCCATCCTTACCCACCTCACAGCTTTGGACTGACTGAAGATGTTATGTAGAATGGTCAACAACGCCGGCGTCTCCCTCGAATCCCGCCACCCCGCTCGCATCCACGAAACAACAAACGAACTATATGACACCACGATGCGGATTAACACGCGCTCGGTCTTTCTCGGCAGCAAGTACGCTATCACGCAGATGCTGAAGCAGGACCCGCACCCGTCGGGCGATCGGGGATGGATTATCAACCTGTCTTCGATTCTGGGAATCGTGGCTGCGACGGAGAACCGTATGTCTGCTCCTGTTCCCTCATCCACTCCCTTTATTTCATTGCGTGGGGATGATCATGCTGAGACGGGACAGCATCCTACTGCGCCTCCAAAGGGGCCGTCAGTAATCTCACTCGCCAGGTGGCGTTGGATTATGCGCGGGATCGCATCCATGCCAATGCAATTTGCCCGGGCTGTAAGTGCATCTGGGTGATCCGTGGATGATGAAGTGTGGTAGAACTGATCGGAATCATGGTAGACACCCAAACGGCCATCTATCAAGAGACCACGGCCTATATGCATGCGGCGGAGGATCTCCAACGACGACACCCGTTCAATGGCCCTGGATTGCCCGATGACATTGCCCGGGTGGCGGTGGTGTTGGCCAGTGAGGATGCCAGCTGGATGACGGGGGCGGTGGTTCCGGTTGATGGGGGATATACTGCACGCTGAGGAGAGGGGGAATGTCGGCGAACATCTGGATATAACGATTCTTGTGGGCTACAATGATGACATCAGATAGGACGAGGAAACTGCAGAATATCCAAGACCAGCCGATCGGCGTGAATAGGGCTGAGACATGGAGTAGATGGTGAGATTACCCGAATTGGCAGTCCATGACATTGAACGAACTATCCGGAAGGGCTAGGCAGAATGGCAATTCATTTACACATTCAATTTCCAAGTTGCCACTACGTGCTCGTCTTGGATTGCAGCTGGCTTGACATCTTCCGAACCCCGTGGTCTGGTGGAATGGAGGAATGTACGGTGTCTCAGACCGGGGGACGAATGCAGATGTTGTCTCCGGAGCGAAGTTTGCTCGGCATCGGCATTGCTTCGGATGTCTCAGGCCTCCGCCAAATTTTGTTGAAACTTGACAACCGCCAAGAAATCACACTGAAAAAAAGTCACGAAAAAACCCATTAAATCCGGAGGAGATATATCCGGCTGGGGAGGAGGGTTATGGCCTGCAGCGGGTGGAGCCTCGCCTCCGGGGCAGCAGCCTCCCCATTTTCTCACAACTCCACGAGGGGTCACCCGCCGTGCCTGAAAGATAAAAGCTAGTGATTCCCGGTCAATCGAATCAGGACGGACCGATTAGAGGGGAAATAAACATGAGCTAATGATCAGTCATTTGGGGCAGTCATGAAAAGCGATAATTGCAACGAACTTCTAGAAGGAGGCACCGGAATCCCACCGAGCCGAGGGGGGTCAGGCCCGCCGCGCCAATCAGCACACAGCGGAACCCCGGCTATTCGCGGGCTGCGGCCGGGCCAAGCGGGAGGAAGGCTTTCTGTTACTTAATTTCAACCTCTGTCAACCCTCATTGGTGCAAAACTCTAACAAAAACTGCAGTGGAGTGGGGCTGAGGCGCGCGGATCGTCCAAATCGCGATGCTGCTAACTGCTGCTAATTGCTGATTGCGGCCGCGGCCTCGGCCTCAACGGGCAGCTACGTCCGGCCCCAAATGTAGCAGCCGCGACTCACCACTCGCCAGGCTCAAGTCTCAACGCCTTCGCTTCTTCTTCTCCTTCTCCTTCTCTTCTCCAGCTTCTCTTCTCCAGCTTCTCTTCTCCTCTTCTATCACCTTCCCCGACTTCGTCGACGGTAGCGCATCTGCAGAGGCCCAGGCAGCGGAGGACCGGATCTTCTTGCGACCCCACTCGTGAGAATTTTTCTGTATCATCTTCTCCTCGTCCGTCCTCACTTCCGGCTGCTGTTACTGCTGCTTTCGTGTCCCTCTGCACCGCGACACTTCCCCGAATCCCCCCAGTCACCATGCGCTTGGACGGCGTCGCCCCCCCGCCGGATGCGGTCGAGAACAAGGCTCGCGACGAGAAGGATGATGACCTCGAGGACCTCAAGGCCGTCGGAAATACCCCCGAGGTGGATGCTTTTGGCGACGAGGCCAATGCGGAGGTCAAGTACAAGACCTTGAAGTGGTGGTATGTATCATGCCATGCATGAGGATAAGACCCTAAGCTAACGTGATGTTAGGCAATGCGGAATGTGTATGTGATGGCGGGAACTCCTCTTCGGAACCAGAGAAACAGACTGACCAGCTTAGTCATGATCGCAGAATCCGTGTCCCTCGGTGTCTTGTCGCTGCCTGCGACTATGACGGCCTTGGGTCTTGTTCCGTAAGTTGATGTCTCGTTGGAGCTCGAAGTTGACTAACCGGTGCAGTTCCCTCATCCTAATCATCGGCCTGGGAATCCTCGCCCTCTACACCGGCTACGTCATCGGCCAGTTCCGCGAACGACACCCCTACATCCACAACCTCGCTGATGCGGGCGAGATTCTCATGGGCGCCTTCGGCCGGGAGCTGTTTGGACTCGGCCAGATTCTCTTCTCCATCTTCATCATGGGTAGCCACATCGTCACCTTTACCGTCATGATGAACACCATCACCGACCACGGTACCTGCTCCATCGTATTCAGTATTGTGGCGTTTGTCATATGTCTGGTCCTTTCGCTCCCTCGCACCATCAAGAATTTGACATACATATCCACGGCCTGTAGGTCCCCTCTGTCCCACATGTGATAGCCGCGCTAACGGATCAGCCTTCCTGAGTATCTTTTCCGCGGTTATGATCACCATGATTGGTGTTGGCGTGCAGTACAAGGGCGGCCAGAACATCAGCATCACCACCGACACGACCCTGTACACTGCCTTCAGCGGCGTCACTCAGATTATGTTCGCTTACTGCGCCCATGTTGCCTTCTTCGGCCTGATCGCTGAGATGGAGGAGCCCAAGGACTTCCCCAAGGCACTGTGTCTGCTGCAGGCCTTTGAGATCTGCCTGTACGTGGTGGCGGCCATTGTGATCTACTACTACGTGGGCAACGGCGTTGACTCGCCGGCCCTGGGCTCGGCTGGTCCAGTCTTGAAGAAAGTGGCGTATGGCATGGCCATTCCCACGGTACGTGACGCTTTCCTTTGCTGGAGATGCCCCTACTGATGACGTGTAGATTATCGGAGCCGGTGTGGTGAATGGACACGTCGGTCTCAAGTACATCTATGTGCGTATTTTCCGGAACTCCGGGCGCATGCACAAGAACGACTGGATCTCGGTGGGATCGTGGATTGCCATTGGCGTGACCTGCTGGGTGATTGCCTGGATCATCGGCGAGGGTATCCCTTCATTCAGCAACCTTGTCAGTCTGATTAGCTCGCTGTTTGCTAGTTGGTTCAGTTTCGGTCTACCGGGTGCATACTGGCTTCACATGAACTACGGCCAATGGTGGTCGAGCCCGAAGAAGTCCGCTTTGACCATCCTCAACATGCTGATCTTCTGCATTGGTGGCGCGATGGTAAGTTTCGCTCTCCCTGATTTTGTGACCATTGCTGATGTTCTTAGTGCGGTCTTGGTCTGTACGCGTCGGGCAAGGCCATCCACGACGATTCGTCCCGGAGCAGCTTTTCATGTGCCAACAATGCATAGATGGGTTACGGACTCGATTAAAAATTCAGGATGACAAGACGACTAATGGTGATGAGGAGATTTAATGTATATAAGAGCAAGCAATAGATAGTATCCGTTATGATCTGTGCTGAGCACACTTTGACAACCCTCTTTTTCTCCACCGCAGATGTCCATGGGACTCTGTCAGGTGGCCACCCGACGTCTTCATCTAACCCACATGTCTAAGTCAATACCTATTACCAAATTTGGATCAACTCTGGCATCTCACCACGGTCCGCAATGGGAGATCTTAGCGTCCCAGGACAGGATTCGAGAAATTGCGGGCAGTGGTATGCACTTGTCTACAATGAGGCATTATCTACTGATTCCTATGAAGGAAATTGCCAACCCAGCATGAGTCATATAAGCTTCCGAGTTCACGTAATACATTCATACTCTGCACGAGGATTGAGTTCTCCAAGACATAAACAAGCATTCGATCTCTTTTTTCCTCCCGAATCAGGCCATGCGATTGTGATGAGCTTCTAGAGTACATTCTGGACTACATGCATGACGTGTCTAACATCTCTAACCAGGCCATCGTAGGCATATGCATCCCCCGTCCGTTTATTCTCATTCAACCCCATGTTCCCTCTGAATGGTGTCTCGTCTATCCCAGTTCGCGCAATGTGGCCAACACCGGTCCCTGCACGTCTCCTCGGCGCAATGCCTCGTAGATCACTGAGATCCATGACCCGATGGTCTTCTTTGGTCGTCCATCTAGCTCTCCACATTGCGCGGTGGGATGTTCTACGAATCCACGGTGGAAGGGGACCTTGAGGTCCTGCCGGACCGTAGTGTAGAGAACCTTGGCTCCCGCGCCGAGGAGATCCGCGGTATGCGGGTGCTCGACGAACCGAGCCGCCGTGGTGTGATACACGTCTATGACTGCAGATATGGCCCGCTGCTGCCAGCCACTCACGTCGACTAGGCGCAGCTCCGCTGTAGGGGTGGTGGTGGTGGTGGTGGCGTCGACAAACATCGGGACCGCGGCCTGCACAGCCTGGCGGCATCGTTCGGCAATGGGGAGTCGGGTGGTGGTGGGCCAGGCGGTAGTCACGGCGTCAACCACTCTGTCGACTAGGTGGTCGTTCAATGAGGACTCGAATACCTCCCGGGTCACTTTCGCCACGCGGGTCGTGATTCCTTTCAGGACCGCCATATGCAATGCCCGCAAATCCACCGCCTGGCAGGCAACATACAGATACGCCGCCGACATCAACGATACCAACTCTATTGCTTGCATGGTGCATCGGGCTGAAATCAGGGCCAGGCTGTTGACCGCTTGGTTGTGCATCTCGGCGGCTTGGACGTGCGCGCTGATTGGGTGTGCTGTCCAGGCAAGCTCCGCCATGTATGCAGCGAGGCTGGTGTCTACGCCTTTCATGGTGAAGCTGAGACTGACGTCGTCGAAGACGAGGTTCGTGGGGAGGCCGTTGTTGTAGCTTGGGTCGATGAGCTCAGTGGCTTGGGCGAAGATGAGCCGGCCGATCATTTGGAGCGCGAGACGGGTCTTTTCCATGCCGGAGGTGACGGAGGCGGCTTGGAAGTTGGCGCCGGTGTAGATCTGAGCGCTCGCCGTACAAATGAGTGGGTTGTCGCTGCTGGAGTTGAGTTCCGTCTGCAGCTGTTTGTCCGCCAGGGTGAGATCCTCGAGCTGCGGCCCGAGCCATTGCGGCGCGCTGCGCCAGGCGTAACGGTCTTGGATCAGTCCTGCCCGCGTGCGGGGTTTCGGGTCCGTGGGGTGGGTGCCAGCGGCGAGGTAGGAACCTTGAAGCAGGGAAAGAATGTTGGCGGCACTTTCGATTTGGCCGGGGTGCGGGCGTGCGGCGTGGATGAACGGGTGAAAGGATTCGACGGTTCCCGTGAGGGCCTCGACGCCCATGGCGGTCAGGGCTTGGGATGTGACTGCAAGGAGATGGGCTTCGTGAAGAGCGAGACTGGCCACGGCAGTGCTGACAGCGGTGCCATTCAAGAGCCCGAGTCCTTCTTTTGGACCCATGGTACAGCGGGGGAGGTTGGCAGCCAGGAGAGCGTCACGGGCCGTCATGATGCGGGCGCTGGGCCCGTCACCCACCCGAACGTAGATGTCGGGGCTACCTTCGATGGCGCCGGCGATGTAGGACAGCGGCATCAAGTCGCCCGAGGCGGAGACAGATCCCCGGAGGGGCACGATCGGGGTGATGCGGTGAGCAAGCAGCCGGAGGAGGCCGTCGAGCACGGGAATGGTGACGGCGCTGTGGCCGCGGGCGTTGGTGTTGGCGCGCACGGCGATGGCGGCACGCACCCAGGCGGAAGGCATCGAGTGGGAGCCCGGAATCCCGGGAGTGTGGTCCGGGTCCTTGTCAGAGGCAATGAGGATGCCGGCTTGAGTGTGCTGTAGCAGGGCAGCTTGCAGGGAGGTGGTCTGGTGGGTGCGCGAATCCGCACTGCCGCCAAAGCCCGTGTTGACGCCTGGGCAAGGGGTTAGTGGATTAGAGATAATGGATGCATGTGTCCCAACCTACCATAGATGGAGTACCCCTGGTCCAGATGCTCCATCAACACTCGGACACTTGCGTTGATGTTGTCGATCACCTCAGGGTCTGATGAGAGATGCGGCACGCAGCCATGACTGATCTGTCAGTTCTAGTTGGCTAGAGATCATGACACAAACATACAATGCGACCGCCACCACAGCAGCAATGTCTAGGCTGTTTCCATCCAAGGCAAGCGAGGGGTTGGCCTTGAAATCCTGCAGCTGGGCCCAGGTGCGGTAGGTAGCTGCCAGATGGCTGGTGGAAGATGGGAGGTGCGGCATGGTGGTAGTGCTGGCAATGACCGTTGCGATGGTAGTAAAGAATAGTAAAGAAGAATGATGAACATGATCGAAATGACTGGTCTTGTGAGCTCCTATTTATGCCGGCTCAGCTGGGGAATTTGGACTATGTGCAAGATGAGACGAGAGCTGCTCGACTTGGGACTCTGATCGATGCATCATGGCTGAACCCAATATATCGGCGAAACGAGGGAATAGTCCAGGCGGGTGGCACTCTGAGTGGAGGAACAGGGGTGCGTGGTGGCGCAAGATTGAGGATGGTAAAGCCCCAGGCGATCGAGGATCGGAATATGACGGCGGTATATGATGAGGAGGCGGTTTGGAGTAGTAAGAGAAGACTTGCCACCCATTCCTGGGGGAAAGCCGAGCAGGATATCTCGTGCCACGGGGGAAGGAAGAGGAGGCGTGGGTGCCTTTGCCGGCGGACACGATTAGGGCTTGCCGACAGAGCAGCCGGCTGGATGAAAAAGGGGCTGCATCCAGGCCACAGACGAGGATCCCGATGGATGCCAAAGAGACAGACAGACAGATAGATAGATAGACGCCCCTGATGGAGATCTCCACTGCGATGCGATGATCGTTCTGCCGTGCCGACCCGGTGCTACTGCCTAATAGTCGACAGATAGATAGCAGGTGCAGCACGCACGCCGTGGGCCGAGCGTTCCGTGCCGTTGCCGAACCAGGCCGGAGGGCATGCAGGCTGCAGCTCGATAATGAATAGATAGATAGATAGGACTAGAGCATCATGCCACGATGTCTTCAATGGCTTCGATGAGAGTGCGGGGCGGGACTGCACATCATTCCTGCAATGGGGGAGGATGGGTCCGAATGCATCCATTCTGCATGACTCGGTTTTGCTTTTGTCCAGCCCATCATGCTTTAAACCCCCATCCATTCTCCGCTTCCCCATTGTTCCCTCCATCAATCATCAATTTCCCTCACGATGCATTCCTGCTCGACATCCCCCTTCCCGCCCGTGGAGATTCCTCCGATCGACCTCTGGACGTGTCTCTTCGAGCGGCCCGATCGACCGTTTCCGGCGTCTCACCGTATGATCTCTCCCATTCCCACCGTAGAATGAATCCCCATAGAAGATGGGGGAAGAGATGCTGACAATTGAACACAACAGCCCTCTTTGTCAATCCGGTGTCTGGCCGCAGCCTGTCCTTCCACGAGGTCCGTCAGCAAGCCCTCCACTTCGGCCAGGGGCTCCAGAGGCAGTGGGATTGGCAGCCCGGCGATGTGCTGGTCGTGTTTGCCCCGAATGCCCTCGAGGTGCCGGTGGTGGTTTGGGGCACGCTGGCGGTTGGGGGGGTTGTATGCCCCATCAACCCTCAGTACCGCGCCGACGAGCTGGTGCATCCCCTGATCGACGCCCGCGCCCGCGCCATCGTCACCACCTCCACCCAGGCCCCCGTCGTGTATGAGGCCGTGGCCCGCGCCGGCCTGCCGCGCGACCGGGTCATCCTGCTCGACCAGCCGTCGCCATCGTGGGAGAAAGGGGAGACAGCGCCCGTGGCGGCGCGTCGGCCCCCCGTGCGGGATCCCGACCAGGCGCTGGCGTTTCTGGTGTACTCGTCGGGCACCACGGGCCTCCCCAAGGGCGTCATGCTGTCCCATCGCAACATGGTCGCCAATCTGCTGCAGAACGCCGCCGTCGACCAGGCCCAGATGGCCTGGGACCACGATCGGGCCCTGGGAGTACTGCCCTTTTTCCACATCTACGGCATCACGTACCTCCTCAACTACACCGTCTATTCGGGGGTGCCGCTGTATGTTTTGCCGCGCTTCCAATTCGCCCCCTTCTGCGACATCATCCAGCGCCATCGCATCACCTACGCCTATGCCGTGCCCCCCGTCATCCTGGAGCTGGTCTCCAACCCCCGCACCGCCCACTACGATCTCTCGTCCCTGCGCCTGATCGTCTCCGCCGCCGCCCCGTTGGCCCTCGAGCTGATCCACGCCGCCCGCCACCAGCTGCGTCTCCCCGTGCGCCAGGCCTATGGCATGAGCGAGTGCGCCCCTTGCACCCACTTGCAGGTCAGATCCCGGTCCTCGTAGCCAGAATGCTGTTCCCTAACGTATCCAGACTTGGTCCGAAGCCACCTCCCACCCTGGCTCCGTCGGCCGCCTCCTTCCCAACATGACCTCCAAGCTCGCCCCCATCGAGGGCGAGACCGGCCGCTCCAAGGAGCTCTGGCTCAAGGGCCCCAACGTGTTCCTGGGCTACCTGAACAACCCCCAGGCCACCGCCGAATCTTTCTCTGACGACGGGTACTATAAAACCGGCGATGTCGGCTATGAGGATGACCAGGGCCACTTCTACCTCACCGATCGCCTCAAGGAACTCATCAAGTACAACGGATTCCAAGTCGCCCCCGCCGAGCTGGAGGCCATAGCCCTAGGACATCCGGCCGTCGCCGATGTGGCCGTCACGGGCGTGCCGAGCGGCCAGGCCGGCACCGAGCTGCCCCGGGCATACGTTGTGGTAGCCAACGGGCATGCTGCTGACCCAAAGACGGGGGAGGCCATTGCCGAATTCGTTGGGGAGAGAGTCATCGGCTATAAGAAGCTCCGGGGTGGCGTGCATTTCGTCCCCAGCATCCCGCGTAATCCGTCCGGCAAGATTCTCCGGCGCGAGCTGAAGCGCTTGCAACGCGAGGCCAAGCTGTAGCCCGGTGTTCTCTAGGCTAAATCTTATGTAAACGGATAATTGTATGCAGATGCAGATGTAGACTAATGTGGAGTAGCGTTTATGAGACCGATACATTCACCACGACAGTGGAGGGTGGGCAAGTTGCCCTGGCGATAGATCATAGACGAGAATTATTTGTCATACTGGCTCTGTTGAGATAATTCGTCCGGGAGAGGATAATAAGTTGACGCATCGTCGGTTATATCCCCAGGACTGCCATCGCTTCCTCGACGGTGGCCCACCACGTGTCCACCTTCTCTGCAGCCTGTCCCCGCGGACACACCTCCACAATGGCCCGGACGTGGTTGATCGCCTTCTGCATCGCCTCCTGCCGCCCATTCGGCTTCATCTCCTCCAGCACGTGGCCCGCCCCCTTGGCCCAACAGATCTCCGCAAACACCTCTTCCAGGTGATCCCGCTCCGCTTTGTCTTCGGGCGCGTACCGGTAATTCCACGCGAACGCCCGCACCGGGTTCCATCGAGGCGCCGGCACCACACTGGAGAACTCCCAATCCAGCACGCCAGTAATGGGACACTCTGGGTCCGTTGGGTCGCACATAATGTTGGCAAAGTGCAGGTCCTTGTGTGCCAGCACGTAGGTCACCCGGTTGAGCTCCTCTTTGTGTTCCGGGGATTCCAGCGCCGCCAGCAACTGCCGTAGCCGGGGAATACGATCACGGTGTGTCACTAACGAGGGATGTATCTCGATGGCGTGGATGTACCGCTCCAAACAGGCGACGTTGTATGCCGTATAGCTGGGGTAGCCGTCCGGGTTGAAAGGGTTCAGCGATTCCAAAGTTTCCTTGTCATCCCAGTATTTAGCAATATCCGGTGCCTGCCAATATGTTTCCTCGATCGGCGGCCCCGATGCGATCTCGCCGTCGCGGATCGTTAATCCGCCCACATAGCCGTCGGTCCAAGGGTGGGAGTGTAGCTCGATCAGGTAGTCGGTCAATTGTTCCACCATCTTGGTTTTGCTTTCCGTGCTGAGAGTCGGGTACACTTTCTCCACGCTCACCCCAGGAGCCTTCTCGAGAAGTGTAAACTCGTGTCCGATCAGGTTGTCGTCGGTCGCGGAGTAGCGCACCACTGCGGGAACGGGGATGTGGGTGTTTTGGCGCACCCACGTCATGACCCCGACTTCATTGAGGGTCTTGATCATGGGCAACTGCCGTCCGGAAACGCGGAGAACGAGGATGACGGACCCATCGGGCTCACGACGGGCGGGGATCGAGGCTGCCGTGTCGGGGTTGAAGTGGATGAGGTAGATGGTGTGGAAGGCGGCGGATACTTGGAGTGGTTCGACGAGGGTCGGTCGGGGGAGGTCCAGGGAGAGGATCAGTTCGGTGATAATGTCTGCTGGGAGAGCGGGTGGCTGGTAGTTGTTTGGGGCAGTCATGGTGGTAGTTGTTGTTGTTGATGTGACTGCCTGGTTCATGTGTTAGGAGAGGAGGGAGGTCGTTGCTCGCGCTCTGTGCACAGGTCAGCTGGGAAGCGGCCATCCATGCTGTTTTATAGACAGTTCATGAAGCCTTATAATCATCATGGATAAGATGATTATTATCATGACAGATGATGAGATCCAGCATGACTCATGGTGAATCATAGCTCGGCAATGAGACTAAGGGGCGCTAATTTGCGCGAGGCTGAAGCTAAGCATGAAGCCGAGGGATGGGGATGGCCGTCAGCAGCGTCACATCGCGCCCCTCCCAAGCCGATGCCGCTACCGACCCCGACGGGGTTCCTGGCGATAAGCCTATCTTTCCGGCCATCATGACTCAAATCCTGGATAGCTTCGATAAGTCATTGATATGATGACAATTTGACATCCGGCGCGGATCTCGTACGATGTGTGTTCCCCTGGGATTGATGGGAAGGGAGGTTGAAAGCGTAGGACTCAGACCGCCGCCAGGGGCAGCGGCACGTGATGTGGATGCCACTTTGCCTGAGGCAGACACCTATCTTCAGGCAGGCACACGTTCATGGCCAACTGCATTCCATCCAGTTGCACGGTTCACGTCATCGATGACTGGATGACTAGGGTACACTTGAAAAGTGTGGCCAGATATTACATCTACATAGATTCACTTTGCATCAATCTATCCCCAAGTTCATGTTCTTTTCCCCCGAAGCACCATACCCGCAGCGGAGCACAAATATACTCACGATCATCCAATGGAAGCAGTCTCTTCGATAACTGATCCCTCCACCTCAGCTTTCCATCGCAATATGGTGTCAAAGCAAAGCTCTCGGGGCTTTAGTTGATCAATATTCTCGTCGGTATCGAATTGGTCGATAATCCACGCATGCGTCTGTAGTAGACGAATCAATTCAATATCCCCTCCACCTTCATCAAGCCAGATTCCATCATCGTAACATCGGTGCCAATTGAAGAGGCGCGATGTGGCGCTCCCCGACTGATTATCAGCTATGGTTTGTTCGATACAAGAGTAAGGCGACCTTTCTCGTCAGCATATAATGTTATAGAATCAACCCCACATCGAACTTACTCAGTGGAATGTCTTATGGCACAGGACTGGTCGATATTGTCGACATGTACAAGCGTGATGCGATGCTGCGAGCTCGCCAGAACCTGTTTTCCGGAGTGTAATAACCAGTATATTCTCCATGAAAGACGTTTATGCTTATGTTTAGCATGCAGTCTGACCTCAAGGCTGAGATTTCTAAGCGGCGTAACACCAAAAGGAGGCGCAGGAGACCACGGAACAGGTAAATTTGTTCGAGAAAGATAGGAAGTCCGAAACGCATTTGCTCGGGAAATTGTCGTCTCAGGCACGTCTTGAATGATATGATATTCGAAGAAACGTTTGGGTAGTGTTTGTCCAGAAAGCGGCAACCAGAGAAATAGGTGGTAAAGTGCACAAGGCTAACCTGAGGAGCGAAGTTGCCTGGTCACTGCAAATGACACCCGCCCATAGAAGACTCAACCGCGGCTGTATGCTCGTTATGGCATTGAGAAGAAGCTGGTGATCAAATTCATCCTCTGTTGAGAGTGCTCTCTTAATACCTAGAGATGCAGCCCCCATGAAGTTACAGGGAACAGAAGGATTGAAAAAGGCCCTGTATAATACTGAGTCCAAGGCGTCTTGTGTGCAGCTCAGAAACATGCATTTATAAATGGATTGGAATAGTTGATGGAATATCATATCCTTCTTCATGGACGAAGAGCGAACCGGGGTGGTTAAGTTCAGTCTAGGAGGAGTGAACTTGGCTGAAGGTGCGTTCCGTGATATCAAGAACAAAACCGAGGTAAGGGCAGTGACTAAATCGCCTTCTAGCCCTTCGGACATGTAAACGTCCAAAAGAAAACCGAAGGCAATGGACGAACTTGAAGGGACTGGCTTCCAGTTACAACTTCCGATGTCTATCAATCAACACGGTTCATAGATGATTTGTACATGACATACCGCTTCTTTTTGGCTCCCTCGCTTCTCAACATCCACGGCGAGTAATGAACTCTTCCCCCCCTCTTTATCTGCGCTACCCAGGGCTTGGGGTACTGCCTCTGTCTCAGTCTTTGTCTTGTAGGTGACAGGTGATGGACGTCCAGGGCACTGGTAGTAGTCAATGGACTTTTCAGGTTGATCGCAGTCCGGATCTTCTGTCGTTTGGATGCGCAAGCAGGATGTTAAAGCTAGATAAGATTTCCGCCCACCCTGGGTATCGAGGCCTTCTGGTGGGCTGTTCAAAATGATGGAACATCTTTGAGCAGGTCGAGGAAAGCCCGGATATAGTGTTGGCAGGATCCCGAGCCTGGTGGATGTGTCGAAGCGGCAGCTCTCCAGTGATCGAACATTGTCTGGCAGCATTGGTTTGACTGTGCAGCTGGTGGACAGACTCCGTCACCAGGGGACCACGTCAGTTCGTCATCGCTGTCAGATCTATCGCTGTCATCGTACCGGCTTACAGACTCAGGGCCCGGGATCCTCCCTTGCTGAGACAAAGGAGGATTTGTATCGCCGCCTCTCATCGCGACTGATGTGAGGGAGGGAGACAAGGCCGGGGAGGAGGGAAACTGATGGAGGAGCCACCGGGTCGGCGGTCAAGAAGCACGGCATTCTTGGGTTGTTTGGTTCATTTGATTCCTACGGTTCATTACGTGAATGGAGCACCGCGTAATTAATTAGTGATTTCAGTCAAATTGACGCTTCAAATATCGCTGATGTCATCATGTGATAAAACAACTATGTACAAAAGATCCATGTTTAGTCTGGTTTGTCCGCACCAGTGGCGGTTGAGGTTTCGGGCGCGGGCATGGCGCGATTGCGTAGCTCCCAACGCCGAGGTTAATCCATGGGCAGGATTAACCGCAGAGATAGGTCTTTCAGATGGTATCTGTCTCCTCCTAGTGTTTCCGCCGATACTGATACAGATGCCAGTTCTCCGTCACCCACCACTCTGCCACATGCGCCGCATCGCGCACCCAGTCCACCGCGTCGGTGCCGTAGTCCTTGTCCAGGGTCCGGGCTAGATCGACCAGGTTGAATTCCGTAACCGGGTGCAGCTCATCTGGATCTTGCTCCACGTTGGTGAAGCGCCACTCGACGTCGTCCACCAGCGGGATCACCAGTCGGTAGGCCGGGTGGGCGGCGGAGCGGACAGCCAGCCACGAACCCCCCGTGTTCATCACGGTGAACTGCCAGTTCTGCCGCCCATCCTGCTCCGGGACCAGCTCGCGGATCATCGACTGGCCCTCGTAGATGGAGAGCAGGTCGCGTGCCGCGTGGGTGCTGTTATCCCCTAGCGAGGACGATTGGATCAACAGGTCCAGGATGGTGGGTACGACCTGCTGCGTGATCACCGGGGTGTTGATCTCGATCTGCGGGAGTTGCGGGTGTGCAAACAACATGGGGATCTGGAAGCTGCCGATATGGGGGTTGTCATAGGGAGTGACCCCGCCGTCGTTGGGGAGCGAAAGACCACTGGCCAGTAGGTTAGTATGAAGGTACATGAGGAGATTCGGGCCATACGTACTGGTCACCCGCCATCACCAGCAAGGTCTCGTCCGCCACCCCCTTCTCCGTCAGGATATCGATGATCTGTTGCAACCACTGGTCGATATATCCGATGGTGTTCAGGTACTTGTTGATGTCCTCATTGGAATTGGTATTCTTGGAGGACACCATGTCCGAATACGTGTCATTGGGCATCCCCCAGGGGTGATGCGTCGTGCCCGTCAAATGCGTCAAGAACAGCCGGTTGTGGTTGCGTTCCGCATCATCAATCGCGTCACTCACGTAATCTCGGAGCACCATGTCCGGATATCCATAGTAGTTCACCTCTTTGGACCGTATGGGGAAATGCGTCGCATTGGGCTTTTCGAGCGACTCTTTGGTAACCACGTCATGGAAGCCCAGTTTCGGAGTGAGCTTGTCCTGGTTGTCGTACGTCTCCGTGACAGACTGCATCCACGCTGAATGCCATGGCCAGGAGCGGAAATCGGCTTGGTCGACTGGCCTGTCGGTGTCCACATCATCTTGGTGGTTGAATGCCTCCAGGACGTGCGGCATGCAGGGTTGGTAGATGTGGTGGTCATATTCCCGGTTGAAGTCGGCGACTAATGGGGTCACGCCGCACACGGTTCCGACTAGACTTTTCAACGTGTAGGTACCAGTTGTAAACGCATTGCGAGCACTGATGCCCCCGTATGAACGCCTGCCATAATCATGTTCATTGTCGTGCCCGAATCCCGCGTCGAACCCAGTCAAAAATTCGGCTGTGCGAGTCAGGTTCGCGATCCGCTCCTGGACTTCATCTGGGATCTTCTTATCCTGATAGGTTCGCGCAATGCGGTTCCACATGAATTTATCCTTGCGCAAGGGGAAGACATCGCTGCGGGTGCTTTCAAGCTTCAGAACAATAACATGTTTGATTTTGACGTTCCCATTGGACAAGGTCTCTTGCAGAGACTCCAGGACCGGGTTCTGTAAGTTGGACACATGGAGCGGATCCTTCTCTGGATCGTAGTGCAGCCGAGGCTTGTCGCCTTTCTTCCAATCTTCAAAGCCGGGGAGTCCATCCTTGGGCAGCCAGCGCCATTTGGGTGACTTGTTTAGCGTTGAGCGACCTTCGAGCCATCCATAATCGCCCGGCAACCCACCGGCGCGGACAGGAGAATGTCGATGGCCGCCGATAAAAGGCGCTAGAGGAAGAGCTTCTGACAGAAACATGTATGAGGGATCCCAGGGTCGAACACAGCGGAGCAGAACAAGGGACAAGAAGGGAACCCAGACTGCCATCTTTGTGAGGATCGAATGACCCCGCCTCACAGGTGGCACTTCGCCGTAAGGTTCCAGAAGATGGATGGACGAGCCATCATCACTTTTATCATCGAGGTAGTCGTCCACGGCAATCTGCTCGTAGATCTCGGGGTCGGGCAAAGGTGCGGTTCTGGGACGGAGCGCTCGAACACAGCTCACACACCGCACTAGACATTTAAAAGGTTGTCCGAGTATGGTGAGGATTCCGCCGACGATTCGGTGTAGAGGAGCTGCCAGGAACCATGCCACGGTGAGCAAGATACCCTCGACGATAAGGAAGCCGGTCAATCCTGTCAGGAGTGTGCGCATAGCTGCGGCGTCGCGGTGGAAGGTGGTGGCTTGTCGCCAGTGGATCTCGGCACCGGTGACGATGTAGAAGGATGTGTTTGCGGCGGTCATTCCGGACATAATGAGGCTGCAGATGTCAGCTTTACATGCGCGTCCATATCCTTGCGTCTCCCCATTGCCTACCTGAATGGAACAATCACCAGAGCAGACAGAGCTGCAACAGAACGCCAGTGGAATTTGTGAGTGAAGAACCGGATGAGGAGGGTAAGAATCACATCCTGAAAGAAAAAGGTGGGACCCCAAAGGAAGAACTTGGGGGGAGGAAGGGAGTGGATGTGGGCGTAGAGATGGAGCAGTTTGGCGCCGAAGAGTGCAATGAAGGACACGGTGAAGAAATAACGGCGTGTGAACTCCCAGGTATAGTCGAAGAAGTCACCGGGGGATGTGCGCAGACGCTGCAGGGCTGGGCCGCAGCGACGGAGGGGATTGAGGAGCTTCATGGTGCAGCAGCAATGTCACAGTATCTCAGCAGCAGACAGACCGCATGGCACCACCGATCAGAGTCTACACCCATCGATGAAGGGTGGGTTGGACGGAGATGGCTCACACCGGGATATCAACCCGGGATGATGAGGGAAGCCGTCAAAGGATGAAGAAGAGGGGGAACAGGGAAAGGGTCAAAGAGGGGAGAAGAAAGAAGAGGAGAAAAAGGACAAGGACTGAAAGACGGACGCCATGATGATTATGGAGGGCTGAGGGGGGGAGAATTCCTTCAGAGCCAGACAATCCCCGAAAGAGCCGCAGTCTAGTCTCATTAACAGTTCACAGCCCCGAGACAGCACCACTACTAGTCACTTGGTAGTCGAGAGTTGGACCCCAACCGTCACGATCATTTGGCATTTTTGGAACACTTCAGGCGAACTCTAATAATAATGAAGGCTGGTTCGTCGTGGGCCGGGCTAGCAGAGTCCCCGTAATAATGGCGGCCGTAGCCCGTAAGATTGCTCGGCCAACCCAAGTACACTTGGGTTGGACCCTGAGGGCCCTGGACCCTTATGCCCCACCTTTTGGTCCGTCGTCATTGGCCGCCCAAACGAAGCTGAGTAAAATTAGAACCCGCGGCGCACCCGGGGAACCAATCGGACACCCACGCCAAGCCATCAAAACCCTGGGAATCAGTCTGAGACAGGGGAAATCTTAACTGAAATTATCGGTCTTGTGTTCCGGGTCCCCAACTGCGACAGGAGGATGCAATTGTCATGCTGCCCTCTCCTGGGAATCTTCTCTCCCTGGATGACCCGGAAGATTATACTGCTTTCTTCCTTGAATGGTAGATATTCAGAATCGGACCTGAAAGCAGTTAGGAACACGTGGTGACTGGTGGGATTGAAATTGAAAGACCGAACCCAAAAAAGGCCGGCAGCGTGACCACATTCCTTTTTCGAGTGCCCCAAGCGGGGGTTGTTCCCGCCCCTCCTCCAATGACCAGCCGAGGACGGGCTGACCGATCCACTCTCCAGGCTTCCAGAGAAATCTCTCATTCATTTCTTTCATAATTCACCTCTCTAGGGAGTAAGTAGGAGTAAGTAGTCTTTCTATTACCTACTATTATCCAATCTATTGTGTCTTTCGCCGTTCCACCCCCCCGTGTCACTCTACCGACTCCAGTCCCGCCACTTTGACCGCTGTCTCACCCCAGTGCAGTGTTACATCGCCTCAAAGATGCTTTCTCTATTGTCTGGCATCCCCGCCCCCTTTATGCAGTCAAAGAGGCCCCCAGTTACATCATCAGGCCCTGTCTTCCAGTAAAGTTCAACGCAACAGGCTACCGCGGTGCAGTGAACGATGTAATTTCCTCCGGATGACGCGAGGGCAGCTCTCCCCCGCAGAGGACTGAATGTATTCTACACAGTAACCCTTCCACCGTTGGTCGGAATAGCTTTCCTTGCTCAGACGACTTGTCCGGGCTATTAGACCCATGTTGGAAGAAACTCCGGATGGGAAGGCCCATGAAAATGAACGATGTGCTTGGCGCACGGCGGTCCCGCCCGATGGCTGTCTCTGAAATCTTAACCCCGACTCACTTTGTCTCTGTGATGCTATTAACAGGTACAAGTGGATCTTGGGAGATCCCTTAGCTACGAACCTGACAGCAATAGAGGACTCAACACTTTGAGTGGATTTACCGACCGGCACGGTTCCTGTCGCTGTGCTCGACGGGGGTTGTTAATCGCAGGTACAACAGAGTAATCCACGATCCCTTTTCTGTTGTTGGGAGCTGGACAGGCACCTGCTTAGAAGGCTCTTGTTGATGACCTCATTTTGGCCCATCATCGATTGTGGGGTATAGTCACGGGTCCATTGATCGACGGCTACCGGTCTGACTGTGCGAGGCTGCGAGCACATGTCATGAAGTTCAATTAGAGCCTAATCCAACCAAAGTACCCGCACCGGGCACTTCCTATGTACATTTTTCTATCTTAAGTGCAGGCCGGTCTCTCCCACGTGTAACATGGCGGACGGAATGTTGCAGGATCACTGTAACTGCAAGGCATTCCTTAGCTGTGGCGCTTGCTTGGCGGGAGCACGGTGGACTGTTATTCCTGCAGCCAAGACTGGCATCGGGCTGTGCCAGACTGATCTGCCTGTCTTACCCCCCCGAATGTTGTTGAGGGCGTTGTGTTTCACTTCCATGGATTCCGATCATCTGGCATAGAAGTGGCACTCCTAAGTGGATATATTTATCCCGCCAAGGGATCCCTTTGGTTCACCCCCATCCCATACATGGCCATGATGCTTGATTGTTCACCAAGTACCGCATGCATTGGCGGTCATATCGTCTGTCCAGATAACAGGTTCTCTGCTCAGGCGTCTCCGCTCAGCGGTTCTTTGTGACAATAAAAGATTTGCCGGTGTTTGAGAAAGGCGATGGCGCGAAAAATTAAATAAAACCACTGCCACAACCACCAGTGAGTCTTCCAGTCGGGTTCCACTCAGGCTTGGTTTGCGCAGAATGAATAAGACTAAGCAAACGAGCTAACACGTAGTGATCTTGAGAACGTTGATCTATCAAAGCATTGGAATGACGCAGACTTGGGCTTGTGGCTATTTATACAGAAACCAGGAAACTCCTCAGACCCTGAGACCGATCCCAGCAATCTCAACGATAGAACATCCTGGTGCGTGGGTGACGACCTATACTTTTATGGTGGCACCTTGAGCACCTTCGCTCAGCCCATGATCGTGCCGCCGACCGAGACGTGGAAGCACAATATTGGTAATGACAACTGGACCAGGAATGACTTCAACGGCGTGCCAATTACCCGGTTGGCGGATTGTCTGATTGCCCAGTCCTTCGAAAAGAAGGCTTTGTACCTGGGTGGGATTGTCTCACTTGGAGGTGATCCCAACCTGTAAAACACGGACGGAGCCATGACCTACATGGTAAACGGTCTTCTCAACCTCGAAATGGGTAATATGACTTGGAATGACTTGTCAAGAGTGGTGCTAAATACTTACAACACCGTTGCTGTCGGATATTTGAACATAATCGACACTGTTGGTGGATCGGGGGTCCTAGTCGCGTTTGGCGGATATAGCTATTCAGTTGGAAGCGCGTCGAATGCTCTATATACCCTAACAACCCCAGGAGCCCCCCTTAAACTCTCACAGAAGTAGAAAGGTCTAAAAAATATGAAGATCTCCCAGCGAGATATCTCAGTGTTAGAAGTTCTCTGACCCGTTATGCTAACTTCGGAACTTGTTGGAATTGCAACCCTTAATATCTAGACCCCTGGCAGCTGGACCATAAATAGGCAGAACCCGGATATCAAACTGCCGGAGTATGGGCCCGCCGGCGACTGGTTGGTGACATACGACCTGGAAAATCTATTTGAGGAATGTAGTTAATATGTTCTGCGGATGTTACATCCCCAATGACTGCATACGGCAGTCAAATGGCAACTGTCGCTTCTGCCACCACTATGGGTTGACAACCCGTGTGACTAAACTGCGAGCTTTCATTGGCCTACGTCACCCGAAACTTTGCTCGAAGGCTGTCGACACTCCAAAGGATGATGGAGAGACGGGTGCTGAATACTATCAACAGATAGATCTGTTGCACTGGGCGTAAAATAGTGGTGGGGTACGGGATTGGACGCTAAATTCCAGGGGGATAAGTCAAGTGACTCTTGATTTGTTTCTGATGATCAAGATTTCTTAGATGTCCTAGCTTCGGGGGGGTTGATGCTGCAGACGGATGCGCCGACAAGGAACGCGTGCATGAGTGCCTTGATCTGCAGGCATCAGTGCTTCCATCAGAAACGTTCATGGAAACCTGACAGACGCTTCTATCACTTCGCTGCAACACCTGCTTAACTTGCTTTTGTGTGAAAAAAGCGACATGTCGTATGGGAATTGGCTTGGGCTAAGGGAGGTAGCATTGGGTGTCGAAAACGCCAGGGTGGAAGGAGGATAGATAGCGTGTGTGTTTTTTGCTCTGTTTTTGTATAGTAGGTAGCCGAAACTATCTACCTCCCCTGAAGGCTCAAGCCCGCTTGACTGCCACGGTGTTCTCTTGATCCTTAAATGCTTTCATCAACAGTAGATAGGTTTAGGGTGAAGAGTAGGAGTCGATGGTTTTGGACAGTGATCACTAAACTTTGTACAACCTAAACTGATGCCTCAGTCTCCTGCGAAACAGAAACTAGGCCAAAAGAGGATCAGGTCAGTCACGTGCCAATTGCCAATGTAGTACGGGCGAGGTATGACTCTCGACTCTTGACTTCACATCCCACAATCCCCTTTCACGAAACCAACTGCATCGCTAGCTGCGAGAAACCCACATATTCAAGCAGATCAAGTGTGACTGACAGGTGCATCCCTACCCCACTACCTCCACCCCCGCGTGGTGCGCAGATAGCACCCCCCGGCCACCATGACCAGTCCCAACACCAATGTCGTCGTGCTAACCGGCATCTCCTCCTTGACTCGGGCGATACACGCTGCCTTTTTCTTCTTCATAAACTCCGCTCCAGTGCCCTGAATGAGGTAGTCCGTCCATTGCAGCTGGGACATCTGCTCTTGATACTCCACCACCGTCCCCGGCCAATTGTTCGTGATCCGACCGTCTTTGGTCTTATACCAGCTCCGGCAGCTGGGATCGGCGAAGCTGGTCTTGGACAGTCGGTCTTGGATGCGTTCGTTGTATTCTCGTACCACGTCCGGTCGGGGCTGTAGTGCCAAGGACTGGCCTTTCTCCTTGGATTCGACGACTGCTCCAACCAACGTGCTCAGATACTTCGACTGTGCTTCAATCATCAAGATGATGGAGTTGTGGCCTATTTTGTCAGTACCCACCTTCTCTGCAAAGCTAGTACATTTTAGACTCACCTAGGTTTGTGTTAGGTCCGTATAGCATTCCGAAATTCGGCAGATCTTCTGCCACCACACCACGATACGCCGTGGCTCCCCCTTTCCAAATATCCTCGAGCGGTCGACCGTGGGAGCCATATATTTTTATCGGCTGCAGGAACTCTGAAGCGCGGAACCCACTCGCCAGAACGATCAGGTCGTAATCCTGATTCCCGTCACCCTCTGTTTGGATGCCCGTAGCCGTTATACGCTGGATTGACCGTGTCTCGAGATCAACATGACTGGAATTCAGCGTCGGATAGTAGTCATCGCAGAAGAGAACGCGCTTGCATCCAAAGGAGTATTTGGGTGTCAAAGCCTCCCACAAGTCGGGCTTATCCGGTAGGTTGGATCTCATCCTCGCCAGCGCCCACTCCTTGACTTGGTGGGCGGTGCCCGATTCAGGATTCGTGACGGGACTATATGACCATTCCCTAATCCGCATAATCATGGCTCGCTTGCACCAGCGTACAAGAGGCACATAAGTTAAAAGAAATCGCTCCATGGCAGACACGGGCTTGTTCCCGCGTAGGAAGATCCAATTCGGGGTGCGTTGGTAAACGGTGAGGTGAGAAACGGTTTTGGCCATTTCGGGAACAATCTGGGCCGCGGTGGCGCCTGTCATGGCCTTCAGTCTCGGATGTTATGTGCGCGGGCCTGGGAGACATACCGCTGCCAATTACAGCCACTCGTTTATCTGCAAAGTCATAGCCCCAGTCCCATCTGGCGGAGTGCATCATCTTGCCGGTGAAATCGTCCAGGCCCGGGATTCTAGGATAGCTGGGTATATTGAGCTGACCGACGGCCGATATAAGGAAGTCGGTGGTAATCTCGTATGCCTCCTGGAATTGGCTATCCTTTGCGCCAGTCAGGGCCACCTGCACCTTCCATTGCAGCTGACTGTCGTCCCAGCGCGCTTCCTGCACCATCGAGTTGAACCGGATGTACCGATAGAGGCCGTATTTCTGGGCAATATCCGTGAGGTATTCCTGCGAAACCGTCAGTCACCAAGACTCCCGGCAAGTCAGAACTCATTACCAGTAATTCTTTCTGACGAGGGAACTCCTCCGTCCAGGTGGGACACTGCTCAAATGAAAAGCTGTACAGCGAGCTGCGGACTAATAACGGTCAGCTGCTCTAGTCGGTTGTATTGGTGAGTCGATAGTAACCATCGCATGCAGCGCCGGGGTATCGATTGTCAGCCCATGTTCCTCCGACCCTGCTTCCCTTTTCAAGGATGATAATGTTGCGGGTGGGCGTGCGGCGGAGAAGGTCGATCGCCATGCAAATACCTGGTGGTGATCAGTCCATGTAGTCCATGGCACACGGGTATTGTACCTGATATGCCGGCGCCGACGATGACCACAGTGGAGCGGGTGAACCGATTGTTCCCTACATGCTGCGAAGCCTTGGACGACATGGTGGATGCCGATGGATCCTTGAATCCCTCGAATTATGAAACGTCAAGGTTGAGACCACTGCTGGTACTGGCCTGGGGAACAGCAACCCCTTTAGTGTTCATCTCGTACCCCGCTCGCATCGGACCTCGGGTCAGTCGCCCTCCATTGTGAATATGCTGCACTGCGGGCAGGAGATAGTTTCCAGACCATCTATGCCCCATGCAAGCAGTGATTGGTTGCCTAACAGCTCCTGCATCCCCGGGTGGGACAGAGCAGCCCAGATTGGCGAGTAATCGGCCAGTGATCAGCATTCCTGGCTGTAAATAATCACGCCTGCCAGAGCACCAACCCGTTCTGGTTCACCGTGTGATCCGAAATATAAATTAAATGCTGCACATGTGCAGCAGCTAGTTGAGTACCTACTCTGCACGTCCGACCGTTGATGAAACCCTTCTCGCTACCCCCTTGCATGCGGTAATGATTACACCAAGGGCCGACCGGCAACTTTCTCTACGGCGCACCTAACGGAGATCATAGTCACGACCCATCAACACGTTGTTATTGTTGTTAACTATGTTCTGTCAGACATTCCCACAAACACTTCCACAGCCTTGTTTACCTCCATAGGACTGCTGAATACCACCGTTGACCGAGAAAAACCTCACAACTGGGATTCATAGGCATCAATGGCCCCATCAAATGCATCATCGACGTCCCCAGTCCCCTGGCGAATGGTCTCCTTGTCCGCGCCGACTGCCTTGCTCTGCAGCGCCACCGAGAGATTATCGGTCCGTACCTTAAGGTTCTGCAGGTTAGTCCGGACTGTCGCGCCCACGCCGGCGGAGACGAAAAGGGTTCTCTGTTCCAAGCTGTCAGTATACCGCACAATACGAAGCACAAACGATAAAGAAGGGTTCAAAGAGCCAACCTTGGTGACGAGGGCGGCGATCGAACCCCGGATAATCGGCTCCAAGGAGATCAGAGCTTCGGTCACGGTGTTGCTTTCAGCAGCGGTGAACACTGCCGTGCTGTTGGTGTCGGCCGTGGCTTGCTCTAGAGCCCTTTCGACAGCATTCTCGTGGGTTTGAATTTCCAGCGCAGCGGGCAATCCACCGTTGTAGCTATAAACGGCGGCGCTGAGAGTGCCAAGGTTGGTGTTGATGGCGGAAAGGTCACCGAGGACAGTGTCAGTGTCCCTCTTGATGACATGAGAGGTGGCAAGGGTGAGGAAGGTGAGGAGAGCGGTGCTAGCGATTGCGAAGCGCATCTTTGCGGCAGTGAATTGGGTTGTGTTATGGATCTGCTGTGCCGATTGTTGCGATGTCGCAGGGTGACGGGCTTTATATAACCGAATCCGCCATCAGCAACATCAACCCGGACCAGTCCGGTATGCGACTGTGATACTTCCTCATGGCAACCTGTATAACAGGGGTGAAATTCATCCGTTGATTAACTCCGTGGGTGTGATGTCTCAATGCTGCGAGCTTGTCTGAATCATTGCTCAAGGTGAAACCAATCCGCCCTCAACTGGAAATATGGGCTGGTTTCATCATAGCGGATGGGACATTGAAGCTCCCGAGGTGTGCGATGATATTGTTACCGACCCCTGCCTATCGGATGTACAGAGGTAACCATCAACGTCCTGGTCGGAAATTATTGGTTTCACGTGGGGTACAGTTCTTGTGGATGGTGCACCAGGTACGGGAAATATTCTCACTCCTGGCGTTTGCGTTGTACCACGGTGTGTTGATGCTAGGTTCATGATACGCACTGGTTTAACGGCGATAACACACGTCGGGCGCACTGCCACGGGGCATAAATGACCGAAGAGATGGCTGGGAATAGGCAATAATGTGTATTCTGTCAGTTGATTGCCTGTTCTATTGCTTCCAAAGTCCGGGAAAGGGAATGTCCCGATGCAAAGGATAATCACCCGCAAAGCGATGATATCGAAAGGGAGGCATGATTCCAATAAAACACTACGTGGAGGTGGTACCATCAAACTGAACAGTCAACAACGGGGTAGATATCCCGGGCAGAACCCTTCCTCGAGGCAGAGACTGCCGAGACCCAGAAAAATCCCGGCGCATGTCAACTTGACGGAGGACACATCACCGCACGAGTGACAGCCAGTGTGGCGGCTGCTATTCAGGAAATGCACGATATCCTCAGGCCAAAAGAGGGGCCAACCTCGCGCGACGATGGGCGACTCAGACGACCAGACACCGACCGCGGCGTCTGCATTTGAGGCCCACGCGCTACTGCGACCGGTGGGAACTATTACGAGTCAGTCCAATAATAGGGAGGACACTGAGAGTCTCGCCGCCACAGTTGAAGCCACGAAACAAGCTGGCCAGTGAAGGAAGACAGACGTCGCCCACGCAGACCGGGTGGCTCCAGCTGGAAGGCATTTTGGGCATCTCAGCCGTGACCGAGGGCGACCTGGCGAATCAGCTTGACTCGTCAACTCCGAGCTGATTGGCCGCCATTGAGCTAGGGATGCACAAACAGGTGCTAACGTCAAGCTAGACGCGGGATGACAAGGTCCAGCTGCGCATGGATGGCCGCGATGTGGTCTATGAGCAGGACGGCAAATCCTGGCGTAATGCGCAGTGGAGGCCATCGGCTGGGCCATGGTTGATGAGATGATGACGGGGACAGAATGCCGAGGAGGTCAGTCGGCGTGGAGACCCCCGGTGAGCCCGGGTGCCGACCGTGTGGGCGCGACTTATCGGCCGGAATATTTCACGGGGCGCCCAGAATTTTGTTCTCCGCGGGGATGGGACTAGTGTGTCTTGGGAGTTGGGGGGAGGAGACAGAAAAGAGGGCCCAACTCCAACACGCGACCCTCAACCTGGGGATTTAGCCTAAATCCGGCTGCTGGGAAGGTTGGGTGATTCTGGCAAGATGCTACATTTCCCAACTCTAGTCTCGTCAAGATCTATTTATCTATCTGTTGAAGGGCATGAGGATAAGGTCCAGGTCAGAGCGACCAGCCAAAGTTAAAATTCCGGCCAACGCAGCACGTGGCGGGCGACAGGCTGTCCAGGCTGATTTGGCTCACCGGGCTGCAACATCATGACGGTAAAGACAACAACCGGGTCGGCAATCCTGCCTGAAGTCCAGAGGAGTGAGTCAGAGGAATCTGAATGAGGGCACCTCCACGGGGAGCCGACGATCGCCTGGAGTGCAGGCACGCTAGCCGTCATCCAATAATCTCCGGCCTGGCCCAGTTTCTGGAACTCTCCCCCGGCAATCACGGCGCCCCAAAGCTTGTCCGAGGCTTGCTTTCGCGCACAAAGCTTGCCTTCCTCCCGACACCGGACCGTCTGGGTCAGCTCGGCCTTTCCCCGAGAGATGGAGGGGATGGAGAAACCTGGAGTCGAAGCTGACGGTCGGCCCGTCTCATTGGCAGACCGTCTGCACCCTCACCGGCGGTGGAGTGCACATGGGCTTTGGAAACGTCACGAGGCATGATGCACTTTCCCCCCTGCTGGTGTCCCCGGATCCTTTTAACTTCGTTGTTCCCCATTCAACCGGTCAGTCTGTCTCCTGGTGTCGTCTTGCCTTGTCGTCTTGTTTCTTCCTCCTGCCGCGACCATGACAGAAGAAACCCACATTGGCGACCTGCTCGCCACCGATCAGAAGCATGAGATCTCTGACTCCCATCGCGAAACTCTGCCGCTTATCGTCACCGAGGAAGAGGCTTTGGCTCGCGCCAGAACCCAACCTGATGTCGCCCTGCCGTTACGCATTACTTTTGGTCCACATGATCGGGATAACCCTCGCTGCTGGGGGTACTGGCGAAAATGGTACATTACTTTGTTCGTCAGCATGCTGAACGTTGTCACGTATGTAGTCTACCCGCCTGTGTATCGTTGATACTAACCCACTGCTAGCACTTGGTCCTGCGGTTCCTTTTCCTCCGGTGCTACTGGCATTGCTGAGCATTTCCATGTCTCCACCGAAGTCACCACTCTATGTCTGTCCATGTATGTGCTGGGATATGCCATCGGACCTGTGTTGCTGGCACCACTGTCCGAGTACTTTGGTCGCCAACCCATCTATATTGTCTCTTGGTTCATCATGTCCCTGTTCCAGATGCCTCTGGCACTGGCTCCTAACATCGGCACCATTATCGTTTGTCGGTTCATCGCAGGCTTTGCTGGCGGCGCGCCGTTGACCAACACTGGTGGAACAATCAGCGATCTGTGGGAGCGTAACAACAGTGGTGGGCCCATGGCTTTCTACGGGCTCAGCAGCACCTTCGGGCCGCCGATGGCGCTCGTAATAAGCGGCTATATCGGACTAAACCTCAACTGGCACTGGATTTTCTGGATCATGATGGCCATTACCGGTGGTGTTTGGATCGCACTGGTCCTCACCATTCCGGAAACCCGCCACAGCATTATCCTGCAGCGCAAGGCTGCGCGCATCCGCAAGCAGATGGAACAGGAGGGTTTGCGCTCGGCCGCCACGACTACTGACCTCCACGCCGATGACCGACAGGGTCTGCACCAGCTGTTCGGAATCACCCTCACCCGACCCTTCCGCTTCCTGTTCACGGAGCCCATCACCGCCTTTTCGGCCATCTACAACGGCTTTCTCTACGGCCTGGTCTACCTCTTTAACGAAGCATTCCCGCTCGTATTTGGCTCGCCCAACGGCCACGGCTTCAACGTCGGCCAGCAAGGCCTCTGCTTCTTGGGGATGGCGATCGGTCCAATTGTCGCCTTTGCGCTGTATCCACTGCAGGAGCGTTACTACCTGCGTCGCGTGGCCGAAAATGAGGGTCGGAGTGTCCCGGAGGCGCGCATGTGGATGGCGCGCATAGGCTCACTGCTGATCCCGATCAGTCTGTTCTGGTTTGGCTGGACCAGCTACCGCTCCGTGCACTGGATCGTGCCCATCATCGCGTCGTCCTTTTTCGGCGCGGGTTTGTACATTGTCATCCTCAGTATCCTCAACTACGTGGTCGACAGCTACCAGACGTATTCTGCGTCCGCACTGGCGGGGGTGATTCTCGTGCGGAACATTGTGGGGGCTGGGTTTCCCTTGTTCGCCACGCAGATGTACGAGAAGTTGGATTACGAGTGGGCGTCCAGTCTGCTGGGATTTATCGCTATTTTGCTTGTGCCGATTCCGTTCATCTTTTTCTACATGGGCCGGGCCATTCGACTACGCAGTCCATGGGCCCGGGAACACTTTGATTCGAACGAGGATAGTCCGCACTGAGCTATAAAAGAATTGTAAATAGTATGACGTCATGTTTGAGCAAGCACAGACTTTCTAGTTTCTACCTCCATTGTAATTCGTGAAGCGTAGCGCTAGAAACACTACGTTGGATCCTGATGCACCTGATTAGATGGAGCTCTTTATATGCTCTCATGCTGCTCCTAGAATTTTAGATGCAGTACTAATACCTATTAAGATGCTTCACAGCACCTTGAACTATAGAAACACGACGCCATTTCATCCACAGGTCAGATCCTAATAATACACACCCCACACCACACCACACTACCCTCTCCCCATAGACATTATACAGAATGAATGACCTTAAGAATCTACCAAGGAACCACACCCCCCCTACTCACCACCCTGCCCACATCCCCATCGCACCCCCCCTAACCACATCCTGAATAAACTCCCCCCCAATACTCGCCTCCCCACCACCCATCTCCCTCACCATCTCCGGGTTCCCGCCCAAATTCGTCACCAAGAACCCGGGCATCACGCCGAATACTTTAACCCCGTCGGCTTTTAGTTTATGGTTCCAGTCGAGCATGAGCATGTTCAGGGCGGTTTTGCTGCATCGGTACCCGATTGTTTCGAAGATGATGGGTTTGGGCCACCCGGGTGGTTGGGGGGGTGTCGGGAAGTAGGATTCGCTGGCTTGGGTGATGTGCGAGAGGCCGGAGGTGAAGAGGAGGCGCGGGGAGGGGGAGGTGAGGAGGAGGGGGATGAATGTGTTGGTTAGGACGTGCGGGCCGGCGACGTTGGTGTTGTAGGCTTGGGTGAAGGAGGTGCGGAGGGTGCAGGTGGTTGGGGAGGAGAGGTGGGCGAGGTCGAATGTTGCTCCTGCGGTTTCGGTGGGTTGTGGTTAGGTTAGGGTTGGGTGGTAGGAGGTTTGGGGGATGGGATGGGGGAAGTACCCGCGTTGTTGATTAGGATATCGAGGCGTCCTGGGTTGGAGGAGACGCGTTCGTAGGCTTTTGTGATCGATTCGTCGCTGGTGAGGTCGATGGTGATGGGTTCGACGGTGTTGGTGGTGTTGGGGCATTCGGTTTTCAAGGAGGTGATTGCTTGGGTGCCTTTCTCGGGGTTCCGGCTGCCCAGGAAGATGTGGTAGGGGTTGGGGCTTTGGAGGAGGGCTTTGACGGTCTCGTAGCCGATGCCGCTATTGGCGCCAGTGATGAGGACGATTTGGCGGGGTAGGGAGGTCATGGTGGGTGTTGGATGGGTGGGATAAGGGAAGATATGGTGGAAGGTGATGTTTGGTGCATTGTGGTGGTTTTATATATGGTTTATGTTGCTTTGCTGGTGGTGATGGGTGGTGATGGGATGGATGGGGATATCGATGTGCTAAAGCCGCATAACCCGAGAGATGCTATCTCCGTCTGACGGGAGGCCTAGATCCCCGTTTGAAGAATCGGGCTTAGGATCTGGCTGCACAGGATATGTCCGATCTGGTCTCGACATGATGTCACTTGGGAGAGTGCTACCACTGGTGCGCTTCTCACGAGGATATATCCATCCAGTATTCAGTTCTTTGTTGTCTGAAATGGAACATGTTGGATTGCTGGGTGGGGATGAGGTCATTCCCCGGCCGTGCACAGTGCCTTTCCGTATGTGGTTAGCCTGTGAGTAATGATGGGGGTTATCCACTAGTCTGGTTTGGGACATGCGCTAAGCCGGATTAGCAATCGAAGGCAAATATTTCCATCCAACCCAGTTGTCGCTAGCTGTTGACAGCCACTGATGAGGGTTCTTGATAGTTTCGACAATATCCTCGATCTAATCCGGAAAATATGATCTAAATCTTGATTCTAGAAAGCGCGAGAAGAGCTCGCAAGCCCTCTCCCAGGTTGTGGCATCCGAAAGCGCTACCCAGTTAACTGCATCGGGGGGGTTTTCTAGCAAGTATGCTGCTGCATTAAAACTTTCCTAAGGGGAGGTCACTCTGGTGTCGACAGTAATATCATCCGACCAAATGATGAGGCTGTCGCAGAGCCCTTCTTCCATTATGTTCATATAATAGAGCTCATGCTTCATCTGGAAATGGCCACATCTTCCTCGCTTCTTCCGGGGATTTTTCATCCGCCATCCGATCGATAAACATGGCCAGCAACTCGCTGTTTTGTCTTCGCTTCTCTGCAAAATTCACCTGAGGCGCCACCCATCCCTCCGCATCAGTGTCCAAGCATTCTTGGGCAAGGCGCTGAACCTCATGCCAAGCTTGGTAATCGTGGAACTGGGCTTCGTGCGCTGAGATATCCTCTGCCGTGAAAGAAAACGGACAGGACCCCGTAAAACCTAGACCCGACCAGTTGTGGAAGATTTCGATGAGACAAGCTCGGAGTGGAATAACCCCAACCTCGGATACCTCTCCACAACGGGTAAAGAGTTCTCGGAAGACCCGCGGTACGTTCCTTGCATTGTGTGCAGGCCGATCTTCCAGGTAAGTGGAGACTTCATATGCTTTCGCCACCTTGGCCTGAGACCACTCTCGTCGAGCAAGCATCTTGTTCTCTTCGTCCATGGCATCAAAGCCGTTCGGGAGCTTTGGGTGGATAAGCCCTTCAGTATAGTTCTGTGGGGGCTTCAGGAATTCAGGCCACCGTGCCTGAAGAAACGCGGGCATTACTGATACAGACTGAAAATCAATTATAGATACTATCCGGGTACTGTCATCAGGCGCCACATAGATATTCCCCATGTGAAGATCAGTGTGCCTCAGCGTGGGCTGACTGGATTGGAGTAGTGATGGGTGGGAGTCCAGCATGGGCATGAGGCTTATGGTGGATTGTAGAAGTTGAGTTTGTTCTTCGACACTCCCCCGATAAAACATGGGCGGACCATTCAAACGGTTGATAGATATCCGAGATACCTCACGGTTAGCTATAGAAATACCAAGCTGTGATATGGTGGCCCCTGCGAATTGGTCAGCTTCAGTGATACTTGGAGTCCGGGGTACTCACAAGGGCCTTGGTTACTGCTTATGTCCGATTGGGCAGAGTCCGCAGCTGGCTCAATATGGAATGAACTGTCACAAGAGGGACCGATGCAGAACGCATTAGATGTATCGATACTGCCATCCAGTATCTGATATTGGTATTTTGGGTCCCGTGCATGTGCTCGTAGGTATAACCCACCATACGCCGGAAATCGAATAGCCGATAATTGGGCCTCAAACTTGGTCAAATTCTTGATAAGCTCTAGCCTTTCGATCTCCAGCATGTCTGCCCATTTCTGAAACAGTGGGACCCCCGCGGCTTTCTCCATTATGATGTATTCGGCACCGACAGGATTCGCACTGTCTGACGACCACGAAAGAACACGAGGAACTGGAATGCTGGTGTGCCTACGCACTACGCAAGTCGTGTAAGTAACGTGAGGCCGCGGTAACAAAAACAAGCACAGGAGATATGACGAAGAGAAAGGAAATGCATACCGTATTCTAAGACGCCTACCTCGGATGCTGTGGTTAGGCTTGCCGGTCCCGCGATGTGACAGGGAATCTTCGCAATGACCTCTACCCCGTTCTTTTTCGTCATCAACAGAGCCTTGCTGAAGCCACCCTCCATCTTCTCGATGGTTATTATTGGAGAGGAACCGTCCCCGACGGCAGCGGCGACATCGCAAAGGGCATCGAGATCGAAGTTCATGTAACGTCGATCAAGTTGACGTTGTTCGTCGACAAGGAAGTGGCCATTGGTATAAGCAACCAGTTCATCGCGACCGATGGATTTGCCTGATCTAATTATTAGGAAACATGTCATAAGTCACTGCGTTCAACTCGTTCATAACCAACGGGCAGTTACCGCGACAAAGGATGGACAGTTGAGCTCTTGGATGGTGGTATCGTATCCTCCCAAGGCTCCGAGAGATCGTGTACATGACGGGTTGCCGTCTATTTCTGGAGGCTCGCAACGTGGGGAAGTTTATTGTGATGAGATGAGGGAGCAGAAAGGTGAGGTGATGGAGAATGCAAGGGGGGGGAGCTCCCCAGAGAGATACTATACCGCAACGGGCTTAGCTCTACTGGACAGATCAGATGATAAAGCTAGTTCACATAGTAAATACCAGCAGAAGAACTTGTCTTAGCAAAATGAAATCAAAACACGAGCAAAGGAAGCCCAAAAAGTTCAACGTCGCGTTGAATTGATCCACAATGCCTCAAATCGTATTGAGTCCGCCTGCTGGTAGTGTATAACGGAAGCGTCAAGTGCAGTAGAAAATGTATGCTTGGTCCAGTTTCCCTTTCTTGCAGTCCGCTTGCTGGGGTGCATAGTTAGATTTTAAGAAGGTTAACTGGGAGTGGCCATACCTACCAAGAACCGCTGGAAACATGCCACCATCTCTGTTTCTTCATCCAAGTATTGTCTCTCCTCATCAGTGACAAGGTCCTCATCAAAGGTCTCTGCTCGATCAAAATCCAACCAGACCACTCTCTCAGGGTCATCTTTAACCACCATCATATTCCTGGGTTTTGGATCATCGTGCAGCACAAGTGCCCTATGTATCTCTTTGAGGCTTGAAATGAAATTCTGCATCCGCTGGGGTGTCTAGTTGTGGATATTGATCATTTCAAGGTTCGGAAGATATTCCAAGAAGATCGCGCTGGGGGGGTATTTATCGCCAAGGAACATTTTCAAATGCGGTTGGTATGGGGCAGGGTCAAATTTCCTTATTGATCCGAAGAAGTCCGGCACCAGCCCACGATCACACACCCCGTAAGCCTTCAATCGACGATAGGCAGTAGATTCCAGAACTTGAATGTCGAGCTCACGATCATCCGGTTCATATTACCTCGGAGGTCCCCGTCCACGATGCTGGGTTATATCAGTGACCCCTCCACGAGTAACTATGCTTGAGGCCAACTTGACGTACCACCTTCATAACACAGGTCATGTTACGAATAGTGACGAGAAATATGACGGAGAAACTTGATGAAAAAAGCTGTTTTTGGAAGGTGATTTCGGCCGGCTCGATATCGTTGAACTCCATTTTCTTGTTTTAAGGGCTGCCGAGACCTGAAAGTACCGGCCATTGATAAAAGGAGGCATGATTCTTGGAGATTGCTGCCGGCAGCAGGTTCCAGCAAGGGAGGATTGGCCACACGAGAATATATCACGTGATCGACGGTAATGACGGGTGCCGAGTCTATCGCGCCTGCTTTGCATTTATAGAGTAAAGGTAGGTCATTACAATATATTTCCATCAAGTCAGCGAAAAGCGGGCAAAGTAGCCCCATGCCTTGCAAAGGATGTCTACTTGGGACTCCACAGTCCTAGGTTAAATTTAAACCCAGGTGGATAAAGTATATCAAAGTGAGAAAGATTTGTACCATCGGGATCCCTGCAGCCACTATGTACCTGAACAATTTAATTACAACGCTCGACAACGACACTTGGAGACGCACACGATCTCCATGGAATCCAGATAAGCCATACATGAATATCTTGAACTGCTCCTGATCACAAGTGCCAACCATCAGGGCCTTCATCCTGGGCAGCGAGCATCCCTAGATACCACAATGCCAGGAGAACAGTTAGCTGCGGCTCTTCTTCTGTACCACCTCTGGTCCAGGGTATTGCCGGGGCAAGCTGAAGGTTGCCGTTGTTATCCACCCGTCGGAAAATCACCAGTTCGAGATCTGAGAGTATAAAGCCGTAGCGCGACCCATGCTGTTTCATGTAGTAATTGACTTGGCTGAGTGCCTGGCGGTATTCGGTGCGCAACGGAGGATCGAGGTGAGTTGCCAGAGCCGTACTCCATTTCCAAGAGGGCTTGATATCTCCAGGGGCACCGTTTGGACCACTACCAGATTGCAGCGCATCTATAAAGTAGGCAGTGTCCGGCTTATAGTTATCAATAAGCTGCGCGTATTCTCCGACATCAAACGAGACAGCTGTTATTCCATTGATTTGGTTAGATGCGGCTAGGCCAGCAAAGCTCACTCGGAGGCTGCGTCGTATCCTCGGAATGACATATTCTGAGATTTTGCTTCTGAGGGGGTTTTCCGCCATGATAGCTCGCGGTGGGGAAGTAGGCATATGCTCTCCAGGTAGACGAGTCTGCAGAAGGATATCCTGGTATCTATGTAGGATGGTTTTCAGGGTAAATTCTGGCCAGGGTGCAACGCTGCGGATGTCTCACGCCTTGTATGCCAAGTTCGTTGTGTTGCCTCTGGGGTTGCCACTGTGACTGATCGGAATTGCAGGTAGGGCATCTTGCAAGTAGGACATGAGAGGGACTTGATTCGCCATTTTAATGCAAATATCTAGTATTCAGAAGACTAAACAGGGCGGTTTCCAGTCACTCATAGAGGGATAGGTGTCCTTTATATGATGTCAGAGGACCTCATGGTCAAGGACTTTGATGGTAAGTAAACCCACACCTGGCAGTTCTGGTCGCTTTTAAGTGCGGGGCACTGCAAACAGACCCAAAAGGAGATCATGTAAAGAAACAAAGTCCAAGCAATGATCGCTCTGACAATATAAGCTGCAGCCCAGCCTTTGCGGTTGGCGCTAAAGATGCGAAAATCGAGGCTGCCTTGGGTAGACGTGGCAGCGGTCCATGCGACCGCCTGTCCGATCAAAGAGCCCAACCGTATTAGCAGGGTCAAAGAGTTAGGGGCCAAAGTCCTGGAGTGAATGTGGTAGGACTTGCAGGTTGCAGATGCAAGGCTGTCGTCGGCGGCAAGCATCATCCCCGCCCCTCCAGGAAAGGCAGGGACCCCGATTTTGGTTTGTTAATTTACCGGCGTGAGATCCCCCAAAGCCAAACCAAAGGCCTCCACCTTTTCCAGTACTCAGTAGTAGTGTCATTGGACAGATAATGCACGTAATAAGGATGGAGCTGGTTGAGGGTTAACATCTGCGGGCAATGAGTCTGTTGGCGGCATAGCGGGGTCAGGCCGCTTACCATCATAGCTTTCCGTGCTCAGGGCCACCATTACTGATTGGTGCCTGTCACATTGTAACGCGCCATGGGCATGACACTTCACGCAGTTTGAAGAACAAATCAAATCCCAATACCGGGCACCCACTCTTCATGTTGAGGCACGCTAAACAACATGGTTCCTCTTCCTTCGATAGCCAAGTATAACTTCTGTAGAGGCTTTGCTGCCTGGAATGATGCCTGGAGTCCTGCACCTCGTAGGTAGAAAACATCGTAAGAATGTTAGTAGCCCTACGCCCATAAAAGGCTGGGGCTATGCTTTCATGTCAAAGTCATTCGGATTGACCCCGTCGTTAAACATGATCAAATCCAATTGATCCTTATTTTCCGCAAGCCTACACTATCGACGACCCTCTACACAGATCCCAAAGTCTTCACAAAGACCTCGTGTTCTGACCACCTCATTTTGTTCACACTTTACATAAACAGGTGAGCAACCTTATCAAGCTTATCAAGCCTTCTGGCACAATTCAACCTTCAAGTAATTGTCGCATTATACCATTCCAAGCAATGTCTCTCATCACCGACGATCTTCTCCTAAAACTATGGGAGAAAGCCCAGGAACAATCTTCCGATGCACGGGCCTCAGCAAAGCTATGGAACCATCTATGGGGCAAACACTTCTTCTCTGAGACAAACTGGGTTCTTTCCCAGAAGACTGTGGAGAATGGTGATCGCCAACGGGTGGATATCACCATAGAACGTATGGGGGAAGATGGGAACTTGACAGTTGTTGTCTTTCATGAAGCGAATGCATTGGAGGCAGTGCCTAAGGAGGTTCAGAAGGCTGAGGGGCGAGTCTATGATGCTTGTATGAGGTATCTCGGTGAAAATCCCGGGTTGCAGTTTGCGTATGCGTTTACTTCATCTGGATCAAAGGGGAAAGCATGGCGGTGCGTTCGTGGAGGCGATCGGTTGTTACTCCTGTTTGAGGATCATAGTCAGTACGTTGAGGTACATTCCCAGGAGGGTGAGATTATCAAGCGAGCTGCCCAGGAAATGAGGCTGCCGATAGCTACGTTACCATAGTGGCTAGTTAGTCGACTAAACTCGTGGATTTATAACGTGGGATGGAGATTGAATGAACAACCCTGTAATTTCGTCCCACTAAAAAGTATGGTGAAACTTCCTAGTACTTATTCACAATATATGCTTATGATATCACCAGACTTACCACCAGACCACCAAGCCATAGTGCCGTAATCTGGCAGTCTCTGCCATCCACCTGTGGAGAAACTGGGTCCCAACTCTTGGTTGCTGCTTCCAATGTCCTTAATGTACGGGTCTCCATTGACAACACCGACTTCATAGTTGATAGGCCAATGGACCTCCTGTCTCATATCGCATTGCCAGCGGACCTGCCCAATGGATTCAACATGTTTGTCATTGTAGAACAAAAGAAGGCCCAGGCAGGGATGATGTGGCTGTGATCGGTCCCTGCAGACCTGCACTTTCACGAGACCTTTAAGTGTGGCCTTGGACAAGTACCAAGTAAGACTTCTGTATTTCTCAACTTGGTCGGGAACAACTGCCGGGGTTCGCATGGAGGATCCACAGGCAGCGGCTCTAGAGTCCCGGTATTGTCCGGGCCACTGCATGTTACTCCGAAAGCGGAGATGCATTTAGAATCTGGGTCTAGTCCATTATGAATGAACCCCGAAATAGACCCGTCACCAGGCCTGACCAAGCGACTGTATTCATATACATCTTCAACACGGAATGGGTATAGGGATCCGAAGACAACGATACGTCCTAGGGATGTTTGTAGCTTGCTGGTCAGTCATTGAAGTAGACCAAGAAATGGCAGTCTTACCACCACGACAGGGGGTCCACAGATTCTTTTCCACCGCCGGATCCAAACCCCTGTGATGAGTTCCTGTCTATTGAAAGGGAAGTATATCCAATGGTTATAGTTGGTCGTCATGAGCCGATGCATCACCATCAAGTCGACAAATTCCTTGAATGCTTTGGACGTTCCGGAGAAATTGTGAATCCCAACAGCCATTCTGTCATCACAGCAGACAATGAGACCTTGGGTATGGGCATCAAGTTTCATGTAGTGTAATCGACGGCGGTTCAAACCGTCTTCGTGGTTCAACGGGTGGAATTTTGGTGGGAAAGGAGAGGTCCATAGCGTTGGAGGGTCGGTGATACCCCATGGCGTGATAGGACAGGGTTCAAGATAAATTCCTCTAACAAATAGGCCCTACATCTGTCAGTCCTGTTTATCTATTGATGATCGACATCCATACATCGAAGCTCACATAGGCCTCTGGATGAGGATTTTCCGCTTCAAGAACATCGTACCATGGTGACTGATCTAAGGCAGGGCTCGAGTTCAGATTCAGAAGTTGTAATCCACGCAAACCGATCCCGTCGACTGACAGGACAATCTTGCTATTAGTATCCGGAGCTTTTATAAGAGACACGTCGGAAGTAGATGATGATTCCAAGGGGCTATTGCTAATGCCAGTCACATAAGAAGCGCCTCGGTAATCTATTCTCGACATCCAGATGTCCCGGGTGAGGTCGAGCTGTGTACACTGGATGTTGCGGTTCTGTTTCATGTGTTGCAGCAGCCGACGGTGCTCACCAAGGACAGTTAAGTACCAGCACGGCCCAATCATCTCGGCTATGAGGATCAAAATTTCTGGCGGTAGTTTCCGGAGTAAGTCCTGGCTGAAGGTGTTCTGGATGATGTTTGTTGCGTGCTCGCTGAGGAGGCCTTCCAAAACCGACGCTACTACCTCATGTTTGGTGGAGAGGGGTTCAAAAGTGGGCTTGATAGCAGCAGCAAATCTTCCCAGATCGCATAAGATGGGTCCATCGGAAGATCTATCGGTTGATTCTAGAAGTTCGTAGCAAATTGGATGAAACCAAATCCTTGGGAATGGATAACGTCTGCAGTCGACGCATCCGTCCCTACAACGAGGGACGATCCAGGTTTGTGCAATTGGATCTGTGTCATCGGGCCATGCGGATAGGTGTCCAGGACACGCACCGATGATAAGGGTTCCGGGGGCTGAAGGGGTTTGACACAGCAGGCATGTAGTGTTCGAGGCATGAACCTCGTGTCTTGACAACGGCATTGTTTCTGTGTTGCAGAGGAGTGAAGTAGCTTTGGCGGGGAGGACCGGAGGTTGTCGTGGGTACAAGTCTGTACGGAGGTAATCAACTCTACGCCTGGAGGGACGTAAAGTGTAGTCAGTGTTACGTATTTGGGCCCATTCACTTTCACTGACATGTTAGTCATCCCTTCATATAACTATCTCCTCTCTGTCTTTCAAAGTTGTCTTTCTGCCCAACACTTAGAACAATTCTAAGGCAATTTCTCTGGTCGGGAATGATGACTTTGATGGGTGTGGTATACTACCGCCATCAGTGATATTGTGGGATGCTAATGAACGATGACTGTGAAAAGCATGACTCCCTCGCAAGTTGTTAGAGAAAATATAACCGGCACTAATGGCATGTTCATCCTGGTAGCTTCCGAACCAACGTTGCTCAGTGGCTTGCCCAGCCAGCCCGACCTCGTATCCATGGATCCCTCGTGTCGTTGGCGATGACTAACCCCACCACCATTACGATGCAACTCTATTACCACGACACGTGAATTTCCTCCCGGTCACCCCTTCATCTGTCCATCTGCCTAACAGCACCGCGATGGCCTTTTATCCCGCCGCGCGACATCGCCCGCACCGCAGCATCCACGACCCGGCGGTGCGGCCCCTGCGCCTGACCGTCATCAAGGCCGCCACCATCAACCTGCTCATCCTGCAGCTGCTCTTCCTGGGCCTATTCTGTTACCTATTTGGGTCCATCTTCCAGCAAACCACACATATCCACAACCTCAATGTCGTCTTCGTGGACTACGACGGTGGAGCAATCGGTCAGGCCATCCGCGCCGCCTACCAACAGCTACAAGGGTCCGGCTTTCCAACCCTCCAGGAGCAATCCCCAGACGCATATCCCAGTCCCAGCTCCATCATCTCCTCTGTCTGCAACATCCACTACTGGGGAGGTCTCTACACTTCCCCCAATGCCTCCAGCCGCTTATCCGCCACACTCACCGGCGGCACTGCCGCCACCAGCTACAACCCAAGCGACATCCTCACCCTAGTATGGAACGAAGCCCGTTATCCCACAGTCATCGACTCAAGCATCCAATCCACCCTGCAATCCCTCTCCAACGCAGCCCGCATCGCCTACACTCAATCCAACGGTCTCCAGATCCTCGACACCATGAACCGCACCGACACCGCCGCCATCTCCGCCCTGACCAACCCCTGGACCCTATCCTCCATCAACCTCCAACCCACCACCCAAGGCTCCCGACTCATCTACAACACTCTAGTGATCATCCTGATCTTAATCCAAGAATTCTTCTACCTCGGCTACCTCAACGGCCTATACCAGCAATTCCAACTCTATGTCGCCGTCGACGCCCACCGCATCGCCATCGCCCGCCAACTCCTCTCAGTCACATACACCTTTATCGGGTCCCTCTGCACCACCGGCGCCATCTGGGCTTTCAGGCATGGCTGGCACGTCAGTGGAGGGCAGTACATGCTCACTTGGATGACATTGTGGCTGTTCGCTCATCTCAATTTCCTAGTTCTAGACATGTTTACCATTTGGCTTCCCCCGCCGGTGGTACCCATGGCGTTGATATCATGGGTGGTGTTGAATGTCACTTCGATTCTGTTACCGTTTGAATTATCTCCCGGTTTCTATCAATGGGGATACGCTCTCCCCGCGCATAGTGTGTTTCAAATCATGGTGGATATCTGGTCCGGGGGATGTAATCCGCAGTTGGAGTACGCGTTGCCGGTGTTGTTTGCGTATGAGGTGGTGGGGTTGGTGGTGAGTACGGTGGGGGTGTATCGGAGGGCGCATTATGCCGTGTTGGCGCAGGAAGCGAAGGCGGAGAAGGAGGGACTGGCTGTTGCTGGTGAGGGAGAGGGAGAGGGAGAGAAGAGGTCTGAGGAGACACCAGAAGCGTCTGGAGAGGGAACAGCCGCGGAATCAGACGAACTGCAACGCCAGGAGACAGACACAGAAGCTCTGGGCGACCGCATCAAACAGGAAATGTCACGGCTGGAAAGGGCCACGACTAGTCGACAGAGCATGGGGCCGGCTTTTGATTTGCCGTATACTGAGTAAATCACCCAACCTTATATCTATCTACGCTATATATCATCAATATAACCCCCATTACACACACACTCGCTACTCCAAATTCTCTAAATCTACAACCCAAAATGCGCAGAGTATACTACTCAAATAACCCATCCCAAACCCCCCTCCACCCCTCCCTCTTTCCCCTCCCCCCATAACCCTCTCATACTCATCAATCTCGTCCCTCAACCCACCAACCCCCAAATCCGCCTCCCGGGGCCAAACATACCTCGTCCCCCTAAATACCTTCCACCCCACCCCCGCCAGAACAAAAAACCCCACCATGGTATAATCCAAGAAAAAAGTCGTGGTATCCCACTCCCCATGAATAAACAACTCAAATCCCAATATCAACGTCATGATTCCTGTCCCGAAGACAGCGTACCACGCTGCGTAGGGTTGGAAGTAACCTTTGTAAGGAAGCATGTCGCGGGGGATATTTTGCACCCGGAGAGCAGAGTAGAAGTGTAAGTATGTTATGCAGGTCCCGAGGTAATTGAGCAGGTAGGAGGCTGTTATTACCCCCACCAGCCAGGTGAGAACTGTGGCGGAGGAGGTGTTGACTTGGAGGAAGGCGAGACAGCAGAAGGACAGGGAGAAGAGGATGGCGTTGTAGGGGAGGCCGTGGCGGTTGCAGTGGGAGAAGAAATGGGGGGCTTTGCCCGTCAGGGCCATCCCGTGGAGGGTTCGGGCGGCGGAGAAGACGAGGTTGTTTCCTGCTGAGAAGACGGAGGTCATGATTAGGAAGTTGATGATTGAGGGGAGGATAGGGATGTTGAAGTGCGTCATGGAGATTACGTAGGGGGAGCTGTTGACCTGGTTAGCATGAATACTTTGGGGGGGTGGGGGTATGGGTACGGACGCTGCTCCAGTTCCACTGCCTTTTCGGGTTCCGGCGAGAGTGGCAGCCAGGATGGGATCGTTGTAGGGAATCACGATGCCGATGCAAAGTGCCCCCAGGATGAAGAAGAGCATTAGACGCCAGACGAATGACGAGTAGGCTTTGCGCATGACCCGTCGGGGTCGCTCGGCTTCGGCGGCTGCCATGGAGATGTACTCGGGGCCGACCATTCTGCTGCTATTAGTACTAGTACTGAGTTGCGAGAGAATTGGCTGTACCTACGTGAAGGATGCTTGAACCATGCATACCAACACACCGCAGAAGCGACCGACGCTGCCAGGGACGATGTATGATACGAATGCACCCTGTATCTTGGTCAGATGGGTAGTTCGTCAGGTGGTATACTTACAGGATCATTCCAGTATCGAAAGCCGTATGCATCGTGGTCCGGATTTCCTCCCACCATCGTGATAAAGGTATACAAAATCAGACCCAGCATTAAAATGATTTTGAAGAATGAGAGGTAGAACTCAGACACGCCGAAGTAGCGAACTGTAAGGGTGTTCAAGATCCTATCCCCATTAGCCTTTTTGTCGATTTACTGCAATTGGGGACGTTACGCATAAAGAACCATCACAATCACCACCACCGCAGCAACAGGAACACGATCCGTCCAGTAGGTCAGAAGCACATTGAGCGCGACAATCTCGTATGGGATCCCAAGAGCTATTCCCACCATTAATCCATATCATATGACACAAACCGGAAATAAACATACCCATAGTAAAGAAGAAATTCCACCCCATCGCAAAGCTCAATGCATCATCGACCCAATGACCCGCCAACCGAACAAACGGAGACGGGATAGGCAAGTAACACACCATTTCCGCTTCACCTGCGTCAATCATCCATTCCACTCATGCCTTTGGATAAGGAATCTCTCACCAAAACACTGGTTCACCGCCAAAATAATCGTCCCGTACGCAACAAAGCCCAGAAACAGCCCCGCTGGGCCCCCCTTGGGTAATACAGCGCCCATCTGGACAAAGAGTGCTACAACGGTCGGTCAGTGGCAGTGATCGAATCATCCCGGCATCCCGACATACAGGTTCCAATTGCCCCTCCGACCGCAAAGAGCTGTACTTCCTTGCCGCGCAGCTTGCGGTGCAGATGCTGCGATCCTGAGGCCATGATCGGGCTGGCTTGGGATTGTGATTGGGATTCATGGTCGCTGACTTCGGCGGTGCTGGCGCCCGTGCTGTGTAACTTGGTCGTCATGGTATGGTTGACAGCAGCGATATTTTCCCGACCGGGGACGTGGATGCATCGTGCTTATGAGCGTCGCTGTGTTTGTGCCACCCCCACATGGTGGCATTGGGAGCGTCGTCCTGCAGGCGCGCCAGGCGGGGTTCGACCTATGAGATGGGGGGATCTTGAGATAGCCCCGATTATCGGATCATCGATCTTGTTTTTGCTTGATAAGGGGTGTGGGAATACGAGATGGGAGGTTGGATTATGTTGATGGATTGGTGATTTTGAGAGATGGTTTTGGAGATGTGGAATCTTTATGGTTTGTGCGGAAATCAGTTCTCTCGTTGAGTATATATAACCACCGGGCCAGCCCGGTGCTCTATGATGCCCGCCCACTGTGTCAAAAGCAACAATCGAACCAAGGTCTATCTTCCAAACATGGGGATTCTCCAATGCTCCCCGCAAGGTACTGTCCAAGATTACTCCACGAAAGGCAACCCAACCCAGTCCGACTCTTCATTCGACGGCTCCTCGGCCGTACATCTATCACATCCACACACAAACCGGAACAGACCCTGCAGATGGTCTCGTCGCTCCTTCAACTCAACCCGCTTGGTCAGATCGAAATAGGAGATGCAGCACTCCTCTCCAGCCGCGATATCTCTCGAGGCAGTGAAGACCATTCGACCTTGATGGTCAGGCTTGTGCATGATCTAGAACCGTCAGCATATACCAGAGCAAAGGGATCCCAGAAAGCCGAAACCTACATTTGGACAACACGAATGATTCGCAATAGCGGCGCGAGGATACACGGCCGCGCCATACTGATCTCCCCTATCCACAGATGGCTCCGGAACAGGAAAAACACCGGTCTCCCGAGGATACAATCCAAAAGAGTTGGCCTCTTCCCGACAGATGAGCGCCACGATCTCATCGGCTGTCAAATCATGTGGAAGCACCGGGCCACTGCGCAGATACTTCTTGACCAAGGCAGTCCATGATCGGATCTGTGCGTGCGACCAGCTCTCCGTCGAGCCACAAAATTCCTGGATGGAATCCCAGCCACCTTGGAACCGCGGAGACGTTTCGTTAACATGGCCACCACCATGTTGAAGCTCCTCCTGCCGTGACGCCAGAATGCGCACAATCAGCCACAACATCCCAAAGTCATACTCGCCCCATTTCGCGCGCACCGGCCCAGCATATCTCTGCAACCAGGTACACTCAAACCCATGCCTCGCTTCATCCAGTTCCTGACATGCCGACGAGCACCAGACTACATCCGCAATACAGCGCTTCGGACAAGCTATCCGACCCGAACCACATTGCGTCTGTCGACTGCAGGCCGGATTACTGCACAAAAGCCCATCGCTACTAGCGGGATCATCCACCACCGGAATCACAGCATAGGGCACGTCCACCAGCAAGAGCTCGCCCTTGCGAATGGCCTGCGAGGCCCGAAGTTGTCGGCCTTTGACCGGCACAACGCCCTGCTCTAAATTTGGATGTACCCACGGAGCTCTGTTCCTCCCAACCAGATGCTCTGCAGTGGCTAGGAGCCGTTTTTCGACAGTTGACGGGGGCGAGTTCATGGTGTGATGCTGGCCTGGTCCGAACGCCGTTTTTTTTATTTTCTTTCCGCCCGTGTTTTTGCACGCCGTCCCCGTCCGGTCTTATCTTCATCCCCCGATACGGATCCACTCGGAGGCCGTCTGAATGGTCAATCCGTTTGCCATCGTGGAAGTGGCCAATGATGAGCCTGGATTTGAGAACGTAGTCCCCATGGCAGTGGAGACACCGCGCACCCGTTGCAAAGCTTGGGAGGTGTCTACCCTCGGCGGCGTGTTGGGATAATGAATGTCCATGAGGGAATTCGAGGATGTGTAAGTGTTCGATGCTCATATTATGAGGGTTGATTCGTTTGTTCACGACAGGCGCAGAATGAAGAACTCGTGTCATTTTTGGGTCGAGTCATCGAGGCAGGCAGGCTCTCCTTGCCGGATTTGCCTAGGCCGTTGGATGATGATCTCGGCATTATTCTCATCGTGCCTCTGATATTTCCCGATGATCCATCGCAACAGCTTGGATGGTAGCGACTGAAAATGTTGTGGTGGGAGGCAACGCCTAAGGCTTGCCTCCTCGACGGAGTTCTCTGATTGGTTAGGGCCCGCTTTCCTAGTTGGGCATTCTTCAACTGTCTCCACTAACCGGTTTGGGACTGGTGCGCACATGACCGTTTCTGTTGCCTGAGGCAGAATACGTGGTTCGTGTTACGAGTCAACAAACGCGATTATTGTATTCAGCCTAGGTATTAATGTCGCGCTGTCTTCATGACACATGCTCAGCAATACATCAGAAATCAGAACTAGCGGACAGATAACCCATTCTCCCATCTCACCTCTCCCATGTCCCATCTCACATCTCGCACTCTCGAGCCTCCAAGTCAACGGAGAACCGGCGGGCATCATCGCAATTTGACAAAATCCTTCAGTTCCAACCCATCCAGATGCCCGTTCCAGCCATCCCGCAGAGAGGCATAGGTCGAGTCGTGGCATTGATGGGCTGTATACTGGTAGCCGTAACTGCTGTAGGTCGAGGTGACATCGTACCAGCGTGGGGTTGTAAACATCTCGATGGTGCGGACGACCGACATGTAGCTGTGGTTGTGGTAGGGGGCCTCAAACCCGTCAACTGGACGCAGCTTGTAAAATTTCAGGTTCCTGTCGATCCCGCCAGCCATCATTGACCCGCACTCAAAGCTGCAGCCCAGATCCCCACTAGTATATCGCTCATGCTCCTCGTGGATATGGTTGACCAGGTCCGTGATGGCTTCCCGACGGCGGTTATTGATAGCGCCTACGGCTGTCAGCTACTCCGCGGAAATTGAGGAGAAGGGATTCATACCCATGATCGGGGCCGGGATCGGGAGTCCCAGGGTTCCAATCACGCCCTTGCCCTGTGTGATGATGATCGACGTGACCTCATTGAATGACGCCGGCATTCTAAAAAAGAAGGTAATCCACAGCCAGAGCAACAGCGGACGATATTTGTTGTTGGGCACCGGCTTCAACTTGGTGATCCAACATTGCGTCGCAAAGCGCACCGCATCCTGGCAGCCATAGAAATCTCCAACTACGCACACCTTGGCCACCATGTCGAGATCCACCTGGCGGGGCAGTTCGTGGTGCTTACAGTGCAGGATCTTCAGTACATATAGAAACGCATCCGCATCCCACTGTTTGGTGGAGACTGCGACGGACCCTTCCGCCTTGAATTTGATGCTTTCGCTGAACCCGCTCAGGAGTAGCGCTCGGAAGAAGGGCGACGAAGAAGAGAGATGCCTGGCCGAGGCTTTGAATCGAACCACCATTCCGTCCCCCTCTTCCTCGCCCTTGTCGTACATATTCTCCATCGCAGCCTTCTGCGCGCCCCTTCGTTTCCGAGGTTCTTCGGCCCCGTAGGCGACCCAGATGCCATCCACCTTCCCATCGGCCCCCTGCGGTTCGGGCTGGGCGGGAAGCGTGGCGGTTCGGAGATCGGGGGTGAGATACCTCTCGGGCAGCACTCCCACATCCACGGACATGGCGATCCCCCGGTGGAGCTTCTGGATGGGAGTATCGGACTCGGTATCGGTATCGCTATCATAGCCATAGGGGGCAAAGCGCCGGTTGGCATTCCTCAGGGTGATCATGATCTCCCCTTCTGCGTCCAACACATGCACTGGGACTTCCATTTCCGACCCCCCGGGAATCATGGACGGTGGAAGCAGAGGAGAATGAGGTTAAATCGACGGGAAAGGGAGAATTGGTGGGAAGAAATTACAAAAAAACGAAGGGCATTAGGGAAGAAGAGTGGGGTATAAGAAGAGGGAGAGGAGGAGGAGGAAGGGAAATGAAGGTGGAAGGAGGGGAAAGGAACCTTGAAGAGGAAAGTCATTAAGAAAGACCAACTGGGATTCATTCACTGGCGGGCTTCCTCTCGCATTGACAGCCTCCACGGCAGGTTCCTCCAGTACCTTGTCTACGTAGTACCATTGTCTTATGTCAATGATCAAGGTCACACGAACCACGTTGTTTTCATCTTCACTGGCTGAGATGCCATTCTAGGTGAATGCAAAGAAGTGGACGTTCCCACATCAAAGTTGGGTATCATATTCACGGTCTAATCTCGTAACAATCATATGTGAGTTCTATATCATTCCAAATCAATCCGTCACTGACAAGAAGCAGATATCAAAGTGATGCCGCTGCCACCAAAGCATCACAGGCTGAACTCTGCGTTGTCGCATCCGCGTTGCTGAGCGGTCCTGACCAGGAATCTCCAAGTTCAGAGTCCTTCCCCTGATCATTCTGCCAGATGCTGTTCGCATTCGTCTCGAGGAACTCCTTGATTCCATCTTCAGGGCTCGCCTGATACAAGGCCTGAAGGTTTCGCATAAAGACCCCCTTGAACTGGGGCGCATCCCCGGTGCAGTCAGGCTCGCAGGACTCTATCAACACCCCATCCGAATCGCTCAGTGCCTGTATCGCTGCATCCGCAATTTTCTGCGCTGTCGAGATGTATGACGTATTGCCGACCAGCTTTGAGAGCTCGACCAATCCCCCAAGGATCACGCCTTGGTTGTAACTCCAGACCGTGCCATTGTCATTGCGACACGTCGTCAGATCCAGTCCGTTGTTAATGGTATTCTCTGCGTTGATCATGCCACTGTTTTGAAACCAGGTCCATTCCTTCATCGCCCAGTCGCGATAGTACGATGCATTGCTGGGAATCCGTCGTCCCAGGTGAGCAGCCACGCTCAGAAAGAGCTCGTTCTCGATCGCCCCGTTCTGGGTGTGGCTCTTATCCCACCAGACTCCTCCACAAGTCGCGTTCCATCCGGTCGTCATGTCCTCGAAGATATCAGCTGCCGTGTCGAGGTATCGCTGGTCGTGGGTGAGATCGTACGCCTGGATCCAGCCAAGCGCCCACCAGGCCTCGTCGTCATAGTACTCGTTGATGAACCCTTGGGTTTCGATGACACCGGTAGGGGGTAAGGGTTTGGATGCATTGGACTTCCAAACCGACTGACCAAGATTGGATATGGGGGCTCGCAGGAACGTGTTATTGAAGATCGCGGCGCTTGAATTGAGCAGGGAAGAGTCTAAGGCCGTGAGATCGCCCAGCACGGTCAAACAGTTGGCGCTGTTCCACCACCCGGTCGTATCCCATAGCCCGGTGGACTGGTTGTACCATGTCTGCAGCGTGGTCACACCTGCTTTGGCATTGGCTAGGAACGAAGTGCTGGAATCGTTGGAAACTTGTGTGGGAGCGCCTGCGACGATAGAGGCAGCCTCAAGGAGGAGAAATGCTGTTAATGTGACCATTGTAATGAGTTTGATCTGTCAATGCTAACGATAATGCTATGCCAGGGACAGACCAGGCCAGGCCTTTTAAGGCTGGCTGGTGCACGCCCGGACATCGAACCTCCGGCAGATGGAACGGACGGCGGGTGTTCCTGAAACCAGGGCATCGACCGAGACGGGTAAAGGATCTTCAGGGGATGCCGATCAATACTCGATCTAGAAGTTTAATCGTCGGAGTGGCGGCTAAACTGGGGCGACTCAAGAAGAAGAACACCCATTGTTGTACCAAACATAGGCGCCGAGGTGGGTCAGTGCCTCACATTGTGGTATTCAACCGGATGATGAGTCGGATAAAGATTTTAAAAATGATCACAACTGATGGTATACAAGTTTTCCCTATATAGGCTTAATAAACTAGGCATGCTGGCACACGGCATCTACATAATGGATCTGGATGATGATATATTAAACTATGAACCTGATCACGCACCACACCACATTGTACTTGATCTTATTCACTATCACGGTCTTTATTGTGTTCTGGAGACGGAAGTATCGGCAATCCCAAGCGCGGTACCCTTGCCTCCAGGCTGGCCCACGCCACAACAGTTAAGACCCATAGTCACTAATGTACCGTGGATAGGATGAGATAATTCCCTACTTGAACATGACATGGTCACATATATGATCAGCCTGGTAGTGAAATCAAGGTTGATATTTCTTGGATCGGGTAGGGCTCGGATACTGGACTGCCGATCAGTGAGTTTACATCCACTGTGGATAGATTGATTGACTTGAGTGGATTCAATACTGGGTGATTCCTACGAGAAATTCAATGCATGATCTGGTTGACCTGAACAAGGTGTGTGTTAGTGCGGAGCAATTCCACCCGTAGGGCCGATCTTGACAGTGGAGGAATTCCGCATTGCTCGAGCTCTGATTGGATCATCCGCTTCCCCGGATCAACCCGAGGAATGGACCCTACTAGTAGACTAGTAATAGTCCCTCATCTATACTATATGTTTCTAGATTATTGATATAGACTTATTGTCTGAATAAAGTATTGGGCTTTTAACATGGCCCTTCAGAGGCCTTCGACTAGGGGATTCCAGCATACGTTACACAACGCTTACTAAGAGACTTTGCAATAGGTTGAGCTGTAGGCGACCGTAGGTTGTAGTTTAGAGATTACCAGTGCTTACTCGCTCCAATACTGTCTAAAGAAGCGTTCTGGGGGAGACAAATAGATCCTCAATTCATCGGTTGGTATCATTACATGAATTTCACGTTATAAGTCTGAATTGAGTACGGCGTTTACCCCTGCAGCAACGAGTCATTCCGACCTCACTGTAACTCGACCAGGCAGCCAGGCGGCAGCGGCTGCCTAAGACGCCCCTTCGGTGGCCTCACGCTGAACTCATCGTCATTAACCCCGCCATCCCTATATATACTCTTTTTTAGCTCATCTGTCCCGTCTTCTCGTTCTCTATCTTCAATCTGGTTGGTTTCGCTTTCAAACCATCTACTCTTCAAACCATCTACTCTCCTTCAATCCCGTTCCAACCTACTACTTCCTGGATCCTCAGCCATGGGTCAAGTCAGGCTTTTCCCCAACCGTCCCTCCGTGGATAAGAACAAGGGCCACGACGCAGTCAGTGCCATCCTGACCCAGCTCGAGACCTGGGCAAAGGAGCGCATGGATGAGGTATGCAGCCCCAACCCAATTCTACGGCTCTTCTCTATGTATTGCTAACACAATCGGATAGGAGGGCAATATGGACCCCTGCATTGACAAATTCCTGGTCGGCGTCCTCAAGCTGGACCCTTCTCAACGCCATCGCTTTTCACCGGACCTCGAGGCCGTCAAGGCCGCCAACGCCAGCGAAATGCAGAGGCTCGCCTTCAATTTGAAGACCAGCTTGGATCATCAAGTGCCAGGATATCTGGACTCGGCTCTCGATGTTTTGGATGACCCCAAGTTGAAACCAAAGTTCAGCCAGAGATGGGACGCCGTCGGGAAGCAGCTTGACCAGCTAGACCCTACTGGCAGCTTTGGGGGAACTATGCTGGAGACCCTGATCGCTCTTCCTCAACAGCCTTCCAAAGGGAAGAAGAAAAAGACCACCGGAGCATCCGCCCTCACGTCTGCTGCCTTTACTGAAGCGTGTCAGCAGTTGAGAGAGGCCATAGAAAACGAAACCTCATCTGCCTCCTTTACCTGTGGGGGCATCATCCCGATCAACAGGACTGAGGGCCATTCTGCTTCCGACAATACCTCATCCGCGGTGGGAGTGTACTGGAAAACCCAGGACAAGTCAACGACGCACTCGCTGGACCTGCCAGTTACAGACAATCTCACTGGCCCTGTCGGAAGCCTCATTGCCGATTGCCAGCCTGCAAGCTTTGGTCGAGGAGGAGAAGATATTCTCGACCCGGAGTATCGCAGGGCTGGAAAGCTGGACCCGGGTTATTTTGCGACTACTTTCCACCCAGCAGATTTCGGAATCGTCGACATCGTCGAGCGGACTCTGCTTCCTGATATCAGCAGCATGCGGTCTCGGAAGCTCCGTGTCGAACTATACAAGTTGAATGTCTGTATTCCCTTCCTTCTTGAACATTAATTCAAAACTAATGACATCTGTAGGTCTACTCTGGACCATCCGGGCATTTCCGCAAGCATGTCGATACCCCTCGCTCTGAGCATCAGATTGGGTCCTTGGTGGTTTGCCTGCCGTGCGAATTCGAGGGAGGTAACCTGGTTGTACGCCACAATGGACAGGAAACCAACTTTGACTGGAGCCCTCAGAGTGGCTCGACGATCCAGTGGGCGGCCTTCTACTCTGACTGTGAACATGAAATTGAGACCATCACCCGTGGAGACCGGATCACTCTCACATACAATCTCTATGTGAGAGACGTGACTGAGATGACGGAGAGGGTTGAGGCCGAGATCGGACTCAGCAGCACCATCCAGCCAAGGTCATTGTCACTGTATGGTCTCGTCGAAAGCCTGCTCGGAACGCCGGGATTTATGAAAGAAGGTACCATGAGCGCTTGCGCCCCTCTACACCCTCTTATTTCTTTGTAACATGCACTGACCGGTCCAGGTGGCGTACTCGGCATTTTTTGCTCCCACGCTTATCCCCACGCCTCCGATAAGACTGGGCTTCAGCTTCCCCAAGCTTTCAAGGGGGCTGATCTTGTTGTTTATGCCGTGCTCAAATCGCTCGGTTTCAAGGTCAGCGTGGTTCCTATATTGGAGTTAAATGGAAGCTTCGGGCCTGGCAATGATGCCTTGGGTATCACCGGGCAAATCAAGGACGCGAAACTGCGCTACGAGCATTCATATAGCCCTCGCCCATCATCCGGTAAGTTGACGTCCTACTGAGCTGTGAGGTGGATGCTGACGACACAACCTATTTTAGAGGGTATGGATATTTTCCGAAATAAGCATGACTTGCCCACACCTCCGGCTCGCTTCAACAAGGCCGAAGGGACCCGTGTTGGACCGGAGTTCCGGAAGTATTTCACCACCGAAACAGGAGGATGGGAAGAGGAAGATATTGATGTGGTATTGACCCCTACTGCTTTTCAGGTGATGACTTCACATACTAACTCTTTAACTTAGATTGGCGCTGAGGTCTGGCCGTCATACTACCTCCCCGGCATCACTTGGATCACCGAACCGAAACACGAGGAGATGGCCTTTACACACATGACCTACGGAAACGAAGCTGGGTTGGGTACTCGTTACTCGTGTGCTGCAATCCTTGCTGTCATTCCACCATTCAGTGTCCGCAGCCAGCCCTCAGAATAGAGGGATTCTGGGGGATCGGGCAGCAAAAGGGAGGAAGGGTGGCCAACCTATCATGGTAACCACAGAGAAAAAAGTTCTTGAATCCCTGATTACTGTGTTTTCGATCACTGCTACGTTGTCTGCTTAACTTAGTGAGACTTAAGAATGTATCGCCTGGTAGTTTTCACCCAGGATTCTTCGGGGCTGTCCTCATTCATTCAATGCTATGAAGATGCATGGGAGCACTACATCCATACCAGCCCGGTCACCACCACACCAGTATTTACTATTGCCATGCTTCCTATCTACAGCTTTAGAGGTGTACCTGCAGAATCTCAACTATTTACAAACGCCATCAGAAACCATCTCTTCAAGCACCCAATGCTTGATCAAAGCGTTAGTTTCATGATTCATAAATCTCATACAAGTATTCACCTACAATCCCGCAGATTATTCCCTTCAGACTCTAATACAGGATCCTACTAAGGAGCCTTCTACACACCACTAGGTAAGGGGAGTGAAATTCTACGGGATTTCCATCAAAGAGTTTAGACAAGTCCACTTGAGACCACTTTGGTATATAGTTGCCGAATAGTAACTAATAAAATTATTTGATACAGAGGCATAGGCATAGAAGTTTGATATATGAGCTTGATGTTTTTCTAGACCTTGGGTATTATATACTAGTTCTGGGATTTTAAGCAGATAGTTTTTTTGGAAGAGTGGAGATGGTATGTACTATTTATGTCAAGGTTCATTTTAAGACTAGAAAAGCTGAGTATAAGCTGAGTATAATTGTAAGGACTATTGGAGCATGGTTGGTGTGGTTGGTGTGGTTGTTGAATCTCTCATATCGGTTTGTTGAATATAGACCTGGTAACGACTTGTGTCTATTTTCCATAATTGGGAGGTATCCATTCTGGTCTAGTTACCAGGTGTTTATGTCGGAAGATACGGCATGGTTAGTGGGTTCTTTATCAGTAGTGAAGTATCCCATAGTACTGATTATATTTATAATTGAAGAATCCCTGGAAGTAACATCAGGTATACCAACTCGGTTCCGGTACCTCTGCCAAGAGAACATACCGTCCCAACTCCCGATTCTTATACGCTACCGGATCATGCAACGTATGGGTACGAATATCCCTCCAGAATCGGTCCAATCCTACCTTGAGAGATGTTGCTCGTGCCCCTGTCACTTCGAAGATCCCGGATGTGGTTCTTAATCCTACGTCCGTGGTAACTACCTTGACGCTGGCGATCCATTCGGCTACTTCGCCGCGTTGTTGGGCGGTTAGTCCGGGGCGGTTGCTCGAGTGTTGGCTGTATAGTGTTGTAAGTTCAGTCCCGGCTCGATCGGCTAATGCCTCGGCGGCGCGGACATGGGCGAAGAAGTTCCCGTATCGTTCCAGGATGTAGAATTCTTCGGTTGCGGAGGACTTGTTGTCGCCGCCGAAGGGCCATGCTCGGGTTGTGGTGGTGGTGTATTTGCTTGCGAAGTCTAATGCGCCTTGGGTGATGCCGAGGTAGAAGTTGCTGAAGACGAGTTGGATGCTGTGGGTGGGTGGGTGGTTAGATTTGGGGGTAAAGTTGATAGAGGAGGCGATTGGGGGCTTACGTGGGTAGTAAGAGGCTGGCGAAAGGTATATTTAGGACATCCTCGCGCGGAGTCTTAGAAACAGCATCCCACCCCAGGGCATCTATCCAGGGGACACGGACGTTTTCGATCTTGACACCTCCTGACTCGGTCAAGCGGAGTCCAATATTATGCCAGTTGTGTGCGAACTGGATCCCCGGTTGTCTGGTTTCGACGAGTGCGAAGATGTGTTCGCCCGTGGTGTCCAGGACACCCTCCAGAACGGTCAGGTCGGAGACTACTCCGCCTGTGTTGAAGAATTTGACCCCGTTGAAGACGATGTCTTCCCCGTCGGAAGTGATTTTGAGATCGCTGTCGCGTGGGTTGACAGCCCCGCCGACGAAGTAGTTGTTCGTGATGATCCGTTGATGGGTGCGGTCGATTTGTTCGGGGGTGCCGACGATGTTGGCGGTCGTGGACCAGAGGAGGTGATAGCCTAGGAGCATGCCGATGGATCTGTATGGTGGTTAGTCTTTTTAGTTTTTTTCTTATCTTCTTGTTCTTCAGAAAAGGGGCGTCGGGTGGTGTGGATGAGGATGCGTACCCATCTCCCTTGGCGACCTCGCGAATGGCCTTGTATCCTATGTCCCAGGGCTGTTCGCCTCCACCGTACTTCTTCGGGCCCAGCAGCTTCAATAATCCAGAGTGCTTGAGCAGTACAACTTCCGCCCGCGGCGACTTATTTTCTTGATCGCGTTGGGCTGCATCCTGGGCGAGCACCTGAGCCACTTCACGCGCCCGGGCCAGCCAGGCGTCTGCGGTATCAGGCAGAGAGGACCATTTGGCCTGGTAGGAATCGTAGACGGCAGGGTCGGTAGCGGGGATGTCTGAGTGGGTCATGATGCAATGATAGTACTAGGAGTGTAGAGTGATTTGAATGGTAGTGGGAATGAATTGCTGTGGCCCATAGTGGCGAGATGAGGGTATATATCGTGTTCAAATGGAATGGACTCAAAATCAAGCAATGGCGCAGGAACCTTGCAAATGGCGCGCAAAGATCACGCCATCTACAGTTCCTGCAGAGAGATATCGCATCATGGATCGACAGCCAACAAAGAGAGATGGGGGATGTGGAGTGGAGGAGGATGTCGTTATCCGGCTGAGAATGACACCACCGCTAACAAGGAGTCTATCGGGTGGAACACTCATTTATTGGTCGATTCAGGCTACTTAGTGCATGGACCTCGCTGAACACTACTCCTAGGTACTAACTACTCTGCTCGGCTATTCTTCCGCGTCTTCGCAAAATACCGCGAGGTATCCCCCAACGGCAACTCGACAATACTCTCCTTCAACAACAAATGCAACACAATATACCATCCAATCAATCCCGCCACGAAACAACACACGCCCCCGGACTTTTGCAGCGCCACCGACGACGCGTGATGTCCATCCGCCTCGGCAAAGTAACTCGCCGCCACGGTCAGAAACCCCAGATCCACCAGGAAGAACACGGCAATGTATGCGAGATTACTGGGCAGCGACGCGATGAGGAAGGTGAATACAAATACCGTCCAAAGGATCATGAAGAACCCCAGCGCGTTGTTGTATTGTGCGGTGTCGTCGCCATAGGCTTGGGCTACCCCGAAGGCGGGGGTGAGGATGGCGCCGTAGCCGGCGTAGAAGAGGCCTGCCATTGTTCGATCAGTTTATGGGCTTTGAGTGGGATACATGGATGGGGCTTACCGAATGCACTGAACACCGTGTACGCGAAGCCGTTTCCCACGGCCAATTCCCACTGCGCCGTGACGACCAGTCCGAACGCGGCGATGAAGAAGAAATTTCCCACGTAGACGTTGGTGATGGTCACGCCGCGCCATTCCATCAGACTTAGAGATAAGGTGGTCAGAGTAGTCCCGAATGCGCCCAGGGCTAAGGCGGACTGATGGTATGTTAGTGACTGGCGGTGCAGATGACTAGTAATGGACTTACCCCTGCCCCGAGCGACTTGGGAGCTATTGCTGTTGATGTAGATGGTCCTTGCTGCTCAATGTCGATTGCGTGCGAGACATTCTTGCCCTCTGCAGTCGTCTCTGGAGCTGTGGTGGCAGACATTTGGCAGGATAGGTTGATGCGGCTGTGTTGGCTGTATGAAGTTGCTTCTTCTTGAAATAGACAGCCAAATAGTACTAATTATCCCCTGGTGAGGTTATAAGGAATAGTATCCGATTGTAGATTCCCATTGCGCCATCTGAAGTTATAGTGGCGAGCAGGAAAAAGACGGGATCAACTCAGGATCGGCGTAACGAGCCTACGAATCAAGTAGAGTTTAAATTCAAGGCACAAAGGCCGGTAGATGATGATTGTGGTCAAATCAAAAGAGTATCGATAAAGACAGGGCCAGGCAGAGAAGCGTGCAGGGACCATGTCCTCTCGGCCGGGTGATCTGCCGATGGTCTCATTAACCTTCGGATGAGGTGCTCGTCTCGATTTTGAGCCCCCAGCTAGTAGCTGCGATCAATCCAATCCCCCCACGTCGAACCCAGGACGGTGGTCATGTCCACCGCCGCCGAGATCGAAGTCTCATACTCCCGCTCTGACGTGCTCGATCCCGCCCCGGAGTTGTTGTACTCATAGTACAGCGGAGTCGCTCCCTCGGCCATGGTCGTCCATCCCTTGGGGTTGATGATATCCGACAGGACCGAGTTTTGGTAAATAACACGAGCCAGAACCCGCCAAGGCCGACCGAGATAGACTTGCTCGCTGAGGGAGACTCCCGACGCAGCCTTGATGTTGCAGTTGTCGATCGCGTACCAGCCCGAGTCGGAGGTAGTCTCGCGGGAGGAGGCCGTGATGGCACCGGCACCGTTCGAAACAATGTCACAGTCGCCAAACCAGACAGATGCATCCCCGAAGATGTAGTCAACAGCACCTGCAGGTGATTAGTCATCGATATTTACCCATAGTCTGACGAAGGCTTACCCTCAATCATGCACTTAGAGTAATACTGCGTGCCGGCCTTCACATACAAGGTATCCTGATACCCGATGAACTGACAGCCATAGAAGGCCAGCTCATCCGCGTTTCCGACCAGACTATTTAGGTATAGTGATTAGCCACGCACCCATCGCTTCCGTTATAAAAGAAGGGAAATCTGACTCACGCGACAGCTTGTTCCCCCTTGCCATATCCATTCTCCACGTTGACATTGTACATGCTAAACCCATCGGAGACCACGTTCACCGTGGCGCTCTTGTCGAGGGAACCTGCATCCTCGGACGAGATAGTGTGGGTGATAGTAACCACATTATCCTTGTACGTGGCGGTGTCGGTGGTCTCGCCGTAGATGGTCAGGCTTCCCGCGTAGTCGATGGTGAGCTGCTCCTCATATGTGCCGCTGGCAATATAAATGCAGGCCGACGATGTGGAAGAGCCCAGGGCATCAAGCGCGTCTCCAATGGTGGAGTAGGTGCCATCCGAGCCGACCGTCAAACAGCCCGAAGGGGCGCTCGTCCGGCTCTCCCTCCTCTTGAGGGTGTCCGTGGGAGCTCCGGTCGCCGTGACAGCCAGCCCGACAAGGGCACTCAGGAGATATGATGTATGCATTGGGATCTTCTTGCAGGTTTGGTATGATGCAGCGAGAAGGAACTGATGCGCAGTATCCCAGAAGAGGGAATAGATTTGCAGGCTCCCAGGTGACTATATATCCTCCTGCGGGAGACCACGCAGCAAGGCCTCGACCGTTGTCTGGACATTTCCGGAGGACCCGGTGACGATTCCTGCTGCAGGAACACCGAGTGGTTTGACAGCTGCCAAGCGCCAAGGGACGCCATTGCCGGAGAATTATCCCCACAATTCCATGAATAGACACGGCTCACGGCCGTGTTTCACATGGGATCAGCCCCTCTCAGGAACGCTCCGGCCACCCCGACGGCCGTCCGTGAAGAATCAACGGCGGGGTTCCATCAGGGAGCTGCAAGGAGCTCCATGGCCCAGGGGGGAGGGCCAGCTCTGGCCCTCGCAATTTATCCGGATCGACAATGCTTGACCCTGTAACTTTCAACAGTCACGCGTTCGTGGGCGGGGGTTTCAGCGTGACTCGAAGGATCCAACGGCCTCTTGGCTGAGGGAAGGAAGGGTCCCCTGTTCGTGGCGGGAATGAAACCCTGCCATGCCTCGACACGGGCCCTGTAACGGCGGATTTAGCCGAGCTTGGGCAGGCCAGTTTCTCCGTCGTGGAATTACGCGCCCTGGCTGTTTCAGAGTGCCCTAGCCGAGATGACAGGCTTGCCTCGGCATGTATCTTCCCTTGATGCTGCTAACCTGACACTCGATCCACTTGCCAGTCCATCCGGCACCACGGGCATGACAGGGTCATCTGTAACATATGATGTGGGATGTATATAGTGGGAGAGATTCGTCGGCCTCATCGCCACCCAGTCCACAAAGGCCGTCAATAACACCTGTCGCAGAGCTTTTCCATGATGGCGCCATACAGCAGTCTCTTCCTTCTTGCCATTGTTGGCCTCAGCAATGCTGCTCCCTCCAGGGTGCAACACACCCCAAACACGGCCATTCACCCTCGTGCTGTCTGTACCCCAACCTCCAGCGGGGATTCCTCAACTGACGATGTGCCCGCCATCACCGAGGCTCTCACCTCATGCGGAAACGGGGGCACCATTGTCTTTCCCGAGGGCAGCACATATTATCTCAACAGTGTTCTGGATCTGGGCAAGTGCAGCAATTGCGACATCCAAGTGGAAGGCCTGTTGAAATTCGCCAGTGACACCGACTACTGGAGCGGCCGAACCGCCATGATCAGCGTCTCCGATGTGGATGGGTTGAAGCTGCGATCGCTGACAGGCTCTGGTGTCATTGATGGAAATGGCCAGGATGCGTGCGTTATTGACCACCTCGGGATTAAGACCCCTTATGAGGAAACAGCACTGACGGATTCCCCTGCAGGTATGACCTCTTTGCGCAGGATAGCAGCTACAAGCGGCCCACCCTCCTGTACATCACCGGTGGTAGCAACATCGAAATCTCCGGGTTGCGCCAGAAGAACCCTCCCAATGTGTTCAACTCCGTCAAGGGTGCCGCCACAAACATCGCCTTCTCGAACCTGCGCATGGATGCGACCTCCAAGTCGGACAACCCGGCCAAGAACACGGACGGGTTCGACATCGGCGAGAGTACCTATGTGACCATCACCGAAGTGACCGTCGTCAACGATGACGACTGCGTGGCCTTCAAGCCCAGCTCCAACTATGTGACCGTGGACACGATCAGCTGCACTGGCTCCCATGGTATCTCCGTGGGGTCCTTGGGCAAGTCCAACGCCGACTCGGTCAAGAACATCTATGTCACCGGAGCTACCATGATCAACTCCACCAAAGCGGCCGGCATCAAGACTTATCCGAGTGGGGACAGCCACGGCGTGTCGACTGTCAGCAACGTGACGTTCACCGACTTCACCGTCGAAAACTCCGACTACGCCTTCCAGATCCAGAGCTGCTATGGCGAGGATGACGACTACTGCGAAGAGCATCCTGGCAACGCGCAGCTGACGGATGTTACCGTGTCGGGCTTTAGTGGCACGACCAGTGATAAATATGACCCGGTTGTGGCCAACATTGACTGCGGTGCGGACGGAAAGTGTGGCATCACCATCAGTGGATTCGAGGTCAAGGCGCCCTCGGGAGATGCGGAAGTCCTGTGCGCCAATACCCCATCGGACCTTGGCGTGACTTGCACCTCGGGGGCTTCGGGCTAAGGGCTTTCGCTAGAAGAATGATCTCGGTGCCCATGTGCTGCCGATCTTCGTCATTGTGATTGATCAGTCTGTACCGTGGGGAGCCACGGGGAAAGTGACTGTAAACAGTCAGTGCACAATAATCTGGAAATCATAAAATACCGTCATTCCCGTGAATAGTGCCCAGGTATCCATAGACGAAATCAGTAGGACTGCTCCCAGGCCCTAGTATCGAGCCAAACTCGCCAGCGGGGTGAAGACGACTCAGCACTCATGCAGAATTTTCAACATGTGGCGCCATCGCTGATTTGTCGGCGATCGCAACCCTGTATTCTCCGTTTCCCCGCAATCAGCAAGTAGCATATTATGGTGAGAGTGGAACGGGACCCTTCAGCCAGTGCCGCTGGTGCATCTCCGCAACTTCAAGCTGGAGAACCCGCCATCCGGGATAAGACATATCCGCGGCTCCCTCAACGCCGTCCCTCCACCAATCGGTCATCTACCGGGGGTCCAGCACATCCGTTCAAGGTCGGAGGCCGGTGTCAAACGGCCCATCCAACCCCACTGTCACTCGTCATTCCTCGTCCTTCTCTGGATGGTCGGACGGATGGGAAAGTCGCGATGATCCTTCACCTAAGGGCTGCCGACATATAAGACCCCGGAGACGGGCCAGTGCTACTCTTCTGAGAAGCAGGATCCCGATCATTCAACCCTGTAGTCTGACATCATGAAGTTGCTCTGGGGCCTCGGCTCCCTTTTTAGCTGTACTACAATCGCCCTCGCCAAAGTCGATCCCCCTTACTATGCCAACTTGACCTGGCAGCCTGCGCGCAGCCTGTCCAACTGGTCCAACCTGACCGTGGAAACGCAGACAGGCACCTTCATCGGTATGCTCAACGATACCTATCCTAATGTTCGGCAGTTCCTGAGAATTCCGTATGCTAAGGTTAGTCACTGATTGACCTCATCTTGACCTGTGTTTCTCCTAACGACCCCGTCTCTTGTAGCCACCGGTCGGCGACCTTCGATGGCTGCCGCCGCAAAGGCCGGAAAAGTCGCGCAGAAAGTACGATTCAACACGGTATGGCCCAGGTACGTTGGCTTCCACTACACCTGACCTCCGATGTCTGCTAATTGTCGTCTAGCGTGTCCGCAGTACGTCAGTGGTGAGAGCAGCATGTGGAACGAATATGCACCCCCCAACCTGTTGGTCAGCCTAGGCGAGGACTTGAACCAAGGGGCGGTGGCTTGGTCCTCGTCGGAAGACTGTCTCTCCTTGGCTGTCTGGACCCCATCCTATGCAAGTCACACCTCTAAGCTCCCTGTGGCGCTGTTTGTGACTGGTGGCGGAGGAATAACGGGAGGGATCGAAATCCCGTCCCAGCTGCCCTCCCCGTGGGTCTCTCGTTCGCAGGAACATATTGTGGTAACAATCAATTACCGTGCCAACATCTTCGGAAGTATGATACTCCTTCTTGTCATAGTATTATGCTTATCAAGGTGATTATAGATCCGAAATCAAGGGCCCTGAACGACACGTCACTCACGCTCCTGGATGTGAGGGCGGCTGCGGAATGGGTGCATGAAAACATCGAGGCTTTTGGCGGAGATTCGCAAAACATCATGGTTCGTATTAAACTGATTCCTCGACACAGGCTATGCATCAACTGATTTTCTGTACTAGCTCTGGGGTCAATCGCAAGGGGCAGCCTTGACGCACCTCTACACCCTCGCTTTCCCTGACGACCCTCTGGCAGTCAAGTTCGGCGTCATCTCTCAACCACCCTCCGTCACCATCGACCTGAGCACCACCGACGATGTCTATCAGGACTTTGACATCGTTGCCAAGGCTCTGGGCTGCAACTACGGTGATGATGCGGATGCCGAGCTCGAGTGCATGCGCCAGGTCTCATGGGTCCAGATCGAAGAGTACATCAACCGGTACTCGGGCTCGCCGTCGATCGCCTTTAGCAACTATATCCGTGAGATTCTTATCCCGCTGCCCGCCGATTCACACACTGACTAGCGATGTAGCCGATGAAAAATACATCTTTGCCAATGAATCGCAGAGATATGCCGAAGGAAAAGTAGCTCGGGGTCCAGCCATCCGATCCGATGCGGCAAGGGAGATGGCATCGGATAATACGACCTCGGTGATGATAGCGGAAGGGGAATGGGATTGCAGGGCAGCCCAGGACTCGGTGCTGAGGCGGTCCCTCGGGCTCGATACATATCGATACTTCTGGGGCGGTAACTTCTCCAACATCAGCCCCGTGGACTGGCTGGGTGCCTTTCACTGGTCTGATCTGCTGCTGATCTTCGGTACCTACCGGGAAGACGTGGGTGAGGTATCGCAGCTGGAGGTGAAGACATCGGAGGCTATGCAAGACCACCTTCTGGCCTTCCTGAAGGATCCATCCACGGTCAACGTTACCGTCGGGTGGCCTGCATTTGATGCGGACAGCCCCGGTGGTGGCAAGATCCTCGAGTTCGGAAAAGAGACCCCTGTGCGCATGGTAACTGGGGATTGGCTTGATGGAGGGTGTTATAACTCCTCGATTCCCTTTCGGATCTGGGGGTAAGCTTGGGAACTGGAAGGCATATGGACAATTATCGCTGGCGGAAACCACAGTGTCAATGTTGGCGTGTGATGCATATTCAAGATGACTCGTTCATGTTCTGTGATGATATATCGACAGTCAATTTCCCCTATGGCTAATCGTCAAAGCCCCAAAAATCATTCGATAGTTGGAAAAGTTCATTACACCATTAGATTTATCGCTCATTTTAATATCGTGGCGACGCATCCTCAGGGATGCCCATTAAATCCCCCACCGGTCGACCCTCCATCCACGCATCCATCGCCTCATATAACTTGAAGAACGCTTCATTGTCCATCGTCGGCAGGTTGTTAAGGATTGGATGGCCCAGCTTCGCCTGAGCCACGGCCAGATACTGATATCCCTTGGGATACTTCTCCAGCTCGGCCCGGTCAAACTTGGGCACGGTCTGGCCATCCGCGGGAGTGACCCGGTCCTTTTCGTAGAACAGTTTGATATAGACCACTTTCCAATCTCCTCCTTGCTTGAGGCAGAAGTTGATGAAGCGGCAGTCGCACTCCACGTCGAACTCGACACCGTCCCAGTCGAAGCGTTGCGTGATGGTCGCCTTCATCTTGCCGATGGCGCGGTTAGTGGCCGGGTTCAGGTCGACCAGCGTTCCATTCTCGCGATGCATGATGTGGTCCCCATTAGCGCGTCCTTCGATGGACGTGGATATGAAGTCATCGATGGGAAGACCGCCACTCCAGGCTAAATGCATGTTAGCTGGGCTGGCTGGGGGTGTGGCTGGGTTTGACCTACTGGTGAAGACGAATGCGCCGTTCTTTACGAACAAGTTGCGGTAGTGGTTCCATTCGGAGGCGTCGCGATATACTGGCCACCCCTTGCAGAGCTCGGAGACGCAGTAGCGATCGAGAATGTCGGCCTCGGGGCCGTTGATGTGGCTCCAGATGGTGGGCTGGGTTTCTTTCTCGGTGATGTTGTAGACCATGGTGGATGATATTGTGTTCGAAGAGATGATCAGATGAATAGCTTTCCCAGCACTATATAACCATCGATTTGACCTCAGGTTGACAGGCCATGACATCATTCCCGACCGTGGTTGAAGCTGCTCGGGAAAGCTGAGGCTTGCCGTAGCATCCGATATCTCCCATCCTGTTCTCAACTGCCGACTCGGTGATCCGAGCCCACTGCGGTAATCACTATAGCGTCATTGTTATCTCTGCAATCTTGTAAAGCGATGGCTGCAACTTGATGGTGTGTGGTTGGGTGAGGGCTGTGATAGACGTGGGCGTGGCTTCTCGTGTGCCTGCCATGGGTGTCGTCTGCTATGGGCGTGATTCATTCTGGGTTCTCTATAATGCTGGCAGGCCGTGTCAGGTGTGTAAGTGGACGCATGCTGGGCTCATGGAGTCTTAAAAGTTGAAAGTTGAAAGGTTGGGTTGTGTACAGTGTTCCAGAGACTCCAGACGACCCAGCTCGGCACCGCTTTGCGACCGAGACCGCCTCCCGAGTCGAGTCAACGGCGGTGAGTCCAGCCAGAAGGCGGTAAGTTTCTGTTGTGCTGCCAAACAAATACTACCAGTCGAATCCATCCAGTTCAATTGGGTCGGATCGACGAATTGCTGGATTTAGGTTCATGGTACCTGTGTATTCTTAGACTATCTATCGGTAACTGAGAACTTTGTAGATCGTTCACAGTCCCAGCGATACTATCGGAATTATCTCCCGGGGGTGTCAGATCCACCAGATATGTATATATAGTTCGGACCCAGGAGCACTGGTGGGGGTGTGTGATATCAGAGAGATCCAGTTGCCGTGTTAAAATTTTCACTGGAACTCGAGGGCCCTGAGATAGAAGTAAAGAAAGACTATCTACAGGATCTCTGGTCTGTTTGGTAGTATTATGGCGAATATTTCTTCGGTGTTGCTCCCAGGTGGCCGCCCCCGCGGGCACGTGTCTCGCGGTCGCGCCGGCTTTGTTTACCCCCAATCCCCTAGTTCCCACCCCCACTCTCCCTCTCCGCTTCATCCTGCAAAGTCGGTCTTTCTGACCGGTCGCATCACAATCGATTCGCTCCCTGTCTTTCTGGAAATACGCTGACGCTACATCACGGGACATTGCCTCCAAAAAGAATATGATGGGCGCATACGGAGAGTTACGACTAGAGGAGCACAGGGTCGATGGCAGAAGATGAGATCCCATAGATATATTATGCTAATAGCTCAGTACCCCCGTAGGAATGGTCTCTCAAGTAGACCCTTCTCCACACCCGGCAAAGCTCGAGAAGCCGACATGTACATGCCAAAGAAAGAAAGTGAAGCTGTCCCGTATATTAGGTTGTTTTACTTGCCTTACGGTTGTCAACTCCCCGAATTAGAGAAAGGAACAAGGCTAACGATGTCGAAAAGTACTAGAAAGACCGAGATGCTTTTAGAAAATGATCGACGATTAGAGGTGCACTCCTCCACCGGACGTCGATGTGCCGTGGTAGTTGCCCAGATAGTCTCCCAGTTCTGAGATAGCCAGCTGGCGAAGCTCACTGCGCAGGACCTTGCCGGACTAGAATGGCTCATCCGTTAGCATAACTGGGGTAGCGATGACAATCACAGGGGTCAGTGGGCCGTACCGCGTTCCGAGGAATCTTCTCAATAAACGAGATGCCACCTGAGAGGCGTTTGTACGGGGGCAGCTTCTCGGAGATGAGCTGGTGGATCTCCTCTGCTGATACCGAGGTCTTCGGGAAGGTCTGAATGTAGGCCCTGGGACCCTCATCCTCATTCCTACAGGAGTTAGTTGGATCTCTGAGTATCGCGCAGGGAGACTTACACTGCGACACCGATGACTCCAACATCGCTTACGTGCGGATGCTGAAGCAGCACTGACTCAATCTCGACGGGAGAGACGTGGCTTCCACAGACCTTGATCAAATCCTGTGGTAGTGGTCAGTAACGATTGGACTCGCTGAAAAGCGAAAACCAAAAGCGCATGGAACTACCTTTTTGCGGTCGACGATATACCAATTGCCTTCATCATCGACGTAGCCTACATCACCCGTGGAGACCCAACCTCCGGGCCCGATCAACTGTTCCGTCGCGGCTGCATTGTTCCAGTATCCACGACTCGATCCTGGCGTGCGGATCCAGATGTCACCAACCTCGCCGGTCTTCAAAATCCGAGAGTGGTCGCTGGAATCGGTCACTTTGCCTTCGTATGTGGCGTTCAGTTGGCCAACAGTCTCTGACTTGGGAGGTCGCAGCGGGTCCGGACCAGTGATAGTGCCCGTTCTATGGTCAAATGGTCAGCAATGGAAAGTCGGCGCGAATGGGTCACCTACTCTGTGAGCCCCCAGGCACGAGCCACGTATCCAATCCCCAGACTTTCCAGCTTGAATTTCGTAAACTGGCTCATCGGTGCAGCACAACCTTCGACACGCCGGAGGCAGGACAGATCATATTCTCGACAGATGGGCGCATTTTTTGCCATGGCCGTGAGGACGGAGCTGCGAATGATGGCATCCGTAATCTGAAACTGCTGCACCGCCTCGCAGATATTTCGGAAATCATTGCGTCGCATCAGGTACAGGGGGACGCCTAATCTGGGGAAGATGACACAATATGATCGCTGGCCGACGCTGTGGTTGATCGCTAAAGAGCCCAGCACGCGGACATCTTCCGGACCCCCGAGTCGGGGATTGTATTTCCAAGCCGGATGCGAGCAGATACGCCGTGTGTACCCCAACGCCGCAGCAACGTAATTGCGATGCGACAGCTCAACTCCCTTGGGGTCACCCGTCGTACCCGAAGTGAAAAGCATGAGGATTGTGCTGTTGTAATCCTGTGCGGAGACGACATTGGGATACCAGAACCGGGCGCCCTCCAATTCAGACGCCACCATAGTCTGCCAATGTTGGATTCGTCCTTCAGGTTGCGTACAGCCGTCCAGAAAATCGTCCTCAAACACGAAGATTCGGCTTTCAGGGTGATCGGCCTGGCGCGCAGCTTGGAGGGCTACGGGAAGGGTGGCTCGACTGGCGAAGATGACCGAGGGTTGAGCGAAGGTGATCAGACGATGGAATTCGGGCTGATTGAGGGCGGGCTGTCCGGATGCAAAGATGCACCCAGCCATCACGGTTCCCATGAGGAGGGCGGGGTAGCAGAGGGCGTTGCTGGTCACACATAGAATGCGATCCTTGGGGTTGACCCCCAACTTCTGCAGGCCTACCGCGACTCGAGCAGATAGTAAGCGGTATTCTGCCAGGGATAGGGATCGAGTATCCGGGTGGTCGGCATCGATGAGGACCTTTCGGTCACTGAGAGGGCGTCGCGGGAAGCCAAACACGAATCGAGGGAGAGAACATTGCGGGATGGGAGTGGTCCATTTCGAAGCAGTGTAAGAGGACCTTTCGCTCTGCAGTTGCGACGCGGGAGGATGCATGATGGAAGAGGCTCACAAGAGTCACTTGTTCTGTCTCCAAGCTTGTGTGGTCGATCAGCTTGAGTCTGGCCTTGGTCTCCCTGCGCTCTCTCCCTTATATAGCTCCCGCGACGAACATGTCGCGAGTCGCGACAGCAAATTGAGTTGGTGATGGGGTTACGTAAATGACCTCCTAGCGCAAGCCACGCCGGAATATTGAACACTGATGCCTGCAGACTGGAACTATAGAAAATAGATTGGGGCTGGTGGCTGCCGATGGCAATCCCAGATCTGCACGTGTGGGGAAGGGGGCTGCCTGGTTTGCTGCAGGACTGCAGCTGCATGCCGATGATCTGCCTGCCAGCCCGCCCTGACCGTCTAGAATGTCGATCAATGTGATGCAGGTTAGGACTGATATCACGCCACTACCAGCGGCATTTATCGGGTCCTTTGTGCGGAGTTCAGCAGGTGGTCGGACATTTTGTTGGCCCCATTGACCGAGTGAGCCTGGCCGCCCCTGGTGGTGACACTTCTAGGATCACATCGCCATCACTCTTGCGCGAAACCCTAGTTGAGATGCACGTCCTCAATAGGCCGAGGGGAATCAGCTCACCACATAGCCCGCTCAACATATTTTGATCACCATGGGCTACAATAGACAATGTGATAGATGAGCAGCTGTGTACTCGCCAGGCACACACTCAATTAGGAAAAGACGCAGTGGATTTTATTGTATACATGCGGGCATGAGGGATGAAGACGGGTCATCAACCTGTCTTTTTCGGGAGCCGGGCGGCCCGAAAATTTCCTACGGATATTTGTCTGATGTGATACACAGGAAATCCATGTATTGGCGCCTCTATTCAGCTATTTGATCTTATCTACCTATGGGACGTCGTTCTCAACCTACAGTGGCTTGGCAGATGTCCGCGACGTGGTTTATGTAAATGAGCGTCGGATCACATCCTCGCGGCCTTCTTCTTGCGATAGTCATGCCCCTGAAGCATGACCCACCACAGAAGCAAGCTAGAAGCCAGCCACATCACGGCAATCAGTGTTCCCATCCAGCCCATTCCAATCGCATTAATGATGGGTACTGCAGCCGCAACCGCTCCCGCTCCCAGAAAACAACGGAACATCGTGTTGGATGCCGTGACTGTCGCCGCTCGCTGGACGTGGCAATCCATCAACAGCGTGATCAGCGTGCTGGTAGCCCCAGCGATGGTATGTGCGGTGAAGAACAGCATGATCAGGGGCCCAGCCACATTGACATTGTAGTTCATGACCCAGCCGTAGCCCACGATGAAGATGCAGGCCAAGTAGACCATTGGCAGAGTGATCTGGAGACGAGCCCTTTCGACGGGAAAGTCGATGAGGTTCACTTGACGGTTGTTTACGACTTCCAAGCCCCGCTGCTTGCCTAGACGCCGAAAGTTCCAGTCCACAAACCGTCCGATCGTCCATCGTGAGCTGAGACTGCCGATACCGTATGGGATATAGCACAAGCCGACTTGGAGCGAGTTGTAGTTGTACTTCTCGCTAAGCTGGGAGGACAGACTGCTCAGCACGGCAAAGTATCCACAGTAGAGGAGGGAGGTGAATGCAATGAGGGCGCCGGTTTCTTTCTCGAGGGCGATCTGGACACTGTCCCATGGAGTCGGTCGTTTGACCTTGGGTGCTCCTGCCAGAGCGTTTCTCGCCGTCTCATCCCCGTCCAGTTGTGAAGGTTTGATGATTGGGATCAGCGGACGGTTCCAGCGCGGGGCAGGAATGGAGCCATTTCCAACAACCTGACGACACGTCTCGGGAAAGCAGAGCAGGATGAGGATGATCATTGCTCCGGCAAAGATGGCGAGGAACCAGAAGATACTCTCCCAGTTCATGAACTGGGCCAGGACACCCCCAATGATGGGCCCGAGCGCAGGGCCCATCGTGATGCCGAGCGACGAATAGATCATGTATTTGCCTCGCTCGCCTCGAGTGACCACGTCGGCTGTGACAGCCATCCCGACGACCGAGATGGCACTGCTGCCGCAACTTTGAAACGTCCGGAGGACAATGAGCGCAATATAGTTGTCCTGCAGCGCCAGGCCGATGTTGACGCCGAGATAGGTGATCAGGCAGACCAGCATGGTTGGCCGGCGCCCATACACATCTGAGATACTTCCGGTCACCAGAGGCGCCACGCCTTGGAAGATCTGCGCGTGTCTGGATTAGCCAGTGCCAACCACTCGACAAGAAAGGGTAGGATCTTACCATGAACGTGGTGATGGTGAGGTTGATTTGGCTGACAGAGACATGCAAGTCGTGAGCCAACTGATCGATGGCCGGATAGTAGATGTTGGCAGACACGGGGGCCAGAAACCCGACAATCGCAGCTATGGTGATGGTCATGATCTTCTGCCTCTCCGTCAATACGGTATAGGGCGGTTCGGGTGGCGGCGTGGAGGACGCCCGAGAGAGTGGCTGGAGACTCGCACTGCTGGCATTTCCACCCAGCGAGCCGAGCTCAATTGTGTGTACGGTCTCTTGAGGACCTTTGTCTTTGATGTCGTGAGACATGACGTTGCCTGAATGCCTTAGGGAGTGACTAATGGTAGGAGAAGGCCTAGAGAAGGAAAGGAGTGTGGATTGGCGCTGTGGGAGCGTAAGTCGACCGCGAGAATTGCCATGTCTGGAGCAGTTATACGACTGCATTGGGCTCGATCTCGCCCCCTCCCACGACTCACGCATGCATGCGATCGATGTTTGGTTTCCCGAAAGGGTGATTGATCATTGAACGCTAAATCATGGTTCCGATGCAGTGGTTCTGGCTATTCATTCTCTGGGCCCCTAGTGAGGCCACCGACGTCCCATCCAGCCTCAGCACGATCTTCGGGTTCAGCTCGCCAACATGGGGAGATGGGGCCCCAGATGGCAATAACAGTTAAGTAAAGGAAACTGAAAGCGGAAATGGCTGCAAGGGAGCAGACGGTTTAAGGCGAAATGGGGCCGGCAAAAAAGCAAGCACGAGAAAAGAAACAGCAAAGTTCGCCGAGAAGAAGACGCGACATCTTCGGCCGCGTCAGTAGGCTGCACTGTCGATCTTGCATAACCACGCTACTGCGGTCTGCAATGACTATCGACGGCGAAATAAACTCCCGCTGGGCTTGTCGATCCCGCCGCCGGCGCAACCCTAAGCCCACATCACCGACATGCAGCGGCTCAGGAGAGCTGGCCAGCCCAACAGAAAGTGGTTGTTGAATCATCACTCGATGGCTTCCCGCGAGGATCATGAAGCGAGCATATAAACCCGACCAGAGTCGGATATGTTAGGTCACCAGACAAAGCATCGAAAATATCTTTCGGACAAGATCATCGCCCATCATGGTTCCATCGATCCAATTTTTGCCCGAAGATGATACTTCGCCGCGCACGTCTTGTTCTCTCCCACCTGCACCAGAAGCACCGAAGACTGAAGAAAATGCGTACAATGTCAGTCACCCCAAGTGAAAGGCAAGCCCACACTAACCCCGTCAAAGGACACCATCCATAAGCTAAACCTGCTGGATACCAACTTTGCGTACCGGCAACGAGCCATCAAGACCCATGACTGGGATGCCTTTATCCAAGACATGCTGCGGTGGTGTCGTGCAGCGGGATATGAGGTAGGTCATCTCGTGCAGTACATGTGCCTTCCGATCTGACCGAGATCTCTAGAGTCCCGATTTCGATCCCCTGAACGCGGTGCATATTGCCGGAAGTAAAGGCAAGGGGTCCACCTCGGCGTTTATCTTCTCGATTTTGTCCGAGTACCAGAGTCAGGAGGTAGGTCGTGCAGATAAGACGTGTTCTTGAATTTTCGACGAGCAGTCGCTAACGCGAATACCAGAGCCCTATTCAGAAACTGGGTCTGTACACGTCTCCCCACTTGCGCACCGTGCGAGAACGCATCCGCATCAGCCCGTCCAACGACATGCCTTTCCACCACACCCCACTGTCGGAGGAACAATTTGTGAAGTATTTCTCCGACGTATGGGAACGACTAGGCCTGACAGAGGACTGCGCCAAGGGAGGTCCGCCATTCGCCCGTTTTTTAACCCTGGTGGCCCTGCATGGCTTCCTCCAAGAAAAGGTCGACACCGCCATCGTCGAGGTGTGCCTCGGAGGCCGTCATGACTCGACCAACGTGCTCCACCGTCCCAGTGTCTGCACAATCACGAGCCTGGCCCTGGAACACACAGACCTACTGGGCGACACTATCGAGGAGATCGCCTGGGCCAAGGGCGGTATCATCAAGCCCGGTTGTCCAGTTTTCACGATCCCCCAGGCCCCCGGAGCAACACGCACGCTGCAAAAGATCGCCGCCGAGAAAGGCGCGGAGTTGACGATCGTGCCTGTCCACCCGGAGGTGGCGAGCATGGAGTTGGGTCTGGCCGGGGAGTTCCAGAAGATCAACGCCAGTCTGGCCGTGGCCGTGGCGGCTAGTCATCTGCGACACATGGGCTATTCTGATATCCCCGAGGACATCACCTCCGCCCCTTTACCCGAGAAGTTCCACCGGGCACTCCGCAACGCCAGCTGGCCCGGTCGCTGCGAGACGCGGGAGTGCCGATCGGGCCGATTCCTACTCGATGGAGCACATACCGTCGAAAGCATGGACCTGGTGGGTTCGTGGTTTGCCAAGAAGGCAGTGCAACACGAGTCCTCGAAGCGGGTTCTCATCTTCAACCAGCAAACTCGCGATGCCTTTACTCTGGTTCGACGCCTGCGGGACAGCATTCGCCGGTCGGCGGTGGGTGCCGTTCACGAAGTACCCTTCCACCACGTCATCTTCTGCACCAACATCGCCTGGGAGAAGAATGAGGCTGCCGATATGGAGCGCGTGTCGATGATTTTCACTGGCAACACTGGACCCGAGAACCTGACCCTGCAAACGCAGCTGAGCGACTACTGGCGCGGCATTCCAGGAGAGGAGATGACGGGTATCACGGTCGTCCGCACGGTGGAGGAGGCGGTGCGATGTGCCGGGGGGGTCGGAGGCATCGCAGTACAGTCACCTCTCGTCTTGATCACGGGGAGTCTGCACTTGATTGGAAGTGCGTCGGAGGTGCTGGAGACTTTGGAGGAGGAGGGTCTCCACTTGTGAACCAGTGGGAGGTCTTTTGTTGATTTCGGATGTACACTATCTTATTATCTATGATCGATGTAATGGGTTGTCTGGATCGAGTTGGACGTACAAAAGTGTGGAATTAGTGGCGCCCTGATTCAGGGGAGTCCCCAGTCTGGCAGAGGTTGCAATGGATTTACTCTATTGGAGTCTTATCTATAAGGAAGGTGCGTCGTGTATAGTTTAGGCCGTGTATAACATATATGTACAGTCTCCATCCCCGTTCGTTACAAGGGAAGGTCATAGTAGCCCAGCTCCGTCCGGCTCTCAAAAGGCCGATTCTTCCCTCCGTTTACGGTCGCACCACTCCTCCTCTTTCCCCACGCTCAACCTTTCGTATTGCTCTAGCATCTCGTGAAGCCCCGGGATGGCTGACGATTGCGATTCATCTTGGATGGTGTCGAAATAGCTGCTCTCGCCGTCAGCCTTGGTCAGGTCTTCCGCGTAACGATCCCACCGGTCGGGGGTCTTTGACTGCGAGCCCTGCTGGAACAGTTCCTTGATTCCCGGTGGCACTGCCTCCGACTGCTGCACTCGGTGCCCCTGGTTGCGTGACCGCACCGACAACTTGAAGAGGTGGAATACACTCCTTCCAAGCTGGGAGCGACAGGCAATGATGGACATGGCGCTGGTCAGCGTCAAGAAGTCCCGGTCGAGGATGTCAAAGCTATCCTGGTCAATAAGGGTGAACAGCGCGAGATTGATGGCGTACATGGCGAACTGATGGGCGTGTTCCATTCCGTACTCTGTCCGCAGTGCTTGGACGAGTGTGGCAATAGCCCGCGCCGACGACACGGCAATATCCATGGCACTGAATCCCTTGCTATGTGGAGGGGTGCGCTCGTCGGATTCCGACAAGACGGGATGGACCCCGTACCGGTCGTAGCAAATATTGATAACCAGCGTATGATAGCGCATTCTGTCGTCCAACCCCCAAGGTTAGCTCCCTGCAACTGCCTCATCGAACTGAGACAAGACCCACCTTAGTAACAGCAGATGCGGGGCAGGTTGCCCCGTCGGATCGAAGGTGTCGGGGAGGTTTCCCTCCCATTCGCACAGCTGATCATATAGATCCTGCTTGCGCTGATCCGGATCGATCCCCGCCGTGTCCGTCCGAGACAAGTTCCAGGAGATGTCGCGCGCAATGAAGGAGAGCTTGCAGGCTTCATCGAAGTATAGGCTCAGGTATGACGGCCGAGAGACATTCGAGACCGGGTACGGTGTCCACATGTCACTCAAGGCCGTGTCGTTCCGATCGATGCGTTCCACGCTCACGGAGCTCACGCGGCTCGGTCGGAGGAAGTTGGTATGCACAACCCTGTCGTCCCCGGCGGTCAGAACAGCCATGTGCTCGGGGGCAGAAGACACCTACGTATCGACCTGAAACAGGCCCCATGCGGTGCGCTTGATCGAGACGATCATATCTTCCGACATCTGCGAAGCGCTGAGACGTAAGTTGGGCTTATTCACAATGCCCAGCGATTCGGCCATCTCGATCGCACGATGCAGCATGGTGTATCCCCAATCATCGTGACCGGACAGGGAGTATCTGTAAATTAGAAGACGATCAGGTCCTCCAATCGACGAAGTTGGGCGCAAGCCGCCCGGGCGGTGACGGCATACCTCTCATACAGCAGCAGATGTGCTTGCAAGGACGCCAGACGGATATCGCCCCCCTTCTCAAACTGGTGGGATTGCAGGTGGCGCTCCGCCTCGGCTAGGAAGTCGGCGCCTTTGGTGCGGACATCCCCTGGGATAGTATAGGCTTCGGTATATTGTGAATAGTACTGCATCCTTAGTCAACCCATTTTGCCATCGGGCACCGGTGGACCGGACTTACGCATGCATTGGCCAGCAGGGCGTTGACCAGGAAGGCGCTGCAAAAGTCCGACTCGACCAGCCCCATGGCCATATGCTTGATAAATGTCCGGTTGTCGAAAAAGGCGAAGAAGGGGTAGTCCCAGATCAGGTAGAGAGAGACCAAGTGGGAGACCAAGTCATCGTCGTCCGTGACCGAGGTCCATGGTTTGGCAGGGACGCGGAAGGGGGCACTGCCGCACAGATAGCGGATGTCCATGATCTGCGGGCGAAACCGCGGGGGCTCACTTTCGACCTCGATGCCCCGTCGGAGGCCCTCCAGACGGTCGACAGTGTCTCGATCGGACGCGTTGGCCCGGGCCTCGGTCAAGGCGCGATCGAGGTAGGCGCGCACCTCTTCCAGGGAGGCATGGTTGCGGATCATCTCCAGCAGAGCCGGGGCATGGTCGGGGTCTGTGGATCGCACGACCTGGAATAGGTCGTGTAGCAGGTCCTCATGGTAGTTGGTGGTAATTGTGGAGTATTCGGCTGCCGCCCGTTGGAGTTGGTTATCCGCCTGGGGTCTCTTATGACCTCGTCATTAACACACCACCACCATCAGAAAGGGCATCGGGGGGAGAAGGAGCACACGCACCTCGGGGGGATAGGCACCGTCGGGTTTCTTCCTCCGCGTGGACATGGTCCAGGGAGTTGGTTCGCGGGAAACCAAAAGAAAATTTAGAGAATAAACAGTAGAGACGGGGAGATGTGGCGCGGCGAGGAAGAAGAAGAGGAGACTAGTGGTAGTGGTGGTGGTGAGTTGAAACGAAGACGAGCTGGTCGATGGACCCTCGCGGATGATGCCATCATGACATCAAGACGTCGGCGGATGGGTTGGCCAGGTCCAAGTCCCCGCTCTCCCATCGTTCCCCAGAGGGCTGGTCATGGCGGCATGGTTTCCCAACACTTGGAAAACAAGGGATCAGATAGAAATCTTCACCGGCAATAAACTCTGCGGTTCATGGAGCCATGTGGCTGTTGTCCAGATGAGGGGAAGGAGGGGAAGATGAGGAGAGGAGAGAAGAGAAGAGGAGAAAGTGAGGGGAAGTGGTGGTGGCTGAGGTAAGCACTGCCCACGTGAGCCTGAGATTGCCTTGTCGGAGACTCATCCATCGTCACATTCCCTAACATCCCTATCCCTATGTTCATGCCAATACTATGGTGTGGAGCTCTTGATGATTTTCTTTGGGGGACGATACAGCTACTGAGATTATAGCAAGTCAGGCTAAAGTATAAGTAGAGCGCCTCAGGCAGCGCTTTCACGAGCGGTGAGGACTCTGCCGGCCATACAATTTGGCCTTTCCGAATAAAGCAGGCGGAGTACCTGGCAGGTATCGGCGCCTGAAATCCGAGGCCGAAGAATGGGACGGAAAATCCCCCGGTTTTCCCGCTTTTGGCTTTCCATCTCCTTCCCACCCACCCTCATCGTCTGCACGAAACTCCTACAGAGAAACTCGTCAAGCCATGGCGATGCGAGGTACTCCTGTCTCAAATTCCACAGGGGGAGCCAATTCAAGGCCAATATTTCTACCACATAAGCACTGCAGCATGTGACTGGTGGGGGATGCCCTGCCCGATTGGGACGACAGCCTCAATCATTGTCCCATCCAATTCCTTCAATCTCTCCCAACAAAAGCCGAGGGATCCCTCAGCACTCGGGCATCGGATCGGGAGGGCGCTTAGCGTGCGCCTGTCCAACCAGGGAGGCCCCCCGATGGCTCTCCGTGAGCACTAACGGTTGGATCGTGTCCACACCAATGATGCTAGCCCCATATGGTTGACACGCAGGAGGCCTGGCCAGCTTTTTTAATCGAAGCCACAAACCTTTTAATCACGTCCGGCGCTGTCGGAATTAATCTCAAGTACCGCGGGTGGCCTCATGTCAATTTCTCCCCTGATGGACGACCCCACGACCGCCATGCACGGACTGGGCGAGAAGAGCGTGGCGGAGTCGCCCCCGCCGCTGCTCAAAGTGCGCATGAGCTTCTTCCACCGGCTGAAGTGTTTCATCGGCCTGTGGCTGTTCAAATGCCTAGCCAGTGTCTACTTCTTCTACCGGGGGCTGCGCCGGCGTCCATCTCCCCGCACCCGGCCCACCCTTGTCAAACGCTATCCATGTCGGCCCATGTTGCAGACTCACATCTTCTATCCCTCTGGATACACCCCGGGAGAGCGGCTGCCCCTCTATATCAACATTCACGGGGGCGGATTCGCCGTGGCGGATGCCCAGGTCGACGACCACTTCTGTGTCGCTTGGGCCGAGCGCACCGGCATGTTGGTCGTTAGCCTGGACTACCGGAAAGTGCCGCGCCATCCATTTCCCGTGCCTGTACATGATGTGGCCGCCCAGGTACAGGCTGTGCTCGATGACCCGGACTTGCCGATTGACCATTCCCGGGTGACCATCGGGGGATTCAGTGCCGGGGGTCACTTGGCTCTCGCGGCGTCGCAGTTGCCTCCACTCCACGGACTCGTCCAAGCCGCTGTCGTGTATTACCCGATCGTCGACTTCAGTCACCCGCCACCGGTGAAGATGGCAACCCGACCGTACACTGATGGCCCGAAAGACAATATCGGGGACTCCGGGATGGGGTGGGCGCTGGACTGGGGAATCGTCTGCGTGGGGCAGAACCGACGCGATCCGGTGCTGAGCCCCTGCTATGCCAAAGCCAAAGATTTGCCCCCGCGGGTTTACATGGTGGCCGCGCAGTGGGATATGCTGCGCCTGGAGGCCCAGCAGATGATCCACCGCCTGGCCGGACTGGAGGGCAAAGCCGACCAGGAAGCACCGTTCGACACAGGGGCGTATAAGTGGACCTTGGCCCGGGGCTGTACGCACGGCTTCACGCACGGACAGGGCGGGGACGCTGCCGAGAAAGCGTACCGGAAAGAGTTTTGCGGTGACCTGTATCATCAAGCTCATGAGTGGTTGAAGAAGGGTGGGCAAGCATGATGACCTTTGGGATGCAGTTTTGGGTGGAGTTCTTATAGACCTGGTTTCAGAGCGATATCACCACATTGCATGAATATTCTATGAACCGCATACCATAAGACGGACCCTGCTTAGACCTAGATATCCCATATAAAATGACGATCAGACATCATGAAGACTTGCTTGATAGATCAATTCATGATTCTCAATCAATTTTCATCTTCTTAGAACCCGAAGGACCGACCTATCTGCATGGCTCCTCTCACAATCCCTTGCATTTTGTAAGTTATGAATTACACCCTCAGCCATCAACACCTCATCTCACAGACTTCCCTTGGAAATATGTATCAAGAAAGCTAAGCCTAAAACTTCGGAATCGCCGCATCAAACACCCCCCGCGGATCACGCGTCCTCTTCAACTCGGACAAAAACTCATAATGCTCTCCATAAACCTTCCTCATATCTAATTCTTCCGATGATGACAAGGACAAGTACGGCGCAGCCAGAATATTCCGCGGGTCCGTCCGTGCCAAAGCCATCTGGAACTGCTGTCCCCAGGCCTGAACGGCATACATTTCCTCTGGCGTATCTGTGGCTCCGATGATCTCGAACATGACGTGTCCCTCGCGAGAGGTGAAGACGGAGTCGGGGTTGGGCTGAGCGGAAGGCGAGCAGGGGCGGAGTTCATGTACGGCGAAGATGACTCGTGGATTGGAGGACATTTTAGCGATGTAGGTGGCTATTACGTCGAGGACCTCGTCGGTGAGTTGTGGCATGCTAATGGTCCAGACCCGGCCGCGGCTGTCCTTGGGGGCCAGCCGAGAGGCTTCGTCCAGCCAGGCGGGCGGTGTGGTCTCTTGGACGGAGTTGAAAGTTACCGGGGCGAGAGAGGACAGTTTGTTGAGCCATACTCGCCCGGTGTCGATGTCTGAGGAGCCCCAGAGGAATAGGACAATGAAGGCTTTGCCCGTGGGGGTGTTGATCACTGCTTGCTGGAGGTTTAGGGCAGAGGGAATGCCTTCAGCGGATAAGACTTGGTAGCCGTGATTGTATTGCCGGATGACGGCGGGGAGATCGCTCGAGTCGAAGAAAAAAATGCCGGCAAGGACCTACTTGAGGTGAGGATCTAGATATGGAGTGTACTGCGGAGTTGAAAGGACGCACTTTATCCAGCCGATGCACCGGGACGGTGATCTCGGTGACGACGCCAAACGCTCCTCCGGCGCCCCGGATGGCTCGCAGCAGGTCCGCATCCGCCTCCATGAGCTCGCCTTGGGCATTAATGACTTTGGCGGCCCGAATCTGGTCGACGCCGAGGCCGAACTGTGAGCTGTACGGCCCGTAGCCGCCATACAGCGCCCATCCCACATAGCCGACCACGGAGATGGTTCCGGTTGCAGCCACCAAGCCATGCCCGTGAAGCTTTGGGATCACGTCGCCGAGCAGAGCGCCGCCGCCGATGCGGGCGGTTTCGCCTGAGGGGTCGACTTCGACGTGGTTGATGAGGCGCAAATCCAGGGCGACCACCTGGTCCTGGAACGACCGTCCGAAATTATCGTGTCCTCCAGCACGCACGGCGAAGGGGATGTCACTGGCAATCAGGAAAGCCACCAGAGCGACCGCATCGGGGATGGTTGGGGGTCGGACGATGATGCATGGATTGAGGTCGGGGAGCAGGGCAAAAGCAGCGCGGATGGCGGCATACTCGGGCGACGCCGGAGTCACGGACTGGATGGGCGGATGGGCGGCCAAAAAGGCGTAAACCTTCTGCAAGGTGACTTGAACATTATCGGAATCCATTTTGCTGATGCGAAATGCAAAGAGCTTATCGTTCGTGGGGAGGGAGGCAAGTTATACGAGTGACCCCGCGGGGATGACGTTGGTCTCCTCCCGTCCGTGGATGACAGCCTCCCACTGGAAGCGCCATTGCTGACACGAGCGAGAGCCAGACAATACTGACTCCTTGTGGAGGAGCAAGACTGACCAAGAGATGACTGCAAGCAGCGGACACGAGTCTGAGGGTGCAAAACAATGCCGGCAGTACCATCAAACCCGGGTAATCCCGGCATGTCATGCATTGGAAACATATATCAAAGCAGATTGGCGAACTAGTACTGCGTTGGGTGAAAACACGGAATTGGGGGGGGGGGGGGGGGTGGTAGAGGCAACAGTGAGAGATCCTAGGTCTGCTACACCCCTTCAGCCAACACGCTTCGTATCTCGTCACTGCCCCTCGACTGCGCGTAGTCATAGGCACTTCCGAAAGCTCCCTTGACCTCCGGATCTGCCTCGTGGGCCAGCAACCACCGGACCCTCTCGACCGCCCCGGCCATGACCGCATACACAATCGCATATCGCGGCGCCATAAGTCGAGCTTCCTGGGATTGATTCACCTTTGCCCCGCGTTCCACCAGCAGGGTCATAGTGGGGATCCGCGCGGTGTCGAACTCTCTGGTCGGGGGGATGGGATTCCGCCCAGCATCGGTCCCCGGGGGGCACGCGGCGGCAGCGACATGCAACGGGACACCCTGCTGGACATCTGCCCCCGCGTCCAGTAGAAGACGCACTGTCTCGAAATCGCCGTTGCCGGCTACCAATTCGAGAGCCGAGCGCCGGCTGGGATCAGACGCGCCCGCATTGGGATCGACCCCCTGGTTGAGGAGCCAGCGAAGCAGGGGTTTGTTGGTGATGACCCGGACCGTCAGTAGGCTCCCATCGTCCCAGAAGCCTTGCGGACTCCAGCCGTGGAGGGAAAGCAGCCGGAAGAGGGGAAGATGACGGTCGGAGGCAGCCCGGAAGATATTGACTGGGGTCAGTCGAACGATAGGCGCACCGGCTTCGAGAAGATAATGAGCGATGTCCTCGTGGCCCGCGCCGAGGGCAAAGGTGAGGCTGCGGTGGAGGAAGGCCGGCGTGCAGGTTTGGTCGGCAACCATGGCCTGCACCGTGGACAGAGGACCATCTCGACATGCGTGTTCAATTGGGGTCGCGGGGTCGGAGGAGAGCCTCATGCAGGACAGATCATGGGGGTCGAGGATGGGGAGGTCGCTGTAGTCCGCGGTAGCCATGGGCATCCCCTGGTAGGGCATGGATTGCGCACTGCGGCGATATTGCATCTGCTGTTGTTGCTGCAGGCGCGCCCGCATCATCAACTGCCACTGGCGCTGTTGTTGATATGACGCTTCCTCACGTTCAGCCATCGTGTCGTGGACGCGACCGGGGACTGGATAGATAAGTGAGTAGATGATTGATTGACTAGGCGCGGGGGAAACATTGAGTAGTAAGTGATGAGCCAGCGTTCGCTCGCTGCTAAAAAACTAAAGACTATGGAACAGTACTACTCTTAGATGTGGCTTTCAGCCCCGAGAATGCTGGATCGGCCAGCATCTAGAAGGAGTGCGTATACAGATGGCGATTTGAATCGTGTCACACTGTTGTTCCTTCTCAGCCGCCATGACCGTCAACATCGCTCATCCCGCATCCCTCCAACAACCCATCTCGCGCTGGTGACGAGACTCTTACAGGTGCTGCTTCGGAGGCCTCTCGAGTTCGGAGGAGACCGATGGACCCTCCCGATGCAGGCGGCTTCCCCGCGGGTCGTAGAGTGGCTCCGCCGTCACCGTGGCCTTGATGGGCTTCCCGAAATACTCGATCACGACCGCCTCGCCCTCCTGGACCCAGCCGGGCAGCCAGGCATAGGCAGCGGGCTTGCGTGCCTTATAGCTAAAGGCAGCGCTGGTGACATAGCCACTCGGCCGGCCGTTGTGATATACCGGTTCCTTCCCAAGGACCATGGAATGGCCATCGTCAACTGTCAGACAACGCAGACGCCGAACAGGTTTCTGTCGGGATCGAGCTTCTAGCGCCGTCTTTCCGATGTAGTCTTCCTGTTTATCTGCCCGAACGGCATTGTCTACCCCGGCCTCGTATGGATCGTGTTCCGTCGTCATGTCACTACCCCAAGTCCGATACCCCTTCTCCAGCCGCAACGCGTTCAAGGCACTACGGCCCGCGGCGACCAGTCCGTGCGGTCTGCCAGCTTGCCAGAGCGCATCCCATAGTAGGTGGCCGGATTCAGCGCTCGTCTGAATTTCCCATCCGAGTTCCCCCACGTAGGACTTGCGGAGGGCCGTTGTGGGAATTCCGGCGATAGTGGCACGCTTGACGCTCATGTACGGCAGTGCAGCGCTTGAGAAATCGTCAGTGGTAACAGCACGGATCACATCCCGGGCTCGAGGGCCCCATAATCCAATACAGCATGTACTGCCGGTAACGTCAGACACCTGCACCCATTGGCTCGGAATGTGCTGCCCCTGATGCCGCGCTTCTTTGACAAGGTAGGCCACGTCGGTCGCTGAGTTTGTACCAATCTGGAAGATATCCTTCTCCAGGCGGGCGATGAAGATGTCGCTACAAATCTTGCCTTGATCATTGAGGATCAGGGCGTAAGTTATGGCGCCAGGGGGTGCCGTGACATCACCGGTTGTTAGACGCTGCAGGAGAGGCAGTGCGCCCGGCCCGGACACATGCACACGGTGGAAGGATGTCAGGTCATACATGGCAACTGCATTCCGTGTCTTCCATGCCTCCACCGCAGATACGGGCGAGTAATACCGCGATGACCAGGCATCCCGGGAGGCAGGCTGCCATTCCGCTGGAAGTGACTGCAGGAGCTCCGCGTTCGCCTCGTACCAGTATGGACGCTCCCAACCGCTCAGCTCGAGAAAATAGGCTCCCAGCTGCTGTTGCTGGGAATAAAATGGGCTCACTCGCAGCTGTCGAGGAGACTCCCTCGGTTGCAAGGGATGCAGGATGTCATAGATTTCCACGAAATTCTGTTGTGAAGTCTCGCTGACGTAGGCACGAGTAAGCTGCACCTCTTCAAACCGAGACAACTCGCACTCTGCGAGGTCGATCGTGGATGCTCCGTCTGTGAGCACCTCTGCCATGGCTCGCGCGACACCCGCCGAGTGGGTGACCCAGACAGCTTCCGCGACATAAAACCCGTCAAGGTTGGGGGCTTGTCCGACGAGGGGCCCACCGTCAGGGGTGAACGAGAAGATGCCATTGAATCCATCCTTCACCTGGCTTTCGCGTAACGCCGGGAGAAGATCCTGCGACATGGTCCAGGCAGTGGCAAAGTCCTCCGAAGTGAATGGCAGTCGGGATGGCATCTGGTTTTCGTCGACGTGCTTGGGTGTCTGGCCCAACGACGCAGCGACTACTGGCATGGGACGGTGCCCGTAGTATCCGATGCCAATCTGATCCCCATGTTCGCGGTAGTACAGGTCTTGGTCTTGGTACCGTAGGATGGGGAGGCTTGCGTTCATTCCGTTGGGGAGCTCGTTCGTGTCACGGCCTGCCAGAGCAGGGACGGCTGTCGTTTTGGCGTACTGATGGGCAAGCGGCAGCAGAGGAATCGCTACCCCGGCCATGGCTCCGACCTCAACTCCCCAGAAGCCGGCGCAGGAGATGACGATGTCCGCCGGGATCGTGCCACTAGGCGTAGTGACCCCTGTGACCCGAGAACCCGTCTGCTCAATGGCCGTGACGGGTGTCGAGTCAAGGTAGCGAACACCCGCCTTTTGGGTACGGGCGATGAGCAGCTGGGTCGCGCGTGCAGCTAGGGCGAGACCATCGGTGGGCGTATGTAGACCACCCAACACAAGGTCCTTGTTGAGCAGTGGATACCTCTCCAGACACTCCTCGACTGTCAGCAGACGCGCCTCAATACCCCAGGACGTGGCATAGCCATGTTTACGCTTGAGTTCGTCAAGACGGGCGGGCGTCGTTGCCACCTCGAGGCCCCCCACTGAATTGAAGCATGACATACCATCCTCCTCCAGTGATCGGAGTTTTTCCACGGTGTAACGGGCAAACCGAGTCAACGTTTTTGAGGCATTGGTCTGAAACACGAGGCCCGGGGCATGCGACGTTGATCCGCCTGGGAGATGCAACGGGCCTTGTTCGACAACGACAATATCGCGCCATCCACGTGCGACCAGCTCGTCAGCCAGGTTGGTGCCCACGATGCCAGCACCGATAATAACCACGCGCTGCGCCTGTGCCATGTCTAAGAGTTGCCTCCCTGGAATTCACCTGCCTGAAATTTGAGCTTTCATCGAGGAGTGACCCGAACCACCACAGCAGTTGGCCTGCTCATAGGAAGCCAAGATATAGACCGCGCGGTGGGAGCCGAGAACCTGAGTTGGCCTGGATGGCTGGGTAACCACCGGCCCCGGTTCCGCAGCCGAACCGGATCGTCGAGCCTATGAAATCAGGCCCACGCACGGTGTTACTAAAAATGGGCAAGGCCTGCGTCCGCTGATTTGCAACCTCGATGCGGGGGTGCCGAAGGGCGGATGGAGAATGGAACTCAGCACGGCTGTGAGGGGGGGCTGCATCGTAGTACTTACATCGTACTCTTGCCTAGTCGGGTCAGTCGCGATGGGGACGGGGAAAATATACCCCGAACAGGCAAGGCGTTGCTGGCCGAGTGGAGAAAGGGCATCAATCAATTGAGGGCCCGCATTCAGTAGACAGTACGCAGTACGGAGTAGATAGGAGCTGTTATCTACTACTGCACTAGCAGGCTGGGCCACCACCTTCGAGATAAGTGCCGTTATCGGGGCCCCTCGCCTCCGACTCGCTGAGAATCGTAAATCGCCCTTGGGGTCCCATGACTGCCATGGCGGTGGCAACAAATGGTCGATACAACCTGTACGGAGTAGTAGATGGTACAAAGCGCATGGGGGGCCCTCGACCGTGGTTGGAGGGCGGGCTGACGTGGTGCACGGGCGGGGAAGCCGAGGGGTGACATCGGTTGCATCACTGCATGCGGGGTTGGACGTGTCGGATCCAGACTTATCATCACCGGAGGACATGACAATCAACGCTATTTCTGCAACTATCTCGCATTCAACCTGATTGTATCACAGGTTTCCCAGATTCCACCACGACGAAAACTCCGCATCCCCAATTGCAGGACCGGCGCTGTCGTATCCCAAAGAGCCATCCATGTCTCCCAACGGTGCTGCGTCAGTCCACAGCCATGGCGTATTCACCATCAGACTGTCGATCGGTGCAACTAGTCGATCGCGGACCGCGGCCTTCCCTCCTGCATTGCCTTTGGATGTGACCGGGGTCGGATACAGGGGCAAGGGAACAGCCTGGCCCCCATCTGCAGTGTTGACTGTGACCTCGGGGGATGCAGTGACTATCACCTCCAGTGTGGAAGCTTCTTCCGAGCCGTGTCCGACCATGGCCATGGCCAAGGACGGATGCAACAATCGGCCATCCGATATTCCCTCCGCCGACTGATCCGCACAGCGAAACTGTAAGATATCCCACATGAGAGGTATACTCAAATGGATCTTGGACGGTACCCAGGTCTCGTAGCTGACGCCATCGGAGCCGGATGCAACCCGCATCATCTGGTCCAGAATTCGGTGCTAGAGTCTGTTAGCTATATTGTGCGGAACCTCTCGTCAGGGTAGATGGTTCAGTCACCTACCAAACCTTCGCATGCACGGGAAGTGGCAGCAAATACCTTCAGAAATGCGCGGCATTTGGCAAGATCTACCCGAGATTTATATTTCAGTCGGGGATCGCCGGCACAACAGTAGTACAGTTGCACCGTTGCGGCAATGGCGGCCACATGGGCGAAGAAAGGATCAGACAGCTGCACCTCCTTCTCCAACACCATGTCGATCAAGCGCACAATCCACGTCGCATGCAGCACAACAAGCTCTGATGACCGTCGCCAGAAGCTATTCGGGATGGCCAGGTTGGGGTTGTGGCGAGATGCCATGATGTACAGAAACGGGTGGTTGAGGACGGTGAGGATGGCATGGTACATGAATTGCAATTTCAGCCAGGGCACCCAGTATGAGAGATTGTTAGAGAGTTCCTCTCCCTGGCGTTCGTAGAATCGGACGTGGTCATATCGATGGCAGAGCGGGGTCCGGTTTTCGATCTCTGTGAGGTCGGAGAGGACCACTGAGTACATCGACTCATGCCTCCAGGGCTCTCTCATCCTGCTACTTGCACAGTCTGACACATAGCCTCTAACCTTGCTCCAGACCCATCCGAACTGAATGCTCATGCTCCAGATGCCGGTATCGTCCGGTTCGGAGCACCCGACCGTGTCTTGCGGGAGGGGCGGAGGTATCGGAGCAGTTTCCTTTGGGGGTTCCTTGTCTCCGTCATCAGCAAAGTATGGCGGGCGCCAAATTTCGATCGGGATGCGTAAGAGCCCTGTTTGTCGACCGTATGACTGTTCGAGCAGTTGCAGGCTCCAGAAGAGCCTCTTCTTGCGCTCGCCGTGTGGGTCTTCGGGTGAATAAGTGGCAGCGACATCAAGCATGCCCGAACGGCAGAGTTGAGATGCCAGGCCAAGATAGAATTGCCCCAGATGCATATCTCCATCTGCCATGGAAGGAGAGTTAGCAAGACCTGTTTTGTGGGTGGCCACGCTTAGAATACTCGTACCTATGAAAGAGGAATAGGACAGCAGACACAAGCTTTCGATCGTGGCGAGCTCGACGGTCCCATTTGCGATCCGGAGCATAATCATTGTCTTTGCGTTTTCGGCGTAGTGCTGTCCCCGATCCGGCTCATGTAAGTATCGCAATGTCAGGGCTAGCAGGCTAGAGATCAGCTCCTCTGGAAGGGATCCTGGTTCCCCAGGTCCGTCAAAGTCAAAACACCAGACTGGTTGTCGGTGGCAGCGCTCAACATAAAGATCGATCGCTCTGGCAATCACCGATGGAGACGGGTCGGGTGTTTCCACATCCTCTAATTCCACTGTTGGGGGATATGGATCGTTAGAAGCGTAGTTGTTGCTCTGTGGAGGCTTTGTCCCTAGGCCACTCTCCCGGGGCGGTCTGTGAAGTTGTAAGACCGTGGCAAGTTGTGACGGGTTGAGGGAGAGAACCTACATGTTGCCGGTCAGGATGAGATTGACTTTTTCCTCGAGTTCTGCCAGCCTATCTTTCTGGGGTTAGGGCATCAGCATCCACCGAGGCGAGAGAACCTTGGACCGGGCCACCCACGGGCGGACTGCCCATCGATATTCTCGTGATGGGTGTATACGAGCACGGCTGGTTGAGCCGCACGCAGCAGGAGCAGGCCGGTTTCTCTCCCGGGCACCGCGTTTTCTTTCTCCTGTCAATGTGTAAGTGAGTGTTTGACCTCTGCCGGGCAAAAGGAAAGTTGCGCAGACCTGCAATTCAGGCATGCATGGTTGGACCGTAACCGCCGACGCGGACCCCCCAGCGGCGTCATCGTCTGAGACGGGAGGGGACGTGTAGTAGTAATAGTGCACCGAAGGGTGGGAAGAACAAGAGGAAGGGAGAATCAATGCAATCCTGATATATCAGTTCGTTACGGAGTCGAGTCCGCCACTAGTGCAGAGGGGCCAGACTCGGTGAGCGGGTCCCTGATCATGGATGCATCTCACTACCAGGCTCTAGAAGGGGCATGGTGGCCGGGGTGGGACACGCGCAGGAAACCAGGCATGACTTCCGTGGCCCCGGTCAGCTGGCCCCGCCTGGCGTCGTTCGCCGCCCCAGCCATGGATCCTGGGCCCGCCAGTCGCCAGTCCTCCATTAGGGACCGCTGCGCCTGGGCCTCGTGGAGTCGTGAGGGTAGTCCCTCAAATAACTCCGTAACGGGAGAATCTTCCCTTCCCAGGTATAGATTGGGCGAATCATCCAGCAGCATTGCATTCTCCTGGATATTTAAGCAAGCGTTGTACGCTGGCGAGCTGCGCTTGACGGAATTGTCCCGGAGTACGGAGTAGAGGAAGATGGGTGAGAGAGCCAGCACCGAGAGCGAGCACTGATCAGGTGATGGCACGTGGGTACACCTGGCGGGTCTCCCGCCGACCGTGGCATCTTTTGATCTCCAACTTTGTTAGATACGGGATAGTCACCCAGTGACGCCATCAGCAACCGTTTAATACTACGGCTCTATATCATTTTCTACCGAGTCCTCTGTCTCAGCTGCGCGTCAATACGCCATATGTTTTCCGGGACAGTTTCCCAATCCACCTGTAGGTGGGAACCATCCGTGAATGCTGACAGGGTCTTCATTTCAAATAACGATCGCTAACATGCTTGCTTGACTGCAGTACAATCTTCCCAATTACCGAACCCATGCCTTCTTCCACCCATCATACATCGTCCAAAGTCTTCACCATGCGACCGTTGCTGGTGTCCGAGACTCGAGGTTGGAGCAGCACTCCTTGCCCGCCTGACAACTCAAGTTGGAGCAGAACTGAACGTCCTTGGCACTAGCCGACGCCTCCTTGGGCAGGTTCTGTCGCGCCGGCCAGATCTCCTGCCCAGCCTTCTCCTCACGTCGGGAATGCTCCAGCACAACGTCGCGGACCACCTTCTGGAAGTACAGCGGGCCCTTCTCCATCTGCGGGTGAAGCTCTCCATTCACAAAAACCCCGGCATTGAGATTCTTCTGCGTCAGATTGCACAGATCCTTGTCCTCCGACATGATGCGCTTGTACATGGAGTCGATTAGCTCGAAGTCGGCGTCGCTCGAGTGCTTGTTCCGGTAGACCTCGTACTTCATCACCGACCGGGTGGGGGAAATCGGCACAAATCGCTGCATGAAGAAAAAGTGTGGCCTACGGACAGTTAGCGGCAGAGAACTCTTGCGTCGCACGGGAATACTCACGAGACCGTCATGGACGCGTTCGGGAAATAATACGTGCTGGCAATCCGGAGACCCGCGGCGATCTGGTCCGGCTTGGAGTGGGCGTCATGGATGATGCCGCCATCCTTGGTGTCAACCGAGTACGTGGCTAGGTCAGCCAATGCCGGGATATCGGGGTGCGTTGTCTGACAGTGATAGCATTCGTTGTAGTTGTCAGCCAGGATCTTCCAGTTGTAGCTTCCCTCCATCTCCCAGGTGTGGTCGAAGGTGTATTCATCCCAGTTGACCATGTCGAACCGTGGTTGGACATCGATGCCTTTGAAATCGTCCTCCCACGCAATCTGCGGCTTCTCCCCGGCATCGAGGTTGACCCAGATGAAACCGTTGTGGTCGAGATGGACATGGATAGGCAACAACCCGTTCCGGCTTTTGTCGAAGCCATCCACATCCTGGTAGCCGGGGGCCTTGGCCAATTTCCCGTTGAGGCCGTACGACCAGCCGTGATACTTGCAAGCGAAGATTCGAGAAGACCCCTTCTCCTCGGTGACTAAGGGAAAGGCCCGGTGTCGGCAAGCGTTGTGAAAGGCGTTGATGCTTCCCTCGCGGTCCCGAACCAGCACGAAGTTGAAACCGGACACTTCATACTGCAGCCAGTCTCCTGTGTTGGGCAGTCTCAGTTGGTGCGTGGTCAACAACCATTTGCGGGAGAAGATGGCCCGTCTCTCGAGCTCAAACATCTCCTGGGAAGTGTACCATGGGGCCGGGAGAGCTCTCACTGCACCGTTTTCGGCTGGTGGAGCCGTCGAGGCGTTTTCAAGTCCAAGGTAGTTCCACAATGACGCCATCGTATAGACCAGTAGTAGGATATCCTCACGAGCGAAGATGTAGTGGAAGTGTCAAGGAGGCTCGGTGAACGTGAACGAGATATGTCTTCCTGGGTCCTTTGCTTCATGGATATATGTTCAGGCATTTATAGCCATGGCATACGAGCCTTTGGCTTTGGTATGGTCCAAGGCCATGGTGGACATATCCCTACCCGCGGCTCACATCCCGTCAATCGGCTGCGTGTCCGCTATGAACCGGATGAAGACTGATCAGGGGGTCGGCGCGGAGCCTGACCCTGGGTCACCCGGATGCCCTGCGGTATCCACAGCACCGATAGTTTGTTACTCGCGGTATGCATGCTGCGAATTCATATGGTGCTCTACCTCCTGATACGGTTGTCGAGGGCACGGGGTTGTCCCGAATACCTGGCGTACGGCTTCTCGGGCCCGAAGGTATGTCCAGAAGTCAGGAGAGGATGTCGACATGGCTTCTCCCTAGTTGAGAAAAGGAGTCCCATCGATGCGGTCTCCGGATGGGGAAATTGACCCCCAGGACATCCTCCAAAGGAGAGACAGGACGATGGTGCCCCTGAGACTTGATCGGCGAGGTGATGAGTGTGTTGGAATTTCATTATGGGAACTAATGGACACGCAGCCTCCAGTTGTGCTGCCTCTTATGGTGGATTATACAACGCTCCCTTGTTATATGTCACTTTCATCTGGGATTTTTTCAACCTCTGGCCGCTGAATTCTACAGCCCGACATATTCCTCTCAACAGGGAGGAACAGTACCAGAGGGTACCGTGCCTGGTGGCACAGGGATACAGTTAGGCTGCATCAAGGATCGTCAACACAATTCCGGTCTGCCGTACAGAGTATAGTTGCACGATGTTTAGGCGAAAACAAGGCCCTGGAGGGGATCTCTGCAAAAGGACCGGCTCGGTTCGCGTGCCGGCTGGCAGCCGACGCCCAGACGGGCTCGGCTCGGTTCCCGCTTCCCAGCCGGACAGCCTCTATTTGGCAGCACATAAAACATTCCGGTCGGTGATGACATGCCTCGTTCCTCGTGATGGTACCCTCCGGGACCCAGATCTCCTTTCTTTGAGATGGACAAGGCACAGCACATCGTCATCGTTGGGGCCGGCGTCTTTGGCCTGTCCACCGCCCTGGATCTGGCCGAAGATGGCTTCTCGTCGGTGACCGTCATGGACCGGTCGATGCCTCCGGTTCCCGATGGGTCCAGTAATGACATCTCGCGCGTCATTCGCTTTGATTACGGGGACGCAGTGTATGCCCAAATGGCCAAGGACGCATACGAGCTGTGGAACACGAGTCCCGACTATGCCGCCTCCTTCCACCACACCCCTTGTGTCTGGACCGCCCAGCAGTCAGGGCCGGCAAACCTCGTCCAGGCTGGTGGATCTGACTTTATTCGCAAGTCCAAAGAGATTCTGACTGACATGGGCCATGAATGGCACGGGCTCGACGATGTGGCCGCCTTGAAAGCTCGCTTCCCCGCCATTAGTGGAGCCCCAATTGGCGAGGGCTTCGAAGGATTCTACAACCAGTCGGCGGGATGGGCTGACGCAGGCGTCGCCATCGCCGGTCTGCGCGACCGTTGTATTGGGGCTGGAGTGTCCTTTGTCACGGGTCGACATGGGCACGTCACCGGGTTGGAAAAGGGGTCGGACGGGACAGTCAAGGCAGTCCGGACGATTGATGGCGGCAGCATCACGGCGGACCAGTTCATCTTTGCAACCGGGGCGTGGACAGCCGGCCTGATTCCCTCCTGGAATACGATGGTGGCCACCGCTCAGATTGTCGGGTTTGTACGGTTGACGCCCGACGAAGTCACCCGCCTGAAGGACCTGCCCATCATCTTCAATCTCTCCACTGGCTTTTTCAGCTTTCCTCCCCATGAGCAGACGGGATACCTGAAGGTGGCATGTCACAGTTTCGGATACACCTTGTCGTCGTCCACGGCGGAGCAGGACATATCGTCCCCGCCGAGTGAGGCTATCTCTGCGCGTGCCAACTTCATCCCGGCGGAAGGTAGGCAACGGCTCCTGGCAGGGCTGGAGGAGATTCTGCCGGAACTGGTGATCCGGGGGTTCGAAAAGACCTGTCTGTGCTGGTATAACGAAACGCCGACCGGAGACTTCATTTTCGATCGGCACCCAGAACACCCGAATCTGTTCATCGCGACCGGTGGGACTGGACAGTAAGTGAGCCCATCCAAAGGGAAGAGTTACCCCATGCTGATGGTTGTTCCAGCGCGTTCAAATTCCTGCCGGTGGTCGGCAAGTATATCTCGCACGCCTTTCAGGGCCGGCTGCCCCCTGACCTGGCGGCCCGGTGGAAGTTCCACACTGACTATCGGGCGCGCCCGCAGGACAACTTGTTCACGGGAGCGCGCAGCCGCGGGGGAGGCGATGGTAGTCGGGGAGGCCCCGGCCGGCGTGAATTCTCGGCGCAGGAGCGGGATAGTCTGTTGTCGCTGACGGGCGCACTGGCCCGGCGACCAGCAAGGATGTAGATAGTTTATAGACCACCTGGTGTCGTCGTCTGGGGAAGAGACAGCTTCCTCCAGGCGCAACGATGAATAGAGATTCCAACAACACCCGGCGATAGACCTGTTTTATTTGTTTTTCAACTGGAGGGGTGATCGGGTCACGATTGCCCCGTGCTCAGAAACACTTTGATTCTGGGTGCTTCTCTATGTCTTGAACTATATATTCGATGGCGCTGCATCCGCTAAGGCCGGTGACTGGCCGCGATCTAGCTTCTATATATATTGGTGCTTCAGGCTCGTCTCAGCAGCAGCATCACAACAAAAACTGGTGGACCACATCGAGGAGATCCAATCGCACCATCCCCACGAACTCCAGGCGGCAATAAAAAGTCATGCATCTTCTCGAGCATCTGGCTTCCGCGGATCCCTGACCATGGCCGCCAGTTCTCCCGTATCACCCAAGAGATGACTGCGGTCAAGAAACCCAAGCCGCTCATACACCGGCTTGCCAGCCTGACTGGCGTCGATGTAGATTGGTACCCCCTCCTCATCGGCAACTTGGCATCCCCATTCGAGGAGCAAACGAGCGGCTCCCATGCGACGGTAGTCAGTATGGGTCGCAAGCATATCCAGGTCTAGCAGCGGTGTGAGCAACGAGTGAAGAGTCAGCAAGACACGGGGTTCAACATACAGAAATTCTTCCGACCCCCGCCCACTAGAGTGGCACGGCAGGACTCGAGTTGATGGAGAAAGGCGTCGTTCCGGACGGGGTCCATGTCAGGATGCCAGGCGGGCCAGCGGGCACCGCGCTCCTCGGCCGTCTGCAGCGACCATTTCGCGTAGGCGGCGATACGGCCATTCTGAGTGGTGTCCACTACCTTGACGTATTTCTCGCGTGGCTTGTGCAACATGTCGTGCTCGTTGGCCGTGTGCCACCACTGGCGCACCCCGGGGGTGTCGGGCCAGATGGCACGCAGGCCCGGCGTGGTGAAGGCATTATACCAGAGCTCGGTGATCTCGGGCAGATCGTCGAGCGTGGCGAGTTCGAGCCGCAGGGGGGAGTTGCTGAGCGTGGAGGATGTCATGATGGAGAAGCGTGAGATGGCACAGGAAGAGAGCGAAGAGGACACATGGAAAGATGAGATTGAGATCCGTCTGTAGCAGAGAGGCCCCCTCCCTGGCTGGAGTCGCGCAAGGGACCGCGTGCAGTAGGGGAGGCAACGCCATGACTGGCTGGCCACCGACGATCGGCCCACTTATACGAGTTTTGCCTGACTCACGCCTGAAGAATTGCCCCGCAACCGGGAATACTCCGCGTACCCCATCCATAGTCTACGATTCTAGAATTCTCCATCATCTCGTCATCCTCGGCGATGGCAGGGCATCATGACCATCACCGTGGCCACAGCCAACCTTGCTGGACCGGCCCGCCATTGGACCCCGGATGGCCCGGTCGTGGCAAACCCTAAAATGCGCCCCAGGCATGAGCCCCCAGCTGACAATTATCACCGCTGGTAATTCCAATTGAAGCCGAGATTAATGATTTCAGACTCTATATGAATGAGTCTACGGGCACACATGGCAATGTTAATACCTCCCATACTTTCTAGTTCTATTTGCAAAATGGAGTGCTCGACGTCACTCTCTACCCCGGATATTCCGTGCTCTTGAATTAGAAGCCCCCGGATAAGTGGGGGATGGCTCTTACACGGAAAAACCAGAGATGACGATAGATATTTATCGGACGAGGGGACTCTTGGGAATTCTATCTCAAATCGAGCTCATTTGATGACAAGAGGGCATTCATGGTTACCCTGTCGAAAGATTATACCCTCGACTGTTTAGGCCTACAACCTGTCTCCCACCCTTTCAGTGGCATATTGATAGCAGAGCTAGTATTCCTGCGTGGGGCACCCCTGGTCACTCCAAGTTGCATCTACCCGTTCAGTCAGTTATGTCTGAGCACACGGCGGGAAAACTATTACACGCCGGCGTTATTAGCGAGCCGACCGACTGGGATCTGAAGCAGCAGTGTTAAAGGCTGAAGCAGGTCCACTCCATGCCGAGGAGAACCGACGTGGCTCTACGTCCGGCTTAGGAACTAGATCAGGACTATTCATCGTGCCTGTTTCCCTCCGCTGCCCGCGGACGATTAGGCATCCGTCAAAATGCCTATCACAAGCCTTCCTCCCGAGTTGGTGAGCGCCATTCGTGGCTACCTCGAGGTTTCCGACTGGTGTGCCCTTCGATTAACATGCCGCTTTCTCTTTGTCCATCTACTCGATGACTTTGCAAACCGTCATTTCGACAGAATCTCTGTCCTCATAACCAGCGACGGTCTGCAGTAACTGGAAGAGATTGCCACCCATGATATCTTCCACAATCGCGTCCGGGAGCCATGGGTTGTGCCAGAACTATAAGAAGGCTACTTGCACGTTGAATCTTCGATCTCAAGCAGTATCGGTTTATACGTTCAGCAATCAATCAATGATCAGGACTCAGAGTCCTCTGCTGCTGAGGCTTACTACACGGCCTATCAGGCTGCTATTACAGATCACCATAACTTACTTCATTCCGATGCATCCTGCGACATACTCACAGGCTGCCTGAAACACCTCATAAACCTGGCACCGATAGGGATACGATATCGCCCTACATCGCAGAATGATAGGTTACGTTTCTAGGCTCGCGCATCTTCAGGGATTGGCTTAGATATCACCCAATCTATCCCATGCAACTCCACAACGTCCCTGCAAGGCTCGGTGGTGTCCATACTTCAGCTTTCATGGCCCTTTCAAATGCCTTGATTGCAGCTGGCCGCGCGGTCTGAAAGCTGAGATCCTGTGGCAGTTACTGCTGTGGCCTGGAACTTGCAAGTCTTAGACTCACCCCGGCACAATGGAGGTCCTTGCTTTCCCTGCTAAAGGAATCTGCAGAACTGCATATCTGTTTCAGTATAATGCAGCAATATGTCACTGATACGGAGTCGCTTGACGAATTTCTAACTGCTGTTGCACCCAAACTCGAAGTACTCGTGTGACACCCAGCACATAACGAGTCCTTTCTATATTGCCGGTCCTTCCCACGGTATCTACCTCACGCAGCTGGTGGAGCCTCCTTTGTGAAAGCTTGAAATAACTTATGATATTTTACAAATGTTTCTTCTCACGGCGGCACCTACGCTGAAAGTCCTTACCATGGTGTCAGTAGGCCTGACTAATCTGACTAGGTCGAATTCTTTCTCCATGTCCAAAGCCAGCGATATCTGGCAGAAGGTCTGGGATTTATTCCGTCACCATCTCTCGTTGTGGTTTCTCTTGCTGCGTGTTCTATCTTACACGGGCAAATCGGTGAAAGTAAAAGATGTCCTGCGGGAGCTGAGTGGAAGATTTGATTCGCACGACCATCATGTCACTACTTTTATGTCGATCGGGCTCAAGTTCCTTTTTGTGAACGGGTCAATCAGCTGAGTGTAGAGCCATGGCAAGTTCGATCCCATCTGCAACAAGGGATTACTGGTAAGCATACCGGGTCATTAGCCGAATATTGTGTAAGTCTTATATTGAGACACACTAGCATGGCGCTATAGTCCTCATCCAAGGCCTCTAGAACCGCTGCTACCACCAGGAGGGGAATGCTGTCAGTATCAGTACCCCAGCGCCCTGCGCAGTCGCAGACACAATCAATAAAATGATACTCCCTCTCATCGGCGTGAATGAGTGACTTGAGAACATTGGCCTATCACCAAAGCAGCTATACTTACCTTTCCTTCACACGACAGTTGTCGCCCAGTTATAATAATGATTTCTACATCTAGAGTCGACAATTGGGCGATCTACAAAGGCTCAAATCAATTTCCGTCCCAATTATCTCCGCGATGTAACCGCCCTAACTTATCCAAAAGCTTGTCTGCGAATATAGAAAATAATAGTCAACCCTAATTTCCATGGACCATGGTCTGGAGGTAGCCCGAACCCCGGAACTCGGAACAATAACCAGGATATATTAATTATGCAGAGCCGGATAAATTTGAACCGAAGGAATGACTGCAGCATGCCAGCAAGGTGAATACGATCTGGCATGAGCCTCGAGTGGAGTGGGGCGATCCTGCAGCCCACAGCCGGGTTCAAGTCTCCGCATCCTCTCGTCTGGCCCGTTTTTTCGGCCGTGTCATGATAACGTGTCTCTGATCTGGTTGCTGAGTGGTTGTGGTGATATCGCCGGAATCCGGTCTACCCAGTCACTGGTGCCGTGGTTATCATTGGAGCTGTGATTGGTGCGTCGCTGAGAGTGAATGGCACATGGCTGCCTCGTGGTGATGGGATGGCGGATCCTGCAGTGCTTGATTGGAGATAGGGTTTGCTGAATGCTTTACGCGGGGCTTCTGCTCGTGTGCCCTAGTGAAGAATTGGTCTTTGGGATTCTTCTGTTGAGTTGGCATGAAATCTACTTATATTAGTGGCCTTTCCCTGATGAAGTTTTTGCAGATGCATCATATTACTGCAGCCAAGACATAATATCATGTTCCAAACACTCTTCCGTGAGCTCCGGCTGTGCTATGGCTTTGTACGCCGTGACCTGGGCACTGGTCTCCTCCCAGTCCCAGAATTCACTCTGGCATCTTTACTCTATCGCAAGGCACCCCGAGAGGAGATGATCCCAGCCATAGCTAGTAAGCTTCCTTCTTATCTCACTGCTACATTCCTAACACCAGACCCATGCAGTGGCATTTCTCTACGGCTTCCTATACCTCTATACCTTCGTGGTCTCCAACCAGATCACCGGCGTGAGCGAGGACAAGATCAACAAGCCCGATCGACCTATTGCCTCCGGGGCAGAGTCATTAAAGGCAGCCAAGATCCGCTACTGGGTTCTCACAGCGCTGTATCTCGGTTTTGGCCATGTCTTGGGTGTATCTGAATGGGCACTGTTGTGGATCCTGACTACCATTGCCCATAATCCGTTGGGATTCTCCAACTTTGGCCCTACCAAGGACCTTTGCATGGGACTTGGATGCATTGCGCAGCTGAAGGCCGCATGGGCTATTGGAGGGTCCCCTCCTGATATGGGCTGGGAGTGGATCAAGGTGATCACTTTGTATATGTTGTGGCCGATTCCTCTTCAAGATCTGCGTGATGTGCCGGGAGATTTGGCTGCGGGAAGACGCACGACTCCTATCCTTTTGGGAGATTTTCCTGGTGGGTTATCCTCTGAAGCTGTCTATAAGTGATGGTACTGATAGGTTCATAGCACGTCTTTATATCTCGGCTGGCATCGTTGTATCACAGGTAGGGCAATGCAAGACATCCTTGGTGGAGAGGTATTAACGTGGCGTTGTAGTTCCTGTTGATCAAATATCGCATCCTGGAGTATCGTTATGACACATCAACCATCGTTCTGTCAGCTGCTTTGGTCTTGATGACCATCGGATGCATCTTCCGTTTATTTGCTTTCCGGTCTCTGACCAGTGACCGGTTCTCATACTGGCTGTACACGGTGATTTATGTCTTCCAGCCATTGTCTGCATGCATTGCCTTGCGGTAGGTGGTGATGATGCGGAGGTTAAATTTCGTGGGCAAGGGCAATGGATGTGGATGCAATTGATAGATAGGGGATTCAGATAAAATGCCAAATGCGATAGAATCATAGCTTCTCACCATCAACTGCCCAATCTGAGTAATTTTCACAATCATCATGCTGCTTGCTTTTAGACTGTGATGATCTCATGACCTCTACTACTCCAGCATGCAGAACACCCTCACTCTCTAACTTCAACACCAAAGGAACCATTTCCCTTGTTTGATTATAATGCACACTGGCGGACCGGATATATTCTGCAAACGTCCCCTGCTGAATATCACGATCCTCATACCGAGGCTGATCCCACAGATCCGCCAAAGTATCCAATTCCCCCGGAGGCCCATGGGACAACTTCATCAAAGCCGAATTAGCCAACATATCATCCACAAAGTCCTCCGCGCGGAGGTATAGCTCATCCCGAATCACCCCATCCCCATCTCGCCGAAGACTCAAGAGTCGGAACTGCTCGCTTCCATTCCACCCGGTGCGCATTTGGAGATGGTACATTTCCTGCAACGCTGGGAAGAGATACATCTTCTCATGATAGTATCTAGGACCATTGAACGCGTCAGACGGATCGACTAGTTTCCGTAACCGCTCGAAGCACTGGATCTGGGCGATATAGTCCGTCACTCGTCCCATCGCGCCCTGGCGGTCTGGATCACGGATTTTGTCAACGGGTGGGTGTAGAAGGGGGAGATGGGCTAGTAGGGGATGTTTGTGGAAGCCATTGCAGGTGACCACGCCCTTCCAAAGCGCTAGGTAGATGGCGTGCCATCGGCGGATGAATCCGTTTCGTCGTCTGGATGCGATGAACGAGTTCATCATCACCGTGATGCCTGGACGGACGTCTAAATTGAAGCCGCAGATCTCGTAAGGAGTGGCTGGGTCTGCAAGGACGTTCCAGCAGATGGTGTCCAGGTGGCGTAGGAGGGTGGTGCCCACGTCCATCCAGACGCCGCCGTAGCGATAGAGAAGGGGGAGACGGATGAGATCGGCTGTATGAGGCCCGACACTGTGGCCCGTCATGGTGCCCTCGTTGACGGCATTGGGGAGGTCGGAGGCTTCGAGGAACTGGTACACATTCGCGGAAGAGCCGGGGATCTGGTCCAGCACTCGGACAGTCCATTCGGGGCCCAGTCGACGAACCCAACCGATGACGTTTCGCTGCGTCCACGGTCGCATGCTGCTGAAGCCGGCATGCCAGAATGCCCACACATTTTTATCCGAGGCTGATACGGGTGGCGGCGAGGTCAATTGGGCGATGATATCGGCATCAGTCTGGATGGCTTTGTGACCGTCCGGGAGGGCCACCAGGCTTGGGGTTTCTGTCATTGTTGCTGGGCGGGATTGTACAGGTGCCGCCGCATTGAAAATCTATTATCTCAACGATTCCCAGGAGGAAAACATCATGGTAACCGGCGGGTCTGGTGTGGAGTGTCGGAGATACGTCGGGGCTCCGAGGTGGATCAGGGCCGCTTCCTGTGGGATCGCGTGGGAATCCTGCTCGTATTCACTTATCTAGCTGGCTGGCTGGCATCAGCTTGCCCACGTGTCACGCTAAGAATCCGAGTCACTGGCTCGCTGCCATGCAGGGCACATGCAGGACGATTCACTGCCGGCATCCGGACAGCGAGGCCATAGATCATTGACCCCCGAGCATGGTACGCAGTCTCATCAATGACAGCTTTGAGCATCCTCGCCAGTGGCCATGCTGTCTGATATCCTTGATTTGGCTCCAGGAGCTGGTTATCATCTTCTGTCTATTGCTGCTACCCTGCTTGTCATCTCAATCGCGACCGTGGTGATCTATCGTCTATATTTTAGCCCTCTGGCAAACATCCCGGGGCCCAAGATAGCCGGTACGTCATTAGCCTGGGAATTTCCATCGATGTAACTAAGAGAGAAGGTAACCTCAGCGGCTACATCACTGTTCCATTTCTATCACGACGTGATTCGCGATGGCCAATACATCTGGGTGGTGCGACAGATGCACGAGAAATACGGTACATCCCAATGTTCCATCTAGTAGGCTCCAAAGCCCTGGCCAGTTCTAATCAAATGAATGAATAGGCCCTGTGGTTCGCATCCGTCCCGATGCCATCCATGTCAATGACCCTCATGCCATTGATGCCGTCTTTGGGACGGTAGGGTCGCGTCGCAACAAGGCCAAGGGGACGTTGAACGGCTACATGGCTTATGGGTCCGTGCTAGGGACCGAAGGACATGATCTTCATCGTCGACGACGAGCAGCTCTCAGTCCCTTCTTCAGTAAGCAGTCCGTGCGAAAGCTCGAAGGTGCTTTGCTGGAGATCATGGCCAAGGTTTCCCGGCGACTCCATGAACGGGCCGAACAAGGGGGGGTAGTCAATATGAACGTCCTGTATGCATCCATGACCAGCGATATCGTCACTGGGTACGCCCTGGGCGAAAGCTGGGGTTATCTGGATATGTCCGACTTGAATGAGCGAGCCTACCGGGTCATCTCGGCCAGTTGCAGCACCTTCCACTTGAACACCTTCTTCCCGGTCCTGGGGGTGATTGTGCGGCGATTTCCACGCAGTGTCATCATGCGTCTGATTGACATTAGCTTCTTTGAGAAGATGGTCGCGAATGTGTCCCAGCGTCTGGAGACGATTCGACGCTCCATTGTGGAACAGGGATCGGGATCTGCTGCGGATGTCTCCGACAACATCTTCTACAAAATGATCACCTCTGATCAGCTTCCGGTAGCGGAGAAGGCGACGAGGCGGTTGATTGATGAAGCACGGATTGTTATTGCTGCTGGGACAGATACCACCGCGCAAGCCCTCAGGGGAATTACATATGAGCTTCTTGCCAACCCGGCAGTTCTGGCCAAGCTGAAGAAGGAACTCGAGGATGCTATTCCAACATCCGATGAGAAGCTTCCACGTGTAGCGGACCTGGAGGAACTGCCGTATCTTGTAAGTTGCATACCCGAGTCATCAACATGCACGTACTGACGGACAATGCAGTCTGCAGTCATCGAAGAGGGCCTTCGTCTGTATGCGGGTTTCTCTTATCGGCAGGAACGCGTGTCCCCGGATGAGGATACAGTTATTCATACCACCCTGGATGGAAAGCCTGTATCCTATATTATCCCTGCTGGCGTATGTGGACATTGAATTGCGAACTCTATTGCAACGACTCTGACTGATGAACTCTAGATCTCCATGTCGATGACCGCCCCCCTTCTGCATCGACACGAAGCTCTCTACGGCCCCAACCCTAATGTCTTCGATCCAGAGCGGTACTTGAACAACAAGCAGCTGAGTAAATACCTGATCACCTTTTCCCGTGGACCCAGACAGTGTGTCGGAGTATGCAATCTACCCCCTTTCATCTTAGACGCAGCTGATCCCATTAGATCAATCTCGCCTATGCCGAGATGTACCTTGCCTTGTGGACAATCTTCCGTCAATTCGACGTGTATGATGGGATAGGAATTCAGAACGTCCCGACAATGGAACTCTACGAGACCAGTCGGGACGACGTGGCCATGGTGCGAGACCGGGTTGCTCCATTTGTCAAGACGGGGAGTTTGGGCGTGAGAGCCAGACTGAGGCTTCCTGGTCATGAGTAGATTCCCGGGAGAATGTAATTTCCTAGATGTATCATGCGGTTGCATTATCCCTCGGGTGTCTTGTTCTTATTCCTGATGGATGGCAGGCAGTGCAGAGTAAGTATTGGAATAATATCTGTAGAAACAAGTCGGATCAAAACAGGACAGAATCAAATCAACTGCAGCAAATAAAATAAACTGGTATAGAGAAGAGTATAAACCAAGGTAGAGGGGAAAACCAGAGACAAATTTTATATGGTCCACCCTGAGAGGCTAGGCAAGAAGCACGAGAAAACTTCTATTCACCATCCCCCTCCTCACGATATCCTCAACTTAGGATCAACAAATAGAGGTAATCAAATAACCCCAGCAGTAGTATCGCGAAATCGCCAAAGAACAGGGTCTTGTAGCAGTCTACCCATAACATCCGCATCCAAACACACCATCACATCCACCCCATACCTCATCCAATGCGTCATTTTCTTGACAGGCATCCTAGGAGATCCCTCCATAACAAGAACCATCCCATCTAACTGAGGCATCACCCCCTTGACATATCGCGGACGACCCATTCCAAAATCAACCTCATACAATCGAGTCCCCACCCACGAGGTCACCATCAGATGCCTCCGGCCCATGAAACCCGGCCAGTATCGGTGGGGACACTCCTCGTGTATCTTATCGTGTAGGTAGGTTGCAATGCGAGTTGGGGTGAATTGGGATACTGTGGCTCGGATGTGGCTGGCGAGGGTGGATAGGTTTGTCTCCGGTGAGCATACTGTTCCGGTGGAGGAGGGAATGGCGGCTGATATGGTTGGAGAACCGAGGAAGGAGGGGGAAAGTGGCGGAGTAAGGCGTTTGCGAAGGCCTAGGGCGTAGGTGAGGTAGATGATGTCTTCTGGGTCTTCCTCTGATGGGTCCTGGATGGGAAAGGAGGGACGGCGGGCCCGAGTTACGCATGACCAGAGATGGGCGAGGAGTGTATCATGATGGGTTAGTTCTTCGGTGTCAACTTCGGCCCAGAGATTCTGTAGCTCGTGGGAGGTGAAATGGAGGACAGTTTGGGTTACTGGCGCGGTAGGGTCCCATTGATGCCAAGGGATGGGCTCGCCCGGTGGGTCGAGGGGCAGCGAGCCGAACTCGGGGGGTGGTTGGGTCCATCGGCCGCGCAGCGGACATCCTTCGGAAGAGATCCAGGGGTCATAGCGGTGGATGGGCAGGGTGGTGGTGGTGGTATTATCAGTCGGGATCCTGGTGGCGTGTCGGTCGAGTTGCTGCGGGTCGAAGGTTGGTTGGGGAGGTTCATTCTGGGGAGGGTTTAGGGTTGCTGCCCAGTGCAGCGCGAAGCCGGCCAGACAGTGGGCATCTGCCAGGGGATGAGCGATCCGGAGGGCCACTGCCAGGCCACCGTCAGAGAATGTGGTGATCTGGATGGCCAGATTGGGGAGGCTGGCGTCGGACAGATCGGTCAGAGAGAGCGGAGTATCCGGTAATAGCTTGGCCTCTGGAAAGTCCGACACGTCCCAGACCGATTCTCGGTTCGTAGGAAGGTGTTGGGTCAGAGGACAATCCGCGTGAGCCACGATGAAGGCGACTCCTGGGGCAGCAGGGCCGCCAAAGGTCAGCATGAGTCGTCCTGGGCGTCCGGGTTGTCGATGCAGGGAACCGCACCACTGCGGGTAGGCGTCGAGTGCCCGCGCCAGGGATGTCTGCAGTGCTGCAGGGGTTGGGGGATGGGCGATGTCTCGCTCGACGGCATCGTAGAAGAGTATGGTTGCTGCAGTCCCCGTGGTGAGATGGGTGGCGTCCAGTATAGAAAGAAGAACGGACTGCGAGAGATCAGGAGGACAGGTTGGCTGGACGCGTGTCCGCGACTGGATCTGGATTGTGATGGTCATGGCTACAATTAGGGATTGGAGGGTTTCGAAACCGGACAATGACTGCTTTATAAGCTTGGCTAGGGCAGTGAAGGAGCTAGGCCTGTTCTCATCCTTCAGCCGGCCCGGAGTGGGCCAAGAGACCATCCTCCGATGTCTGGCTTGGTCGCATTGGGCAGCTTGTGAATTATATGGATTGATTATTGTGGGTGGTAGATATTAAATACAGAATTAGGCTACACAGTGGCATCACTCGTTGAATCTCGCATCCCAGCCTTACCGGGCTTCTTGCGTCTCGGGGGCTGCAATCCCCATGGTCGAGGTATCATAGCCCTGGGATTCGAGATAGTCGCGGAAACGGGCATCCTCGTGGGTGATGGTGTCCTATCGCACGGTTAGCTATCGATCTCGCTGGAACAATCCCAGTTGAAGAACACGTACCTGGTTAATCTTGGGCAGGCCAAAGTATGCCAGGAAGGCGCTAAAGATGCACAGCGAACTGGAGACGTAGAACGGGTACTGGCCCTGGTGAGCGACGTTGCTGCCGGCATCATCGACGATGACGGGGAAGACGTAGGTGCCCACAAAGGCGCCAATCTTGCCCATGGCCGCCGCCGTGCCATAGTACTGGCCACGAATGGGTGTGGCGCACGTCTTGGCCGCACACAGACCGATGTTGTCGCCGGGACCGACTTCGCCCATGGCCAGGAAGATGCCGTACACCACCACAAACGCAGCGACATAGTGGGAGGTATCCAGGTAGGGGTAGCACCCGGTCATGATGAACCCAATCGCGCCCTGCACGAAGACTCCAAACGCCAGGGTGTTGCGGGGCCCGTACCAGTCACTCATGAAGGCGCCCAGGAAGGAGCCGGGCACATAGAAGACGTTGATCAGGGTGTTCCAGCCCAGCGTCTTCCACAGAGGCGCATTGTCGCCAATGATCACACTCAGCCACGCCGAGGAGTAAATGCTGAAGGAATAGGTCGAGAAGTCGTAGATGAACCAGATCAGAGCGACCACACACTAGAGCACAGGTTAGCCAGTTCCCAACCGTTGTCGTCGTCTCTTGATCCAGACGGGCTTACCCAACGCTGCCAGTAGAACCTAATTGCGACCAGTTAGAACCCCATTCCGCTTGAAATCAGAGGGCCACACTTACTTAATAATCAGCCAGGCGGGAAACTTGTGCATCTTTTCGCGCGAGTATTCGGCAGGCTCCTTGAGCTTCATTCGCAGATAGATCAGACTGAGCGGTGGAATGACACCCAGCCCGAGGCAGATGCGCCACGCGGCACGGAGATGGTTCTCACCACAGGCCAGGACGACAATCATGGGCACGAGCGACGAGGCGACCGAGGCCAGATCCAATTGGAAGTTGGTGAACAGGATGAACCAGCGGTGGCGGGTGCCTTCTTCCAACTCTCCACTGCTCTCCGCCGCGGCCACCGAGCCCGCCGGGTATTCTCCTCCCACGCCCAACCCCAGGAAGAAGCGGTATGCGGTAAGGGCCGTGAACATGCCAGTCAAGCTGCCGCCGGCTCCGTAGGCCCCGGCACAGAGGGCGCCGAAGACGAAGAGGATGACGGTGGAGACCATGAGGGTGTTGGCGCGCGACCAGTGGTCGGAGAGGTAGCCAAAAAACAGCATTCCGACGACGGTACCGGCAAAGGCGATGGAGGAGACATTCTGACTGTAGGTGGAACCCTTGTAGACATCGGGATACAGCTTGCCGAGGATTGTGTTGACGGTACCGATGACCTGGAGAGGGCCGACGAAGACAGGTTAGTGAATGTGAGTGAGGGTGAATGAAGGCATCGTACGTATTGCAGGTACCCATCGGACCAGAGACCGGCACCACACGCAAAGGTGGGCCAACTGCGCTCCCACCAGGTTTTTTCGGGCAGGGCCAGAGGATCCTCATCGATCTGAGAATCTCCATGAGGGGCGACCACCAGTTCGGATTTTTTCTCGTCTCGAGGATCCATGGTGGGGGGTGAGACGAGGTGCGATGAAGAGGAAGAGGAAGAGGAAGAGGAAGAGGAAGAGGAAGAGGAAGAGGGGGGAGGAAGAAGAAGAAGAAGCTGTGAAGTAAGGAGGGGGGGGGGATCAGCTGCAGTGCCAGGAAGGGGATGCAGGATTGAGGCAGGAGAGAAGTGATATTTTGAGAGGAACAGAAGCCTTTATAAGATTGCCAAAGAAAAAAAATCAAAAATCAAAAATAAGAGGGCACGGTGAGAGCAGGATGATAGCTGGAACAGTTAAGGTTTGGTGTCAAGTACTAGGTACCTGTGCCAGACATGTGAAAGCGGGCGGACAGCCAGGTATCTGCTACCTGAGTGGTGCATCCTTCTGACGCCTCTTGGAAAATGCCCTAACTGCCTACTGCCTGGAGATAGTCGATAGACGATAGATCCCTCCAGAGTCAAGTGGCCCGGTCTCTCCGGGCCACACAATCAAGCTCAGCGGGGCTTGTGCGCCCCTCCATGGCTCCAGCCCAAATCCACCGGCTCGCCGCGTGCCGCACACGTGCCCAGCCTACTGGGTGTCACCGGTCGGCCCTGATGGCCATGACACCATCCGGAGTACAATCCCGACCAGGGGCCTCACCATCCAAGAAACAATCCTAGGGGGAGCAGATTGAAGGGCAGAAGAGAGTCTTCCGATGGCCAGGAAGAGCGTGGCAATTCGTGCAATTATCATCGGCGTATCTACGATATCTTCAGCGTATCTGGCTGCAGCGCCTCAGCAACCCCGTGCCGGTTCTCTGATAACCTCCCTGGCCGTGATTCGTGAGGGGCCATTTGGGGTCCACTGTTCAATCTCGGGCTATATCAGCGCGTCTTAAAGCCTCGCTCGGAGGCACGTGTGCCACCCCCCGACTCGGTCGCTTCTAATCAAGGCGAGGCCTGTGCCCACGTGCCTCCATTCTTTGTTGTGCTGCATCCTGCACCCGCGCAGAGATTTTTCCTGCACCCCATGGCCACTTTTACGCATCATGCAATGGTCTTTTCATTGCCCAGTGGAGACCGATCCAGCTTCATTCCAATTGATTCGTACCAAGACCACCGTTCGAGCTCCCGACCGTAGGGCCGGGGATGCCGTCTCCACCAGAAGTCTCTGGCCAGATCCGCCTGCATAAGGCTGGCGTCACACGCCAGGCACGTGCTCGAGGATTGCCCTTTCATAAATTCCCCGACGAAGCGCTGGTCAGTCTTTTCCCCAATTCCCACATCATAGTTTGTAACAATTCGATGCTTCTGCCCCACGACCGGATTACCCACGTGGCCTACTGTGGCGTGTACCCTATACAGTATGTAGGAAGCTACAATGGTCTTGCAGTGGTGATCCTTGTAGAAAATGCTACCCAAACATGTGGTTGGAATGTGTTTGAATCGAGGAATCAAATATTATTTACAGTGTACTCTTCACTCCATCCTGCATTCGTCCACGTACTAACACGCACAGAGAAGGCCGGTCATCCCACCATCAAATTGAACATCCCCGTGCCTTCCTTGACTTCAAAGTCCCACTCCACCCCCTCGTATTCCTTCCGGGGAATTACCCGCACGTCGAAGCCATGCTTGGGAGGCCGCATACTCGACGCAATCGCCTGGGAGTTGATTGGGGGCTCCTGCCAGCTTCCATCCACCGGCACCATATCAAAGCGGAGGGCCAGCATGGCCACCAGGGCCAGGATCTCCGCACTGGCAAAGTGCCGCCCCGGGCAGATCACCGGCGACACCCCGAACGGCATGAACCCTCCAGTCCGCCGCGGGTTCTTCTCCGTCTTGATATAGCGCCGCGCATCGAACTCGTGGGCGCTCGACCCCCACGCCTCGTCGGACTGCCCGATGACCTCGCCAGGCATGTTGACCACGCTGCCGGCCTTGAGCAGGTACTGATCCGCCACCACGGTATCCTGCAAGACAAAGCGCGTGGGGGCGCCAGCGGATCGGACGCGCAGGATCTCCTGGAACGTCGACAGCAGAAGGGGGCACTGATCCCGCAGAGCCGAGATGTCGATGATGTGCCGGTGATCCGCCTCGACGCGCAGTACATGCGCCCGCATCTCCTGCCGGATCTCCGCCAGCAGGTCAGGTCGGGAGTAGAGATCGAACATGGCCCAGAACGTGGCCGGCACGCTATTCGAGAGGAGGCCGAGGCCCATGGCGGTCTCTTGTCGCGCAATATGCTCCAGGGGGACCCCTCCGTCGTGCATCGTTTTCCACCGGATATATGTCAGCTCGGATCCCTCCTTGTGCCCTCCGAGCTCGTAGTATTTCACAAAGGCCGCCACCACCGTCTCGCGCCCTTTCCACGAGGTGCGCGCCGTGAGCCAGGGGAGGAAGTTGGCCAGCAGGAGGCTGAGGTGTGATTCAAAGTCCCTACCCACTTAGTATCGCGGTTCGCATTGACTCGGGGGGGAGAGAAGACCGATCACCTACCAGAGGGCTTTCTCAATGCGTGGATCCTGGTACGGATTCAAGGGTCCATACGAGGCCGCCGTGCTGGCCGCCGTGATGACCCGACTGCACCAGGCGTGCAGATCGATTGTGGGGAGGCCAGCCAGCTCGTCCAGCCAGGGACGCAGATTCCGCGCCATGCACTCATTCATTCGATCCAATGGCCGGCCGGTGAGCGTCGGCTGCATGGCCACGATCACGTCATGACTCAGGCCCTGACCCCCCGACTCCTTCTCGCGAAAGAGCTCCAGCGTGGGACCGTGGATGCCGGCCATGCGCTCGAGCGTCATGGACACAAAGGGGTCGAAGGACAGGGTCTTTCGGTTCCGTTGGATGGAGTGCAGGACGGTGGGCGATTGGACGATGTAGGTCTTGTTGAAGACCATGTCCAGGGTGCAGATCGGATGCGAGTGTTTCTTGCTGTCCCCATCATCAGGGATCAGTCGGTCGGGATGCCTTGGGGCCAGGAAACTCACGTGGCGAGGGTGAAGTATGGCAAGCCGTACCACAACATGCCCAGAAGATGGCCGATGATGGGGATGCGGCTGTTGACCACCGGTGGTTCCCGCGGGTCGGGCTTTCGTCGGTGCCACACGTACACCAGCCCGGCCACGAGGCCGAGCAGCACCAGTCGGGTGTCGAACATGATCACGATCTGATCAGGTGGGTGAGACGAGGGAAGGGGAGGGAAGGGGAGATGCGGCAGGATATTTATATCTGGGGGGATTGAACCCCCGGAATCTGACTGGACTCCTGAGTGGGTTTGACATTTGGATTGGCAGTGGTGTGGTTGGTCCGACCGGCTAAAAGATGACGATGATTCCAGAGGATCCGCCCGGTGGAGCTCTCGGATACGACCGAAATACGGCGACACATCACCCGGCCTCGTATACGCGCGTATCGCTTTAGTTCCTACAACAACAAACTTTTTAAGGCGGTTGCAATACTACTCTTACATTTACCGTTGGTCTGCACCAAGACGGTACCCTTCATTATATGCCACCTCAGGCAAGGAAAACCCCCCAGTCCGGCGGCCATGGCCCCGAACTCCACCACCCAGTCATTTCCCCCTGATTATCAACTCTTATGATTCCTATCCTCCTCTTTCCCATCATCATCATCATCATCATCCTCCTCCTCCTCCTCCTCCCCCTCCGACTCATTGTCACTGGGGTCCGAACCCCACGGGCAATCCGGGACCATGTCCGGCCAAAGTTGGGCGTAGAATTGGCGAACGTGCCGCCAATCCTCCCAATAACCATCGGAGCTTGACAGCAGCATTAGCAATCAATCCATGTCCACAGGGAAGAAAAGGGTCAGATACATCAAATCAAATTGCCCGGGGGCCAAGGCATACGCCCGGAGCAGGATGCACCCCACGACCAGATCATACGGCCGCTCAAGGGTCATACACGAAGTGACCGTGGTCTCTTCTTTGCGAAGCACCAAACACTCACATCCGTCCTCGCCCACTCCGTTGATCATTATCCCGTTCTGCTCACACACCAGAGGAGTGGTCTCGTGGCCGTAGAGTGGGGGACCGGTGAGGGCGATGCCGGCGCGTTCGATAATGGTCCAGGTATCCTGCACCAGCTGCGGCCATGCTTGGTGCCATTCACGGCTTTCGGTGTCGATGACACTCCAGTAGTGAGTGTAGGTAGGGTACGACATGGTTCGATAGGTGAGGATAAATGTTCCGGTTGATCGACGAAACACGCAGCGGTAGGAACACCAGGGAACCTGGTCCTGCGCAGAAGAGATGGATGGGACGGAAGGGCTGCGGGAAGGCCTCTGATTAGTCTGTGGGATTCTCCAATCCAGCTTTCTAATAAGCTCTCAGCTTCGTCTCGCCTGTAACGTGACTTGGTATATTGCTGTTACTTACCGCTTCGCCCTCAGAGGGTAATTACCCTCCTCCCCCAGAACGTATCTTTAGATTATAGATCTGAATCAGGTCTTTCCATAGATTCAGGCTGTGAGTGGGAATCAAGTGAACGTTTTTCAGTTCCTTGATGAAGCTCTTTAAAGGTATTAGATAGAGTTCTTTGAACTGCTTGATTGAGTCCTTTAGATTATGCTGGTGCTTGCTTAAGCTCTTTAGAAATATGCTTGAAAGAGCCCTTTACAGTACGTACTCAAGTCCTTAAAGGGTGCTTCATTGAGCTCTTTGGTAGCGCTTGACAGCTTTTTACAAGCGCTTGATGAAGGAAGCCCTTCAACAGCGCTCGGCTTCTATAACTATACAGGATACCTCTAACTACACTCTTTCAGGAATGCGTTGCTTGGTGTTTACTACCTAAGGCGCTTCGCAACCCCTTGGACTGTAGACAGCCAGGACCTAGTTTGCTACGTGATGCTGGGGGTGCAAGTATCGATGACACGGCAATCTATGAGGTGCCCCAAACCATGCTTCATGACACCAATCAAAACGGCCGAAAAGGAATACAAGGATACGAACGAGACAAAAACAGGGGTGGAGGGGGGAGGCCGTTGATCTTAAATCCCACACACAAAGTGTCAGACAGTCGAGAAGAGCTAGAAAGTCGCCTATGAGCAGGCATGCGATTGTTTATTTTCTCAGTGCTGAGAAACAACTAGGTTACACTTGTGCATCCTGGGCAGGGGAGATATGCAGCGGAAAGCCTTCTGATTGGTTCTTTATTTCACCTGTCATGTAAGTTTTCCGATATTGCTGGCGCTCACCGCTTCGAACCCCTGTAAGGAGGAGGGGTGGCGGGGGAGGGGCAGGGGAGGGGCTGGGACAAGGATGATGAGATATGTATACCGCCTACCACAATGAGGTGAGGGGTTGTCAGTGGATGCGGGATGTCTAGCTAAAGGAGGGAGAGTTCAAGGATGGATGGATGGATGGATGGATGGCTTTTCGTAGCTAACATAGACTGGGTGGTAGGATTAATTCAGTAAGCATTGCATCGCATCGCATTGAAGTACATGAGCCGTTTTCTAGCATTAGGGGAATAAAAATCTACCGGCAGTTTGTCTCCGAGCGGAATCCTAGCCAAGGGGCACCAGTGGTAGGAAAAAAGAAAAAAGAAAGTTTGTAATTGGCGCTGCCCGGAATCGAACCGGGGCTGGCACGGCCACAACGTGACGTCATACCACTAGACCACAGCACCTGTTGTTGAAGAACTGGCTGTCAATGCAAATTATATCCTCTGTCTTTTTGAAAAGTGAAGGAGGGAAATGTGCGCGGCAATTTTTACACTATTCCCGATTTAGTAGAAAAGCTGGTTGGCACCCAGCCCATTAATGCCATTTCAACTTCATTTACCACTATTATCCATCGGAATTCTCTATGTGGAGCTCAGTATATTTCAGTGTAGCGTTATTGAATCCATAATTGTGCTTATTGGCTCGAAATCAATCCTGCTATGAATTCCCAGAACACCATCCACAATATATATATTCACCCACTATCAACCTCGTGGATCACCATCTCGGCTTTTATCACTTTCTTCTATCCCAACACCGATTAAATAGAACAAGCTACCTGCATCCAACCCGTATCATCAAACCTCGTACTATCCCTAACCTGCTCCATCGACCACTGCATAATCACCCCCAAGATGTCATCGATCTGTGACTCCGTGTTATCTGCATGAAGCACCAGACGGACCCGTTCCTGGCCCTTGGGAACGAGAGGGTAATGCACGGGGTTCACCCAATAGTGGGCTTGATGTAACCGGTCAGCAAGGCTGTTTGCATCCCCGTCGCGAGTATTAAATGGGATGATCGGGGCGTGGAATGATTCCGTTGCCCAGGTGCCTTCGGTGGGGATGGTCAGGATACCGTTTTGTTTGATCGCCGACCAGTGTGGATGACTGGTTAGTTTGTTGTGGAAGTAGGAGATGTTTTGTTGGAGTCGTGTGCGGCGCTGGCATGATGGGTTAACCTCTGGGTGGAGTATGGGGCATTGGGATCTCACTGTTTCTCCCTCTTCGCTGGCAAGCAAATCATACCCGGCTTTGACCGCAGCAAGGACCGGGAAGGCCGGGCCGGTGGAAAAGATTACATTCTTGGCGTAGTTGATGATATAGGACCGGATGATCTTGTTCGCGAGAATGACACCTGAGATGTGTTAATGGAAATAGGTCACCATTAGTGCTGATGCTAGAGGAGGGAGTTACCCCCGGTTGCCCCAAGTCCCTTTCCGCAGGTATGTAACCTGAGGGCAAACTCTTTTTCCAAACCCAGGCTGCATGCATACCCTGATCCATTGGGACCGAGTAAACCATTAGAATGAGCCTCGTCGATACTCAGCACTGCGTTGCCGCGCGGAAGAATCTCTTTGACTAATTGGATCATGCGATGGATGGGTGGACTGTCTGCATCCATGCTGTACACGGACTCCAAGGCAATAAACACGGTTTGATTGCCTTCAGCTATTCCAGGATGCTTCTCGCGCAGATTGAGGAGGCATTGTTGAAGACCCGCACAGTCGTTATGTGGGAACATTTGCGTTTCCGCGCGGCCCCGACGCATCCCCTCGTGGATGCTGGCATGCACGTACTGATCATAAAGGACCACATCACCCGGCTGAGGGACGGTCGACCAGAGTGCCACGTTGGCATCGAAGCCTGAGTTGAAGAATAGAGCCGACTCTGCCCCGTGGAAATGCGCGAGGTACTCTTCCAGATCGGTCAGATACTGGGTTGTGCCCTCAAAAATGCGCGTGGATCTGCTGCCCAGGGTGAAATTAGGATGACGTTCAAGTTCCTTGAGAAATGCAGTGCGGAGAACCCCCGAGGAGGAGAAGGATAGAGTATCGTTGGATCCGAAATCGGCCATGTGGGAGATTGTCTTGGGATGGGCCGGGGTGATCAGTCGATCCTGCTCCTCTCGACTGTGCAATTGTTCCCTGAGCTTTTGGGTGAGGATGATTTCTCGTCCACGTGAATGGGATTGTGATATGGTTCTGACGGGATGCGTTTGGGTACAACTCAGCGGAGAATCTCCAACACTGAGGGACTTGAGGATGCTTGCAGGCATGTGGCTAGAGGCCTGAAGGACTGATGGAAGCGATGGTTTCAGTGCCATTGTTACTGTTGACTGTAGCACTGCTGGCTTGGTTGTGTCTTGAGAAACAATGGTCCCAGGAGGATCAGCGCAGCCAGATGCAATATATACCGCACGGCATTACCGACTGTACAGTCATTCCACACATGCCTCCAATAGAAACCAACGAGAGATCCAAAGTCGAGACAGAGTTCACGCCGATCAGTTGCATCTCCATGATGCGCTCCGAGTCATCCAGGTGGTCAATGGCACCCCAGCAATGATGGAAATCTCGGGTGACAAGGGAAAAAACATGCATCGGTGTTTACGTGTGATAGCCCATGTAGACAGCTGGATTGAAGCAACTGACTTCTTGAAAGACCAGGCTGTGTGACTATCTACCGGGCCATGCGATTCGTTCAATTTCATTCCAGCCTACAGTTCATCGAGACCCATGCAGATCAGTGACACCAGTGTGGTCGGGGACTATGGGATGGGTCGGTTCGGGATTCATGACACGATCCCCGCTCAAATGATTGGGTATTAGACATATAGTTCCAAGACCAGGACACGGTGACCTTGATTCAAAGCATGTTTTGCCTGTTAAATCAAGTCAAGAGGACATGCATAACCATATTTGCACTTGAGCCGACAGGTGGCCGAAAAGAACCATGGATCGATCCTACACTGACGACCAATTGAACTCAACCGGGGCAGTCCTGTACCATGGAAAGAACAACCCATCAACCTGGGTCAACCAGGAGAATACAGACTGTATATGACCGCAAAGTAGTGGCTCATGTCTTCGACCGCGATGATTCAGTCGTTGGGTAATACGATAATGACATAACAATGTGGTGTCAGTATGATTTGCCTATCGAGTATCCAGAATGAAGGCATGATCTACTTGAGGGGAATGATGACCGTGGTACTCTGGACTCTTCAAATACATCATTATAACGTTCCAGACACATCAAAAGAACATGATGAGTACAGGACTATTGGGCGACTAAGATATAAATTCGGGCCGAGTGCACGACAGTGTTGGCATCACCGCAATATTGCACTTGTTGTCTGACCTTTTCGAATATTGCACTTGAAAATATCTTTCCCCGGTTCATCCCATCAAGGTTAGAACATGGAGAAGATACTCATCAATCATGCCAGAGACGCGCCGGACGCAGTCGCTGTAATAGACCAAGGAAGGTCTCTTACATACGCGGAGCTATTCTCCGAGTCAAACCACCTCTCTGAAAGACTCAAAGCGGAGATAGACCCTGGAAGCACCATCGGGATTCTCCTAGGCCCCGGAGTCAAGCAAGTCGTTGCTCAATTTGCCGTGCGCCTGGCGGACTGCGTCTGTGTCCCCATCGAACCCTCTGTCCCCAAACGGCGCCTCACGGACATCTTGCAGGATGCCCAGGTCAAGCACATTATCATGGAAGATGGACAGCTGGAATTGCCAGATTCCAACCGATTTGACTTTGACATTGGGCAAAGCCAGCTCGGCACCAAATTCCAGAACCCCCCAGTCGACATAACTTCCGAACACAGTCATATCCTCTTCACTTCGGGCTCGACGGGAAGGCCCAAGCCAGTCCAGATCCGAGCGGACGGGATTCTACACCTGGCCACCGAGACCCCCGCGACTCCATTGTCGTGCGATGACCGGGTGGCATCGTTTAACAACCCCGGATTCGACCTCAGCCTGTTTGAGATCTGGGTGACGTTGATCGCGCGGGCCACCATTGTGATAGTCCCCCGTCGGATTGCCACGGACCCGGGGGCTATGCCGTCGTTCCTCCAGGAGAATGAGGTGACCGTCCTGATTATCACGGCCGCCTTGTTCAATATCATGGCATCTGATCAAGGAGCGTTCCATACCCTCAAACATGTCCTCACGGCGGGGGATGTTGCCAATGTGCGAGCGATGAGAGAGGTTCTTGAACACGCCCCCCCGGCTCATCTTTGGAATACATACGGGCCCACCGAGTGCACGACTTTGGCGACCATGTTGGAGGTAACCTTGGAAGAGACCAAGCGGGACCGCATCGGCATTGGAGGACCCGTTGGTCAGATGGAGGTATTCCTGATAGACCACAACGAAAACCCCATTCACCAGAGTGGCCAGCCAGGAGAAATCTGCATCAGCGGGCCACAGCAAACCAGAGGGTACCTGAATCGCCCCGCGGAGAACAAGAAGTGTTTTCTGTGCAAACCACGCAAGGAACTCGTCCCTGGCAAGAATGAGATGCGAAACCATGAGACGGTTCGACTGTACCGAACCGGAGACATCGGGGAATGGCGGCCTGGCTCAGGAAACCTCGACTTCGTGGGCCGGTCCGATACTCAAGTGAAACATAAAGGGTTCCGGGTGGAATTGGGGGAGGTCGAGCGGGTGCTGCACAGCTGTGAGGCAATACGGGGGGCGGTGGTGATCCAACAGCCTCCCCAGTCGGATGAGGGAATGCCGGTGCTGATCTGCTTTGTTCACTTGAAGCCATCCAGTCAATTCGGTCCGGAGAATATCTTGGACTTTGCTCGCGATCGGCTTCCCTCGTACATGGTTCCTGAAGCGGTGGAAATCGTGGCCGAGTTCCCTCTGACCCCGCATGGCAAGGTGGATCGCAAGGCATTGTTGGAAACTCGACTCAAGAGACTCGATCACAAGGCATCTGATGATGGACCAAACGGGACCAGTCATGTCCAGGAGCAGAGGGCCATGATCCACGATTTCTGCAAGGAAATCCTGGGTGTGGCCGATATCCACGACCACGATGACTTCTTCCAACGGGGAGCCACGTCTCTCCAGGCGGCTGCGCTTCTCGCGTTGATCCAAGACCAGCTTGGGTGCAGTGTGTCGATGGAGGACCTCTACTGCCATTCCACCGTGTCGGATTTGGTGCACCTGGTTGGCCAGGTGGCATCCCCGACCGATGCACCCGATCACACTCGCCAGTGGATGGAGGATATTAACCAAGTGGACCAGATTGAAGTGATGCCTCACTGGGAATCCGCATCCGAGGGCAAGGTGTTCCTAACGGGCGCCACGGGCTTCGTTGGGGCTCATCTCCTTCATCATCTCCTGAATCGCCCGATGGTGAAGCAAGTCGCATGTCTCTGCCGGCCCCGCGCGCATCCGAGTGCTGCTGATCGCATTCAAAAGGCCCTGGAGCGGTATGACCTGTGGAAAAGCTGCCAGGATAAAAAACACAAACTATTCATGATCGAGGGAGACCTGACGCAGGACCAGCTGGGCCTGGGACCGGATCGGTACGACTGGCTCGCCAACTGGACCTCGATCATCTTCCATCTCGGGGCCAAGGTGGACTTTTGTCAGTCATACCGCGAGCACTATGCATCGAATGTGGTCGGCACGTGTAATATCCTTCAATTGGCTGCCGCTGGGCGCCGGAAAGGACTGCAATACCTCTCGTCCATCGACGCGTGGGGCCCAACCGGGTTTGTGCTGGGGACGAAGGAGCTCTACGAAGACGGCCCCCTGGAGCCCCATGCGCAGGCGCTGCGATATGATCTGGGGTATGCGCAGAGCCAGTGGGTGGCGGAGGGCATGGTGCGTCGCATGCGAGCCCGGGGGTTGCCGATTGTCATCCATCGACCCGGATTTATCATTGGGCATGGGGGAACGGGGGAAAGCAACCCGGATGATTTCGTGTCTCGCCTGATTGTCGGGTGCATCCAGCTGGGCGTTTTCCCCCGGCTGGACCAACGGTTGGAGTATGTCACGGTGGACTATGTCATCGCGGCGGTCATGCACATCGCTGCCTCGCCCCAGTGCCTGGGCCATTCGTATAGCCTGCTCTCGCCGGACCAGCGACAGTCGGCCACGCTCCAGGATACTTGTCGGATCATCAACGAGGCCGGGTATCGGGTCCGGTTGATTGACTACAAGGACTGGGTGCAGGAAGTGGCCGCGAAACAACAACGGGATGGCCCTCTGGCGCCGTTGCAGCCCATGTTCCGGGAGCGCGTGCTGGGGGATTTGACGCGATGGGAGGCCAGTCAACGGTCGCCCCGGTACCGCTGCGACAAGACCGTCCAGGCCCTGCAGGACCGACCGGATATTCGATATCAGCCTTTTGACGCGGCGATGCTGCAGCGATTTATCGCGTTTTGGAACCGGAAAGGGTTCTATGCCATCTAATTCGGGTCTGTCCAGTGTCCACGGGGACGATGCTTATCAGGGAGATAACCGAATCCACCATCCAGTGGAGGGGTTTTCCACACCGCCAGCGACGCGTTGATCTCTCAGTCTCACGCCCATGACGCCGTTAAATCCGAGCTAGTGAATGTACATACTCTACCTCAAATAGAAATTCTGTCCGCTGGACCAAAGGTTGGTCGGTACGATAAGAGACGGGGGCTGGTGATTTCGCCCGGTCGGAATCATGCATTCTGCCCGACTGAACCTCGCAGATGCTGGCTGGGATGGGTTGGCTGAAGAGACACATCACCAACGTCAGCGGGCAACGTGTCCCATGCGACTCGTCGACTCCCGCCAGTGGTGGGAAAAGACCCGATCACGTCCCCCCCAAGCAACTGCCCAGCTCGGGGTCTGCAGGTACAGCCGTGAAAGTTGAAGCATCAGATTGATTGATGGGGGAGTCCTTTTTTTGGCCCCTCATTTTCACCCCGTCAGATTAAACCCCGGCCGTTGGTCAGAGTGGGAAAAACAAAAAAAACAGGGAAAAGCCTGGCCGGATGTCTGGCGAAGTCGGCGAGAGACTGACTAAGTTACTGAACTCTGAAGGTGGATGAATAAATGAATAATGGTGAATAATGACGGCAGGGAAGACAGACTACGTAATACAGTGTACTGGTACTGGTGCCGTGGCTATTAATAGCTCCCGACCTCCATATTCCTTTTCCGTTTGCCGCCCGGCCTGATGAGGGAATGACTGCCTTCTTTTGACTGCCTCGCTGCCTCACTGCATGGCGGAATCTCGGATAGAGGATGATTGGTCTTTTTTTTGACAGCCCGTCGATCAGGGAGGTCACTACCATTAAGTGTACCTAGACACTGTTAGATAGATAGTTGATCATGGAGCCAGCTGCCAGTGGTCCCATCGGTGGTCTTTTCCGTGGACGAGATTCTCGGTCCAACCAATCGGTCGATGTATCTAGTATTCTTCACCATGCCGGGATATGCAGGAATCCTCTGAAGTTCTGGACACATCCACGAAACAAGCCTTTTTTAGAAAGGGGTAGAATCAATTGACGCCATGCGAGACGGGTGGTTGCCGAGAGGCTACCATGGATAGTGAAACGGTTCCTTCTTTGACAGAGTGACAAAGTGACACAGAACATGGCGGTGCCTCACCGGGGCATCGGTCGGGGCGATGACGTCATGCCGGGGTGAGTCAGCAGGAACACAGTAAGCCTTTTGCCTCTCTCCTCTTCTCTCACCGTCTGAGAGATAACCACCTCACTACTAACTAACCTGAAGCCGACCCGACCAGTGGCGCCGCCTCCGAGCCGGGGTCTGCAGCCGGCGGATCGACAGGTTTCAATATTATTGGTCAGGTCTGAGACGCCGCCCCAGGGACACTGGCCGCCTTTCCCTGGAAAAGGCCCCATGGCGGCGTCGCGATAGCAGAGAGTACGTGGGCACAAGCAGTCCTGTGTACGTAGGACGTGGGTGGGTTGTGTGCGGTGGATCCCCCCCAGTGGAGGCCCTGGAGTGGAGGGGGGAAAGTCTCGGATCCCCACCGAAGCCGCGCCTGGTTCACGAACAGATCCTGCCCGACAAATCTGGCCTGGCCTCTTGCCCGGTTGCCCCTCAAACCCTCCGGATGGCAAAAAAAGTTATACGTCTCGCGGACAAGTCGGATCATGACCCTGGGTCGGGTCTGGAAGAATCCTTCCAGAAGGTCCGATGTTCCACCGAATCGACATGGAAAGAACCGCGGTTGTAACCCTGACGTTGGATGGCGCGCTGATGTGCAGGGCGTGGCCCTCACAGGCCCGGGGCAGTGGCTGCTTCAGCGAGACGCTCGATAAGGTCCAGCACAGCGCGAGACACCCAATCATGAGACCCTGATATGGCGTTTCCTAATATAGCCAGCAGACGGTCGAACCGGTGTCTTGGACTTCGTTGGTCAGTCGGTTGGACAGCAGCCCACGGCAACCCCACCGCGGGTGAAAGGTTTTAGATGGTCTTATGTCTCATGTCTCTGGTCTCTCTGGTCCCTCGCTCTTCCTCAAGTCGTCTCTGGTCAAGCCCCAGACCCCCATCCTTCGTCATCGCCCGAAGTCGTCTTGCTTCATTTCCCTCGTTTCAAGTCGTGCTTGTCAACACCTTTCTTGCCTACCTACCGTGTTCTTCCCTCCTCCCTCGTTTCGTCCCCCGTCACTCGTTACTGGTTTGGTTTCCCTTCCTCGGTGTGACTGTTGGCAACATTTCGGGCATGTGGAATTGATTCTGGCTTATCGTGCACCATCTGTTCACTTGCGTGGCACGAAGTTGTCGATCCCAGGCCACGGCCATCATGTTCCGGATGGACTGGCAACGCTCAGCAGTGCTCATCGTGGGCCTGTTGAGCGTCGTTGCCGTAGGCTGGCCCTACACCGAGTCGCTCGCTGATTACAACCTCAACACCAATTCCTCGGCCAAGTCACCTATCGACTATTGGGGAGAATGGCCGGATCACGAATATCACCCGTCGCCAGACAACTGGCGATTCCCCATGTACACCATTTTCTTGGATCGCATCGCCAACGGCGATCCCACCAACGACAACATTAACGGCACCACTTTCGAACATGTCATCGACTCCAACCAGATGCGCCACGGCGGCGATCTCGTGGGGTTGATTGACAGTCTGGATTACATCAAGGGCATGGGATTCAAGGTGAGTGGCACAAACCAGCCCCATGTCAGACCGATTTTTCTTGCTGTTATACTGATCGGCATAGGCCATCTACTTTGCGGGCACGTATCTGATGAATCTTCCCTGGGCCTACGATGGCTACTCGCCCGTGGACACCACCCTCCTGGACATGCACCATGGCACCCTGGAGGACTGGCGGACCACGATCACGGAAATCCACAAGCGCGACATGTACGTGATTGTGGATAATACCTTGGCAACGTGAGTGCAGACCCTTCATTCCCTCAAATCATCCCCCACTAACCCAAACGTACAGTCTGAGCAACCTGATCGGGTTCAAGGGCCATCTGAACGACTCGGCCGACTTTTTGGCGACGGAATACGAGGTCGAGTGGATCACCGATCGCCAGTACGTCGACTTCCAGTTCAGCAACGAGTACAACGAAACCTGCAACTACCCCAAGTTCTGGAACGAGACGGGCTATCCCATCACCACCGGCGGGGTTCAGGACCTGAAAGGGTGCTACAACAGTGATTTCGACCAGTACGGTGAACTGGAGGCCTTTGGTAACTTCCCCGACTGGAAGCGCCAGCTCACCAAGTTCGCCTCTGTCCAAGATCGCTTGCGTGAATGGCACGAGCCCGTCCGGAATGTTATCACCCACCATTCCTGCATCCAGATCGCCAGTCTCGATGTCGATGGCTTCCGGTTCGACAAGGCCGTCCAGGGCACTCTGGAGCCCCTCGCCGACATCATCAGCACCTACCGAGAATGCGCCAAGAAGTATGGCAAGCACAACTTCTTTCTGCCCGGTGAGATCACGTCGGGAAACACCTTTGGCAGTCTCTATCTGGGTCGCGGTCGTCAGCCGAACCAGGTGCCCGACTCGGTGGACGTGGCCATCAAGCTGACCAACGATTCGGATTCCGAATACTTCTTGCGTGACGACGGATTGCAAGCGTTGGATTCCGCCGCTTTCCACTATACCATTTATCGGTCGATGACCCGTTTCCTGGGAATGGACGGTAACCTGGTGGCCGGGTTCGACCTGCCCACCGATTTCATCGAGGCGTGGAACGGCATGTTGGAGACCAACGACTTCATCAACGCCTTCACGGGCGAGTTGGACCCTCGCCACATGTTTGGCGTGTCGAACCAGGATAACTTCCGCTGGCCAGCCATCAAGAATGGCACGGTGAAGTACCTGTTGGGCCTGTACATCGTGACGTTGGAGCTGCCGGGCATCCCGCTGGTGCTCTGGGGCGAAGAGCAGGCCATGTACGTCTTCGATGCCACGGCCTCCAACTATCTGTTCGGCCGGCAGCCCATGACCTACCAGACGGCCTGGTGGACGCATGGCTGCTTCTCGCTCAACACCTCCAAGTTCTACGACTTCCCCAATGACAAGGGCCTGAACGGCTGCAACGACATCACCGTCACGTACGACCAGCGGAACCCGGCGCACCCCCTGCGCAACATCATGAAGCGCATGTTCGAGATCCGCGAGCAGTACCCCGTGGCCAACGATGGGCTCTACCTCGAGACCCTGTCGCAGCTCACCGAGAACATCTACCTGCCGGGATCCGAGACCACTCCGACTGTCACGGGCCTGTGGTCCGTCCTGCGCACCTACTATCCGGGGGTCCAGCAGAATGCCACCCAGAGCAATGGCACCCTGTGGCTCGTCTATCAGAACGGGAATACCACCGAGACCTACGGCACCAGCTGCACCAACAAGACTGCCGCATTGCTGGCCCCCTTCGACTCCGGGAAGAAGTTGAAGAACCTCTTCTATCCCTATGACGAGCTCACCCTGGAAGATGGCCCCGGCGGCAGTGGAGCGTACGGATGCGCCCGCAACATGACCTTGCTGCCGTGGGAATACCGCGCCTATGTCGAGGCCTCCAGCTTCGTGGAGCCCGGCCCTACCGTCACCGAATTCGTCCCGGGCCACGACGCACGATTGATCTCGTCGGAGGACAATGGGGAAAGCCTGGCCATCCAGCTGGGATTCTCCAAACCCATGGACTGCGACGTGCTCACCAAGGCCATCTCCCTGAACTCGACCACGACCAAGGGCATCACCGCCTCGTTCGACACCTCCAACGTCACCTGCGCCAACATCACGGCCCGAACCACGAGTAACAACTTCGTGGGCGAGGTCCCGACGGTGTGGACGTGGTCCACGACGTTGAAGAATGTCTACCATGGCGTGCACCAGCTGACGGTCAATAATGTGACCAGCGTCAATGGCACCCACACGAATGCCGTCGACAAGTTCCTGTTCCGCTTGGGCACCGAGACCAACCCCCTGATTTCCCCCCTGGCCAACTACTCCACCACCCTGCTGCAGAAGTCCGACAACGGCAGCTACTACATTCAGCATGACGCGGCGGGCGCGGATAAGTACCGCTACTCGACGAGTTTTGGCAGCAGCTGGTCCAACTGGACCGAGTACACTGGGGGCAACACCACCATCGATCTCACCTCGTGGTCGGGCACGTCGGCGCAGAAGTGGAAGGGCACTCACGTTCGGGTCCAGTATTTCTCCCGACTCACCGGCAGCAGTGATTATCTCCAGGAAGGCGATTACGGCTGGAAGGATGGTGTGGCTCGTCGATTCCCGCACATGTGGTGGAACGGCCCCTACAACCAATATGGCTACGACGCCGGGCTGGACAGCAAGATGCGGTTTGATGAGGACGACTTGCGCTGGAAGTACGATTTCGTCTACGAGTGGCCCTCGGTGGGACAGATCAGCATCTGGGGTACCGATGAGGATGGCACGCCCGACACGACGGGTGTCTATGGAGACGTGGATAACTCGTCGGTCGTGCAGCGGCTGCCTCCCTCGTACCTGTCGTCCAACGTCATCAACATCACCGAATTGCCGCCCTTCCCGCATCTCGGCTGGACCATCTCGCTCAACGATGCCAACCTCCGATACGAGTTGATCCCCGTGGGATCCGGCTGGGCCCAACTCGTGCTCTACGTCCTGCTCTGGGTGGTTCCCATTCTCATGGCGCTGGCGGGCGTGTTCATCTTCATCCGCACCTTCTACCGCGTTCAGCTCAACACGGATGGCAACGTGGCCAAGGAAGACAAACTGCCGCTGCTGGTCTGGCGCCGACTGAGGGGACAGTCCGGAGACGACCACTCCGAACGGGCTGTGTCCGCCATGGCGGCTGCTGCGCCCTCGACCGAGATGGCCATCGCCGGGGCCCCCGAGAAACGGCGGACCGTCTTGATTGCGACCATGGAGTACGACATTGAGGACTGGAAGGCCAAGGTCAAGATCGGTGGGTTGGGTGTGATGGCTCAACTCATGTCCCAGCATCTGGGTCACCAGGATCTCATCTGGGTGGTGCCCTGCGTGGGGGACATCGAGTATCCTCAGGACACCCCGACGGAGCCCTACATCGTCACCATCCTCGACAACCCCTACCTGGTCCACGTGCAATACCACGTTCTCAACAACATCACCTACGTGCTCCTGGACGCACCCGTCTTCCGACAGCAGACCAAGGCCGAGCCCTACCCTCCCCGCATGGACGACCTGGACAGCGCCATCTACTACTCCGCGTGGAACCAGTGTATCGCCGAGACCATCAAGCGATTCCCCTCGATCGATATGTACCACATCAACGATTTCCACGGCTGCCTGGCGCCGCTGTACTTGCTGCCCTCCCGCACCATCCCCGTGTGCTTGTCTCTGCACAACGCCGAGTTCCAGGGTCTCTGGCCGCTCCGCAACCAGCAGGAGAAGAAGGAGGTGTGCTCGGTCTTCAACCTGCCCGTCGAGACAGCCACCAAGTACTGTCAATTCGGAACGGTGTTCAATCTGCTGCACACCGGTGCCAGTTACCTGCGATTCCACCAGCGCGGCTTCGGTGCCGTGGGTGTGTCCAACAAGTACGGTAAGCGCTCCTGGGCTCGGTACCCCATCTTCTGGAGTCTGGAGAAGATCGGCAGTCTGCCCAACCCCGATCCCACCGACATCGCCCCCCTGGAGGAAAGCGGCGACGAGAAAGCCTTGACCCGGTCGTACGAGGAACGCATCACGGACAAGCTCGAGGCCCAGAAGTGGGCCGGCCTGACCGAGGATCGCAACGCGGACCTCCTGGTATTCGTGGGCCGCTGGTCCAAGCAGAAGGGTGTCGATTTGATTGCGGACGTCATCCCGGCCGTGTTGTCGGCCAGGCCCCAGGTGCAGGTGATCTGCGTCGGTCCCATCATCGACCTGTATGGCCGGCTGGCCGCCATCAAGCTGGACAAGATCGCCACCATGTTCCCCGGTCGTGTCTTCTCGCGGCCCGAGTTCACCGTCTTGCCTCCCTGTGTCTTCTCGGGTGCCGATTTCGCTCTGATCCCGTCTCGTGACGAACCATTCGGGCTGATTGCCGTCGAATTCGGTCGAAAGGGTGCCCTGGGCATTGGTTCTCGCATTGGTGGTCTCGGCCAGATGCCCGGTTGGTGGTACACGGTGGAGTCGGACGCCACGCGCCATCTGTTGCACCAGCTGAGGACCGCCATCAAATCCGCCCTGGACTCGTCGCAGGAGACGCGCGAGCAGATGCGGGCCAACTCGGCCAAGCAGCGATTCCCCGTCCTCGAGTGGATCCAGAAACTCGAGACCCTCCAGCGCACCTCGATCCAAATCCACCACGACAAGAACAAGGCCACCGTCGCCGGCTCTCTGCCCGAGTCGCAGAGCGCGTGGGACTTGCAGCAGAACATGCGGTACTCGACGCTGGCCCTTCCGGGGACGCAATCGCGCGCCTCGGGCGTGGAGACGCCCCCGGAGACCGTCATCGAGCACGCCCAGTCTCGCCTGCAAGAACTCCAGACCGCCGAGGGTAACAGCCGGGCCAGCAGCCTCAACCGCCAGCTTTCGCTGGGACGGCGCGCGGGACCCGGTCAGGGCCGCAACCGCCTGACCAAGAGGCAGCTGTCGACGCACTCGCCGGGTGACGAGACCACCGACGCCGAGGATGACGACGAGAATGCGGCACCCCCCGTCGACTACATCTCCCCGGAGGAGGCGATGAGGGCTGTCACCAGCACTCTGGCACCGACGCCCGGGGGAGACAGCCGGGCCAGCGTCAGCACTCCCCCGCTGATCCCTCCCCCAACCTTCCGCAATTCCCGGCCGGGGTCCCCGTACCCTATCTCGCAGGTCTCGTCGCCCTCCCTGGCTCCTCCCATGGGCCACTTCCGCACCGTCTCCATGCTCTCGTTGCCCTCCGTGGTGGGCGACCACACTTCCTTTGTGGGCGAATCCACGCCCACCCAAAATCAGCCGGTGTTTGAGCTGCAAAAGGTGGACCCGACCTTCACGGACAGCATGGGTCACTTCACGCGGCGCTTCGAAGACATCCTCACCAAGTTGAACAAGAAGAACTCGGTCACCGACTGCTGCATTGAGACCTACCTGATGAAGAGCGAGCGCCAGTTCTACTACGACTACAGCGACGCCCAGTTGAAGAAACAGCCCAAGGATCGCGCCATCGCCATGCCCGGCTCCGACAGTGGCATGCACGATGGCCCCGACGGCCGCGCCTCGTACGCCAGTGCCAATTCCGACTCGGACGGAACCGATGAGATTGATCGCTGGCTGATGCAGCTGGGCTACCGGCGTCCCATGGTCATCCAGCGATTCATGCGGCGGCGTATCGGCAATTGGCCAATCTACTCGCTCTTCCTGGGTCTGGGTCAGATCATCGCTACCAACTCGTCCCAGATCACCTTGTTGGTCGGCCAGGTTGGTGAGACCGCCGTCAAGGTGTACGTGATCGCGGCCATCTACTGTGTCTCCTCCATCGCATGGTGGTTCATCTATCACCGCTCTCCAGCTGTTTTCTCTCTCACCCTCCCCTGGTTCCTCTACTGCCTGGCCTTCATCATCATCGGCGTCTCCCCCTTCGGTCTCACCTCGCTGGGCCGCGCCTGGGCCCAGAACGTCGCCGCGGGCGTCTACGCCATCGCATCGTCCAGCGGTTCCTTGTTCTTCGCTCTCAACTTCGGTGACCAAGGTGCCGTCCCCGTTAAAGACTGGATGTTCCGTGCCAGTATGATCCAGGGTATCCAGCAGATCTACACGGTGGCGCTCTGGTTCTGGAGCTCCAAGGTCACTGCCGCCGAGGTCGGAGGCGTGTCTGTGGCAGCCCTCAGCTCGTGGAGACTGACAGCGGTCGTGATGCCCATTGCAGCCCTCTGCTTTGCCATCGGTGTCCTGCTGGCCCTGGGTCTGCCCAACTACTACCGCCAGTCCCCCAGTCGGATCCTCTCCTTCTACACCTCCCTTTTCCGCCGCCGCATCATCCTCTGGTTCTTCTTCATGGTCATTGTCCAGAACTGGTTCCTCTCCGCCGCCGTGGGTCGCAACTGGTCCTTCCTGTGGTCCTCCAAGCACGCCAAGCCGTGGGAGATTGTCATCCTCATCGTTGGCTTCTTCATCGTCCTCTGGGTACTCATCCTGATTCTCTTCCGCGCGCTCTCCAAGGAGCACAGTTGGATCCTGCCTGTCTTCGGACTGAGTCTGGGAGCCCCGCGATGGGCGCAAACATGGTGGGGAACGTCGAATATCGGCTACTATCTACCCTGGGCCGGCAGTTTGGTTTCGGGTTCCATTGCATCGCGCTGTCTGTGGCTCTGGCTGGGTGTCCTAGATGAGATCCAGCAAGTCGGCCTGGGAATGATTCTCCTGCAGACCATGACCCGAGTGCATGTTTGCTTCGTTCTCCTGGCGGCCCAATCCCTGGGATCCATTGCCACGATTTGTGCCCGTGGCTTCGCGCCGAACAAGATCGGACCGGCCAGCATCTCCCCGGATGTGGGCACGTCCATCGATAAGGTCGGCAATGCCTGGTTCTGGATTGCCTTGTTCTTCCAGCTTCTCGCAAGGTAAGTTCTTCTATTCTCTCATACATTTGCACCGTGCTAATCTTGGGTCTAGCTTTGGTTTCCTCCTGTTCTACCGGCGGGAACAGCTCAATCGGCCTTAGGCCATTGAGTGTCATGTCCCACGCACTGCGGCTCCCTGATACAGCCCCAGTCGTCCTAATGATGTTTGAGTATTAGTATGTCCTCTGGACCATCATGTATAGACTTGCTCTTTCACATTCCCCCTATGATAGCCTGCATATATGTACCCTTAGATATCAATGATTATAGACATTCCTTTTTTTTTTTATTCCTGTTATACTTTGCGTAGTAGTGGAACTTCTGTACGGGAGATGAGAGAGTAAGCCGAAGGATCAACACGTGTAAGCTGCTGTCAAACCTTGGACACTGTCATCCTTTCAGCTGACGCGGGAGCCCTTGCCGTATCCCAATGATGGACTTATACTCTATCTTTTGGAGATCCCTAGCCTGGAGCTCATCGCCTGTAACATAGGGCAGGGAGACTTTTCGACCATACAAAGTCCCACCCAAAGTCATAGACTCATACAGTGATTACTTAGGAAGATAGGAAGGTAACCTAGCTGAAGAAGTGATATCATAGATGATCATTATGCGCCCACTTAAAGCTACCTGCCACATTTCCCCTCGGCCCCTTTCTCCTTCCAAAAAACATTCCCGGATTATGCATCGGATGGCACCTCCCATTCTCCCCCCACCAGCCCCAAAGGGTCACGGATTTCTCTGTAGAGAATCTTGTAACAAGTATCACAATCAACCACCCCATCAGAATCCACATACTCGGGACGGCAGAACATCTCCATGACCTCAATATCGCAGTGCTCGATGGTCATGTAGAAGTGGTAGGAATGCTTGAATGGAACCCTCCACTTCCACCAGATATACCCGTCCTCACACACCTTCCCTGTCCCAGGGATGGTTTTCTCGGGCTCGTATTGATAAATCTCATCCCAGTCGGGTTTTTTCATCCCATAGTGTAGCACTATGGTTGATTGGGCAGCAGACAGTTCATCCAGGACGGCCATCCAGTGTCCGCCGATGTTGCCCTGTGAAGATGGTGGTCTTTCCGCAAGGAACTGTCGGAAGAAGCAACGGAGCTCGTCATCAGTTTTGCCCAGGAATCCTGTCTCAAAGTCGTCGATTGGCGGTTCGGTGCCCCATTCATCCACCTCTTGCTGATCAGGGGTACGGATAAGGGTCAGGAAGGGAACGGCATTCTCGGCCGTTTGGCTCTCATCGAACAACTGGCTGAAGACCTGGGAGGAGGCATTAGCTATCTGGTGGACAGATCTGAGGGTTTGACAATTATTCGTACGCTTCCTGGCATGTTGGCCGTGAAAAAGAACATGATGTCTGACATGGTGGACGGGAAAGCTGCACGCAGCAGTGGTGGGTAGAGTGTGTTATGGGGATACCAATTGGGATAAGGTAATGTTTTTGAGTTGGTTTCCCCCAGACCGAGACAGTCAGGAGAGATTTCTAGTTATAGGAAGAGTTAGCTATATACGCAAATATAGCAGGCTGGGACTGGAATAGCCAACTATAAGGGCTGGAATGCGATAAGCATGCAACATACTCAGCCCCCAACACGTCTTTCTGCCTGTTCCAAATAAGCAAGGCTGTGAGATATGTTTCGCCTTTGGGGTAGATACCTATGTGTCAAGAGATGATCAGGGGGTTGTCGTGTGATGGTCGACCCACGTCAGAGTAAACATGATGATGCGAAGGGAAGTGGAGATGCAACCAGAGCGGCAGGTGGTGGCCTAGGGTCATGTGACTCTTAGGCAGCCAACAGTTCCGCTGGACACGATTGGCTAATCCTCCTCTTTGTTTACTACACCGTCTCTTCTCATCTAAGGCACACAGTCATATTCGAGATATCTAGACCATGTATGTTTAGCCACCGAGTGGAAGCCCGTATTCCGTCAGCGTTACGAAGAAGTCGACCAGATACCAACAGGCCTTCCGAATACTGCTACGCCACAAATGATATCCTGAACGTTATCCATCCTATTCTTGAGAGACCTATTATCACTCTAAATCCCCCCCACTGCCAATTAATAGCATACAAAGTACGTACGGAATCCACGCTGATTTCCAAACATAACTTGTGTAACCATGACCTCCAGATATCCACCAGCGGGCTTCCCTAATGCAACTAAATACACGCTTATCCCTTGGCAGCTACAGAATGACAGGAGATTGCAATCACAACCGGCTTACTCGTGGTTCTGCTTATTCCAGGACTTGGATATCCAGCAGCTCAATCAGCTGAGTTCATCAATCTGCCCAGCATAGAGCCACCATGTAGGGTCCAATCTTCCAGCCCCAAAGGGGTGATGCCCCTTGGACTCAGTTTCAGGAGCTTCAGATGCTCTTCAGCTACTACGGCTTCCAGCTACTACAATATCTGGGATATGAGATATAAGAAGGTCAACTACACGAGCTTCATAGCCATGCAGACTGAACAGAAAATCAAAGCATCCTCTCTATTTACTTATCTCAATCTTTACGTTGGATTTTCTACATCATAAAAACCTTGTTTATTGCTATCATGTATATTTCAAAAGCCTTCTTCGCATTTGGTCTCGCCGCGGTCAATATACTTCCATGCCTAGGAGCTCCCATTCATCCAGCTGACGATATTGCTCTCAACGAGCTTGAGATCCGCGCTGGGGCGGTTCCCGGCTCAAGCAAAAGTAACCCCATCAAGGCCATGATGGAAGTGAATGACAATAACGCACTTCCTTTCGATGGCGACTGTTATGCCATCCTATGTTTGGGGAAGGAGCCTCTCTTGTGAGTTTAGGGCTAGACTCCAACCTGCCAGTTAAGCAATTGATCTAACATACACTTCTCCCATTTTCTAGCCAGCGAGATGGTTCTGAGAGCAACGCTAACCGAAAGGATGCTGGAGTAAAGAAGACATTCCCAGGAGGGAAAGGCAGTGGTCCCTTCAGAAACCCAACACTAGCCGGTGTCAAGACCCCTGGCAGTACATATGTGTCTCCAGAGGAGTTCCCGTATGCCTCAACTACTCAAGGTGGGCACCAGTAAGTTTAACACCTACAGTCTATACAAAGTATGTGAGCGGGTCTCAACTAACAATATACACAGAGCCGTCTTGTTCCCAGTCTCTGAATCCTCGCAAGACTCCCAGGGCGGTGCTATCAATAGCTTTTATAAGAAGAACAACATCGGTTCCGCAGATAAGGGTAAAAGGAATAGCTGGTACGAAATCACCGGATGGACCGGAAAGCTTGGGTGAGCCCTCTTCGCTGTACTCGATCGATCGCAAAGGTTGACGGGAAGCAGCCCTTACTGCACCGCCCTCCAAGCCAACAATGGCAAGTCCAATACCAATGATCCCATTTGTAAAGCGGGTGGCAATGGTACAGGCAAGTGGGGATTCGATGTAGGTGAATACGCCTACACTTATGATGGCCATAGCTATCACAAAGCCAAGGGCAGCAAATAAGGTACATGTGTCTTCGGAAGAGAATACCGTGACAGGTTTGGTATCTGTTCTGATGCGGTTAGAGTACTTTGTCTATTTGTTGTCGATTTTGTATATCTTTCGTTTCAGGGAGCGTGAAGCGTGACCACTTTCTATATCCGCGTTGATTTTGCAGGCAGAATCCATAAATAGATTCAGCTAATGCATAAATGGAAATAGCGTCTTGGCGTGCATCAAGGGATGTGCCGACCTCGCACGCCCCGCGGTATCTCCCTGGGATTCATCGCTTGACAAACATCTCGGCGAATCTCGGCGAATCCTCAAAAAGGTCTCAGACGGCCATTCTGTGTCCTAGGTGCCACAATGGCCACAGTTGACAGCTCGTTGTTAGGCAACAGTCCTCAAGACCCGTCTCAAGCGGACATTACCCGCCCGTCGCGTCTTGGTATCCGGCGGGATCATCCTAAATCTCATGTCGCGAAGGTGCTCGCTGTGTTCTGGACCTTCCTAATAATGGGAGCAAGTGATGCAGCATATGGGGTAAGGAGCGAGCCAGACATGGGTTGCCGTCATTGAAGCTAACATGGTCAGCCTTTAATTCCCTACGTAAGTGTCACGTCGCGAACCTGTTGGGAAACACCTATTGAATCAAAAGCTTGAATCATACTATGACATCTCCCACACGACTGTCTCGCTGTTGTTTCTGTCCCCCGTTTGTGGCTATACGCTTGCCGGACTGCTCAACAACGAGATCCACGTGCAGGTGGGCCGTCGTGGCATCGCCTGTATTTCAGCGGCCTGCCACTTGTTCACGTTTAGCATTGCCTCCTTGCATCCTCGGTACCCCGTTCTGGTGGTGTCTTCTGCGGTGGGTGGGTTTGGAACTGGTATAGCAGACTCGGCATGGAACGCTTGGATCAGCAGCTTGTCTAGCGCCAACCAGTTGATGGGGATTTTGCATGGCTTGTATGGGGTGGGAGCCATGATAAGCCCGTTAATCGTGTCTGCACTGGTCACCCGGGCCAATGTCCCCTGGTTTCGCTTTTATAATATCATGGTATGATTTCCCTCATCTCAACTACCAGCCAGTCGCTCATGTTCAGGCTGCCGGTGCTGCTGTCGAGGCCGTCGTCTGCACCCTCGCCTTCTGGAGCGCTCGACCGGTTACCCTAGACGCGAGCGAGGACTCCGATGAAAGCCAACGTGGTGGGCTGCGGCGTGCTCTTTTCCAACAACCATATGCCCGCGTGACTTGGATCTGCACCCTCTTCCTTCTCATTTATGTGGGAACCGAAGTCACTTTAGGTGGCTGGACCGTGGTCTTCATGATGCGGGTGCGCCACGCGACCCCCTTCGCTAGCGGCATGGCGGTTACCGGATTTTGGCTGGGTATTACCTGTGGCCGGGTCTTTCTTGGATTCATCACACCGATGATAGGGGAAGAACTGTCAGTTACGGTATGGCACCCTTCCCCTTTCCGTTCTCTTTTGGCCTAGGCTGACTTCCACGCAGCTGTATGCGTTGTGTGTGATTATTTTTGGTTTTGTCTTTTGGCTGGTGCCAAATTTCTACGTCTCGGCAGTCGCGGTATCTCTGCAAGGTTTCTTCCTGGGCCCACTGTTCCCAGTCCTGATTGTAGTGGCCACCAAGATACTTCCACAATCGCTACATGTGAGCTCGATTGGCTTTGCCTCGGCGATTGGAGGGGCTGGAGCTGCTTTGCTGCCATTTGCGGTTGGTTCCCTTGCGGAGAGCCAAGGAGTCCAGATTCTACAGCCATTCATTATTGGCCTCTCAGTTGGAATCCTGTTATTATGGCTCTGTCTTTGGCGAGTTTCGAAATCCGTGGCTGGGGGCATCTGCTTCGATACATCGCCATAAGTTGAACAACAGGACCCGACAAATGCTGGCCTGTCTTAGGGTTATGGCTGGCAGTGACATTTAGCTGATAGATATAAGTAGACGATGAACAATAGATACTACTACAGAATGCTCACATTTTGCCAAAGAAGCTAGTCATGATAACATCACCAACAGACTTCACCATTTACGTACCTCGTGATTAAACAGAGCGGGTGCTATTTTTAGAGCCATTTCCCGCAGCCGCATGAGGCTAGCCACACTCCAGCGCAGAAGAAAACTCGAGTTTCCCCGCGCCCTGGCTGACTCTGACCGGATATAAAACCGCTACCCTCAGCCATGCTCAGCTTCTGCCTTTACTCCTAGCCATCTCACCCCCAAGAAGTCAGGGACCAATCTCCATGCTATTCTTAACGCTAATCAAATCTAACTAAAAACATCATCTAGTCTATATCTACCGCATCGCCATGGCCTCAACACTGGGTCGTTATCCGTTGCGTGCCATGCTCAATGGACCCTTGCGGAGCCGAGGACACACCACGCTCAAACCCCATACGATGGTCCACTTTTCGACATGCCAAGCTCTCTGGCGCAACAAGGAATCGACTTCGACAAACAAGAAAGACCCTGGATATTGGCAGTATGATTTCAGCTTCCGAACTCAGATGGAGAAAATTGTCTTGATTGGTATTCTTGCCTTGATTGCGTCGGCGGGGCCTTGGTCGTGGTATCGAGATATTCGCCACTGGTGGAGTGGGGTTCCGGATGATGAGGATGAATAGAGTATGTTCCGATGATCGATGTGGTGTAATTGAAGCGATTTAATCAAAGATTCTCTATCTGCCACTTCTGTTGAATGGTTGGGTCACAAACCGTAGTTATGATGATTATTTAACTTTCTGATATTAGGTACCTTTTATCACGGTGTGATTTCTGATACTGCTCCGAGCCCGGCCTTCAGGATTATAAAGTGTATTAATAGCTCTGAATAAGCCAAGCAATAAGTTAAGCTGACAGGTCAACTCTTTTTCGCTTTTGCAGGTTGTGATGGATACCCGCTTGAGTCATCGGCTCGAGTTTCCCAAGACACGAGGGCTGACAGTTCCTCCAAGACCCCACCCGCCCTGTTCGGTGTGGGAAGACCGACGGACTAAATTTGACGGGCGGTCGGAGAAAACCGGATCAGATACGAAGCAGCTACTATATGAACCTCTTGAACCCCTTGAACCCCTTGACATCAAATATTCACCAAAGCATCAGCTCGGACGATTCTAAATACAACCAACTCCAAGATACGAACTGAGTCAAAAATGTCTCTCCAAAATATCGGCCTCCGCATGGGCGGTGTCTCGAGTGCTGTATTCGCCGCCCAAGGCGTTTTCCTTTTGGGAAATGCGTTCTACAGCATTATGTATCCATCCTCGGTAGCCAACTTTGAGGGCTCTTCATTAAACGGCACCCCCAAAGGCGCCGTTCAATGTATTGGGTAAGTATAGAACTTTCCACCCCAACCGAAGGCCCATTGTTGATTGCATTGCGTACACAGCCTGACCTCTCTTGCTTTGGGGACATATTATCTTATTTCGACCTACCAGCGAGATACTGCGATCATGGTCTCTTCTGTGCCCTCTCGTCTCGTGGCGGCTTGGATTATGTATCGAAATGGCGGCAATTGGACACGGGTTGCGGCTTTTGAAACCTCCATGGCAATTGTGACTACGGCAGCACTGGTTTGGGACCGGTATATGTAAGACTAGAAGGCACTGTGGATGGTGTGAATAGAAGAAGTGTCAAGCTGCAACATAGTTGCTTCCTTCACCACCCGGAATACGGAGTTGAATTCAGATACTAGCAGTTCCAGGGCAACCGTGGTTGCTGTTGTTATTATTTGTTGAGGCAGTAGTACTAGTAGGCTTGGTCACGTGGTTAGCTAGCGCCACACCAGGCACCTCTTCTACGCGCCTCTCGCTGCGCAACCTCTAGATAGCAATACAACACTCATATTTCTCTGTGTTCTTGCTTCCTACTAGTAGAACGCTCCCGACATTATTTTCACTGCGTGGCTTGTCAACGTGATGGCTCGGCCCTATAATCCACCAGACACTTCCCTACAGATGCCCTATTGGAGGCCACTGCAAGAACTGCTGAAGGCCAGAAGACCTTCGTAATGGCGGCATTTTTGGACAATCACAGACATCTAAAGAACCGCCTGCTCCTCACCAATTAAACTACACTAGCTATGTACATCAATGCATATGCCATCTGCACCGGCCACCGAACTGTATCAGGAGCGAACAGCAACATAGTTGTAATGCCCAAAATATATAACTGGTTTTGTTCTCTCGTCCGCTACCCCAGAGGCTCTCCCCAGCCTTGAAGTCTAAAGAGGAACAATATGTGCATTTACAGAACTCTCGCTGGATCTCCTACACAGTGCGATCACTCGATCAGTATTGTCTCCCATCGTGACTCAATATCACCTTGCCCTGGTACACTACAACAGGGACAAACCATCTCACCATGCATGACACCATGAAGGTAGGTGCCCCCAACAAGTCGGTAGCGCTGTCGCGTCTTGTCCATATTATCGACCGGTCTCAAAATGAGTGGTACACGGGATGATGGAATTATCCATACTGAATCCCCTTCCTGCACACATTCCGATCCCAGGCCTAGGTATCCAGTTCTCGTTCGAAAAAGTCTGAGATGTTTGGCCCAACTCAACCTTGTGTGAAACCCAATAGTATCGGTCAAGTCCGATATTGGCACAATGTCATCTGGCCCCAGTAATTCAAGCAGAGCCTTGCTCATACTTTCCCACTTGGCGTCCGTCATGCCCTTTGGTCTATCTCTTGTTTTATCCCGAAGCCATGTTTCAAATGCATGATGTAGTCCCTGATCTTGGGTAGGTATCAGTATTGGCGGGCGTCCTGTAGTGTTTCGGAGAAGGGTTCTCCAGAACACCTCCAATCTAGACTCGCCTCCAGCCTCTTCGGGGATATCACGATACCATTGTGGAAGCGATGCAACAATCTCAAGCCATCCCAGAAATGGCAGGCCATCCAACACCTCGTGTTTGGCCTCGCCTACCAAAGTCACCTCATCGATTTTGGCTCCCTTGAGACTGACGGTGAGTGCGGAAGAATCAATATATGGTCGCTGCGTGATTGTTCCAGCGGCAGAGTACCGCTTATAACCGATAATCAACAGCCCTGTAGACTTTCCACAGGTCCAGTCAGGTACCCAGGATGGCAGCTTGCCGACACGTTGGAAAAGTTCCCCCTCAACACACGACAGGATGTATAGATCTTCACCGTCTTCCAAGAGTTGGATAGCAACATTGGTATATGTTGTTGTCACACTTTGAGTACCGTATGCAGGGGCTAATCGAGGCTTGTCTTTGATGAATTTTCCCACCAGACCAAGCATAGAGAATACCTTGTCACGGGGATCAGTTGCCTTGTAGTCTCGAGAACGTTGTAACGCGTACAACAATGTCGTAGTCCAGTGTTGTTTGGTCATATCTCGCCTGGTAGCATTCAATATGACCGGTGCATGACAGTATGCAGGCACATAGATCTCTTCCGGATATGCAACGGACAAGTTATCCAGAAATCCTTTCCATCCTGTCTGGGAGAAGAACCGGGATGATGTGATCAGCACCTCCCAGTTCATTTTCTCCCCGCCACAAATTACCTCGATTTCCTTTCCGAGGATAACCTCCTGGATCGTCCAAGACCGGTTAAAGTAGCACCTTTGGAAGAACTTTCCAACACTGCGCCATGCTTCTCCATCCGACACATCCAGCCCTAGCCGGTTCTCACCGCGACGTAGATATGCCGGGCTTTCATCCATGGTACCATCGAGAATCAGCTCATGGATTCTTTTCAAAGCTTTAAATGCCGTCCCAGTATACTCATCTTCTTCGCCCATCCACGTGACAACCCCATTGGCTGAGCTGTAGATGTGGCTCATCAACTTGACCTGATGCGCCCGCTCTTCGTCATTCTCTTGATCGATGCAAATGGAGTCTATCCAGAATTTCTTCTCCAGTAGAGATGGAGTATGCTGCACACGGTTGAGAAAATGTGCCAGATTTTCAGCCACGCGAACCACTGTCCCTTGGCGAATGATGGGGCATTTGAGCTCACTGGTCATGGTGCTGAATTGCCCGTATTCCGCAGGTGCTCCCCAGGTATATGACAGGGCGGTGTACTGCATATTCTGAGTCTCATGCGCAAGGTCCAGTACTTCGAGGTTGCAACGAACAGGGTCGTCTTGATAATCGGATGGCGGACAGACTGTGACCAAACGGATTTGATCCAACCTGATTGGAAACTCGTCTTTTAAAGACATGGTTCAAAAATCAATTGTCATGTGGGATGTAACAACCCCGATTGGTAGTAGGTATTATCCTTGTACCTGGCCTGTAATCAAGGTTTCTTCCAAATGGCCGGAGGCTAAATGAGCAATAGAGGGTGACATGCATAAGAGAATGTATGCACCAGTATGTATCGTATGCAGGAAAAGCAACGGCTGTACCACAGGGACATGTAGACCAGTATGTGCTAACGCAAGAATTCGGGGTAACTGATGAGCGTTGACTACAAATGAAATGATGGGGTATCCAGGCCTTGCAGAAGTGGATTATAGGACGAATGACCCCGCCCGCACACGGCTTGAACCGTCTTGGCCTGGCAACGTCGGGCAGCATTGGGCAGCAGGGTCAACCTCCCATGCTATACTTAGAAGCTAAGATAGATACAAACATATTGATCTTCAGAACATTCTGTAACTATGGGTGGGATGGATGCAATGAATGCATGCCGTTGAACAACACATTTGCCAATACCACATTACTCAACACCCACATCAAGAGCTTCCTCCCAAGCATCCAAGTCGAAAACCTTTGTCTCCGCAAAGTCGCCGCCTGTAGGAAATAGACCCGCCTCTGACATTCTCACAAATTGCACTATAGCCTCTCGTTCATACATATATTTAAAGATATTATTGGCAATATTGCACTGACTAGGGACCGTTGGCCTCTTACCTCTTACCTTGCAGCGTTATGCTGTTAGTCATTATCCCTGGAACCAAAATGGTATTGGTTTTGATCCCATCAGGCTGACTCCCCCAACTCGTCGTAGTGCCTTGATGGCACTCTTTGTATGCGTTGACATGGCTGCAGCTGAGGATGTCTTATCCAAAACAGCATCAACAGGACCGATAGAATCAAGGAATTACTTACATCATAAAGATATGATATCACTTCTCAGATCCAGTCTACTGATATGATGCACAAAAGCATCTTACACAGAGAAGAATAAGCACTGGAGTGGCCACTGCATGGAGGACGCAAATCCGATGCTAGAGGGAGCTCCCAAAACATGGAATGACCGGTCAAGATACTCTTCGCCCCCGCCACGCCCTTACATACCACCTTTGGTCATCAAACCACCCGGCTAGAGATCCTGAATCGTTTTACTTAGGTACGGGAAATACGCACCCCCGGGATCATACATTAGCCCGGGAGTGACTTTCGGAAAGACGTCAGCGCTTGATTGCTAGTGATCCACCCATCCCATATATAAGATCCCAAGTGAGCCTGCAAGTATACTTCCATTGAAGTCTCATCAAGCATCGCCAACATGACCCGGATCCAGGCTTTGACAGCAACTGGTGGTGAATATCTATGTGAGGAACTCGCCCGCCGTGGAGTCGAACATGTGTGTAAGTAACAGCATGGGACTTCCTCCTGTATTACATGTTCGCCGGCTGACCAACCAGTTGGCATGGCTGGTGGGGCTGTGCTCCCCGTATTTGATGCCCTGTACGATCGGGAACCATTTCGCTTCATCCTTGCCCACCATGAACAAATCGCGGCCCACATGGCCGAGGGCTATGCTCGAGCATCGGGCAAGCCAGGGGTAGTGCTGGTTACCTCGGGCCCTGGCACGTCGAACTTAGCGACTCCTCTACTCGACGCCTTGCTGGATGGAGTCCCGGTGATTGCTATCTGCGGCCAGGTGGCCACCTCCGTCCAGGGCACGGGGGCTTTCCAAGAGATTGACTCTCTTGCGCTGGCCCGACCGTGTACCAAATGGTGTGGAATGCCACGGCGGGCTGAGGATCTACCCGGCTGCATTGCCACAGCTTTCCACATGGCCATGAGTGGTCGCCCTGGGCCGACGATGGTGGTTGTTCCACGGGATGTCGCTCAAGCACGCTTCACACCGAACGAAACCCATGCGGTCGATGATTCTTCGTCCGATCCGCGGCCGGGCGAGATGAAAGCTCAGCTGGACCAGGTTGTACGGCGTATCGAAGTGGCCGAGAAACCAGTGATTATTGCTGGACATGGTATGCTCCAGACTGCCCAAGGTGCCGATATCCTACGCAGATTGTCCACGACCGCCTGTATCCCAGTGACGACCACCCTGCTAGGCATGGGGGCCATGGACGAACTCGACCCGCTGGCGTTGGGCATGCTTGGCACTTATGGCACAGTCCCTGCCAACCTGGCCGTTCAAAGTGCAGATCTTGTTCTCGTCCTAGGCGCACGGTTGGACCAGCGCGCAGTGGGCCACGCAGCGGGATTCAGTCCCGTGGCTCGCGAAACTGCTGCACAACAGGGCCGCGGTGGGATCGTGCACTTTGATATCTACCCGGAAAACGTTGGGAAAGTCATAAAACCCACCATTGCCGTCCTGGGAGATCTCGCCCCTAACGTGTCCGAACTGCTTCGATGTCTCAACCCCACTATGCCGCGAGTGAACTGGCTGCAACAGATCCAGGACTGGAAGGCCCAATATCCCCTCGCGTTCCAGCGTCCCGAAGTCCTCCCGTCGCGCCTTCTCCCCCAAGAAGTCATCGCAGAGTTAGATATGCAGACCCAAGACCAGAAGACTTCCACCGTCGTGACCACCGGCGTCGGGCAACACCAGATGTGGGCGGCGCGATACTACCGCTGGCGGGAACCCCGCAGTCTGATCAGCTCAGGAGGCCTGGGCACAATGGGGTACGGACTCCCTGCGGCGATTGGGGTCAAGCTGGCCCGTCCGGAGTCGACGGTCATTGATATTGACGGCGATGGCTCTCTCTGCATGACCATGGAATCCATTCTTACCGCGGTGCAGCATCGCGTGGAGATCAAGATTGTGGTCATCTGCAACGAACGACAGGGGATGATCGAGGAAGTGCAGACGGACGAATTCGCCGGCCGCATTGTGCAAAGCGAGCAGCGAAATGCGGACTTTGTGAAGTTGGTGGAGAGCATGGGGGCCCAGGGACGGCGCTGTACGCATCGTGAGGACCTAAAGGAGAGTGTCGGCTGGGTGTTGGCCACATCCGGGGTGGTGCTACTGGAAGTGCTCACGAAGCAAGACGTGCCCATGGTTCCCAAAGTGCCTGCAGGGAAGGGCCTGGAGGCGATTGTGGACAGTCTGGTTCCAGAATGAGGAGGAGGAGGATGTAGAGTTTACCCGGGAAGAGGGTGGAACCAGGGTTGAAGCCTTAAAAGTACCAATAGCAAGGATGATTTCGATCATTGGTCTGTACCTGAGGATATATAGTTACTTAGTCCTAGTAGTACTATACTACCCTATAGCCGGGAGTTTCACACAAGAGATTGCCAATCGCCATGCAGCACCGTACGAATCTAACAGACATGGAAAATGCCGTCGAAGAATTATTTCTCAAGTAACATCTTTCTACTGGAATGTTCATTCCCCTGTATTTTGTTCCTCAAGCCCAAATCATCATGGTTTACAGCCCCCCCGTGACACAGGTTGGTGGATTGTGATGTCATGAATTTTCTCACAGAAGAAAGAATACTAATTATCATGATCGATGAAATATAGTATCTGAATCACCAGAGACAAGGGAAAGAGAAGAGTTTCTGGAAAAGGTCGGCTGGCTGCGGTTCCCCCGTCAGACAGTGGTCATACCCTACCCGGGTGAACAGAGAAAGATTGACTCTAGTACTAGTAACAAGAAGCACAAACAACGCCACACTGCCCTGGAAGTCACTCTCTAAGCCCCTCTGCTCTCCCCACAGCCTCTGCCTCGACCCCATCCATCGCGACCGCCCCAAACTCCTCCGTATCTGGCAGCTCGATTTCCAGTTTCCTCACCACTGCCGCCTCAAGCTGTCCCCCCTCAGCCCGAAAGTCCAGCACATGCCCCCCAGAGTGCCGATCCTCACTGAGATAATGCAAATGAATCCCAGGCACCCCGATTCCTCCGGCCGTGTATGGAGGAGACCAGAACCCAAAGAGCGTGCCCGTCGACTCGACGATCGTGGCGACTGACTGTCGCTGAGCGAGATCACCCAAGGTTTCCGATGATGCCCGCTTCGGGATAATGCGGGTTGTCATGGTCGGGAAGGACCCCTGCAGGCGGATGGAGAGGAAGTGGTTCTGGCTGCGACCGAGCAGCGGGGCGATGTTGTCGAGGAGGGTGGTGACGGTCAGAGGGGTGGTGATTGGGATGGTGTGCGTTGGGTGGAAGTCGGTCATGAGGGCGAAGGGGATGCGATCGTCGGGATTTAGGGCTCGGATGAGGGAGCCCGGCGTGGAGGGGAAGTGGTAGGCTTTGCGGTCCAGGATAATGACTTCGCCGTCGAGATCGGCCACTGTGCCTAGGCCGTAGCTGCCGTGATCGAGAAGACGGTGGGCGGGAAGCCCGTCGGCACAGATGCCGTGGAGGAGGGCCCCGATGACGGAGTATTGGTAGAGTTGGTTGGGGGGCATTGTTGGTCTATTCTCCTTGATTATGGGGGGTTGGAGAATGCGTGCTTTGCAGATGGTCATCATATAGGGCAAGGGTCAATCTCTCCGGTTCTGGATGGAGTGTGGATGACAACATTCTATTTCCATCGAGGATAACAATCCGGTTCGGATTTGGGGTTGGACGTCAGGGTAATACATGGACAATCTGATGCTCCAGGTCAGGACATCCGGGACCGATCAGAGTCCCGCCTGTCGATAATGTGATGATACATAGTGCTATCTTTGTCATCTAAGATGAGTACCCGGTGGATCTGCATGCCTTGAACCTTGCTTGGAAGCATGACCACTCGGCACTGGACTATTAGACGGCAGACTAATGGCGAATCCTTGAATAGAGTCACCGTCCGAGGCTCTTCCCCAACAGCATCCGTGTGATGGTTAAGAGTTATGTAAGTGGACCAACTTGGAAGTGCCCGATGCTGATGGTGAGACATTCCATGATGCAATCGCTGACAGTCATTTGAGCGATTTCCGCGGGCTGATAACTGGTTCTGTTCTGGCTGACGCCAGCCAATTAATTGAATAGTAGGTGCATCCCGCCCGTTGCGATGGCTGCAAAGTCTATATTGCCAGCCTTACCGGATGTCGAACTCTTCAGAAACCAATAGTCTGTCCTAACGAGGCTAGCAAGGGAGCTTGGCGCTGGATATTACATCCAGCCAAAAACTTTGAGGGCTCAAGCTTCCAAGCACGTGAGAATCTCGAACATGATTCGTACGGCCTGATGTACAATGAAATCATCTCATTACCCGATCCGATATTTTACGTCTCGTCCAATCGCCTTCGCCGGGAGCATGCATTGTTGCCTTGAATCCCAGTTTAGAATCTTCAAGGTTGAATGACGTTCGTTCTTCGTTTAATATGTACTATCTATTCATTTATTCGTCTATTTTCATTCCATCCTTTTCTTGGGTGGGTGGGAAGGTTGGGTCGTCATAGGGATCAGAACTTTCAAAATGTCCTCTACAAGCTGGGCAGAATGAGTCTTCATTGATGATGTCTTATACTAACCACCAAGCCTCCCCTTCCCCTGAGGTCTGACCAGGTACATCCCATCCGCCCCCTCGCTAGGCGCCAGACTAGTGCCATTCATGTTTATATTCGATGCAGACGGAAAATGGACTCGATAAACGCAGTTATGCTCTGCGTTGATGGAAGAAGCATCATGGACGCGTTGAGAAGTACCTTAGCGGGCTGTTCTGATTTACAACAACTAGAGATCCTCACGGATGTCCTGTTGGTCAGCCCATCAGTAGACGAGAGACTAGCAGAAGTCATTAGCGCTTCATGGGACTACCTCTGTGATCAACATTTATGGTCCCTAAAATATGAAAGTTTGCAACACTTCCGACAGATTATCAGTTACTCGAAGACCGTCAAACCCATCATTAGTCGCTTCAAGAAATCGGACCGAAAGAAGATGTCGTGCTTGGAAATAGTGAATCAAAATTGGGGTCGAGCTCCCTCCGAGGTGATACCTCCTGACCTTGCGCCCATCACTTGGAGCAAGCATCTACTGTGTCTATTGGCGACACTCAGCAAGCGGCAGAGTAGCGACCAAGCCGTACCTTTACTCCAACAAAGCATTCGCGAGAGACCCAGGAGATCTCGCCAACAGAAGGGACTCATCGCGAGCGACGTTCAAAGGGCAATTGATAAGGTTCTTCCAAGCGAGACGAGGGATGCCCGACTGAAACCTTCCGGTACGTATCACCTGGAGCGAGGCAAGTATTGTCTGTTGACTGATGAACCAGATGGATCAACAAAGCCCGGTGAGAAGCGCAAGATCCAAAGAGCAGAGCCTTCGGACTGGCCGCCTTCAAAGACCATGCCCGACGAGTCGAGACTGTTCGGATCGTGCCCTGATCCGGGTCCATCCAGATTCTCAACACCCTGTGCAAGACCCAACTGCGAACCTATTCCCTCTTGTGGCTGCGCGCCTCTTTGCTTCCCTATGACCGTGCTGCTGACCACGCAAGCGTCTGGAGAGATCGAGCCGTGTGTCGTCAACCAGTTATTACACTGGGCACAGGCTGTGTCTTGGTCTAACATATGTGCGACCCACCTCCAGACTCTCGCCAGGTTGAGGTTTGGACCTTCGACGGTGACCTGGTCTCGCAGCAAATCCATCGAAAAAATCGAAGATTTGCTGAGTAGTTCTAGGAAGGATGAGTAAGTTCAATGTCCCTGTTCCTGATTCTTTAAAAGCTGGTGCTTGCAGCTAACATCTCTGCAGCCCGCCTCGTGTGTTGAGTAAGGACTCTGTGTTGGAGATTATCCCGGACCTTTTGACATTGGACCCCTGCCTCGATTACATGTCAACTATCCCTTAGAATGTAAATCATGTAACACCCCATTCCAAGCAGTGACATATACACTTTTTTTCTGCTATCCTTTACAGCATATTATAGAGCATCTCACTTCACACCCCTTGAGTCACTGATTCTTATTATCTAATATATTTATTCACATTCATCTCTCTAGTAAGCGAGTCAGAGGTTCAGGATCATGATTGAATGACATATTTTGATAATGAAAATTAGATGTACAGATAGAGGTGAATGAGTAAAATTCAATCTAGTAGGCAAATCATGAGATGGCCGTTCAACACAAAATGAGGTCGTATTGGTGCTAACTACTCTAAAACTTCAAACGTGAGGGGAAGAAACAGAAACGCGAAGTGTTGTGGGCCTCGCTTCATACAACACTGGCGATATCAAGGCAAACAGGACAAACAGCATGACATAAGCGTCACGTGACAAATGAGTCCGCCGCCGTCACAAATCACGGGTTCGGAATCATGATTGAATAACGTATTTTGATAATAAAAATGACAGGTATGGATAGAGCAGAATAAGAGGATTTCAATGATACCACTCCCAAATTCATACACCTTGATTTGGTGGAGTTATTAAGGATTGAATATTGGCTGTGGAAATCCTAATCGGGTTAGTATATATAATAAAAATTTAATAAGATTAGTATCTATAATAGAAATTTAAATTAGATTGATATTTTTTCTAATTATGCTAGGCTTAAAGTAGGAGTTGAACTATAGGTTTATCCTAATTTCTGTCATCCCAATTTCTATTACTTTTCTGTTACAGACCCCTGCTAGTCAGGTTACTAGCGAAGCGGACTCGTCAGGCAGAAAGCGTCGACAAGGCGACTCTCGGACAACCAGCAACTCTTATCGAGTAAAATCCTGGTTTGAGTAACGCTCGGAACAGCCTTACATCACGTGATCATTTACCATCAATCCTACCATCAGAGGTATACTCAGGGTATACTGAGATCTCGGACCACGATTAGATCGACCATCGATCTACCCTGAACGGTATATGATATGGTATACAAAGGATAGGATATATAAAGACACTCTTTCATGTACTTAGCTAGTTCTGTTCTTCATGCTCAATACTACTGTCTTTAAGTAACCATACGCTTGGAAGCTTAGTGATAACACTCGTCTGCACTTACTTACGGATAGCTGCGCGGCACTATTCGGCCTTACTTCTCTTCTCTTGTCCAAGACCAGTTGTTCCTAGATAGTTATCAGCCTGATATCTTCTCGATTCAGTTTGACGGTACGTATACCAGTGAAGCTAAGCTAACCGGGACAGGGAAGCGATCTGTCAAACCCTAGGATCGCTTCTCCCTGTTCCTGTTAGCTTAGCTCCCGTTCCGATACGTACCTGTGAACTGAATCAAGGTAGTCAGGTCAATGACTATCTAAAGATGACTTGATCTGAACAAGAGAAGAGAAGTAAGGCCAGATAGTGCCGCGCAGCTATCTGTAAGTAAGTGCGGACGAGTGTTATTGCTAAGCTTTACCAAAACGTATGGTTACTTAAAGATAATTGGATTGAGCACGAAGAACAGAACTAGCTAAGTACATGAACGAGTGTCCTTATATATCCGTCCCTCGTAGATCATTCTGTATACCATCAGGTCTATTGTATACCCGCTTGGTAATCATAGACCATGATGGTATGTTATATACCACATGCTTGTCTGTATACCATGGTCACGTGACTCGTGGCACCTAATCGGTTCGGGTCGGGGTTCTCCTCGATAAGAGTTCCCTTCCGTCCGGATGTGGCCTTCTGCCTGGCGTACCCGCCTTACTAGTTGTCCAGCTAGCAGGGGTCCGTAACACGATCCTAGGGTTTGACATTTTCATTATAGTAATTTTATTATATCTACCGCGATTTTACTATATTTATAGCACTTTACTATATCCACAGCACCTTATTATGTCTGCAGCATCCTACTATATATCTACAGTATTCTACTATATATATAGTACTTTACATACACAGCACATCTTATCACGGTGTAATTAAAGCACACCCTCACTAAAGCTTTACACATGACTCCATACACTGTTAAAAAGCCTTTTATCTCTATAATCCTGTTTGTAGCCTTGAGTTATATCTTGTCTATTAACCTGTATATAGCTTAACTAGCTATCTATCTAAATATAAGTTATCTTGATTAAATCTATTAACTTACATCTTTTATTTTATTATTCTATCAGTTTATATCTTAATATTATATAGCTTTTAAAATAGAGAATTATTCTGAAATATTTGTAATCTTATTATTTTTATATAATTTAAGCAAGGTAAATAAATTAATTTAATATATTTTAAATAATATAATCATTATAAATAAGTCTCTATTTTTACTATAAAAGCAGACTGTAAATAAGAATATTTATAATGTAAATAAAATTAGTACTTAACTTATAAAAGTATATACTAAAAGAAAGATTATCATTCAATTAAAAAATTAAACTATAATCAGATTTATTAAAGTAATCTAATTAGTTATATCTACTATTAATACCATAGGGTTTATTAGGGTTTATTAGGGTTTTTAGGGTTTATTAGGGTTTATTAGGGTTTATTAGGGTTTATTAGGGTTTATTAGGGTTTATTAGGGTTTATTAGGGTTTATTAGGGTTTATTAGGGTTTATTAGGGTTTATTAGGGTTTTTAGGTTTAT